GGTTGGTGGTGTGGAGGGTGAAGGTCAACGTTAACTGTATACTGTATACTGTGTACTGAGTGAGTATACATTGTATATACAGGCATTATATGATTTTAATGTGCTTGCTGCATCTCTTGATAACGATAGTCAATTTGTTGTATCTCGAACACAATAAAATATATACCAAACAAAGTGACGTCGGCGACGATGACGCTGGCTGCGCTGTCGACTTTTGCGCCTTTGCCGGCACAGCTTGTTGTCATTTTCATTGTCGCTCGTTGCTGTTGTGGTTGCTGTTGTTGACGCGTTGGCAGCGACAGCGGCATCGTCGTCGCCATCGTTGGTTGATTTGGTCATGTGACTTGTTGTATGGAGCAACTGGTTGCTGTTGCTGTTGTTGTTAATTTTGCTTTGTTGTAGTCACTTTGGAAATCTGTTTTATTTTTTTGCACACACACACAGAGGGAAAGACACAGACGACCACTCTGTGTAATATGATTAACAGATGTTGCCGCTTGATTTGATTATGACTACCAATTGCTAGTTATATAAAGCGATATATATCTATATATGTACATATATGCATGAATGACTGATTAATTGGTCATTTTGTGGTAAATGCCAAGGGCTAATACAATACATACTTAAGTCGAGTGTTTGCTGATAACCAGCAACATATCAATCAAACTGACTGCCCCGTTGCCTTGGCCCAAAGACAGCAACAAACACCCATAAAACAACGCAATCTTCTCAAGTGGCCATTGCTTCATTTGTACATATGTTTTTTGTTGTTGTTTGTTTTTTGTTGTTGTTGTTTTTTTTTTATGTATGCCTAGATGGGTTAATGTATTTCTTTGCATGTATTTGCTTAGTATTGTTGCCTTCATTTTCTTTTTTTTTCTCTACTTCTTTTTGTTGTGTGTATTTTATTGTTGCGCTCGCTTTTTGTTTTGCTTGCGTAGCTGAAAAAAAGCATGTGATCCAAGCGTATGCCAAGAAGCAGCTGAAAACAAGATGAAGCACCAACAGCAACAACAACAACAATAAGCAAAAAAATTATAAAAAAATAAAGCAACAGCAACAACGAGAGCCGCACATGTCGCCAGCGAGAGCGAGAAGGCAACAGAGTGCGAAAAATAAAGATCTGCATGCATGCACCGAAGCAAGACATACCCTTGCACAAAAATGCTATCAAAACTTCAGTTCACAGGGAACACACACAGTGAACGGTTAACAGTTAACAACCCCCAGTATTCAGAGAATTATCATTCAATGACTGCCAGACTTGTGACAGAGTTCAATTACCCTTGGCAAGGTTATATTTAGCCATCCGTGAGAGTGCATTGAGCCCCCCCTCCACTTGCTGGACAGAATTTTGGTTTTGCCAATCGTTTAGTAATCATAACTGATATGCTCAGTTTTCCAATAGCAATGCACAACGTGACTTTTCCTTTTTTTTTATTTTTTTGTTCTTGTTTTTTTTTTTTTTTTGACTTTCATTTAAACTTGTCAATTTCACAATATCCACTAGAAGCCATAATAGCCATTGTAGATGCTGTTTTATAATCAGATGACAGGTAGTGTCTAATTATCTGAATTTTATAGTTATAATTGTAGTAATAAAATTTAATGTACTCGCCCAAAGTTACACGAATTTAATGTAGTCATTAATATTAGAGAGGTTTTCTATAGTACACCAATTAACGTGCTGTGAATTTTCAAGCTTATCGTCTTTACAAGATCAATAGTACAATTTTTTTTTATAGCTATTTGTCAATTTACCGCGAATTTTCCCCGAATAAAATCATTTTTAAGGTGATAATGAATATATGGAAGTGGAAGCATTATCGGTTATCGACGAAACTGTATATGTCATTTATGTCTATGCGCTGATAAATAATATGTATAATCAATGGAATCGTAATGGCTATCAAATATAATCTATCCTTTTCAGTTGCATTAGAGCTTAAAATAAAGTAAATAAATATAGTAATTGAACGTTAACGTTTGCCAATCAAACGGGGTCTTTTGATAAGTACAACATTTGGCAATCATACGTTAATTATTTGTGCTGATTGATCTCCGTTTTTGGGTGATCGTTGGACAGTTGAGTTTTTGGGCTTGGGTCAGTGGTGGTCAGTGGGTGTCAATCGCTCACAGTCTGTCGGTTTATATATCAGCTTGTCGGTTCGTCAGTCAATCAGTCGATCCGTTGTGGCCAAAGTCCAAACGCAATTTACTTGTGAACTTTGGCCATTGGGCCATTGTCTATCCTGGAACTGCCATTACTAATCCATCATGAAAGTGCCTGCTGCCACAATAACAAAACACTGCAGGAAAAATCACATTAAAAAAATATTAACACATCACTCTTCTGACACTCTGACAAGACACAATATGTGGGCACACTGGGCACCGGCACCGGCACACATGTGATGCTCTTTGCTTCGTCTTTGTGTCCGCAGCTGGACGGGGGGGCAATCATGTGAGCGCGACCAGGCCTCAATTGATGCGACGCCCCCGTGTGCCCCCAATTGCGCTGCCCCAAGCGGCGGCAGGCAAGTCGTGTAGTCGGCCAGTCGCGCACTCGTCGCCTATCTGCATACCTATATAAATGTGTATGTATATATATATATATATATATATTAGATATGTGTATATATATCGATCATGCGAGCACTTGCTCGCACTGGCACTCATATTCGACTCGTTTGTTTATCGTCGTGTTATTTGGTCGACACCGGGACGATCCGAGGCGATCCGATTGTGATTCCGTTTGCCGTTTGTCGTTTGTCGTTTGCGTTATGATTCGCAACTGCCTTGAACTTCATTTGGCGTCTAGCATCGCTGCCATAAAGATATTATACACGGATTGTTTTCCATTACGTCGCGCCTCATCCAAATGCAATTAGCACAGTTCCAGTTGCCAGTTGCCAGTTAAAAGCAATCTACGTTTCACAGCTTACAATTTACATGCATACGGCGCCGTTTAAGTATAGGTAAGCCACCACCGTCCACCCATCCAGCCAGAGAAAGAGGAAAATACAGAGAGAAATATCGAGAGCCCCTGCAAGGGTCTTCATTTTGAAACGCTCGGACACCATAGCTTTTTAAGTCTTTAAGTACAAAGGGGCCGCGCGACCTGTGTTTAATTCTGGTGTGGGAAGAGGGGGTCGTTGGGGCTACACTCGTGATCCAGTCGGGCCCACTAACTAATCACACTCATACACACACACACACACACCGACAGACAGACAGACACACCCACACGAACTCTAAATTCCCCCGTCTTATCGCGGTGGCATAAAATAAAATGAAGCAATAAACTAAGTTACCACTTGGCCACCCCACGCAACCGCACACTTCTACAGCACCGCTTCATAAACCATGCAAACATACACAAACAGCAAAAAAAATCAACAAAAAAAAATATATAAAAAATTTGTTAATTATAGCGCTAATTTGGTCAGTTGACGTATTTCTCAATTTAGCGCTACTTATTGTTAGACGCGCCATTTATAAATCCACTAAAAATAAATTAGCTCAAATCTGCGACGCTACAAAAAATACTCAAGTGGATGTGACGAAACAGGGCAGCAACAACAATCCCTCAACTAATCATCTATCCATCCATCCATCCGGATACTCCAGCATTTACAACCAACTGGTTTAATCGAGCGAGTGTTGCATTTAATTGTGAAAGTGATTCAAGTCAATTCAGTTAATCGATAATGCTTTTCCTAGCAGTTAGCAGTTAGCAGCTGGCAGCTAAACGACACGATTTTATCTCGGCTCTCATTTTGGCAACATCGTAAAAACTTTTGTTGTCAACCAAAAACTAGAAATGGAAAAAAAAAATATATAATAAAACGAATGACAAGCTGGTTAAGGCAATCGATAGAGCATGGTCGTTCGCCATGAGTAATCGTCACGTGCCAAATGATTCTATTTATAGAGCGGGCACAGTTTCCCCAAATGACCCGCTCGACAATGAGAAGCGCAAAGATGTGCGCATTATACCGAGACAGAGACAAAGACGTAAACAGACTCGGAGACAGAGACAAAATTGGTTGCGAGGACGGCGACGACGACGGAGACTGAGGTGGAGGTGGAGACGTACACTGAGATTCCGATTGAGTGGTTTGGCCACAGGGTGCTGGAGTGCTTGTTGTGCTGGAGATGAGCAATTGTTGACTGAGTCAGCAGCAGCTATGAAATTACGTGATTGTATTATTCGGGATTTGGTCACTTTTCAAACCCACCTGACTCATCTACATTTTCAATTACAACGATTTAGAAAACTGACACCTAGATTTGTGAAAACTCTCATTTATGGTTTTAATTTATTTTATTTGTAATATATAAAATCAAAGTCAGAAACGCCAATATTGGGAAAATATGCAATAGCTGATAGAAAATTCAAATGAATGCTAAAGAAATATCAGTTGGAAGAACAATAAGTGTTCAGTTTGTGCAACTGCTACTGCTTTAGTAATTGTATATTTGTATTGGGCTCCTGCTCCTCCACCTTGCTGTTACCAAAGGTGTTGCCTAATCTGCAATTACTATTTCGTTGGCTAATTTTACATTTTGTTTTTATGGAATGGAAAGCTTTGTCGGGAATAGGATTAGTTTATATTTCTCATTGTTTTTTGCTGATTATTAATTCTGGAATACGTCCGAATTAGGCTTGAGTGTCTCAAAGTTGTGATTTATAGCAAATTGCGCTTAATTGTGGTACTAGAACTAAGTAAACTTAGAGTGAGCATATTGCGCTGACTGATAAGGTCTCTTGGGCTACTTATATATGAATGTAATCAGTATTGGTTTTTAGAATAACTTCAACAAGATGCAATCACAATGTGGTTAAATTAATTTCACATTTTCGATTCGTCGGTGTTGAGTGAATTTACCAATATCATTTTGCGTCATCTTAAAGACGTCAGCACTCGCTGTTTTTTGCTGTAACTGATTCCCCCTTCTCTCTCTCTCGCTCTCTCGCTCTTTTTTATTTAAAGCCAGTTCCCATTCGATGCGAGCCAGGTGCGCGTCCTGCTGTACAGAGAGAATGACAGTCATGGACGACGTCTGCTCTTCGATTCCCATGCACTGCAAAAGGTGACGTTTAAGGATGCCGGCTGCAAGAGCAGCCGATCCTCGAACAACAACAACAGCAGTGGAGGCGGAGGCAAGTTCCTTAAGAATGACAAATATACATCGCTGCAGAATGGCAAAATTCAGGCGAAAGCACATTCCAACAATAACATCAGCAATCTGATCGAAGTATGTCCCGAATATGGATACAAGGTGAGCAGCAGATGCCGCAGACCACAAATCAAATTCCCATTTTGATAATCTCCATTCGATTTAACAGCACAATCGTCCGACTGGCGCGGATATTATGCCCATTGGTGAGATGGTCTTTGGCTCCTTGGCGATGTCGTTTTGTGGCACGGCGCTGAAGGTGCACTGGCTGCCGCAACCGGCTCGCATTCTTTGCTCCCAGGTGTATTTAACGCCTACGGGCAGTGGTACGGTTGGTGGTGCAACTGGCAGCGTTGGCGGCGGTGGTCATTCGCCCTATTCCACGCTCTCCATCAGCAGCCTTACGCCGCGCAGTTCCATTTGCAGTGAGCACGGCTCCATGGATGGCCTCTCCATGAACTCGTTCTCGATCCCGTTCAGCGTCAGTGTCAGCCGGCCGTTGAGTTTGACGCCACCATTGGATGTGCCGGGGCCGGTGCCGTCGCCGGACCAGCGATCGCTGTCGATTGCAGACAGTGGGCCACGCTTCTCCTCAACATACAGCAATGCGACCGATTCAGGTTATTCGGCCAGCGCCAGTGGCAGTGGCACCGGTGACGCCTATTCCAGCGGGGATCAGTGGTCGTGTCAGTATTCCACGCGCAGCAGCCTCGGCAGCCTCGATCAATCGGATGCGATGCGCAAGCTCAGCCTGGACGATTGTGCCTTCTATGCCAGTTCGCCACATCTGGATGAGTTCGCCAGCGATGGCTGTCTGCAGCGCCGAATCTCGCGCAATCTGCGCACTTCCTTCGAGTGCGAGCATTCCAAGAACGATTACATTGGCTACCTCAGCGACAACTATGCCACCATGGCCAATGCTCAGGCGAATCCGGGCAATGCGAATCCCGGCACTGGCGGCGTTGCCACCGGCGGCAGTGAGGGCAGCGGTATGGCGCCACCGCAATACAGGCGCGCCAGCTACTGTGCCAATGAGTCGCGCAGCAATCCAGAGATGGGACGCCGACCGGCGAATCTGCGACGCCGGTCGAAACTCGGCCTGGCCGTGTGCATCACCATGAGCGAATCCTTCGAGGAGGAAATGGAGCTCTTCTGCAGCGAGCACATTGCGCTGCTCGAGTCCATGCTGAGTCGACTGAGGGCCAGCACGGAGCACGCCTACATCAATCCCAAGAACTTGCTGCAGGTGAGATTTTGATCGATTAATTAAGCCTGGCTCCCTTTGCTAAATATGCCACTTTTTGTGTTGGCAGATCATGTTCCAGGCCTGGCGGGATACGCAGCAATGGTTCAGCGATCTGTTTACGGCGCCGCGCATCAAGACGCCCGTTTGGCTGAGCATCACGACCAGTGGCAGCAAGTACTCCAAGACCGTCGCCGAGCGCTTCATCAAGGAACTCTGCGATCTGCTCTCCTTTGCCGATACCAAGGATTCCAATTTGTAAGAATAACCTGAGGCAGTAGCTAACTGATTACTAATCTCATTATTCTAATCGGTTGCAGCTTCATCAGCACCATGCTGACGGGCATACTCACCTACCACCTCGGCTGGGTGGCCACTGTTTCCGCATTCAACAGCTCCAGCTCACGACGCTCGACGGCATCCCCTTCAACGGCGGCGATTGAGCGACGTGCCAAGTTGCTGCAGGTCTCGCAGAAGCATCCGTATAATGCGCTCTGGGCACAACTGGGGGATTTGTATGGAGCAATTGGAATGCCACCGAAACTGGCACGCACCGTCATCTATGGATCGGAGAAGATGTGGGTAGAGAAACTCTTAAATGTGCTCACGTATTTCATACGCTGCAGCGAGGTGCGACGCGCCGCCAAGCGAGAGGACTTTAACAAGCAGCTCATCACGGATCTGGTCATCAGCCAGAGCAATCAGGAGCGGCACAAGAGTCCGCCCATGATGCGGTCACGTGCGGCTGCAGCTGGTGCAGGATTGAGTCGCACCGCTACCTGTAAACAGAATCTGAATGCAATTGTCGATGATGCTGATCTGCTGCAGCAACAGCAGCAGGACGATTTGCTTAGCGGCGGTGATGAACTGGATTTGGAGCAGCTGCAACAGCAGCAACAAGAGGAGAATGCTCAGTTCATTGGCACGCTGAAGAAGAATGAGATTCCAAATGTGCTGGCATTTCGTGACTCGCACTTTGTGCAGCAGGAGCTGCGTATTGGCAACTATCTGATGGACACGGGCATCGACAAGAAGACGCTACTCGCTCGCCAAGCCCAGCAATATTTTCGCACTGGCAAAGATGGACGCATACGTCTGACGGTGACGTCGCCGGAGAACGTTGAGATGTGCATGGAGGAGGATTCGAATGCGGGATCTGCGGGCACCGGCGGCAGCATCGATGATGGCGCTATCGAAGCGCTCGATTTCGATGATAACAAATCATCCGAGACGACGCCAGCTTTGGAAACGGAACAGAAGCAAGCGGCGGTGCCAAGCAAAAAGAATTTCTTCTGGAACATTGTGCCCGCTGGCGTTAAGGAGGGGCTCAGTCTCAGCGATCTTGCCAAACTGCAGAAGGGCGTCAAGATGATCAATCGTAAGCTGGAGCGACGCTGTAGCAGTTACTCCGTCGAAAGCGATACGCCATCCATCAGCAATGAAGAAGTGGAATCTCTCGACCAGGAGCGACGCGTCTCGCACTTGTCGCTCTCGTATCTAATCACACAGAATAGTATGGGCAAGAGCGATCGCATGACGTGGGGCATTGAGCCCATCAAGGAGAATGTCAGTCTCGAGGAGCAAATCCATTTTGATCTCTGCCAGAAACTAATCGAACGGGAGCACGGCATCTGCCGTCAGACAGCCGGGGATAATGGCAACGGTGTCGTCTTTGTTCTCGGCGACAATGAGCCACTGATCAATCTCAAGAAGAGCAGCGAGGATCTCACAGATGACACAAGCAAGCCAGCAATGCTGTGCGCCCTGCATCAACGCACCCATGACGCTTCCCTTGCCAACAAGAAGCACTCGGGCATGAAGTTCAACTTTGAGCAGTATCCACAGATAGCGACCAATTATATGAAGAGCAAGAATTTGGTCATGTCCAACTATGATCTGCTGATGGATAAGGCCTCCAAACTGGAGGCCAACGAGACGCTCAAGCCCAGCGACAGCAGCGTAACGCTCTACCAGCTGCAGCAGCAACATCAAGCTGAGCTCGCAAGCAGCAGCAGTTCCCTAATCTCGGCAACGGCTGTGGGCAGTGATCGTTGCATCGTTTGCAACAGTGGTGGCACGCTCAGTGGCAGTGGCGCCACATACCAGACACCCTCCAATGCCACTGAGCTGGAGTTTGAAACGGATGAGGTGCATTGCTACATCGAGAGCAGCAACAGCTCCAGCGCCTTGCAGCCCGTGAACTCGGCTGCCTCGATTGATACGCTCAAATCGATGCCGGAACCGGCATCGACGCCCAACTACACTCGACGACAGCAGGCGAAACGTGTGCCTTCGCAGCGTAGCTCCGTCTCCTCGGTGGCAGCCAAATGTGCGGCCGTCAATGAGTCTCAGCAGATGCTGAAGCTGCCAGTGCCGGGCATCAAGGAGCTGCCCCAAGAGGACGAGCCACCCGGTGATAAGCTGCGCGCCGGCTTTATTCCATCGCTATTGCTGAGCGTTAGCGATCACTATGTCTCCGATATGGTTCTACAGGTGAGTCTACTATCTACTGATTAATAATAATAATAATCTTATAATCCATTTGTATTTGTGTGCGTTTTTAAGGGCACCTGTGCACCGCCGAATAAGTGGGAAATGAATCTGCGCGAGGATTTGGCGCTGGCCGCACGTTCCGCCTCGCTCATCTCACAGCCGGCCGAGAATATTGCCATTGTCGCTGACATGGATAAGTGGGATGTGCGACTAATCTCATCGCAGGCGCAACAGTTCCCCTATGCGGGTGGCCAGAGCACCCCAGTGGGCATGTCCCAGCTGGTTTCCAGCATGCTTGAAACTGTTCAGGCCATGCACGTTGGCGGAATCCCAGCCTATGAGGTAAACTCCGCTAAAAAGACTGAGAGACTGCATGTTGTACGGATTGTAACAATTTCTATTTGCAATTGCAATTGCAGTGCCTGTCCTTTTTGGAATCCAAACTGCAGGAGATCTATTTACAATCGGAGACGCTGGCCGCATTTCTGCTCGAAACGGATCCTTGTCCGCTAAGCGATATAACAACGCCGCTGCAGCTGTCCGAGAATGATGTGCCGCTGCTGCTGTCCATTGCCTACATACACACGCCGAAGATCAGTCGCAAATGCGGCCTCAGCTTTAGATGACAGACGCTCACCTGGAGTTGGTAGCGTCTGGGCGGGACCAATCATTGCCAAACCATCATTGTTCGTATCAAAATTCATAATGCATCATCCATAGCGAAACAAGCAAATACTCCAGCGAATTTTCATTTCACTGATTTTGTGATATATTTTTATGAATAATAGGGTGTAGTAAATGCAGATTACGTTAGTTAGGGCATTCGGCAGCTTAACATAACCAAACAAAACAAAACAAAACAAACAATCAACAACAACAAAAAATCAAGAGAAACACTCATACAACAAATAACATACATGCATAAATAACATACATTTATAATTATTTATCATACAGCGATATAATTTAGGCAACCCACTCATCGATCGCAGTCACATGAAAGAAGTATTGTAAATTATTTGATTTAGGTTTAGTTAGCACGATTGTGCACACGATTTAGTAGCACTCTCCAAGTTGCTATCGATGGAACGATCGAACGATCGATCGTTCGCCTGACGACATTGTATCATGTGCTCGAGCTACGTGTAGTGTTTGAATTAGATTTAATAATTTATGACAACAATAATCTATTAATCGATTTAATTATATTGTTTACCCATACAATACGCATAAATAAGATTATATAGAATTAAGTAGGGGAGCGCCGGATAGCATTCGAGAATTAACTACAACACATATGTATACATATATGTATATTTAAGCAATGAATAAATTTGTATGACTATTTTTGAAACAAGAGATAATCAACTATAAAAAAGCCAAGACATTTTTCAATACTAAGTGGGTATGGGATAAGACTGAATGATACACAGGTCCTTGCCATCCTAATGTGCTATGTCCTTTCAAATAGCGGAAATAAAAGAACTTCTTGAAAACGAATTATCTAGGTTTATCCCGCAGCCTAAAAGTATGCTTTTAACAGTTTGATTTATTTCTGAAAATACGATTAATTTATTGCATACTTTCTGGCTGTCACGAAAAAGGAAAACATGAATTTGTTTTATTGAATTTTGGATTTTATTTGACAATATGCTTACAATTATACACATTTTGATATATACTTTGACATAACTAGTATGCATATATATTTCGATTCCAATTGAATCGTTTACAACTAATGCACATAAATTATGGGGCAGCAATTGTATTTTTTTCAATTTTTGTTTGCTATTTAAACGAATAATTAATTATCACATTGTTATTTATATGTATATATATGTATATATATACCTATTTTAAAGATATCTTTTGATGGACTATAATATTTGAATACTCGGCCAATTGAGAGTGGCCTAATTGGAGATGGCATTGAGAATCAACTCAAATTGGATGTATTCTCATTTGCCCTTCTGCGCCTCCAGATAGGTGGCGGTAAAGGTTAACAGGCGATGCCGCTGCTTCAGGTTGCGGGCGCGCACATGAGCCGAGTTGAGTTCTTCTGTGTAGCTTCCGGGGAACCAGCCGGCGGCACCATCACGTATGCGCTCGCCCTGATACCAACCTGTTGGTTAGATTTGGAAAAGGGAAATGCTTTAAATGTGTCGAGTGGAATCAAAGTGAGAGACACTCACCATCTGGCAACTTGCGTGAGACGTTGACCACGTCGCCGAGCTCCAGCTGTAGCACATCTGGCTCATCAGATTCGTAGCTGTGCTTGGCAATCACCTGCGGACAGTCCCATGACTCGTACAGCTTCTCGCCAGGCGTTTCCGCCTCCGGTGGACGCATGGCCTCTAGCCAGCGTTGCTGATCGGACACTGTGGGGCAGGAGAGCACCTAGCAAACAGAATTGATTGGTTTCGTTAATGTTTGTAATTGGGATTAAAGTTGATTGTTGGACTTACAAGTTCAATTGTTTTGCGCTCGTAGTTTTCCAGCAGCGTCATCAGCATGAGATTTTTACTAGTAGAATCCTTAATATCTTTGGTCGGTAGCTGGGGCAGTGTGTCGCCCGCAGCCAGGGTCAGCATGCTCCTCGGACAGTAGTCGAACACAGTGAAATTGGAGTCGCCTTTGCGCTTGCAGAGCACCAGTAGATCGGAGAAGAGGAAGACATAGATGCTGGACTTGGTGAAGCGTTTGCCAAAAGTCAGCTTGGCATCGTCACCGCGCCACATGAGATGCGTCAGTTCGCCGCGCTTAACCAGAAAACGCGGCTTGACGCCCTGCTTGGGCACGCCTACGGGTTCGATGGCCAGGGCACGTATGTGGCTGGGGAACTCCAGCTGCCTGGAGATGCGCTCCAGTTCGTAGGCCTGCTCACAGCGATTCGCTGCCTCATTGCACTGAGCGACGATCTTCTGGACGAGGGACAGCGTCAGTTTCCAGCTCTCATACTCGTCGGCATTGTGTGGCGATTCCTTGCTAAATACCGCATCGATGAGCAGCGGCAGACGCGTAATCCGCTGCATGGGCATCATGAGAAACGAGTGCAGGCTGAGGCCACAGCAGCTGGCGCTCGCTTCGAGCTTCTCCAGCTGCTGCTGGAACGCCCCACTCTTTGCCTCCTTGAGGCGACGCAGCGTGCGATCCATGCGTCCCTGGTGTTCACAGAACGTGATGTAAACGTTGAAGTGCTTCTCGGCCATTTCATAGATGCAGCGACTCAGTCCCAGCAGCATTATGTTATTCTGCCAGCAACATTCGAGTTGCGTTAGCAGACGCTCCGAGCACTCGTGCACGGGCGCAATGTACGAGAAGAGCGCCTTCCGGTCGCGGACGCTCAGCACCGAGGGGTCACAGAACGAATCGTTGTTCATGAAATGACTGCGCAACAGATTCAGAGATTTCAGATAACTCGCCTCCGATGTCATAATCTCAAACTTGGCCTCCTGCAAGCCACGCTCGCGTGGTGTCAATGTTGCTAAAAAGTACATAAAACGTCGATTATTTATTTATTTATAAATCGAAATTCTACCAAGGCACTCACGTAGTATGCAGGAATGGATGACCTCGGGTATTTGGCTCCAGAGCGTGCGCGATGGCCCATTCTTGGGCTCCACCAGCTGCAGGGCGGTGGGACGCGAACGAGTCGGCGGCCTCTGCGTGTGCTGCCCAATCTCCTCGTAGCCATCCGTTGAGCCCTCATGCGCTTCCAGGTCGCGTGTAATCGACTGCAGAGTTTGACAAATATGTGAGAAGTGTTTAAGAGAGAGAGAGAGAGAATTTGAGCTGGGCCAGACTCACCTCCAGTTTGGCGGCGCTGTAGACCTGATAGAGAGGCTCGTTGGAGAACAGACTGTGCGGCTGCAGCTCATCGCCGAGACCCGCCTCGTTGCCCGTGGAGACGCCGGAGCTGCCGCTCGAGCTGGCCACCGAGTTGCCGCTGGTCTGATAGAGGCCCGATTCTGTGTACCACGAGTTGCTACTACAACCATTGGCGCCTGGCGTGGCCGTGGCGAACTCATCGTTCATCGTTGTTCCTGGCGCTGACTGCGAATGCTTGAAGACGCCACATTCCGCATACCAGGAGGTGTGCAGCCGTTGACGGTGTTCGCCGCCCGAAGCCGGCGGTGGTGGTGGTGGCGGTGGATCAATTGGACGCACGCCAATTGTAGCACGGCGACGCAATACTTTCGCCTCCTTTTTGGCCTTACGTGCCATCGTGGAAAACTTCTGCGATTCGGCGCTGGGAGTCTGCACGGGTATGTCACCGGAGGAGGCTTTCTCCGAGAAGCCCGAGTCCAGTTCGCCAGAGCCAAGATGTTCCGACTCCAGCTGCTGTTGCTGGTGGTGCTGGTGCTGCAGTTCCAGCTCCTGCTGCGTCGGTGGATCCTCAATGTAGAAGGTGCTGCGTGTCGCCGTCAGCGCCGACAGCTGTTTGGTATCGAAGCTTGTGCCCACAAGGCTCTTGCGGAGACGCGACCGCAAACTTTTGCCATTCTTCTGCTTGGGTCGCTGCAGCGTCGAAGCTGTGGCCAGCTGGTGATCTTGTTGCTCCACTTGACTCTGGCTGGTCACGAGATTACGCTCGGAGCTGCTCAGCGAGCCTGCATTCCCAAAGAGCTCCTGCTGCTTCCTGCACTCAACATAGAATTGTGTGTTGCCATTGGGCGACGATGCTGTATTCTCGTAGAGTTTTTGCTGGCTGCTCTTCGGTGACTTTTTATTGGAGATGAAATCCCTAAATTTACGCACTATGGCATACACTTGATTCTGTGGTGCCGGCGGATCCGGCAGGCGATGATTACGCATATCGACACCGCTGTCATTGTGCTGCAAAACGGTGGACAATAAGTAGCTGTGGATGCAACGAAAGGCAACGAGTCGGTTACTTACGTGATGCAAGCGCTGCTCCGGCTCATCCGTGTGCTCATCGCTGTCCGTCTCGAAGGAGTCGTAGTCATCCGAGTTGTTGCCCAGGTGCTCGCCCAGTACATGTGCCGACGCCGAGTGCTGCTTGCTGCGTCGGTGCGATGCTCGTCCCTGTCCATCTGGATTGCGCCTGAGTTGCTGATGCTGATGCTGGCCAGGCAGCAGCTGTGACGAGTGCCGCTTGTTGCACAGCGTCTCGTAATAATGATCCGAGTCATCTGTGAAGCACAAGAATGATGTGTAATAGATTAGTTAACACTAATAATAACAATATGGAAGGCATAATATAATATATAGTGTAAATAGTGTAGTGTCATTAAGCAGCTGCAACCAAAACGAACCTACAAAGGTGCTGACCACCATTGACTCTCGACTGGGCTTGCCCTTATGCGGCTCCACATAGGAGACACGCAGCGTGCTCAGATGCGCCTGCAGGCGACGCCTCTGCTTGTGACTGCCGTTGCTGCTGGCGCTGCAGCGCTGACTGATGGCCGCCGCCGCCGCCGCCGCCTCATTCTGATAGATGGGCTCCGGCAGCGATTGGGCCGGCGGCTGATCCTCCGGTATGGGAGGTGCGGCATTTAGATAAACGCTGCTCGTTGGACAAGTGATGCTCACTTCGCCCACGGCACGTGGCCGCCGCTTGCGTGGCAGTGTGACCAGCGGCTCCACGACGTGGGCGTGGCCACTGTTACTGCTTGCTGTGGTAATGCTGCTCGTGCAGCTGAGACGCTGATTGTTGTGGTTCTGGTTGTTGCTGTTGTTGGTTGCCATCGCAGCATATTCTCATATTCAACACTCAACTTGGACGCTCTCCAATGCGACTGCATTCAACGAATTCTTGTTATTAATTTCGTTTAATTGTTGTTGTTTTTGTTGCTGAACTTTTGAACTCGCTTTGCATTGCAGCTGCGACTGTGTTTCTTAATTGAAAGTAATCAAGAAAAAAAAACAACCAAAAAGTTGTTGCATTTTTATTAATGTTGTTTGTTATCCAAGTGAAGCTTGTGGTCTGTCCTAAGCGAGGGTTGCTCTATTAGTTGTTTTAATTATTCAATTATGTCTTTGCTTAAGCGATTTAGTTTCTCAAAAGAGCTCAAGTTTTGCGTTAAGCAAAGTATTTATTGTCTTTATTTAGTTTCGCTTTCGCTTCTTGTTCTAAGATATTAAAATATTACGAAATGCGCGTGACACAACAACAATAATAATAACAATAATGTGCTAATAACCAAAAATGATGCTAGATAGACAAAAAAAACAAATATTTTCTTTAATATGCAAAACTCTTTGTGCTGACTAACTTTTTGCTTAGTGCTTAATCAACACAATGTCACACAAATGGTAAAAACGTTTATATTTTCACAATAGATTCCTCGTTGATGGCAATTCGTAGTTATCATGACCCAGTAAATGGAAAGCTGTTGTGTGAATCCAAATTTTTTCTTTTCGAATCAGCCTCAACCATTTCGATTCAGTTCACTGTGCGGAAATTGTTCCTCCACGGTTGTTTTGGTTAAAATCTTAATTTCCATTCGATTGGCTTTAAACAAATTTTCAAAGCTCTACAAATTGGATAAATCAAATTTCACTGGTTTTGCAATGCATAACGCATTATATTATTATGTAATTCAATAACTGGCTTGTGCACTTAACACAATTCAATGATTGGCCCTCGCTGTGATCGGCTAATTAAGCAAACTCTTCCAAGTGTCTCAATATTTTGTTGGCGCACAGATAAATAAATGGTATGGGACAACGAGTCGAATGCGCGATTTTGGCCAGCATTGCGCACAGAGGCATGCAAAACATCGCCAAATTATAATGAAATCACGCTTGAATGCATATACAACAAATAACTAACGAAAAAAAGCAGACACGACTGACGCCAACTAAAAACAGCAGGTACAATTGAGTGTGTGTGTGTGATTAACAGCACAAAAGCGACCGAAAAGCGTCAGGCTAGATAAAACCAGAGCACAAATGCACACACACACGTATATATATATATATATATATACATATATAAAAACATATACGTGCATACGTACACAAATATTACACATACGCAGCGAAGCGAACCAGTTCGGCTGAGATAATAAAACAGAGATTCGTATATGGGCGAACATTAGACAGTCCCTGTGTGGATGCTAAATATCTGCTCATAGGTCTTTATATATAAATCATGTACATATATATATATATATATATATATATATATATATCATGAAATTAGATATTTTGTGGCTTGTTGTTGACTGACCAAAGCGACACTTGTTGCGCGTGGGTCGCTGTAGATGGCTTTTGTGTCTTGTGGCCACAAACTGGTTGCCGGTTTCAGAATGTGCACCCAGCCAATTTCATAAGTAATCAGCCAGATTCTGCGAAATGAAGTATTTAAAGATTTTACGTATCTTGTTGCTTATATGCACAGTGGCAAGAAAGTCAGTTTAAAGAGGGAATTTTAAGTCGGAAATGAAAATCGACGACTTTCTGAAGAGAAAAGCTGAGCAAATCTAAATTTAAGGTAGTAAAATGTTAGCTCTTTTTTTTTGGCAATAAAAATTACTTCTAAAATAAAAGGAAAGCTAAGGAAATATAGGTTTTAGGTATTAAATGTTTAGTTAAATATTTACTCCTTTTTTGGCAATAAAAATCACCTCTAGAATAAAAGGAAAGCTGAGCGACTCTAAGTAAATTTATAATAAAATGTTTAATGTTTTCTTTTTGGCAATAAAAATCACCGCTAGAACATTATAATTAATTTAAGCTTCTCGCAATTAAGTTGAGTTTTATGTGCCGCGCTCATAGCTTATATATTTTTTTTTGCCAATTTTGTTGTCTTGTTTCTTGCAGTGTTTCGCTTGATGCGGAAATGTTGTCGGAATCTTTGGCGCTTTTGTTAGGCCTTACGGATAAATATTTTACTTGTGTGTGTGGGCCACGCATCGTATTTGCACTCAAACAAAGAGCTGTCCGATCTGGATACATAGGAGAAAGATAGATGCCTGCCACATGCTATATACTATACAACTGTTGTGCACTGTGAATGCGATGCTCTTGTTTATAAATACGAGAAGCCTTGGCAAAGTGCACAGCGGAGGGGTTCAGTTGTTGCTCTATCTGCACACACACACACACAAACACGCTTTATCATGTTTTCGTTCGTCGTTTTATAAACATTTTTTTAAAATTATTTTCAATTTCAATTCCGATTCCAATTCGAATGCAGCCATTGATTGATCGATTGACGCATTGAGGTTAAACTTATTAAGTGGCAAACGATGTCATTGTCTGCTGGGTTGCTCAGTGTCAGCGCCAGATGGAAAACCACTTGACTTGATCAGTTAAGCTCAACAGATCTTCCTGCACATGCACATCTATATACATATTCACGTACACAGATACTGATGTAAGTTGAAATGTCAACAGCAAGTCATAAATTTCCATTGAGGCTCTTCCGCAAATGCATGCCACAACAATTGGGTGCTTCAAACTGTGTAGTTTTCATGACACTTTCGCTTTTTCATTGCCCCCTTAAATCATCGCGTGCTGGGAAAATGAGTTAAATACAAAAAAAAAAGCGAACGTGCCCTGGGTATAAGTTAAGCTGAGAATTTACTGTCGCATTGCCGGGCTTTAACTAAATGCGCCCAAACTTTAATTACAGCGCTGTTATTGTTGTTGCTGCTGCTGTTGCTGCTGTAAGTGTTTAACAGTTGAGCCTGCTGCATTTTTGACTTCCAATTGGTAGGCTGCGACGTTGCGTCGCTGCCAGCGTTCAGTGAACTTTTGAGCGGCCATTTTGCACAGCACCATTTTTTTTATGGGATGTTATTTTTGCTGTTTGCCCCTCTTTTGGATGCACATAATTATTGCACATGATTACGTTTTGATTTTGCAATTTGCCATTTGAAATTGAGGCGCCTATTTGTGTACTTAATGTATTTTCATTTTGCACAGTCACTGCAACGTTTTTAGTTTTTAAATTTGTTAAGTTCCTTAAGCTGCTCGTCGTTGCCGTCGTCGTTTTATTTTTTTGTGGTTGTATGTGGTTTTAACTTCTTCAAGGTTGTGCGCTTTTGAACGCTATGTAGTGTTTCTAGACTGGTTTTCGCTCAGCAATTTCGTCATCACTCGAAGCAGCAGCAACAACACCAGCAACAACAACAACAGTAACGGTGAAACATAAAGCTTTAAGTTGACTCTCGCGGGTGTATAGGGCATATGGGCTGGAAGGGGAAGGGGGCGGGGGTGTGGGTGGTGCGGCTTTTGGTTTCATTTTTAGTTCGTGACGTCTGGCTGCCTTTGCATAAAAGCACAACAACACAAAAACAACATTAGTGTGTAATAATTGAAACTAGCTGCGCTGCTCGCGGTGCAGTCGACGCCGACGCCGTCTGGGGTCTCTGCTAATTTTGCATGCATTGCATGCACTTTTTTTTTTATCATCTGATGTGCTTTTCTTTTTCACTGAGATGCGCGCGCACGTACAGCAATGTACAAAAAGAGCAACAAACATTAATTGGAAAAGAAACGGTGTAAAGTATTGTATATTTTTTTCACAATTAACAAACACAAATTCCGTTCGATGGGCAACTTTTCGACAGGCTGGCAGCGTCCGAGAGACGAACCGAACGTTGGAACAGACGCGCTCAGACTGAGTGAGAGACTGAACCGAGCACAAAGTGTCTGGGACAGCAATAGTTGTTGCTGCTGCTGTTGCTGGCAGCCATGGAATGAAAATTGCAAAGCAACAACAACAACAACGCTTGGCGTCCAGTTTATGGGCATTGTTTACGCGCGCGCTCTCAACTTGTTATTGCCTTATGTGGAACCTGTCGCGCGCGTTGCAGCCGCTGATACAGGCGCCAATTGCAATTCCAATTCCACTTACAAGTTTTCGTTGCTGTTACTCACTTGAATTGTGTTTGTCTGTTTGTGTGTGCTTGCGTATGTGTGCATTTCATTGTTGGGAATTGCTGTCTTTCTTTACTCTCATTTGCATTGGGCATAATTAACTGTAAGTAGTGTGGCCATCTCCTTTTTGGTTTCCATTTCAGTTTGTCATTGTTGGGTTTTGACATTTTTAGTTTCACAGCGCATGCCCTGAGCACCACTTTTAAATACCTTGACTTTAGCCTCATGGCAATCAACGAAACTTAAGTATGGCTGATAATTAAAGCAATTAAAGTGTCGAGTTTGTTTGCGCGAGCAAAAGTGATGCGGATCACATGTGGATCGAAAGCCTAGCTTGGACACAAACCACCAACAAAATTCAGACTGCAAGCTCGGTCTAAAAGTTCAACGTTATTTTTAAGTATCTGAAAGCTTTCAAATTGGTTGCAGCGCCGTAAAGCTCAATTTTTACATAGGAAATCAAATTGCAACAAAGAGCGTGGTAAATAAAGCATTTGAACATTGTTCAGTATTTTAATACCGGAAACAAAGAATATCGGCAAGAAGAATAATTTTAGAATGAGACTGATGAGGCAAACTAAATCTAAAAGAATAATTAATGAAGATGGATTACTAAAAATTGTTTTGCTTTTGAAAATCGTTTAAGATTTGGTTTGGATCGACCCCAAGTGGATTTTACAGAATTTTAACATATATTCTATCCCGAAAAAACACATCTCTAACCATGATCAAAAATATATTGCTATTGAAAATGGGCTGAGATTTGACGTTTGAAGTTATGTCACTGCAAATTTTGGACCCTAATTTGTGGTATGATTAAAGGTATGTTTTAACATTGAATCTGCTTTTCATTATTTTTGGTTTTACTTACCTTCAATGCAGCTTTTCGCCTTGTTTTCTTGCAGTCTTTTATCTCTGATGCGTTTCGACCAATCCGGACTGCGAGCACGGTGCTGCTTAGAACGTTCCCGTACACTGAAAAAAGAAACAATATATAAAATGAATGTTTAATTAGTCAGTGCTTAGCGTAATTATGATAACTACTTCATAATCATCGATCAAGTGACGATACTGGTCTTCAGAGCTCGACACCCAACTAAGAACTATTTATTTTTTTTGTTAAATGGGTTCGGTCTCATTTCAAGTTCTTATATCGTAAGTATTGTAATATGATTGTGATTGTGATTGTCAATGGGGTTGCCCAAGTTGGCGTCCAATCTTATCGGCTGATAACAGATGGAATTGTAGGTCAAAGCGCTAATTAATGTGGGCGATGCAGGAGGAGTGGTAGATGTGTGTGTGTGTGTGTATTTGTGGGTGTGTATCTCGCCTAATAAAGCGCATTATTTGTTGTAGTGTTGCAATGCCATAAAAATAAGTAGTCATGTGTCGTGTGAAGAAGTTCATTTTTAATAATTAGTAGGGACAGCTCTCAATAGAAACCTCTCTCTTGAGAATTGAGCATGACGTGACAATTTTTAGCTGTTAATTGTAGAGAAATGCTACTGTGGACTTTTAGCTTATTGCGTTTCCCAGCAATCGATTGATTGACAAATTTGTTTGTGTGTTAAGTGCTAAAGCGAAGCTAATTGGCTGCCAGATACAGATACACATATCAAATGTTAACCGAAATCTATGTCTTCCAGAAATAAGCATAGTTTATTTATAGTATATGCTATGCCATGTATTGCATCAAGTTCTAATATATATATTGCAAAACATTCTTTGTTGCCGTTGTATACCTATATATAAGTTGTGAAAATCCATTTGAGACAGGTCTTTAGAAAGTTCTTAATGCTAAATAAATACAATATTAACAAACTTATCTCTTACATATTCATTGAGAAGAGAATGAGCTAATCGCTTATCTAGAAATATCGCTTATCTAGTGAAAGGTATTTACATTTGTTTGGAGGTTGTGAAGCAATTAAATACTAAATGACACGCTAGACTTTGCCTATTTATATGAGCCATTTATATATAGACACCTAATCTTTGTCGCTGATTCGCACTTAATCACTAGACTATATACAAAAGCAATTGCAATTCGAATCACTTTGATTTCTACTTCGCACAACAAAAAGCAACAGAAATGGCTGACAATCTACGGGTTAATCTCGGGTCAGGGTCTGCATTAACTATAGTCGTGAAATTGCAGTTCCTCCACTAGTAAGATTGACCTGATTTAAACTAGGGTTTTCTAGTTGTTAGTACTATGTACACTTTTCCAGCCAGTTTTTTGTATATGGCCAACCGATAAACCCACCCTTAGCCACTGCTTGTAATTGCATTGACCCACTTTCTTCTGATTATATGTGATTTAAGCCTTTCATACATAAATACTTGCATCAAAATGTGTTAAGAATCCGAACTTTACATTAGGATTGAGCTATTTTGATTTCGATTGTGTTATTAAATGGAAAATGATCCAGTCTATGACGGTCTTGGGAATATATATATATTTATAAATATTTTGACTGTATTGTATTTCTTGCTATGCTACAGTCTATTTCAATCAATATTATTGCAATCTTTGGACCCTCTGGCGCAGTCCCCCATCCTCCTCATTCGGCTCCCAGCCATGTGCTGCACTACCAATTGGCGTCAACAAATTCGCAAGCGCAGAAGGAGTTCCAGTTACGATAAGATAAGACACAAAGCCAAACAAACTTATCAGTAAATTACGCAGAATTTTTATCGGCTCCCACAAAAGGGGGTGATCACATAGCCAACCAGCCCCAAACACATCCAAGCCGGGAGGGAGAAACTCTCGCTTTTTCTATATTTTGGGATCTCCATACTTACACAATAAACTGCGTCTCGCTGGTGGCAGCTGCCGCGACTGTGGGCGCCTCGCCATCGGATATATCCACCCAGGCATCGCTGTTATCACTGGAGCCGGCTATCGAGGAGCGTTTATTGTGCGCTTTTCCCCCGCTGCTGCTGCCCGCGCTACCTGCACCACTGCTGGCCAGCGAGGAGCGACAGCCACCGTTGATGCTGCCATAGATTACGCCGGCAGCTAGCGAGGATTCATAGAGACTATTGGTGCGATGATCCGAGGAGATGGTTAAAGTAGAGCCGCTGCTCGAGAGTTGTACTCCCGTTGACCTTGCCACTGTTTCTGTTTCTGTTCTAGTTGTTATTGTTGCTGTTGCTGATGCAGTTGTTCTTGTCGTTGTTCTTGAGTTTCTGCTCTTGCGATAGTTGGAGATACTCTCGTAGCAATTGGAGCTCAACGAGATGCTATCCGTGTTGGGCTGAATGCACTTGGTCGACATGGATTCGTAGCAGCCAGTGATGGTATCATAGATATTCTCATCATCCTCATCCGTGGAGTTCTGCACAGTTCTCGTTTTGGAAATGCGACTGGGTTGCTTGGGTTTCGCGGGCGCTGGGCGCAATATTTGTGGAGATTTTGGCAGCACCCGCTTTGGTTTGGGCAACTCCGGCAGCTCGTCGCGTGTATTACGACCTAAAGTGCCCACTGTTGTTGTTGGCGTTGTTGTTGATGTTGGTGTTGTGGGCGTGGCAAAGGCTTCATAGTCATCGTTGTTGCTGTTGCTGCTGTTGGAGCCGGCAATGGACTCATAGCCCTCCAGCCAATTGACACTAGTTGTGGATGCAGTTGGAGCAGTTGTTGTTGTTTTTGCTTCCTCCACTGTTTGGTAGATGTCCTCTGTGGGTATTTGTGACAGCTCCTCCTCTTGGCTTGTTAATGGCTGCGACTCAGTCTTGTTCTCCATTGTGGGCGTTATGGGCTCATAGATGGGCTCCTCCTCCTCCTCCTCCTCATCTGGCTGCTGCTTGCGGTCATTCTGCAGTTGCTTTAGCTCCATAATCATCAGCTCGCTCTCGATGGCATTCACTAGGCCCAAGTTGACAGCTTGATAGAGCAGCGGCTGATTGTTGGATATCTGCTTGGCCTGATAGATGAAGGAGCTATTGGGCAGAATTCGCTGCTCAAAGTCATCATTGGCCGCCAGCAGCAGCTCTCCGTCCGGTGTTCTCGCTGGCCCGCCAAGCACCTTCAACTTCAGATCGAGCTCCTCCAAGGCGTCTAAGATTTTGGCATCCGCTTCAATGCAGGGCGACAGATCCGGTTCCAGCTTTTGCTCCGGTTGCAACGTTGCCATCGTTGCTGTTGCTGCTGCTGTTGCTGTTTTCTTGTTGCTTTTGCTAAAGGGCAGCAATCGCAGCTTCTCATAGATAGCTGAATATTTGTGCTTGCGCTTCTTCTGTCGCTCCGCTGCTACAGCCTCGACATCCCGCTCATCCCTCTCATCCCCCGCGTCCCGCTCATCGCAGCTGTGGTCTTTCGCCGGCTGAGTTAGCTGTGATTCAGCTTGTGGCTTTGGGTTGCTAGCATTACTATTCACATCTACGGGCGTTTTGGCCTCCTCGCGCACCACATCCAACTTCAGTTGCTCCTCGGCCAGGACTTGTTGGATTCGGGCGCGCTTATTGCGCATTTGCTTGCTGAGACTGAGCGTGCTGGGTCGGAGTTGCACCTGCTGCTGTGGCTTCAGTGTAGGCACCACTGCTGGCTTATCCCACTTTTCGAACTTCTTAATATTCCGCTGCACCATCGAGCTGAGTCGGGATGACTCCGAGGACGATGGTGATGGGGTGGATTTCTCTGAGCGTTCTGCCCGCTTCTCCTGCTGCTGGTCGGCGGCTGTTGGCTTCTCGACGATCTTGTAGACATGCGAGCCACGCGACAGCCAAACGCCATTCTTGCGCTTCACCTGATCCAGCAGACGTGTATCCTTCTGGATGATCTCGTTGAACTGCTGCGTCAGCTGACGCACCAAACTTCCACTGCTCGAAGCAGCAGCTGAGGCTGCGCTGATGCCGGCGCTGGCATCGTGTGCCTGTTGTGCCACGCCCACATTGAGAGTGTGAGTGTGTTGGTGTGTGGGTGTGTGGGTGGACATGCGACGTGGCGTATGATGCTGATTGTATGATTTGCCTGCATGTGTTTTGAAGCTGTATTTGCGTCGTGTGACGCGTGACGTCACCGTCGTCGCTGTAGTCGCTTTTAACTCTGGTAGCGATTCGCTGCTGCCGCCAGTTGCTTCGTGACTAACCCGAATCGCTGGCATCGACTCAGCTGCTGCTGCTGCTGCGACTGCTGCTGGTGTTGCCTGCTCACTGATAAGATTCGACTGCTCAGTCGCTTGCTCTGCTGATAGCGAATTGTGCTGCTCTCTTTTGGGCATGACGTCCTCGCGTTTTGGCCACTGCAAACGTTCGCCAGCTGCGCCGCCCGCTTTAACAGCGGGAAACGTCGCCGTCGCCGTCGCAGTGGCTGTTGTCTGCGTCGCAGTTGCGTCGCTGTCTCGTCGCAGTTGATTTTGCATTTTAGCCTGTTCGGCGTTTTTATATTTGTAGAAATTATCCTTGTCGCGTTGCAGTTGCTGCAGCTGCGTCTCCTGCAGATTGTGTAAGCTGGCCGCGCGTTTTGCACGCGTTTCGTGCGCGTTTGTCAGGCTGGGCCAATCGCGGGCGTTATTAAACGCGTTCACCAAACAGCTAACCGATTTATTCCACTTGCGCAGTGTGCCCAGCCCCGAATGTGACGTCGACTGTTGTTGTTGTTGTCGCTGATAAGCTGCTGCCTCCTCGCTGGCGCTGCTGATGCGTTTGCTCCACAGCAGACGTAATGTTTGAACGCCGCGAAAATCGCGAAATGCGCGCGTTTCACAATTGCAGCCGTTATTGTTGTTGTTATCGTTATCGTTGGCGTTAGTGTTATCGTTAACGTTTTGTTTGCTATCGTTATTATCGTTCGACTTATCGTTCACACTTGCACTTTTCACCAGCCAACCGAGTATTGTCTTTTCTTTACGCGGCGACGACTTTGGTGTTGCTATTGTTGTTGTTGTTGTTGCTGTTGCTGTTCCATTTGCATTCCCATTGAGATCGCAGCGACTTGTTGTTGTTGTTGTTGCTGCTGCAGCTGCTGCTGCTGTTGCAGCCGCATCCAAATTCAAACCAGATGAGCTCGCCATGACGTCCGCTGACAACTGCATTACTATGATTATGCGTAAAGCGGCTTCTTTCGCCGTCAGCGGTGGCCAGTGGCCAATTCACATGGAAGCTGTCGCCGTGAGGCCTAAAAAAAACAGAAAAAAAAGACAACAACAAGAGAAAGAACTCATTAGTTAAAGCAAGACAAGAAACACAAGGAGAAAGCGCCTGAAAATCGCTGAATAAGAAGCCAACAACTAAAAAGAAATATCTTTCAATTGAGTCTTGATATATATGCCGCAGCAAGCAGGTGGAGGGCAGGGGGCGCCACTTGGTTGCATGAGCAGTTTGGTTTCAATCAATATGAGATTACGACAAGTGTCCTATATGTATATCAATATTGATAAATGATAATACAAATGGCCATGGCATAAATTAAATAATAAGAAATTATATTTGAATAGCGTCCAAAATGATAAGATATGCAACCGCAAATGGAACGGATTGAAATGTGCATTTTTTAGTTATATTTGTTTGCCCCAAATAAAATATTTATTTACGAGCAGTTTCTAGAACCAGCTTGTTGTTGGTCGACTTCTTCTTCTTCTTCTACTTCTTCAGACTACTCTCTCAGTTGGAGCTAAGCTAAGCACTGTCAAAGCAGAGCTCTGTTTAGGCCACATTTATTATTGCCTTAGCCTCGCTTGTGCCCACATAACGTTGCGTATGCGTGATATGCTTTTTGACTGCTCGATCTTATCGATAACTACATATATGTGCATGTATAAAAATATATAATAAAAAGCTTGCCTAACTGCCGCACACGTTGTTAGACACCCCTCTCCCCATCGTTCCCCACCTCTGTACGCCTCTGCGCTCACGTTTTTGTCACACACAAATGCCAATTATAATGAGCGATTACATAAAAAGCAAAAATTTCTTTGCAACGCCGTCGAATAGTTTTTAAGCCGCTTTTGTTAGCTGCTACTGCTGCCGTAGCCGGGTCTTCTGCCTTGCTTTGTGCCCCCCTCTAACCGTTCCCTCACTTTCCCATTCCCCACTTTGTTTTTTTTTAGCTGCCTGCCACCACTTGCGACGAACACGTTGGGAATAACAATACAGTTTTGCGCTATTGCAAATGGTATTTAAACAAAATATTAAATACGAGCCATGCTCACACACACACACACACACGCACATACACGCACACACACTCGCACACTTGCAATGTAAATAAGAAGCTAAAATTGTTGATTACGCAAACTTATTTTGGCCATATTTTCATTTGACTTAATTTGGTGCCTTTAGAAATTTAGGCAGTAATCCATTGAATTGTTTATCTTTGGCTGTTTTGACATCAAATTTCGCGTATATTGAGTGTGAGCATAATCAGTATATAAGTAAAATTCCATTGACTAAAAACGTGTCTAGAAGTGTGATTCCCATGGCTTACCAGCAACCAGCTACCCGCTACGTATAGATTTATCTATATCTGCTGGCTATTCTTATCGCTGTGTGGGAATTGCATAAAAGATTTGATCAAAATCTTTGCTTTGATTATAAAAATAAATCTCATGCTTATAGATGCGAAATAAAATTAGCATGCAGAATGAACTGAAATTCAATTAGTTTATGCGACGCATTCAAATTGATTTTTATGTGTTAGTCGATGCCGTTTTTGGATTGAGACACTCCAATGTCACAGTCGAACAAAACTAAAGGCCAGCTGACAGTCAGGTTAACAACTTATTGGCCCGGCCAATACACACACAATTCACCAACACCAATACAGCAATGAAATGCTTTGCATATTAAAATGACAAGCGTTAATCCAAAAAGGGAAAATGTAAACAATGCACAGCAGTCGGATCTATATGAATAAAAGTGTGTGCTTGTGAAGATGAAAACAAAAGTCTGGCAAATTTGTAAAGAGAATCTCTCTTTGCATATTATATTATATATATGTATATATCTATATATATATATATGCAGTGATGCACCTGCAGCTGTGACACTTTTCATATGCACGTATGCATACCCTATTTAAAATAGTTTACAGAAAGTGGCATAGCTAATCTATATATATCTTTAAGTTTCAAGTTGTGTAAGTCTGACAGAAGCATCTACGATCCCACAAAGTATATATCAGAGGTTAGACGAGCTACTCTCTTCAAATTTTGAATATAAGTTGTCGTCAACCAAAGCAGATCCTGTTTATATAGATACAGTTGAAAATATATTAACTACATCCATAAGAGTCACAAGCCACTTAGATGTAGAAAGAACATTACAGCTTTTAATCGAGCGTAGAACTGACTACAGGGTATGCTATAGTCCAGCATTCATTTCCCAGATACTTTTTTGTTTTTATTAAGTTATGCATTTGCATTTGTAACTCGAATGGAAATGCCTTTCAAAACGATGCACAGCCTATTCAGACGGATGTTGCATTATAAAAACTGGTCATAATTTTAGTGAGATTTTCACAGTTAGCCGCATTGACAAATTCAAGTGGCAGCTGGGCGGCAGCAGAGCGGTGAAAGCGCTGCAGCTGAAAAGCGCTCAAGTCAAATGCCAGCTCGATAAACAAATACCAATTCCAATAACCAATTCGAGGCGTTAATGTGTGTCCAATGACTGATATCATTGTTAGCCATTCCAAGAAGAATTGGCGATTAGACACGCATCGACTAAGACAATATTAAATGCCTCGATAAAAAGCGACTGCTGAATGTGACTGAATGCGGAAGACACAACACCAAATGCAAATATTCTGCAGATATACAATATATATATGTATATATATATATTAAAATATATTTAAATTTCTATAAATGAAATCTAAGAAGAAATGTATTGCTATTTATGCATAGCATAGCAAAAAGAGGCATTTTAATAACCACAACAAAACCCCATTAGAAATGTGAAAGTTTACTTTTCTTTTTTTGTCTCTAGCATCTAGCATCTGTGACTATTTGGGCAGCCAACTAATGAACTGTCTTGCGGCAACGATTTAGTGGAGATGCCGTCAAGATCTTAAGAAGCTTTTTTAATGAGCCACCAAAGTGTTTGATAATGAATTCAGTGTGTTATTTGTTAGACAACAGCTCAGAGCGATGAATTACAGCTGGGAAAGTAAAAACGTAGTCAAACTTTTGCATGTATCTAGCGAATAACAAATAAAATCTCGCAATATTCATTCATTGAATGGCTTAAGTCAAAAATAAACAACTTTGCAACGCCAGTTACAATTGCACTGAAAGTTACTCACTTACTTAATATGAATTTATAACATTTTAATGGCATTAATAACAGTAATAATAGTCACATATATGTCACACTGCTCACAACCGACAAGGACCTTCGACTGAAAATTATTTGTTGTCCACAATTTTCTTTGCATTTGATATTTTTTGTTGTTGTGGCGGTTGCCGGGACAACCAATCCATTCAAATCAACCACTCGAAACGGCTTTCAACCAACTGAAAGGCACCTCAGGCCTCTCAGGTCGGTCGCAAGCCAACCCTTAAATGAGGCGGAAATTCACCCTTAAGTAGTCAATGCCACACGTTGGGGCTGGTCAACGTGTCGTATGCTTTACACACAGCATGTTTAACGAGCGTAAACAAACAAATAACAAACACTAAAGGGGGTTTCTTGGGTCGATAGTTTTCATACTGTCCACTTGAAGGCTTCTGCTGTCCGCTGGCTACTATTTTTTTTTTATTTGCATGCCATATGCCAGTTAGTCCGGCTGTCCGTCCAGCTCACTTGCTGTCCATTTGTCTGTGGCTCCCTTTGTGCGAATTTGTGTGAAGAGTGTCGCGCTTTGTGTCTGTTTATTCATTCGTACTTCTTTTTAGCTTAAGGCAAACTCAATTTGCTAAATTAACGAGTGTAGAATGTCGATGTGTACACAAACTATAAATACTATAAATATATATAAATACTATATAAGTTTCAAAAGTAGCATAACTTGTTAGCTTTCGACAGCATTTAATGGAAGTTATATACATTTTTGATCTCAATATTGATTGTCAAATCTGCTGATTACGCCCGTATCTATCTAGTAAATTAATCATTTATATATATATATTTATATGGGCTGATAAAACTGCTGTGCATTAGTCATTTAGTGCTCGTGGCCATAATAATTGCATTGTTTCACTGCTTTTAAAGCACTTCGACTTAGTCAGTTCCCGCATTTTGAACAATTTAAGCTTTTGCTTGCTGCGGCTCTTTTCCCCCAAGACTACTATCAGAGGCCTTTACACGCCCCACGCTCTTTTGGCCAAATTTGAATCAGCTATATGCCGATTTCTCAAATCTTTATGACTAGCATATGCTATGTCGTGCTCCCTACAAGCAGCATCTAATGGATTTATTCCCTTTTCGCCTCTTTCCAAACGACTTTCTAGCTTAGTTCCTGGACCACAGAACTGATAACCTGGTATATGTAGTTCAATTGGGAGGGAGTTGATTATTTTATTGATGAGACCTCTACCTCGATAGAGCTGTGATTTGCTACTAGTTGATTTATAAAAGCGCACTACCATTTTAATTGATGTTTATTCTTCAAAGACTTGCAAGAGAGTAACGATCTGCTGAGAGAAGTGTATCTGATATGAGATTAATAAAACAAAAAACGAACATAGAAGTGAGGAATATCGATTTTAAAAATGGAGAAGACAAACAAATTAGACATAGCAGATTATTACCCAATTCAATTAGGGAATTGTGGGAAAACAAATGTAATGATCAGTTTGATTGAAAGCCCAACGATTGAAAACACTCGTGAACCCAATAAAAGGGATGGGATATTTTACATTTTCCGAAAATGAAAGTGTTCTAGCACCAAGTAAAGCCAAAAAGAACTCTATAATGATTTTTGATGACGTTGCTTGTGAAAAACAAAATAATATTCGTGCATACTTCTGTATGGGACGACATAATAACATTGATGCGTTTTATTTATGTCAAACGTATACACGCATCCCTAAACATCTTATTCGTGATAATGCAAACCTAATAATAATGTTCAAGCAGGATGAACTAAATATGAAACATGTGTATCAAGATCATGTAGGCGTAGATATGAAATTTGATGAATTTAAGAATATATGTCAATTTTGTTGGAAGGAAAAATATGGTTTTGTACTTATAAGTAAAGATGATCCTCTAGAAAATGGACGCTATAGACGGGGATTCGCTGACTTTATTAGAATTTGAAATATAATATGAACAAATCTTATTATTAGTTCACTTAGCAATAATCGATCGAAATGACAACAACTCTTACATTAACGGGCAACAGCTCAATTTTAATGGCAAACTATCATCCACCCATTGAATTGAAGGGAAATTATGAGTGTGCACTCATTGATTTCACATGCTATAACTCAATTCCAACTGTTGATCACGATAATAATTTATTTCATATTGGAGAACATGTTTTTGAGATACCTGTTGGATCATATGAGCTTAGTGATATAAGAAATATTATTATTGAGAAAATGGAGGAAAAAGAACCAAATAAACCAAAAACACCCTCTCATCGAAAGTAACAATAATACGCTTCAAGTGATGATTTCAACTAAGGAACACCCCAAATTTTTTTAAAAAAAAAAAAACTATTAGTTAATTAATTCGGAAAAAAAAAAAAAAACAAAAAAAAAAACATACACAACAAACACCACCCCCTTTTAAAATTTAAAAGTAAATACAAATCAAATAGAATGTAATATTGTAAACGGATCATATGTTAATGCAGAATCAAGCCATGTATTGCATGAGTTTGCTTTAAATGTCCCCCCCCGGCCTTTAAATGAGTGAGAAGCCACACAACCTTATTTATTTCGCAGTGAACCCAGGGAGATAACCACCTTAAAAAAAACGATTTGTTGATCAGGCGGGAATTTAGTTTATTTTCCTAAAGAGAGGGTTACACTTCCCTCCACTTTTAAGAGAGCGAAAAAGTTTTTTTAAAAAAAAAATTTAGTTTATTTTATTTTAAAAAAAATTTAGATTTAAAAGGGAGGGGAAAAAAGGGGTTTTGGGGCAAAACTTACAAACAGAAAACAAATTGTTTTTAAGGGACTTGGTTTTAGAAATAGAGAGTAAAAGACAAAATTTTTAACCGTTCGAGAGAAACCCCTTTCCGAAGAGAGAATAATCAAAAAAAAAAATTAAAAACATTCCCCCCTTAAAAAAAAATTAAAAAAAAGAAAAGAAGAAAAAAAAAATAACAAAAAACAAGAAATAATTATTACTGCCGGGGAGGAATATTTTTATTAATGAGGGGGGGTTTTTTTTTTTTAATAATAAACCTCCTGCTGGGGGTGGTGGTGTAAAAAAAAAATTGCATGAGTTACCTTTTTGATGAGATTCGATACGAGTTGAATGGAATTGAAATTGATCGAACTAGATTTGTTGGCACTTCAACAACCTTAAAAACTATATTTTTGAAGAGTGTCGCGCTTTGTGTCTGTTTATTCATTCGTACTTCTTTTTAGCTTAAGGCAAACTCAATTTGCTAAATTAACGCGTGTAGAATGTCGATGTGTACACAAACTATAAATACTATAAATATATATAAATACAATATAAGTTTGAAAAGTAGCATAACATGTTAGCTTTCGACAGCATTTAATGGAAGTTATATACATTTTTGATCTCAATATTGATTGTCAAATCTGCTGATTACGCCCGTATCTATCTAGTAAATTAATCATTTATATATATATATTTATATGGGCTGATAAAACTGCTGTGCATTAGTCATTTAGTGCTCGTGGCCATAATAATTGCATTGTTTCACTGCTTTTAAAGCACTTCGACTTAGTCAGTTCCCGCATTTTGAACAATTTAAGCTTTTGCTTAAATACTTAAGCACTAATAATACACAGGCCTTATCTGCCACGAGTCTGTGACAAAACTTCAAAAGCTGTTTCAAATCAATTTGCTTGCTGACTGCAACTCTCAAAACTGAGTGTGTGTGTGCGTTGTATATAGTTAATGCACTTGTATGCATATTAACTGCATTCCAAGCATTGTGGCAACTCTGTCACACACACACACACAGCAAAAGAACCGCAACAAGAGGCAATTGGTTGGAGGAGGTGGAGGTAGTCTAAGAGACCGCATAAGGCACAGAGGCGTGTAATTAGCGTGCAGCATTGGCAAACTAAACTTAATGTTGCTTGTTGCTTAGCTGTTGTTGTTCGTGTTGTTGTTTTTGTTGTTGTTGTTGTCGTTGTTAACAACACAACAACGGTAGCATATGTCTTATAACCGTAAGATGAGCCGACTGAGCTGTAGGCACAACATGCCACCAAGTATTGGCCATAGGCCAGACGCAGAGGTCAGTTCTGAGGCCAGGCAGCAACAGCAAAACACACAGCAACAATATAAAAAAAAAACACAAGAATAATAAAAAAACGTCGCAGCTAAGCAGTTTACAGTTTACAGTTAAAGAACAGCTAAGAGCGCAAAACCAAAAGCTAAAGCCTCATTCCATTTAATTACCATTAAGTCAAGTCAGAAACAGCAGATGTTGCCATATATAATCCACAACTGGGCAGCAGTGGCATACGAGGCAAGCACTCCTGAAATTGGAAGGCTTGGCAGCCTGTTCTTGGGTGAAATTTGTTCAGATGCCTGTTGTTGTTTGTATTGTGTGTAACTATTTTTATATGTGGTTTGGCTAGATTCTTGGCTTTATTTGCTTGTGGGCGTTTCACTTTTTCCGAGCCACTTTCGTTTCACTTTACACACACACACACACACTCACTCACAAACGCACTACGAATAAGCACAGCCATAGAATGTGTGTGCCAAATGTTGATTACTTTGTTTATTGCACATATTTGTTCAATAATTTCAATAGCTTGGCAAAACCAACAATAAATGGCAACATAAACACAAATCAACAGCTTAAAGCGCGCGCGCAGCTCAAAAGAGCGACAGAGAAAGAGACAACGAACGAACAAGTCGAAGCAACCGACACGGCGAACGACTGCAAGGCAACTGAATAGTTGAGCTGCTGTCGCTGTGTCGATTGGCTTGTCGAACGAACGTCGACGGCGACGTCGACGCCAGCATCGACAGCGCAGTGTTTGTGTTTGTATCTTTGGCTTTTGGGTCTCGCGCTGTTTCGCATTCTTGTGTGCAGTGTGGCTGCAATTTGTTCTGATTCTTTTCATTCCGCTGCGCTTGCGCTGTGCTGCTGCGCTGCGCTGCATTTCTCCAGAAGTATGCGACGCCGACGCCGCAGCGACCCACAAAGACTGCTGTTGCTTCGATGATGCTCTGGCGGATGCAAGATGCAATATGTAGCTCAGTTGCAGTTGATTAAACAGCGCCTGTTCTTTGTGGGCAGCGTTCATTGGCATTTGGCAACTGCGGCAGGGCGGCATTTTAATGAACTAAACAAATTTTAATTAAGTCGCTGGGACCTCTAATTGATTTAGTGCTTACTATTTCCTCACTTCATCCTCAGCATTCTGTGTTCGACTCTGGAATGTGGCATGTCTCTGCACAGCCAGCTTAAATCGCATTAGAGACGCGCACGGAAACAAGTTTTAGCTTCACTTTTTTTTTTTTGGTTGTTGTGACGAAAGCCTAACACCAAAAAATACACACACACACACACACACACACGCACACACACAAGCGCATACTCACGAGACAAAAACAAAACCAAAAAAAAAGAAAAACAAATAAAATTCAATACCAGTTCAAGTCGCAAGTTCTGGCCAAGTTCAACAGACAGAGGCAGGCAGCAAGCAGCACAAAAAACAAAACCAAAACAAAGGCGCGCAAAGCAAAAGCAATTTGTACATTTGCTTTTTGTTTTGTTTGTTTTGTTTACATCTTACGAGCGGCGCTGTGTGCGAGCGAGACGCAGCTAGGGCAAGCCCCACTGTTCAGGGTGACCATGCCAAGCGGCTGAGCGCTGTTAAACTCATCATGGCGGCAAAAATATTGAAATGCATTTAACAGTCGCTTATCAGCTAAAAGAAACTGTGTCAACAATAACGCAAAGCACTTTGGGAAGGATGCGATAAAAACACGAGACAAAGCCAAAGAGTTGTGCAAAATTTCACAAGCCCAAAAATTACGACGACCTGTAAACCTGGTTTTCGTTTTCATTCAATTCAATGCGCCTATAAAAAAAAAACTAGCAAAAAGCGGCAACCACAACAACAACAACAAATCCAACATGGGCCTGTCAGCAACAAACAACTCAGACAAGGACAGGGGGGAGGTGAGGGTTGGCTGGTGATGGGGCTGCGACTGCGTAAATTTATGAGCCAACAGCATGTGGCAAGCTTGAAAAAAAACACCAAAAAAACAAGCAACGACAACTACATTGCATGTGCCCCGGACACTTGTTGCCCACTCTTGTGGCCACGCCCCTTTACTAATTTGCATTTAGTGGCTGCCGCACTCCACATTTGTGGGCCAACAGTGCCACGCCCAGCCAAACAATGCACATTATTCATTTCGCAGCAGCAGCAGCAGCAGTAGTAGCAATTGCCCTACATGAATCTTGAATCTCAGATGTGGTACTTGTAATTTGAATTGTTGTTGCCACTTTGTTGACTGACGCAACCATTTGGAGACACACACTCTGCCTAGACATCTCTACACAGGTGCCTGCCTCACACAATTGGGTATATATTTCATTACGTATCATTACTACTACTATAATTACTACTATACTCTTCCTAGTCTAATTAATCTGTTCGTTTTTTTGTATCATGGTTCGCTCTCCTCACAAAGTCTGCATAGAAATTTAATTCATGTTGCGAAAAATGTACTTGTCAAGTTCCTTAACTTTGTCAAATCAAAATTAAAACAAAAAACCATATTAATATCATATCATTTTAAACAATCAGCAGCATTTTCACGCTTCTTCGCGTAATAGATTAATGAAATTTTATATTGCGTTTTTTTGGCCTAGTTCATTTATTTTACAACTAACTCATTTGGCAGCTGTTGTACATATATGTTTAAATTGTATAGATGAGAAATTCATGCGAATTTCCTGCTGAGCAAGCAGCAACTTTCCAAATGTCGCATGCAATTGAAGTTTGTAATTAGAAATGGTGAATTTTCACTTTGCAGCTCAGATCTCAGTTCTTAGTTTGTTAGATCGACCTTGGCCAATTTAAACGTGATTTGTGTGCGATTCGCAGCAGAGACTGTGCCACGTACTTCACGCGGTCTTTGGTAGTTGGTCGTTGATCGTTGGTCGATGATTCGTGATGAATCAGTTAACTGGCTAAGGCATTTCACACACAAAAGGTAAGTCGAGAAGAAAGTCAGCCAGCAACTGCGCAATCAGCTAACTGCCGTGTGGGCATTTCATTTTAATAGATGGGAAAAAACATGTGTTTCTAAATAGACGTCATAAGTAGACATGAATATGGGATTTGGGGATTTGAAAATACTTGTTTAAGAGTCATTCTCTGTTTAGAGATTTGAGCTGTATCTGATTTAAGTAAAGTTAGCATCTGCTTAGTTAAATTAATCAGATAACTTATTGTAGTTGTAACTCCATTTCAATAGTTTACAGGGCATACAAAATGAGCTCATTCGTTAAAAAAAAAAAAATACAAAATTCAATGAACTTTCTGGGCCATCAGTTATTGCATGATGGGCCGCCCACAGACTGTCTGACACCGTTTTTTGGCCGTTTGCTTTACCTGCCAAATTGTACAACATTGAACTATATAGAATACACATATTCAATGCGAAATCATTGTCGCACGACTGTGCAAAAAAAAGAAGCAAGCCAAATGCCAAACGCATAACAATGAGCAAAATAACTGAATTGGAATTTCACGAAAAATAATTCACCCAAATTGCCAAGAAATTGAGTTTCACGAAAAGGAATAAAAACAACCACCTGATATTAATGATGATGTTGATCATGATGACGTTAACTGCATGATTAGCATATTCCATGAAACTGAAATAAAAGCCGTGATGAAAGTTAAAGCTGATCAGCGCTGACAATCGATCAGCGATTAGTTATAGTCGCGTACTTGCAATGCGTACATAATTCGCTGCAAAATTTCAGAAACTAGTTAAATGTCGAGCGATTGTCTTAAAAGCAACAACATGTTTTGCCGCTTTTGTCTATACATAAAAAGACAAAACGACAAAAAAAAAAATAATAAAAAAATGAATAAAACTGCTGATGTGAGATGTTTAAAACATTCACAGCACTCTGGCTGGCAAAGTTCATTGGCTGTCGCGACAAATGCATTCAGCAATGCAATAAAAAGCAAACAGCAAATTTGCCGGACAACAACAAAATTCGAGAGTGAACCGAAATGCAGCCGCGTGAGGAAGTGGACTGTTGCCAGGCACTGTAATTGACCGGTTTCCATTTGGTTTTGGTCTTGTCTACTCTGTGTGTGTGTGTGTGTGTGTGTGTGTGGACCACTTGACTGCGCTTTCTTTAGCTTTGGCTTGATGAGTCAGAGGCACAGGAATGCCCCTAAAGACACAGGTTAAAACCACAACTAAGTGGCAAAAAAAAAAACAGGCCAGCTCAACACTCCGGCAAGCCACAAGCAGAAATACAATATTTTATATTTATTTTTTTGTTGTGGAAGTTTTAACTTCTGTTATGTCTTTAATTTGATGTATAGAATACGCTTACGTGCTATTTTTGTTGTTTCAGACTTTAGTTGACGTAAGAGAAAATATGGTTAATTCCGAAAAACTAAACTTTAACTTTTGCTATCATTATTTCAAAGTTTCAAGATCAAATTTGCCTTTGTCACAGTGTATCGTTAGCATAAAGCTAATTTAATTGTACACAAATTGAGCGTTGAGTCAAACAACAAAACTGTCAGCACGCCCACCAGCAAATTATGTGCATCTATGAAATACAGATCTAAGAAAAGAAAAATATATATGCTTATATATATATATATATCTACAATTACACATTGAGCCAAGAGACTCGCCCACGTTAGAGCCAAATTATATGGCGGCAATGGAAATAATAATCATACTTACATAGCTCATAAGTAGTTATGCAAATCTTGAGCTAAATAGGATGATGAAGAAGCTAAAGCTGAAGCTGATGTTGAAGCTGTGAATTCATTGCGTTCCCATTCCCATTCCAATTGACTTGGAAAGTCACATGCAAAATGGAAAGTACTTCATTTGAAATCTGTTTACATATGCATGTGTGTTGACTATATAATTGTGTGCATAACTATATCATTATGGTTAATTTATTGAGTGACAAAACAGAGACTATGTTGAAAAACGGAAACATGGCAAATTGCTTTATTACAGAATTACATTGACATTACTGGACTCCAGTTAAAGTAGTTCACTTACGTCTATGGATTATGTATACACCACACACACGCGAATATTTGCTTAGCTTGATTTAAATGAGACAGGAGGAAATTGTTGTGTGTGCACATTGTGCACCAATCAACAAACAACATGCAACAAAAACAAACAACATTTTTCAAGCAAAAATTTTGCATATTTATTTCCCTAACTGAATACATATCAATATCTATATCTAATCACAAAACTTGTATGACAAGAAAAGCTTTGATAAAATAGATAGCATAATTGTTGATAACTGATTGAAAAATATCATACATTTAACCATTTTTTTTTATTAAGAGTTTTTCAGTCATGTTTGAACAGCTAACAAAAGTTTTTTAAGTTTAACTGACAATAAAGTTGATATTTTTTTGGCTACGAAATAATGATGTTGCACAGTGTAATAAGATATGGAACTGTAACTATAACTGCCAGAAGCGGACATCGCATCTCAGCCACTTAAGTCAACAAAAACATTGGGCAAGCTGCAGATAAGCAGAGCTTTCAGGGGATGAGGGGGACAAGCTTTCCGCTTGCCGCGCACTGATCTCCACTGATCTATCCAGTGTAGACTCTTTGTCGGCGGCCAAAACTTTCAACGGATTGCGCGGGTCCAACCTTTATTTGTCTTTAGCAGCTTTCTAAAGTCAGGAAATCGCATCTCAGAAGAAGGGCGTAAAAAAGCAAATAAACAAGTAAATAAATCAATTTGTGGTCGCTGCTTCTATATATAAACACATGTATGTATACATATATGTATTTCTGGAGTTAGAGATTACTCAAATTTCAGTGCGTAATAAGTGTTGCGATTTATATAGAGCAAATCAGCAAAAACAAATACAATTGACATGAGTCACAGTTGCAGCACATATCATGCAAAACGATACCAAACAAATTCATATTAAACAAGGAGCACGAAATTTCCGAGAAAACTCGAGGCCTGATAAGGGGCAGCCACTGCGCGCCTTTTAATCAGTATATTGCAATAATAATAAAAAATATTTACTCGATTTTATTTGAGCATTGTAAAGAGTACTTCCTTTGTTATTGTTGGACTCTATATGCAACATATCAACTCTTACAAATACACTTACATTTTTAAGTATTTTGTAGCTTTGGTTTTGTTTAAATTCAATTTAAAAAGGAGCACTTCACTCTGTTTAATTATATTCTTTGCTTGAATTCAGCTCTATTATGTGAAAATAATCAAACTATGAGACTTCTTTTCATACACAAATAAGGCGAAATAATAATTTATTTATTATTCAAGCATCGTTTTAATATGCGAATTTTTATTTGAAGTCACTTTCCCAATGCCGGCAAGCGAACTGTTGCTGGAATTGGCGGACGGGCCGCAGCACTTGCCACATATTGTGGCGCACACTTTTACTTTTGTTTTGTGGCAAACACACACCAGCACTTTGTTTTAATTGCTAGCGCTCCACAATCGATCAATCACAACGGGCCTGCCACCATTTAGTTGCACAATGCCAATTGGTTTCGATAATAAAACAGAAACAGAAACCGAAAATCTACGACGACGTCGAACTCCGAATCGGAATCCGAAACTGTATTTACAACGCGACCCGTTTCGCTGCTAATGGCTTTCTTACGATCGCGTTCGCGGGCACAACAAGACTGAAAAGTGAATAAGACCTAAAGCTGAAACAGTGAGCGCTGTCTACGCTATCGATACGAAGCCGCTTGGAGCTGAAGCTTTGCCGCCGAGGAGGTCAGAGAGCGCACGAAGGCACAGCGAATGTGGATGATGATGCATTAAGAAATAGACTGCACTGATTGAAAAGCTTGGACAGCAGCCAATTAGTCTGTGCCGTCGTCGAGCTTTCAGGCAAAGTGGTCTTCTACGCAGTGCGTGCGTACAGTATAAGAGCATCGACAGCCGCTGCCTGATAAGTCTACACAAAAGCTCAACAATAAGGCAAAGTTCTGAGAAACGCTGCTCAGGGCTGTTTACCCGTTTAACAGTAAACCATATGTTGCCCCCATTTTCGGCAAAGACGCAAAAACAAAAAACTTGTGTCAACACGAGCACAACAATTAAGAGTTCAAAACAAGTTATGGCCAACTATTTATATTGAGCTTCTCTGGCTGTGCGGCTTTATTGTTTTTATCGCCCAAGGGGGTTCGATCAGCATAAAACAAGAAACGATGCGGACATTAGAAAGTAAAGTAAAACGCTTGAAGATGTTCAATGAAATTGATTGTGTGCGAGTGTGTGTGTGTGTGTGTGAGTGTACATAGGCCAATGATGCTGCCCACCTGTGTGAAAATTGGCGAAAAGTGAGCGTTTTACTTGCCCAATTTGTGTTGTCTAAAGTTGTCGGAAAGGAGGATAGAAAGAGGCGGCGGCGGCAGAGGATCTACTTGATGTGAAAGTGCTGTGCCCACAGAATACTAATGTAGAATTGCAATGAAAATGTTGAAAATGCACTGCGTCATTTCCTGTTAAAAAATAAAAAAAATAATCTGAAAATCAAGGCGCGCAAGGCAAACGTGTGTCCAAAAAGTAAGGCTAATTGACCAGTTGGAAGCTGTAAAACTTGTTTGAATTGGCTATAAATATCACCAGAAGTTGCAGATTAAATTTTGACACAGGAAGCGATCGGATTCCATTCTGCAAGTAGTGCAGCATATCAAGTAATTAGTTGCTTGAGCTCATTAGATAATCTCGTCAGGGTTAGTTTTTATCTGCCAGTTGTTGTCATCGCAGTTGTGTTTTATCACACTGTAAACCCAATTCAAAGACGTTGATGCAAGCTTAATTGTATGTATACTTTATTCATAGACCGCTTTTTACATACTCGTATCTTTTAAACTCTCGCCACTTTTGTTAGTTAGTAAATCTTTGTGTAAACATGCTACTTACTTTTTAACAATCAGCAAATTTTGTCGCTGGTGCAAAATTTTAGTTTGGGGTTTTGTTTTTAATGTATTTTGTTGTTTTGATTAGAGTTATTAAAAGATTAAAGAGTAAAAGTTAAGTTTTGACACACACATACTCATCATACTCTCTCATTTGTTTGTGAATCGTATTAGTATAAAGATTTTCTTTCATTTTTTTTATTTTTTTTTGTAAAATAGTTTTTAATTTTCTTGGAAACGTTGTTTGCAAAACGTTTTCCGTTTATCACTCTACGTTCAATATCATATATTGGTGCGAGAAAAGGGTGCAATATGTCATGTCATATATCATTTGGTAAATATATTATAAATTAAAGCACAAGTGCTGCAAAGTGGTGCACGGGATTCATTTTGGGTTATGACCCAACAAAAAAGTATATATATTATATCAATCGCATTGTGTTTAATTCTAAGTACATTCAAAAATTGTGACAGTACAAATACTTAAAGCCTTCCCATTACATTTGTTTCTGATAAACTTTATAATAACCGATGCAAAATAGTCGCAACATCCCTGATAATCGTTGATCCACCCCTTGATTTAGTAGATAGACAACTTAAGCACAGTACTCTTTAAATATATATATATATTCTTGTTTATGTTCGCATATTATATATTTATATATATATATATACATATATATATACATATATATATATATATATGTTCTTTTCTTTTATTCAAACAAATTTGTGTAACTTAAGCAAAGGCGAACAAAAACACAAAATGATGTCCTTCTGCTTTTTCTTGCTATTACTTTGCAACGATTTGAATTCATAAGTTGTTGAGATAGTTAATTAATATATAATACAATAAAATAAATATTAATCATAAGAGTAAAATAAAATTACATTCATTTTGAAAATGTTGTTGCTCTTCTTTAAACATATGTATGTGTGTGTGTGTGTTTTATCCTTTTATCATTTACTAAAGTTTGAATTCTTCTTTTTTTTGTGAGTGGATTTTTGCATTTGTTATATTTGCTGTATTTTACTCCTAAACACTAAACATCCTGTGTGTTCTTCTTGTTGTTGTTGTTTTTGCTCATTTCCATCAATTTCACTAAACTAATATTTAAAATTTCATTACTTTCACACAATGCACTTAACAATTTCGTCAGAAAAAAATCGTATCAAAGAGTCTGCATACTTTTCTATTACAAAATATATATTCATCATTAATATTCTTCTTCTCATTCTTCTTCTTGTTGTTGTTTTCACTTTATAATCAACTCGAGCTGGTCCACCATTTAGCCACCAACTGTCCAGTTGGATCCTTAAGTCGAAATCGCATCATTCAGCAGCGCATTCAGCTCCCGAATATGCTGGGCCTTTGAGCCGGTGGCGGTTGAGGCACCACAAGCGCGTCCAACATAGCTGTGGATAGAATAATACACACACAAATATATATATATATATAAATAATTATTTTAATAACAAATATAAAAAGTGAGTACACATAACAATTCGGCTATTTGATTTGGTTAAAAAACGTGCACTAGATTAGATTGTTGTCTATATAAAGCTGTCATAGCTCTCAGTTGAATTTTTAGCACTTTTATGAATTCATGTTCAATGAAATGAAAGGGTTATAGCCAGCGCGAAAGTATTAGATATGATACAAATGAACCACGAATAATGCTGCGCAATTTAACAACCAGGGGTAAAAATCCCTTATGAAACCCCCCTATATAATATATATAGTATACAGGACCATAAAAATTGAAGACGACACCAAACCCAAACATTGATACGAAAACACACATTGCTTTAAGTTCTGCATATTAAAGTACCCTAAATTTGGTCTAAAAATATTTACAAATTATATACACTAGTTATATTTCCGGTCTGGGAACTCCTTTGCAAAGATAAAGTCATCTTTAAATAGATAGATAGATATGTGTATTTGTGTATGTTTGCTTGCTTTTGGTTATACGACAAATAGTGAACAAACATACATAATGATCAGTTAGTTTGGCAGCTGGCAACCAGCAAATCGCTGGACTTGTAATATATAAATAATAATAAAAAAAACACATTCAAAAATCGCGCGTGCTACAAACAAAAACAAAAATAAATTAGGACACAAAATTTGGTGCAATAAGATTAGAAAGTTAGTTAAGATATTAAGAAAGTGGTATTAATCGGAATAGAGTGTGTGCTGAAGGGTAGTTTAGTTTTTGGGGGTTTGTGACATGATACGAGTATCGAGCGGTTTCAATGTGGGACCCATAAAAACACAACAACAAAAAATGAGACATGCCAAATTTGCGCTTGAATGAAAAAAACGAAATATAAAACCAAACAAGAAACGCACATGGAAAATGTGTAAAGAAAAACCAAAAATATGCTCTGGGAGAGTAAAATTGAACAAATTTACAGAATTAATTTTGGAGTTGTTCAATTAAACGAAAGACAGAGATAGATAGATAGAGAGAGAGAGAGTAGAGAATTATATTAATTGCAGGTAGATAGTTTGTTGGTTTGTTGTTGATATGCAGATATCGTAGATAGATTTAGATAGTTATATAGTTAGGTAGAGAGAGAGAGTTAAGTAGTTGTTCTATTGACGGCGCATCGAGTATGCAGAGTAGTAGTAGAGTAGTAGATTACTAGATATCTTTTTTTATTGCATTTTGGCCCTCTCACCTAATTTTACGTCCGGTTTTTGTCTTGCGCACGCCCGGCGCTGCCGCAATGCCCTCGGGCCTATTGAAATCTTGACGTACGTTCTTTAAATCGAAATGCTTGGCGGCATTAAACTCGCCAGTGGCCGTAGCAGTTGTGACGCTATCACTTTTATCGGAGGTGAACATGCGACTTAGCCAGGGTTTCGATTTTTGTTCGGAGTTAGAATCGGAATCGGTATCGGATTCGTTATTAGTATTATCAGTGGAGAAGGTGGATTGTTCATCGCTTTGGCTGTAACAATAACACATACACAGAAAGAGAGAGAAAGAGAGAAGAGAGAGAGAGAGAGAGAGGACAAGTTTTTGGTTTGATTTTGCTTATCTTTTTTTGATAATACGTTTTCTTTTTGTTTTTTTTAATTGCTTGCCAATTGGTACTTGATCAAAACATATAGATATACACAAAACGGATAGGATAAGGAATTCAAAAGGAAAACTTTCTTGATCTTAAACAACATCATTAGTTAAGTAAACAACAGAACTGAACGATAATTGTTTGAGAAAAAATAAACAACATTTGTTCATTAAAAAGCCATGCAAATTAAAATATATGATACGATATGTGGAGTATGTATTTGTGTCTGTTTTGTGTATGTGTGTGCGTGTGTTTTCGGTGTGTGTGTGTTTTCGGAACACATAAAGCCAGTTTGCACTGATGAACTAGGGGAGTATATCACTTGTAATACAACATATTTGAAAGTCTTTTAATGAACTCAAACATGCGACAATTGCGACAGTCAGTTTAGCTGTTTGAGAGTGTGTCTTTGTGTGTATGTGTGTATATGTGTTTGTGTGTGTGTGTGTAGCATGTTCTTATTTGGAAGAGAGATCTAAAACTAAGGCTGCTAAGAGATAGAAAAAGAGAATAGATTCGCAGCAGATAGCAGATATCTTTGGGCACGCTACAGTTCTTAAAATAAAATTAGTAAAAGCTGGAAAGAGGATTAGCTAAAAGCGATGATTGTGCAGAGCACGATGAGATGGTAATAAGTTAAAAACAAATGTGATGTTAGGGCAAAAACTAGAAACTGATTATAGAGAACCAAATCAATTACGAACTAAAGTAAAGAGACAGTGCCACCGAGTGTGCACTGTGAGAAAAGTGAAAGAGAAACAGAGAGACTAATAAAGAGTAGTGCATCAGGTGCAGTAAAAGAGTATAAGTAAATAAAAAACAGAGAAAACCAACAAAACAAAACTGCAGAAAGCAGCTTGGATAACCCGAGAGAAATATATATTTAGAGAGAGAGAGAGATACAGTAAGAGAGAGTACAGAGAGTGCGACTTGTTTGTGACTTGTGGAAGGGTCTCTTGTGTTTCTCTGTATAGCTTTGGGGGGCCATCACTTAAATCTAGGCACGTACCTGATGTCACGGCTATGGTTCAGCGCAGTGAGGAAACGCGGCTGGACATATGACCAGCAGCCCTGATTCTTGTGCTCCTCCTGTGCCCACACGAGCTCGGCGTTCTTGTACAGATTCGCTTGCTCCTTGACCAGATCGAAGGGGAAGGGCGATACCTACAAATGCCACAACTTAATTTAGTACAAATTTGATTGGCAAAATTTCTTAATGAATAGACGCACCTGCTCCACGCGCACAATGGCAATATCGCTCTGCAGTTGCTTGTCGGCACGCGCCTTGGTCAGATCGTAGTAGACGCGACCCGTGCAGAAGACAACCTTTTTGACGTTGCTGGCATTATCGGCAGCTGGTCCACGATCGGGTATGATGCGCTGGAACTCGCTGCCCTCGCTCATTTCACTGAAGGGGCTCTTGGCCTCGGGGTGACGCAGCAGCGATTTGGGCGTGCACAGGATCAGGGGCTTGCGGAAGGGCATGGCCACCTGGCGACGCAAGATGTGGTACAGATTTGCTGGTGTCGTGCAGTTGGCCACAATCCAGTTAATGTCGTGCAGCTGTCTGATGGCAAACTCATCCGACTCGGGTGGGAAGTAGTCGGGATCATCGGAGCTCATCTGCAGGAAACGCTCGACGCGGCACGACGAGTGTTCGGGGCCCATGCCCTCCATGCCATGAGGCAGCAGCATAACCAGACCGGATTGGCGCACCCATTTCGACTGACCGCTGGAGATGAACTGATCGATGATGGACTGCGCCGTGTTGCTGAAATCACCAAATTGCGCCTCCCACAACACCAGAGCATTCGGATTGGTCATGGAGTAACCATGCTCAAAGCCCAGCACAGCGTATTCGGACAACGAGCTGTTTGATACGGAGTAGGGCGCCTGATCCGGATACATGTGCTGCAGCGAATTGTAGGTGGCCTTGTCCACCAGCTGATGGTGCAGCACATGATGACGATGCGAGAAAGTGCCGCGCTCCACATCCTGGCCAGAGAGGCGCACATGAATGCCCTCCTTCAACAGTGAGCCAAAAGCCATGGCCTCGCCCAAAGCCCAATCGGCCACCTTCTCATCAACCATCGCCTTGCGAGCGGCCAAAACGCGCATCAGACCCCTGTAGAGGAAAAGGATAATTCTCTGCTTGTGATGTGATGTGATCCGCTTGCTACTCACTTGTGAATGACAAATTCAGCGGCATTGGGTGGTGGAGACGAGAAACGATTGCCAATGTGTATCAGAGTCTCCTCCTTGACACCGGTGGGCGCCACCTTCAAGGGGTCCTTACCCTCAAAGAAGCCAGACCAGGGCGAGTCCAACCAATCCTTGTACTTGACATGCGTCTCGGTCTTGGCCAGAGCGAAGGCCTCCTCGCAAATGTTCTCGTATTTGGCGGCCACAGATTTGACCTCCTCGCCGGTAACGGTGCCCTCGGCAATCAGTTTATCTGCATAGAGATCCAAGCAGTTCTTGTGCTTGCGAATCTTCTGGTACATAAGCGGTTGCGTGAACATCGGCTCATCGATCTCGTTGTGGCCGTTGCGACGGTAGCCAACCAAATCAATAACACAATCCTTGTGGAAGGTGGCACGCCACTCGGCAGCCACTTTGCACACATGCATCACAGCCTCCGGATCATCGGCATTGACGTGGAAAATGGGTGCGTTAACGACACGTGCCACATCCGTGCAGTAGGGCGATGAGCGCGAGAATCGTGGATCGGTGGTGAAGCCAATTTGATTGTTGGCCACCACATGAATAGTACCGTGAGTCGTATAGTCGGGCAGATCCGACAAGTGCATTGTCTCGTAGACAACACCCTGGCCGCAGAAAGCGGCATCGCCGTGAATCAGAATGGACATCACCTTCTTGCCCTCCTGATCGCCGCGATAGAATTGCTCGGCACGTGTCTTGCCCTGGACAACAGGATCAACGGCCTCCAAGTGAGAGGGATTGGCGACAACGGCCAGACGTATGTTCTTGTTGGTCACGCGATTCAAACGCTCAATATATGTGCCCAAATGGTACTTGACATCACCAGAGCCCTAAAATACAACATGGTAGAAAGTAATAAAGCTTCCAGGAAGAGTAGAGCGGTTTTTTTTTTGGTTGTGGTACTCACATCATCTGCGGCCTCCAGGCCAGCAAACTGGGTAAAGATTTGATTCAATGGCTTGCGGCACACATTGGCCAGCGTGTTGAGGCGACCACGATGTGGCATGCCCATGATGACAGACTCCACGCCCAGGTCGGTGGACACATCAATGATTTCCTTCAGGGCGGGTATCATAATCTCACAACCCTCCAGACCGAAACGCTTCTCCGACGAGTATTTCTTGGCCAAGAACGCCTCAAAGCCAGTGGCACGTGTCAAACGTGCCAAAATTAAACGCTTCTCCTCGGGCGAAAAGTTTAGAACGCCGGGTGTCTCGAAACGTTTGCGAATCCAATTGCACTGCTCCAACGAGTTAATGAACATGAACTCAACGCCTATTTTATTGCAGTATACATTCTCCAGACGATTCAGAATTTCCCTGTGTAAGCAAAAGATTGCAAATGAGTCAATGGATCAAAGTGAAAGTTTGCTGTTAACTCACTTGAGTGGCAGGGAAGCCTCATCGCCACCAATGAAAGTGGTGCTGGGCAACTTAAAACGACGCTCCATATCTTGCTCGCCTGTTATTTATGTGTGGATTGTTTTGTTTTTGTTGTTGTTTGTTGTAAATAAATAAAACTATTAGTAAATCATAGGGGTAAATTGATTTCTATAAATGATGCTTGATTAGTTTTTGTAGGCGTTTGAAATTCGGAGTGTAATGATTGTTGTCTGTATATTGTGCTCTATAGTATATGGTGTATATGTAAATACAGATGCGTGCAGATCTGTCTAATATACATATATACAATTGCGATTCAATACATATGTATGTATGTGATATAACACCAAAACATGCATTACATTTTACTGTCCAATTGGTTTTCATTACAAAGTGTAATTATATTTTTCCCAATGGCATTTTAATGCCTTTAATTATAGTCTCTATATGACTTAAAAAACAATTAGAAATTGTTTGATTTTTATACTATACGCATATAACAATTGACGACATGCAATCTAATCACAATTAACTTTAAATCAAATGAGAAATGGAAAACAAATCATAAAAACAATAGTTTTACATTACAATAATAAACAATAGGTGATCAAATATATAACACTGTACTGAGCAATATAACTTATTTATATTTATATTTATATATATATATATGTGGATATTTACTTGGTTCTATTAATCGGGCAAATATTTTGATATTTGAGTGGTTAATTTTTTTGTATTTTTGGTTGGATTGTGTGCATGAAAGGTACAAAACGGGATTACTAAGTACAACACAACGTCATTTTTGTAGTATAGTGTGGCATATATATATATATTTATTTATATATATAGTACAGGACTGAACAAAACACAAGTTGTGAAATCAAACGACAATGATTTGGTTGTTGTTGGTTTTGTTTTGTGTTTCGTGTTGTGTGTTGTGTAGTGTGGTGGGGTGTGGTAAGGAGAGTGTATTGAGCACCATCCCCCCGGCCGCCACCCACATATTGTGTGTACTGCAGGCTCTAAGGCTTACTTACCAAAACTGAAATTAGCGTAAATGGTTTTCGTCGAGGAGTTGCCAGGCAAATCTGGTGTATTAATTTCGAGTGGATCGAGGTGAGCAATATTATGTCCTCGAATCTAACGTGTTCAAATATATATATTTTTTTGTTGTGGTTGATGGTGTTGGTTGTGGTTTTTGTGTTGGTTACATAGTAATTTTAACAATGTTGTGTTTTTTTTGTATATTTTTTTGATTTTGGTTGTTGTTTAATTTGCACAATACACACACATAATACAAGAAAGAGAGAATTTGGAATTTGAATTTGTAACGTTGTTTTATACGAATAAACGAATTGCGTTTCGATTGCAGTTTTTTTTTGGGGTTAGGAAGCAATTAATATAGAAATAAATGAAAATAAAAAAGAAAGATTAATAAAATTGAATAGCTTAAACGAAATAATGTATTTAATAATAAATAGAAAAATCAAAACCAAAGAAAAAGGCAGCACAAAGAAAGCAGCATTAGCAGCAACATAGACTTTTATAACAAATGAGTTTGTTCTTAACAATATGGATATGTTTCAGGGCGTATAGACTGAATTATTGACGTTAAAAGCGAGTGGAACAAAACGCTAGGGTGCACTAGAACACAACAGATAGAAATAGGATAGGATGGATAACTTCGAGTAAGCCAAACACCGACAGTTACTTACACGTATGCTTATGTCCTTAAACTAAACAGAACTCGCTAACTTAAGGTTTAAAGATATATATGTAGATATAAATCAAGTCAAAATACTATTTGCCTGCCTATGCCTGTCATCAACTCCGAATTTCATGTAATATATAAGTATATTATCGAATGGGTTAAATAGGCTTCAAAGCGCTAAAAAAAACAAATTACAAAAAAGATATGCTTGCGTGTGTGGCGGGTGTGTGTGTAGATAATGGTATTGGATGGGGTGCAACTTAGAGCGGGGGTGTCTATGGTATTAGATGTGAAGAGAGTGGTAGAGAGAGTTTTTAGAGTTTTGCAAAAAAGAATTTACCAAACAAAAACCCAGAATGCTGCCTGAGCACATCTTCATTAGCGCGACGTGCAAGACCATCGTTGCAAATGTTTTTTTCGTGAGTTAAAATTCCAAGCGGATCCAGATCAGATGCCAAATGACCACGTGACTATATATAGTACATGTATATTCATATATACATATGTATTTCAATATATATATATAAATAGATTTAATTATACACATAGATGTTGAGAGTATATTTTTGAAAAATTAACATGTCAGTATGTTGTTCTATTTCAAAAACGTTTTAGATTTTTAAGCATCAACTAACTAACCATCAAGATTAACAGATAGGTTGAAAGAAAATCAAAATGGTGCACAGAAATAATGCAATATGAATCAAATTTGCTACTACTTAAATAAACATGAGTTCAACTAACCATATTCAAAGAGATAACTGTTCGAACTGTGCTTAATTACTAACCAAAAACTGTAATGGTAAAATCCTAAAATCAACTACACTTTAAAATATCATAATGATAATGAAAATAGATGAAACTACTTATGACTTACTAACCAAATGTGTAAGTTTCCAAACAAACTATTTACACATACAGAGAACATAAAAACTACAATGTATTGCATGATTTGGAGGGGAGATTTGGGAAGGGTTCAATAGGTAAACTGAACATAAAACCAAAAACTAACTAAGATACTTGTATGTGGGAGTTGATCTTTGTACTTATGAAACACGAAAAGGGATGGGGCATCTCTAATCAATTTATAAACATATACAGTAAATAGAAACCTAAATGGAAAAAAAAAAATAAGAACAACAACAGAAAGTAGAACGAACAAAACGAACGAAAAGCGCCAACATATACAACGCTTTGCTTTGGCTGCAATCTCAACTGTTCAACTCTATGGGCGACCGCATTGGACCCAGCAAAGGCATACCTGATAGCTTCGAATGATGGCCTGCACGGCCAGATGGTCGTCAATGGTCTTGGAGTCGGGCGCAGCGCTGGCAGCTCCACCTAAATTGAAGGCCGTCAGTGGCAACGTGTTCGCCTGCACGGGCGCCAAATTGGGCGGGCTCATGTACGAGTTGCTCCGAAAGTAGGCATCCCAGGACTATACAAATATACACGATCAAATAAATAATTAGCAAGTGTTTCGGTTGAAACCAGGTCATAAACCTGGTCGAAAATAATAAATAAACTTGTTCTTTCTACGTATTTTTAAATAAGCTACATTTATTGGGCTTCAGCGAGTTTTATGTATATTTGAGGCTATCGTTTACAGTGTCCGCTAACGAGAATTTCCACAAACTTGACCTGAGTCACATATATGTGTTGAATTTACAGTACCCCTAGAAAGTTTGACTGTATTTGTATTTTATAAAAATAATTATAAGTTTTTTGTACACGTTTGCTATGGTTTGTGTATGACTGATACAAGGTAATATTGGAAAGGCAGTAGTTCATTCAATTGTGCCGCACAATTAATACTTTCAAAATAAAACAGGTTTTTTCCGGTCCGTACATAAAGCTAATAAAGAAACATGTTAAATTGCCGCTCCAAGGCAATTGAACCGCTGTTAAAAAAAACAAAAGCTGATCACTTACTGTGTGGACAGAGGCGGGATCACGCAGCCAGGCGTTGTACATCTCCTCCACGTAGGATGCAGTGCTGCCATTGGCAAAGGGTTCGGCGGCAGCTGAGTTATAGGTGCGCACAGCGGCAGCAGCGCTGGCCTTAATCAGCTGTTGAATAATACAGATTCATTTTACATATATATATATATTTATTTAGTAGAAATGCTTACCTTTTTACTGCTATTGCTGTTGAGCAGCCATGTGGCAAAGTTTTTGTGCGCCATGGGCGATAGCGCCAGACTAAAGGCCGTGTGTGCTCTATGCATTTTGTTTTACTTTACAAAATAGAACTGAAAGTGAGGGGAGAATAATGAAAAGTAGAAAATTATTAAACAGTGTATTGATAAGGCAATTGCAGCTATAGCGTCAATGGGGCTCGACTCGAATCGTTGATTGTTGACAAATATGCAGCAGCGCAGTGTAATAATTGCTGCTTTTGTTGCTGTGTTTGGACAACTGTTTTGATAGTGATAGTAGGAGTAGGAGAGTACTGTGCGCAGTCAAAGCACCAAACAAAAGTAGACAGCAGCAGCAACGCATTCGCTTTTGTAATATATAGATAAGATAATGCAGTCACGTTATACAAGTGACAAATGCCAGAGTTACTTTTTTTATTTCGGTGTTTTGCGTCATGGCCCAGACGCAAATTGATTGCAACTTGTTGCCAACTAACGATGATTACGAAATAAACGGGTTAGCCGCCGTGTGATTAACATAAATGCGTGTGATTAACATAAGCCAATGTATCTGTGGCGACTACGTAAAGTCTGGAGACTAGACTGCTGACCAGACTCCCACAAAAGGTAGCTGAAGTTCGTATCTGTTCCTTTCTCGCTCACACACGTGACCGACCGACAACGATCGCTGATGACGTCAAATTGACGTCCGCTCGCTGTGTGTTCGCCTTTCTGATAAGTTGCCAAAAATTCATTTGCACAATGGTGAAATGTGGTAGATACATTCATACATACAATTTGTACATATGATGTACGTATATAAATTTTTGGCTTATTTTTTATTACTTGTTTGTATTTGTTTTTTATTTTGTGTGCTGCGCAATTGTCAGCCTGACTTTAATTTCCTTAGCATATTTACTTGCACAGCAATCAGATCTCATTGCTTTATCTGTTTCCCAAGGAATATGCCTGATTAAAAAGCAGATATTTGACAAAGTCTGATAAAAAGATATAAACCAGCCCCCGAGAGCAATAAATTAAAAATGCGTTGAAAATTTCCAGCAGACGCATTATTAATTAAATTTTAGTCACCGATAAGTCAGCGTTGTCAGCAGATCTATATATATATAATCGAATGACAGAACGCATATGCAAAATAAAGCTCCCTAGCAATATAATTAATACGTTAACCGTTAACAGGTCACATGCGCTTATCAGCAGACGCGTGGTTTGTTGGGGCGCTGGTTCCGGACTCTGCCTCCGTCTCAAGGCCTGGGCAGTCCGACAGACACATGAAATGATTTCAATGATCAGGCAGGCACTTCAATTTGTCAGCGAGTACTTCGCATAATCATATGTGGGTTAAGTATATATGTAAACCGGTTTGAAGCGGCCACTAAACAGTCGTTACGGGGTATTTGAGAGTGTAGCAACAAACAAGAGCCGCAAACGATTACAACACCAATAATAAGTAGATAATTCAATTCAAATGGTTCGTCAGCGATGAGTAGTTGCATCCCTTTCTAGTTTTCTTTTGTCTGTATGTTTGTGCCGTTATTTATCTGTTTGCTCATTTTTCTCACAAACTGTTTTTCATTTATTTAGTTTTTTCTCTTTTCTTTGCAAATATTTTTCTGCCGACAAACAACGTCGACGTCGGCGCTTTGGTTACGAAAACAGATTACATAACTGCAAACACACTAAAAAACTCGCGTAAGAGAGCAAAATTTGGTCACACTTTAATAATGATAGAGTAACAAAATAAATAATACGTATTGATAATTAAGATGATTTAAAACAAGCAACTAAATGCCACAATTAGTTTGCTTGCTGACTACTTTCAGATCATTTCTTTCGAAATTGTACTCAAATTGTATACTGAATACTGAATACTGAATACACCAAGACTATGTATGCATTACTTAAAAGTTACTTTAACAAAACGCACCGAATATATGTACTCGACACGTCGTATCCCACAGATACGTTGATGCCAAACGACTAGGTTTGTTCGTGTTGAGTGCTACGCGTCGACTGAAAATTGCGGCGCAGAGCAGCCGAAAGATTACCCGACCCCGAACTCTATGTATGTGTTTGTGAGTGTGTGTGTGTGTGCATGTGTTCGTGTGTGCAGCGGCGATGAGAGTAAAATATAACCAAATACAACAAACAGCAAAAAGAAACACAAAAATTTGTTCAAATCGAGTTGGGTTTTTTTTGTGGTTGTTGTTATTGTTTCATGTACGTTGTACGGAGCCCTAGACAAACAAAAAGTTCGATAAAAAAGCACATGACAAGGCAAAATATATCTCAAATAGATATAGATAAATATATAAGTGCATATATATGTACGTATATGTATATGGAAAAGGGGCCAAGCGCATACTGATAACAATCACTTATCGTGCCCCCTCCTCCTTTTCACTTATCTAAACGACGCGCTACATATATATGTATATAGATTTGTGTGTGTATGTTTAGGTTATATTTGTAGCTGGAAATTTTTGTTTACAATCTTTCCAAAGTCCACAAAATGCTCAAGTCGAAGAAATTTCGAAAGTGTTCGTCATACGTCTTTTCATTGTGCCGCCCTCACAAAATGAGCATTAAAATGTAGAAAGTGAAAATAGAACACATTTCGATTATGGCAGGCAAATGATTCAGCGCTAGTTGAGTCTTTTACACGCATACATACAGACATATATGTAAACACGCATTGTTGGACTGGCTAATCAATACGAATTTCAAGTTCAAGCACGCGCATTATATCAGCTGCTTGCCCAGTTTTAAATTGAGTGCAACACTCTTATTGGAAATATGCAAAAATTCATTTTAGCCATGACACAAACCAGCGCTTGGACCAACTGCAGCTGCAACCGCATGTGGAGACTTGACGAGCCCCCTAAAATACCACAGAAAACTATGCAGTGGAGACTAAAGAAGAAGCAATCGCACATGTAAAAACAACTTCAGTTTTAGTAGACAACGTGCACACACACACACACACACACACCCATACACACACACCCGCACAAGGAGGTCCGCGTGCGTTCATTGAGTAAAACCAGCTAGAGTTGAGCAGCTGCTGAATCTGTGACTTCTTCGATGTCACTGATCACGCAAATAGGAGTGCGACCTGTTGCTTAAATCACAGTGACAACGCTAGCGATAAGTCGCAGTTTAGTTGGGCATTACACAGCAACCACTTGCGAAACGTTTTGAATACAGCAAAAATGCTGACAATGCGGTCGCTCTTTATCTGGAGAGGCAGCAACAACAATGAGCACTTTTGCTCTGTGATTCACGGGCACGAAAAGCACACGCGGCACTGAGTAGACGCAACGTTGCGTCATCATTGCAATATTAACAGACTCATTTTACGAGAACATGTGACGTAGAGGGGCCGGCAGCAGCAGCCGGACATCATTAAATTGAGAAATTTCACTTTTATATATTTTTTTGGCAAGCGCAGGCGCATTAAAAAGACGCCCACTTGCATTATATAAGCACTCTCGCATCGAAGGCCAATGAAAATTGATATTAAAGCTACAACATTGCACTGCCGATTGCAAATTAAAGCTGTTTATTTGTGTTCAAGCGCTTGCAGCTCAAAAAGATATTGAAGTTGTAGTTTCCCCGTTATTTCATGAATCTGACCTCAATTGGAAAGTGGCCTAATTTGAATCTGAATAGCATACTTATTGTAGCACATGCAATGTAGAAAGCAGGAATACTACTTAAACATTGTATTAAATATTTAATAACACTTATTATTTGCACTTTATTAATAAACAAAAATTATTACTTTTCTTGTACGCTCCAGTTCCAAACAACTCGCGTTCCAACTCGCGGTGCAATGTGACCGTAACAGCTTAAGTGAATTTTACTATAAGCGAAATATCGATTTAATACTAACACTAGTAACGGTCACATTATATGCGCAGCGCAGTGGCGCCATCTGTTAGCTGTAGACGATAATGAGTTTAATTACAAGAACGAACACTAGATGTCGCCAGCTCGAGCGCGTAGATTTTCAGTAATCAAATTGAGTAAAATGGTTTTGCTTTTTGGAAAAAAATAACTGTTGCTGAGTTTTATTATGTGTCCAATTAATATCTGCTATATTCATCCAAACAATAGCCCGTTATCTGATCGGATATGCAGTCAAAGACATCAAATGCCAAATCACAGCTTTCGCCCTTCTGTGGCAACTCCTTACGATTAACGTTATATTTCTTGGTCATGGCCCGCAGACAGAGATTAACCGAACGCAATGTGGCCATAAAGAAACCATGCTCGTGCACGCCCTCCGAGTAAAAGTGCACCAGGCCATCCAACGTGGGCCAACCGTTCTTGTCAATGGCGTTATTTCTGGCATAGACGCAGTGCAGCAGACACTGAAAATTATCAGAGAACAAAAAAAGTAACAAAACAAGAAAAGAATATATGTATATATACGTAAGCAAAAAGCATTCAATTTGCTGATGCATAAAAAGCAGCTAATATGTATTAAATGCACTTTTTAGCCATAAAATGCAGCTTGTTCGGTGTGTGTGAAAAAATAATAACAAATACAAATCTGCGACTGCGCTTTTCTTTCAATTGTCTCGCAATACTAAATAATAAATAACCCTGACTTTTTGAATGGGCGTGGAGAGGGGCTGGGGGGGGGGGGGTGACGGTTGTGGAGGTGTTTATTTTGTATAATTGCACACGCCAAATCATTGGCAACGTTTGGTGGCACCGTCTGCCATTGAATTTAATTGCGGGACAAAAGATCTTTTATTGTCGAGTTTGGAAAAGTTGAAGATCGCGTCGAGATATATTCAGATTCAGTTACTTACGCCCGCAATGCGTTTATCCTCCAGCGGCACAAGAGTTGGATGATAGATGCCCGCCCTGGCCACATCTAGACGCTTGATGCTGCGCACCAAACGCGCCATGCGACGCTTTGGCTCCGGCTCATCGAAAACTATATACTCGTAGTGAGTGGCATTTGGTGGCGCCTCGCTTGGTGGCTGCTGCTGCTGCATAAATTTATCATGCAATGGTGGCCATGAGAAGGACTCGATGAACTCCACACTTTCATCCTTTGGATTCATAGTTGTCGGCACTTGCGACACCTGCTCCTTGAGTATCTCATAGGCCTCTGCAGTGAGACAAATTGTGCTTGAATTGACGTCCAACATTCAGCTCTAAGCACCTACCAGTTACTAGTTTATTTTTGACCTCTTCCTGGCAATCGCCAATCACTGACTCCACACGTCTCGCTGTGCGCGGCGGGTTCAAGCAACGCGACTTCTTCGTCTCATAGCGTATTATATACTTGAGGGCATTTATTGATGTGATAACACATAAAATATGCACAAGTTGTGTAATTTTCATCCTTCCAGTTTTTCTTTTTGAATGATGCACACCAATCGAACTGCTTAGTTTGGCCACTCTCTGTGGAATGGCAAGCCAAATTTTGCAATTGAAAACGAAAGCATTTTCACTTTTAATTCAAATGGCCGATGCAGGATTGCCGTCGATGAGTTGGCCTTCCTCTGTGGCTCCGATTGTGTCTGTGTGGCAGTGAAAACGCATATGAATTTCCAGTTTTGCTCTATGGGTATGTGGTTCAATGGCAACAGCAGCAGCAGCAGCAACAACAAACAGCAACAGCAACAAACAACAACAATTACAACAACTGGTTGCACATTTCCCATGCGTGCAGTTGCCTCCAAACTTGTCCTTACTGTTATTAACCCACAACCTAGTTGTACAGTGGCGTCGTTGTTTCAATTCCATTGTTGCAGCTCATATTTCATTCGATTGTTATTTTAAATGCTCAGCAAACCTAAACAAATTGTAATTTAATGAGCATTACTAACTGCTCCATTTGACTGCACAACTGGTCAATAAAAAATTCCAAAACTCTTCCGCAAACAAATTAGCATATAAAATATTACCTAAGCCCGAGTGAGCTGTTATCAAGATTTATCTATGTGCGGTTGCTGTCATAAAGCACATAGCACATAGCAGCTGGGTCACTAAATCATGAGCAGCCAAGCGATCGAGCCAAGTTTGTGCCTTAAGTCTTTCGTTCTGTTCTGTTCGGTTCTGTTCAAAAGGTTCAAAATCAAAATGTTTGACATATTTCTGTTAAGCCGAGAACAATGGCCAATAACAGTCGGTTGGCTCGGCACTCGCTAATTATGCTCATTAAAATGGTTTTGGAAAACTGTTTTGGCCACATCCTAGGCGGAAATTGTGGCGGGCTGTATCCAATGTTAAAATCAGCAACAAAGCAACTTCTTCCTTCTTGATCGCGTAATTGCCTTTAATTGCATAATGCAGCGCGGCCAAGACGAAAATTGCAGCTAAGACACTGACCTAGACTCGGGGGCGCAACAAATTCATAATAGCTAATCCCAAATGACGGGGGCAACTAACGGTTGTTGTTCTGCTGCTGGTCGGCCTGATAGGCGTACCATATTGAAAATTGCCTGAAACTTGAGTTGAGTTCAATGCACAAGAATTGTTGTGGCATAGATCACGTGCTGGAAAATGCAGCTGGTAAAATTGTCAACAACGCTAGAATGGCTGCAACAGGAAGCCAAGTTAACAACAACACGACAAGAACAACAGCAACTTCAACTAATTGACAGACAGCTGCTGCGGCTGCTGTTGCTGCAGTTGCAGCTAAAGAACTATCCACGACTTCTTCTTCTTCTTATTCTTTTACTTTTCTGTCCTGTGTTTGCAATTTACTGAACAAGGAGCTGCTCCTAACATTGTTAGCAACATGCAACAGGCAGCTCTGGCCAACAACAACAGTCACTTGCGTGTCCATCATTAGAACAAATTCTCTCAGCTGCCATATCCCCGCCTTCAGCCGGCGTCCCGCTCTTTGTCCAGTCGTAAGATTTCTTGTAACGCAATTTGCACACAAATGTTGTTGTTGTTTCATCTTCGTGGCTGCCACCACTTTGGTGGGTGGTCAGGTGAGACAAGTGGCAGCAGCTGCTGCTACTGCTGCTGCTACTACTGTTTGCCGAGCCGAGCCAAGCTGAGCTGAATCGCTGGCCACCGTTCGCTGACTCGCCTGAGAATCGTATTTAAATACGAAGGTCTAACGCTCTGGCGCATTCAGTCGCCAACGCCGCGTTGTTCTTGCCGCCAGCTTTAAACGCTCTTCTCCCACTCGACTCGACGCTTCAGTAGTGCAACAGCATCAGCTAGTTGTGTCCATTACACTGGTCGTTGCCTGTGACTAACCCTGCGCCTGTGCAGGATGCGCGTTTAATTGGCAAACAACAAAATCGCATTGCATTTAAATTGAGTATTTATGGAAATGAGGCATCTGCTTTGCTTTCTATGCGCTGTTTTTGGCTATATAGCTGATCCTGTGCTTGCGGAAATCGAATATAATACCATCAATGCGGATGGATCGTTTAGATTTCGGTATAATCAATAGCAGTAATTGATAAAGGAGACAAAAAATAACTCATTTCATAAAGTGTATAAAAGAACATTAAAAGTTATCAAAAAATGTATTTACTGTGAAGCACACAAAAGGGACACTTTATTAAAACTCTAACTGAACCAGTCTATAATGAATGTGCCACAGCGTATAATAAGGATATAAACTTAAAGCTGCATATAAAATAATAAATATGAAAGGATAACAGCTAAGAGCAGTCACCAAAGTGCATAACTCTTTGAAGTATTATATTGGTTAAAAGAAATATTGTAAATTTAATCAGAAGTAGTTTGCTATTTGAGATTGAGGATTAAGCTTTGTATTTGGTTTTTTTTTCCAAATATTTTGTCTTATTTCGTATTTCAACAGAGATACAATTCATAAAGAACTTAGAAGAAGTTGATGATTAACCGAATCTGACAATTTTAATCCAATATTTAAGCGAATAAATCAAACTATGCTTATGCTGTGCCTCAAATATTAGTCATCAGCAGTGCATATTTTAATCAACTGTTTTGTGTATGTTTACAAAAAAATAGTCAAACAAATCATTTAATCAAGTTTGTGTTTTTCATCTTAGCTGAACAAAAAGCATCACGCTCTGGCTCCCTTGCCACTTTTAACACCTTTTTTAACGCCGACGTTTTGCAATGGCAACAATGCGTTGCCCCCCTCCCCCATCAATAAATGCTGAGTAACTGTATCTCTCTCTCTCTCTCTCTCTCTCTGTGTGTCTCTCCCTCACGCATGGGCAACACGCAATTATTCTTCGGATAGACATGCAAATGATGACATTGGTGGCTACTATCATAGCGCCTCCGGCACTCCAGACAACATCGTGCGAGGTCGTTATGGTTCGCGTAGTCCAGCCAGCGGCCAAATCGAAGAGACCGTCTATACAGCCGGACCACGTGGGTGAGTAAAGAGAGTAGCGAACAAGAGACGATGATGACGCCAAAGTTGTTGTTGATGTTGAGGTTTGCTGGTTGAGAAGGAAGAGGCAGGCAGGTAGCAGCTAAAGTGCGGTAGCAAATGGAGTTATCTGTTCGGTCCGCCTTCCGGCGAGCTCATATATCAGCAATACGACAGGCCTCTGGGCGCCACTGAAGCGTTGCGGGGCGGGGTAAATCACAGTCAAAGTTGTAGACGCAACAGTTCTAACACATACGGATTGAAGGCGGCAATTGTGGAGAGGGGAGTGACTATTTTTTCTTTTTGTTGCCTAAACGTTTGTTATGGATTTGTTTTTTCTTCTTCCATTAGGTTCAATTTGTACTGTTGCTGTTGTGGTTGTGATTGTGATTGTTGTTTTTGCAATCTCCGGTAGTTGGGAAAACACAAAAAAGCTGTTAACAAATTGTAAGTGAAACATGGCACTCGGAAAATTCATTAAGATGCACAGCGCTAGATAAAAGTAGCTTAATTTTGAATGGAATTGACTAGGCAACCGATGTGGCAATACACTCTGAGAAAAAGATGGTTCTAAGATCGTGACAAAATTGTGGGATTACTTTGTCCAAACTAAGTCCACTTTTGGTCTTCGCTTCACATCTGAAATAATTATTCATCTAAGATAGATGCATTTCAATTCATCAAGTTTAAAGATCAAATTCTCAATAATTTCTTTTAGTGTTGTAGAATTGTACCGCTTATGGGAGCAGGCGAGCGATTTTGGTAGGCAGCAATTTCCGCTAATTACAGTTACCCAATCCGGGAGTTGAAATTCCCACAGCAATTAGCTAATCAAGAGTCAGTAGCTAATTTATCTGAAATTTTCACAGCTTTCGAGCGAATGGACCGAAAATACATCGCAAAATGAGCTTAGCTCAGTATCCGGTGCTTCCACGTGGCAGTCCGGATGATCCGCTGGCTGATCCCTATGACGATCCGTCCTATAGCTTTAACTATCGCACGCCAGATCAATCGCGCAGCGAGGAGAATGACGCCAACAATAGGATAAGAGGTGGGTTATTGACCTGAAGTTTCTTCCGACTTACTGTCTGTTTTTCTTGCAGGCCTCTATTCCTACCTGGACGATGTGGGTGAGCGGCACAGTGTGCGCTATGCCGCTGGGGCTGGCACGGGCTTTGAGATTTCGAATGCGGTGCCCGATAATCCCGTTAGTGTAGGTTACTCCAGTCCGCTGTACAAGGCGCCTCCCAAGACGCGCGGCAAGATGTCCGTGCAGCGTGGTCCCGGTGGCACCTACAAGCTCATTGCAGCCGGTCCCGATCATCGACGTGCCGAGAGTCGCGCCTCGGATGGATTGGTGCGAGGCACTTACTCCTTTCTGGACGACAAGGGCGTTCAGCGCACCGTGGAGTATATAGCGGGTGCTGGCATTGGCTATCGAGTGGTGCAGAATCGCATTGGACCCGGCACTCACATAAATCCCTCTGTTGCGGATTTTCGACTGAGCGATACAGATTTCCGATTGGCAAATGATTTTGGACGTGGTGCGGGTGGTAGCTTAGGTGGTGGCAGTGGTAGTGGTGTCAGCAGTGGATCCACTACAGGACCAAGTGGAACGAGTGGGACAAGTGGGGGAGCTGGCAGGGGTAGTGGTGGCGTAGAAGCAGCAGGAGGTAGAGGTGGAGCTGGAGGCGGAGGCGGAGGAAGGGGACGTGCTGGTGGTAGTGGTGGTGCCACGGATTACTTGAAGACAGCTGACGGGGGGAAGGACGATGACAATGTCGAAGATGGGGATGATAATGGATTAATCAGCAGCTCATACGGCTCAGCAACACCTTCAAGAGGTAAAGAAGATAGACGCGGCTACCCGGCAGGCAGTTCCCAGCGTGGTAGCACCCGATACGATGGGGGAGATGGTGGAGGCGCTGCAGGCGGCGGAGCCAGAGGTGGTGGTGGTGGTAATGGCAATGGTTACAGGGAAGGCAGTTCCTCCGGCAGTAGAAATCGAGCAGGCACACAAGCTGGCTCAAATGCGAGCGGAACACGAAATAGACACAATTTTATTGGAAGGGGTGGTGGTGGTGGTGGAGGTGGTGGAGGAGGTGGTGGTGGTGGTTTCCGGCGTGGTGGAGCCGGCTCTGCTGAGTCTGCTGACAACCTTGACAGAACAAGTTCCGCCAGCGGTCCAGGTGACAATTACAATCTCAACGATGATGATGTGGGAAGCTCGCTGCCGCCCCTGGTAACCGCTAACCATCGCATACTGGAAATCGATCGTGATCGGGAGTGGGTGCAGCGACATCGCGACTCCACGATCATCAAGAATGTGGGCAAATGGTATGTGGGTCTGCCACCGGGTCAAAGTGTACGCGCCCATGTCCAGAATATCGATTTGGTGCCGCTGGGCGGTCGCGTCTCATTGTCGCCATCGGAGGCGTTGCGTCAGGATGAAATTGCCGAGCTGGCCGCCTCCCGGGAGCACTAGAGCCAAAGCACTAGAACCGAGCAATTCCTAGTTGTAGTTATCGTAGCGATGTAAGTGATGTAACTGAAACGATGTCAACTGCGGTTATAGCATGTTTTAAGTATAACTGTAATACTATTTATGCTAAATATACAAACAAAGTATTTCCAATAGTGGTTGACATTAATACCAACCACAGATCTGTGGTTTTCACACAGTTACTGCTTATATAATCGAGATCGTTGCTGTCTGCACTTTCAGTCTGTAAGATGAAGTGCCTGCAAATGGAGCTTCTGCTCTGCTTGAGCTGCTGCTTATTGTGGCTAGTGCAAGGTGCTCAGGTTTACATGGAGTTCAATGGTGTGAAGTACTCGTACAACACGGATCGAACTGTCCAACAAACCAACGATTTATCACCCAACTATGAGCTGCAGTCACATGATTGGCTCGGTTCCAGCACTTCCCGGAATCGCGATTCCTTCATCGATCAGTGGGGTTGGACTCATCCAGAACCACGACCAGTAACCGAAGCACCACCGCCACCACCACCGCAGCAACCACTGATTATTGATTTTAGCACGCAACACATGTCGCACACTCAGCACTCGGATGACTCTGGCATTGTGCTGGGCAAGTATTCGTACTACGATGCCGCTGGCTACCATGAGTTGAGCTATAAGGCTGGTGATGGCATTGGCTTCGTGGTCATGGGCGGCAATTTGGTCAGGCCAACAACGGAACAATCCGAACAATCGGAACAAAGTATACAATATTAGTATAAACAGTTGCCAACTTGCATAGATATTGATCATTTTTCTTAGACAATAAAAACAGCTGCAGCTAACAGCATTTTAACGACTGGTTTTTGTGTGTGTTAATAGAGCAGAAGTGGCTTCCTAAACTAGTTACGTGCTGTGTATGCCCAACTAGGGAGCAGCAAAATACCTTTTGGCTTCAATGCTTTTGCATAAGAGTGATTTAAAAATCATTCTGAAAGGATTATGCGATTTGGAACCGCTTCAAGTGCATATTTTGGGATAGAACTTCAACATGAATTCCAACATAAAATCACTTTCTACGTTTAAATACAGTATTAGTCTTGATGCCAAACCATCACCAAAAAGCCATTGCTTTTGAAAATCGGTTGAGATTTGGTGAAGTTATGACAATGGAAAATTTGAAATCGAACCCAAGTGGAGCATTGATATAGAATTAATTAAAAAAATATATCTTTCTAAAATTGTTTGAGATTTGACGATTATGGGATAACATTTTTACATGGTTTTAGACGAACTTTTAAAGAAGTTTTAATCTAAGTCCTAAGATTACATGATTAAAGCTTTACAAAATCGGTTAAGTTTTGATAAAGCTGAGGAATTTGACTATTTTTTTTTGATGATTGCTACATAAATCTAATTTGTGCAAATGAATAATCGTGGCGCGTGCTTTGTCCCCATAACTTGAACGATTTATGCATTTTATAATGCCTAATTGATTTGCGGAACATTAAATAGTTGCTGTTGTTGTTGTAGTTGCTGTGCTGTGTTGACAAATTACCGAATTGGTTATGCTGCTAAGCAGGTGCATCACAGCCGAATTTAGTTGGGCTTATTGTTGCTGTTATTGTTTCTCTGTTGGGGGGGTGCGAGTCAGTTTTCAATTTGAAATGTGCGATGCGTGCCCGCACTTGCCAAATAATTTGGATTGGACGGTAAGCCTTGGCGGCAGTCGCGTGGCCTAAATAAGAAAACAGTACAAACTGCAAAAGCCACTACACTAGAAATAAAAGCCCATATAAAAATAGAGGCCAATAAATAATATGTTTATGGTTTTTAGTAATAATATTCAAATGATTGTCGCAACCTTTTGCAATTTCATGGCTAACAAAAAAAGAAAAACAATAAAAATAAAAGTTTCACTATGGTAATTAAATTTGTTGGTCATAAAGTTCGTTCAAGAAGTTTTCATTTTAAACGACAGCTTTCTTTAATACTGGATTTATTTATTTAAGTACACAAATAAAAAGTTGACACGAATTTGTCTCATGTCAAGAGCCATTTCTCAGGGTTCAAGTTCTCAGCTATCAGATATTTGTATAGGCCACAACACAGTGTTGGCTTGGGAACTTGACTAGGCCAGTCAGCTGCATAATTGGGTTGCCATAATTGCATAAGTAATGCCTTGAATTAACTTTTATATTACAGCGCAAACCCACAAAACTATGCCAGCCAACTAACTAGCGACAGAGAGGGAGGAAGGCAGTGAGATCCAGTTCTCTGCCATAAACAACGGTATCAGCTCGAATCTGATGGTTCTGATGTTCCTGATGCACCCAATGAAGGTCAAAAATAACTCTCCAGGCCCCAGTCTCAGTTCCGTATGCTGGTGTCTGTTTTTATAAATAGGCATCAAGGTTTCGAATTCTGCTGAACTCTTTGGCACCTGCCTGGCCTACCACTATTAACTTCATTTTTTTTTGTTGCTGTATCGATTTGACGACTTTCAATTAATGCCATTCAAAGTGTGCCCGAGTCTGTTTTGGTTTTTTCGCTAGTCATTTTGTATGCGCCCCTGCAATCGGCCAACCATTAACTGACTTGAAACCATAAATCTTGTGGCACTATTTTTTATTTCCACGTGGTCGCTGATGTTGCCACCCCAAAGCTAAACAATAACATTAATATCAAACTAGTTCGATTGCAGTAGCGAAAGACATTCTAAGAATAGACATCAGGGGCTGCCTGTGGTGCAGTTAAGGTAGATTTTCTTATATAGGTGACTGCCCCAGCAGGCAGTTTTAGAAACTGCAAAGCCTCTTGGAAACTAAGCTGCTAGAGCTGTTGCAAACTTGATAGGTTCTGAAATTATGCACAAACTCTGACATTTGCTCACTGTAAGCACAATAATGAGATTAAGGGCGTAAGCTGATATAGAATCCGCTGTGAGGACACAAAACTTTCTAACATGTTCTACATTCAAAATAGGCTAAGTTTATACATAATTTTGGTTGGCCAACAAGCACTGAAAAGTTCAATTACTGAACCATAATCGAGTTCGGGTCTTAAGTCTTTTATTTTTTTTTTGTAAATCGATTTTTTGGCTTATGTCATGTTTCAATTAACATTCGTTTTCGCACCGTCAAGCCAATTTGCTTCGCTTAGCTTCTATGTACATAGAGCTCTTGGTTCTACCCACACGCGTTCGTGTCTTAAGTCTTTCGTTCTGTTCTGCTCACTTCAGTTGTAATTGCGTGTATTTCAACAAATGCCATTGACTGACTCAATCAAAGCTATTAATTAATCAATGTCCGAACGCCTAAGACAGTAGCGCTGTCAACAACGTTCCCAGCTAATAAACCGAATAACAACAATTGAAATTAAAAAAAACTGTGAAAGAAAACGTGATCTAGTTCTGCTCATCTAATAAACACAAGATTTTAATCAGTCAACTGATCCCTGAATGTCAATTTTGGGTGGGTAAGGCCAACGCACAGAAAGACAGAGAGACAGAGAGAGAGGAAGAGTGTCAACGTAGATGCCCGCCAAGTGATAACAGCCAGAGACCAAGGCGCATACGTACGTGCCCCCCAAGCAAACTACATATGTTTCTCTTAAGCAAAACCAACTTGAGCTCTCTCGCTCTTTCACGCTCTCACTAGCATGCTCTCTCCCTCTCTCTTTCTTGCGTTTACTGCTGCCCTGGGTCAGGTTGAACATTTCTTTGCGGTCGTTGTCGTTGTTGCTTTGCATTATTAATGGAAATGTTATAAAACCGCCGCACTGGGCTCGGGCACGAATCAGTTCATCTTCAGTCATTGCCTGGTTAGGTTCTAGAGGTTCGTCAAGTGTATAACTACTCAGCTCGGTGCGTGCGTGTTTTGTGCTCCTTGGCTGCCAGCAGCTCAATAAGGAAGAGAATAACATTTTTACAAAAACAAGAGACAATTAAATTTTTGTTAAGGCTTATCAGGATTGTCTGTGTTTGTTGTTGTGCCTGTGATTATACGCCTGATAAGTGAATTTTGTTTCGTTCGCAGTTCAAGGATATTTCCCAAGGCAAGCCGCGTTGTAAGCGAAAATTATCCTACAATTTCGCAGAAAACCACACGCAAAAATGCGTTTCCTTGTTGTAAGTATGAAAATAAAAAAATACCTACTTATTTTATGTACAAAAAATGAGCAAAACTAGTTTAGCTGTGTGTGACCGCAATTAATCATTTATTAGCAGCTGGCGTTGACTACTTTTTGCTGCTTCTGCACACCGTTGAAGTCATTAACTGGCGCAAGTTCGTGCCTTAAGTCTTTCGTATTTAATTTGCTTTTACGTTCGGTGTGAAGCTCAACTTTCACTGAGCGAATTGGTTCTTTGCGCCTGATTCTTTTGCCCAATTTGTGGCTCACAAATTAGCCCGAATTTCATGTTGGCCCATATGCAAATTGGGCTCTGAGCTGAAGCAAAAATCAATTTGCTTATTTACCAAAAATCGAAATCAAAACTGTATAATTAAGCTATTAAGTCACCTTGTAATCAAAGGATTAGAGGTTTGATATATGATAATTATCTTTGAAAAATACGTGATGCTATGTTGTGCTTTTGTAATGAAAAGTGAAAATTAATCAACACGTCTTGATGGCACACACTTCTTTCAGGCTTTGTGTGCCATGCATTGCATTATTCATGATCTTTTTAGTTTCAATAAGAAACACGCCCTTAAAAGTACAAGTGCGTCAGCGTCCGCTCGCAGACATGACAAATTAAATGTCAAACAAAAAGAATATTTAATAATCGAGTGAAAAGCCCAAAATACATTTTTTTAATTATATCTCCATTGTGGTATAATGAAGCATATGAAAATCAATATGCCGCAAGCGTTGGATGGGCATGTGTAGGCTACTCAATTGCTGGCCATAAAATGAAGTTCTCCAGAATTAATGAGGCAAAACTCTTAAAACTATAAAAGTAGCTTAAAAGAGGAATGCTTTGTAAAGCGAAGGCTTAAGTGGAAGAAAATTCCTATCTCTGCTTTAGTGTCATAAAATATGATATTTCACAACATTAATCAATGGACACTAGACAGTAAGCGCTCAATAAAATTAATTAGTCTTATCTTAATATACATATTGATTACCACATCTCCAGCTGCGTTACTGCAGCTCTTAATTAGCCGGAAACCTAAGAACTCTACGAAATCATTAGCATATTGTGTGATTCTCTCTTTTTACAGAAACGTTATACGGATAGCATTAACCCAGTTTACATATGGTTGAAACACACCCAGAATAAACAGCTCTGCCAAATAATACGTATGATAAATAAACCAGAACAAAAGAAAGCTGAAGCAAATACATCTTGGGGACAGACAGCAATTCTGAAATGCAAGCCAACTTGCAAATACAATATACAAAATCTTCTCAGCTGGTCCGCAGCTCGTTTTGGTTTTTTTTCTTCTTTTTTTTTTGCTTTTTGGTATCAGAACTGAACGTTTAGGCGGAGTTGCTGAGAACGTTTGTCGCTGGGTCAATGAACCGGGACAGCAGCGGTGTGGAGCTCTAGAGCTGAGTGACTGTGGGCGACTGTGGGGCTGTTTTTAGCGGGTGACAAGCTAACGGTCCAACTGAGTGCCACATTGGTTACGTCAATATTGATTTGGCAAAAGCATCGAGCAAATATTTGGCAAGCATGAGTTTCGATTGGTTTTTTGGTTCTGGTTCTTCATCAAAATACGGCTGAAGTGAAATGCTGATAATAATTTTGCTAAGTAGGATTGGCTCTCACTTTTCAGCTGATGCTTAGCAAAAATTTATAGAACTTTCTGTGCTTGACCGCATTTTTATACCTTAACACATGTTACGTAGCTAGTTAGCTTAATATATTATTATTATTATATTATTCATTTCATCTACATATTTATTTTATTATTTTATTTTGCAGGTGTCAACGCTTTTGTTGGCCTCATTGGCAGCCGGCCAAAATGCAGATGCTATCGAGTAAGTAGCTAGCTATACACTCTATAAGAAAGTTCTATTAACCACTTGCCTTGCCCCGCCTGCCTTGACTTGTGACTGTGTCATCTCTTATGCTCGCCAAAGTAGAAATTGAAGCACCCGCCTTCTAGTATAGTGACTAAACATATTAAAAAAATTAAAACATAAACTGTGACTAAGCCTCTCATCAGCATACCAGCCAATACTTTTTATTAATTAATCCCAAATGCATTAGTTTACTAATAATACCAATACCAAGAGACCAAAAACAAACCCAAAAAAACTTTTGTTTGCAGAATACAAAAGCAAAGGCTGGTCAAATTTCCCGAGGAGTTTGATCCGAATGTGGCGCCGCCAACGTCCGACAAAGCGGACGAGGCCAAGCGCATTCTCGAGCAGATAGCCAAGGTGAACGAGGCCTTTGGCTATGTGAAGAAGAGGCCCAATCAGCCAAAGCTGCCGCCCATACTCGACTCCAGTCAGTATCTGTTCCCCAAGCCCGCCCAACAGCCCTTCCATGCCCAGCAGCATCACTTCTCGGGCAGCATGGGCCAAACCTTACTGGAGCCTTCCATACGCGCCGTCAAGCTAACAAGGAATGCAATGCCCCCAAAGCAGCAGTTATATTTCCGACCCAATCGTGTGCAGCTGCCGAAGCCCAGCTCTGAGCAGGAGGCTAAACAGCTGCCCGCCCACTTTGTCATACCGGTTCATCTGTACAAGCTAAACAAGGAGCAGTATTTGCGGGAGCAGGCACCTCAAGAGTATCGCATCAAGGGCTACAAGATCATTGGCGATGTGGACAGCTTCTATGGCAAGGCCAAGGCAATGAACGAGAAACAGAACAAGAAGCAGACCAAGAGTACGCCCAAATATCATTTATTCTTTCTGCCCAGAGAGTTAGCGCTAAATGAAGATGGCACGCTCAAGCGTGGCACAGCAAGCACCACCACTGCAACCACCAAAATGCCTACAGGCACCAAAGAATCTCGTGTAGATTCGCGTGAAAAGCAAACAACTAAGCCACAAACACAATCACAATCCCAATCTCAAACTCAATCACAGCCACAACGTATTCCCGGCGTGGTCGCTCCTACTACGCATAGCAATCGCAAGCGGATTAACGCTGCCAACACCATCAAACCCAAGGAAGCGGAACAAATGCTGCCGAAGGTCACCTCAGCGCCTATTCATAGCACCTCAGATCTGCTATCTACATTGCCACCGGCAGGTGGCCTGCTAAATAATCGAAATCGTTTGAGCGTGTTCCGCGTGCCCAACGTCAATCTGGCCCAGATGCAGAATCAAACGTCAACAGCAATCAAGAACGCCTTTCAGAATATATTCAAAATGCCCTTCAGCACACCCACTGCCCTGACGGGAACAACGGCCGCGCAGCAGCCGGTGATGTTACAGAGTACACCACTACAACCACCTGAACATAGCGATTCGCTTCAGGACGATTACAAGTGGGATGATGAGAAGGAGGGTGGCGGCGATGGCAGCGATCTCGATACCCTCGAGCAAATTGAGAACACAGCCGCCGAACAGGATAGCAGCGTTGCTGCCGAGAAGCATCTGTTTGCGCACAAGCACCATCAGTTGATGAACACCATCGGCACAGTGGCCACCGCCCATCATGGCACACAGAAACAGGCTCTGCGCGAGGGCGGCATCATCATACAGCGCTTGAAGGTGCGCAAGGGCGGTATTGCGATTGCTGGCCCAGGAGGCGTGGCAACGGCCGGCAGTGGGGGTACAGCGATTGTGGGACCCGGCGGCTATGCACTGACACATCCACGCAGCCTGACCATAGCCGGTCCCGGTGCCAAAGTGATTTCGATACCCTCCGACGTAGACTTAAAGGATGCACTGCTGCGCACAGATGTGGGAGCAAAGAGTTTTCCACGCGAGGGTAAAGTGGTGGCCATCGGACCCACTGTCTATTATGCACCGCCCACTGGCAAGTTGTCAGTGGATTACGACGACGACGAGATGAATGAGGAGTTTGAGTCACTATCTTAACTGCCCAGCTAGGAAATTGTTGTAGCCCTCTAAAAGCAAAATCACACACAACAAAATAAAATAGATAATTGATTTGTAGGGTTGCGCAACAGTTGAGAATTGTGGCTATGTTCGATTTTAAACCTAATGACTGTTAGTATTTTTGTATAGCGCCTAAGTATTGGTAATAAATGTTTGTATTTGTAATTTTTGCATTGCTTTCATCTGTATTCATCTGTATAAAAATGGAATACGTAAATTAATAATGTAAACTAACACACTCACACACGTAAACAGTACGCACTAATATGTAATATTGCTTGAAAACTAACCGCAAATGTAAGCTGTATATATTTATATAGACACTAATTGCTATCCTTAACTCTCTTACTTTCCCTATGTCATCTCCTTTTCTGTCCACACTCAACTACCCTAACTACCTATCCCAACCAAGCGCGAGCACGTACTGGCAAACCGCAAGCTTTGAGGCTTGGCCGCCGCGCAGTCAACTGCAGCCTATTGTGAACTATGTGGCGCCACCTTCCGCACAGCAACAGCAAGCTGAGAAGTTAGTCGCTGCAGCACCTGCGAACAACTTGACGCCTTATGGCGCTTACTTTGCCGCACAGTCACAGCCAGAGAAACTAACAGCACCCCCTGCAGCGGAGCGGGTTAAACAAACTGTACAGCCTAAATTTGGAGTCCTGACGCCTTATGGCGCATTGCAGGCCACTACACAGGGCAAACTTTTGCTGCTCAATTCGCCATACTACGCTGCCTACAGTCTGCCGCTTGCGTATGTAGCGCCATCTGTAGGAATAGCTGCTACTACTCCCAGCACAACAACCACCAGCACAGCAATGCCAGCAACCGCTGAAAAAGTTGAAGATGACGCTGAATCGGAAGAAGATACCATAGAAACATTACAAAAGCTGCAAGCGAAGCCACAAACCTCTGGCGATCTAAAAAGTGATCAGCGCCTACGAGCAGCAGTTAGCCGCATTAATTCGAATTATGTGATAGAGGAGATTGTTTCCGTGCCCGGCAAGCATGTAATATCCAGCACTAGTCAATCCACAAATAGCCGGAAACAGTTGAAGAATTCAGCAAAGTTGCGTACACCGGTTAAAGTAGAGGCCACGGGACGAACCAGCACGAGCTCGAAAAACTTTCCACAGATACCCTTTGGCAACTACTTTCTGCCGTACAGGCCCGCCCAGGCGAAGGCCATTCAGGGACGCAAACAAGCGGCATTGATACTCGAGCCTCACTCCAAGGCATTGGTTGGTAATGGTGGCACTGCCATATCCACGCCCTTCTCCAGGGCGCTGCTCAAGAAAGGCGTGCCGACAAATGTGTATTTTAATCCGGAATCGGTGGCCATTGCAGGCGTTGGCGGTAAAGCGCATGCAGCGGCTGATTTGGAGCTCGATTTGTTTAACTGAGACATCCCCAGCTCCAACAGTATACGTAATTTAGTAATGTGTTCCTGTCCCATCTCTAGCTGTAAATAAAGTTGTAGTAAACTATCTGAATTTCTTAGTAGTCTAGTTGCTTTCTAATCCACATGTAAAAATTTGCTGTCCCCATTTGCTCTTCCATGCTTCTCTGTCTATATCCACCACATAAAAAGTGTACAGGCAACTATAACCCAACTCTATAAACCCTAGACACAGATCAGTTCCGCAGATCATCGAGGAACAGCTGCCCTATTATGGCGGCCTTAATGGCCAGCTATTGTGGCTGCGTCCGCAGCTGGATGGTAGCGTACGCAGCAGTATTTTGCACACCAGCCACCATCAACAGCCACAAGTGCGCGGTATTCCACGGGATTCAGATGATACTATAACCATATCGGCAGCCGGCATCTCCGCTGTGGCTGATGACAGTGGAACTGGCAGTCTTTCCATCTCCGCCAGCGGCAGCAATTTCAATCGGATTCAGGAGGCTGCCGCCCGTCTCGTTGCCATACAGGAGCTGGCGAAGCGCAAGGGCGCCTTTAGCGCCGAGGACAACAAGATCTATGCAAATAGCCTGCTGGAACTCGGCCAGGCAGCCACAGCTTTGGCACTGCTCCAACAAACCGGACAGATTAAGGACTTTAGTGTGCTGTTGCAGCCAGAACTGTTCGGTACGATCGATAAGCAGCCGTCGAACCTGGGCCTAGTAGCCAATAGTCCAGCGGATCAGAAAATTGATGAGCAAAAACTGGAAGAGGTGACCGAGCAGCAACTATCCCCAGAAGACATATTGCCACCCACACACGAGGATCCCTACGAAGATGTTAATGATAGCGTTGCCGTTGTGGCGCCCAAAAAGGATTCATCGGTGGCCGAAGCCAAACCAGTGGGTAAGTGTGAGAGTCTAAATGGTAATCTTAGCCGCTATTAATCTCCTGCTGCATTAGGTCTGTCAATTGCTGGAGAGGGCGGCGTTGCCTCGTCGAAACCGAATGCGATTGCGCTCTCTGGACGCAATGGATTGGCGGTGGCTTCACCTAAGGCAACGGCCATCGCTGGCGTGTCGCCAGAAGAAGCTGCTGCGTTTAGCATAACACTGCCATCACGCAATCAGCTCGTCATCAAGACACCCAACACCGCTGGCGTGGATGATTACGACTATAGCGATGCACCATTGACACTGGCCGGTTTTCCGCATACCCGCGACGTGCCATCGCGTACAGGAGCTGGCTCGGATCTGGTCGAGAAGTGGCGCATAGCCATTGCCGAAGATTATGCAGCCAAATCTAGGCAGGCACAGACCCAGATCAAGGCCCAACCCAATCCCATCACCATACGAGCAGCGCCCAAGCGACGTCTGCACTATCAGTAGGATAAAGATGGAAGGAAGGAAGAAACAGCAATCGCTGAGCTAAAATTAGCATCAAATTTACTATCTACATCAAATTGCCAATAAAATGTTGCGTATCAAATTTATTTAATGTGTACCATGGTCATTGAACTTGTTGGTGGTTGGTGGTGCTGCTTGCTAGAGGTGTTCATTTCCGATGCACTTGCTAAATTTGGTGTAGCCTGCCAGCAGGCGCAGCAGGCCTCAGCAAATGGGGGGCTGCACATCTAATAGCTGCGGCTTGCAATTATATTTTTTAACGAAATAAATTGTACAGATAAAATAACAAGAAATAAAAACTATTAATAGATTGAAGCTATGCCGACTATTTCATACACTCAAGCAAAGGATGTTAACTACATAAATTTATTTTTAAAATTGCTTATAGGAGCTATGAAATGTAGTAGACTGATGAGCACAATAACTGATAAGTTCGGTAACAGAATCTTAAAGGAAAAGAAAAGTATTTGTGTTTATTTTTCTTTCGAACGATATTGTAATAAAATTTATAGTAGTTCGATGTAAACTTAAATACTTTATCGGTTTGAAGATGTATCCCTTATTCGTACAAATCTTAAAATACTATCTGCACGAGTACAAAAAAAAAGGGAGAACAAGTAAAGGTAGAAGGAGTAGACAGAAGATATAAGTACGCAAGCATGTGCAAATCTTGATTAATCTTTTCCGCCAGCAGGCGGTGCAAGCAACATAAAAATAAATCTAGCCAATGGAGCGAGAGGGTAACGGAGGTGTGCAGAGTGTGTCGGAATTGACGGCCAGCAATGGACAATGTATTCAATTTGCACCTGAACCAGTTTCCCAGTTTCTAGCCATGGCCAAAGCCAGGGCTTCCATGTTGATCGTGAGTGGCTGTCAATGCGGTCGCTGTGCAGCGCTTGACTTCTATTACAATGCAGGTTTAACAAACTCAGAACTGTGCAAAAGAACTTGACCAAGACGAAGACCAATACCAAGACCACGAACGAAGAGACTTCTGCCAGCGCGTACACCAACATCTACGTTGACCATCTGCCGCAGTCAAGCAACCTGGTAGCTGTTGCCTGCTTGCCTGGAAACCAGAACCCTCTGCAAGTGCAAAACGAGTGTGAATGTGAGTGTAGTATGTGTAGTATGAGTGCTTGTTATTGTCGTTGTCGCTTTTGCTTAACCAACTTTGGTCATTTGCCGCCTGCTTTGCGTGTGCTCCTTTTGGCCCCTCTTTCCCCCCTCTTCCTGTCGGGAAGCTGCAACATTTTCAGCGTTGTTCTTCGGCTTGTTTTCCAGCTTGGTCTTCTGGTCTACTGGTTCTGGTTCTCTTTGTTCTTGCGCTAGGTCAGTTAGGCAGTCACATTATAAAAGGCCCATGGCAGACAGCATTGGCCACCAGTTTCCTTGAAGTGGTCGCCGTGTTAAGACTGAAGAGAAGACTACTGCAGCTGGAGCGTAGAACCATCAACCATCAAACTAACTATAACATTTGTGCCAAGCTTATGCATATCTTGTGATCATTTTTCATAAATAAGTAATATTTTTGTGCTGGATTAAAGTGCGGCTTAGCCAGATTTTTTGGAAAGTTAAAGAAGCAAGCAACAATAGAACCGAGATTCAACGTCAGCTGTCATAAGGTAAGCTATCTAAATTTATTGTGGTTTTATGTCTAGTTCGTGCCTTAAGCTAAGCAATTCGCGGTGGGCATTTAGAAAGCCATGTTCATGAATTCAGCACAGTAGACGGACGAAAGCGAAAATAAGATCGCAGTTAGTTGTTAAACTGTTTTATGATGGCATTTATGTTTGTCATAAATTTGAAGAAACAAGCAGCTTGTCCAGGCAATAAAGCAATGCAGTTTATTAGCACTGATGGAGAATGGTAGCGCTAGTTAACAAAGTAAATAGTACACATTCGATATGTTAATGTTTTAAGCTCATGTTTAATGTTTTTAAGAGAAGAAACTGCTACTAAATGGTTACAGATTGGCTTGGCATACAAAAATAATTATGTGCTTATGTTGTATTATTGTTATTATAATTTTGTCGTGACATTGAAGGAGACGTCTATGACTGCATATATCTTCATGATATGTGTGTTAAATACCCATATTTTGAAAAGGTTGAATTCCTTTAGCTTTGAAGCTATCTTTTTGAAACGAAGCATATTTTCGTCTCCTTTCTTCTGTCTCTAAGGACTTTGAAACTGAACGAATCGGACCTCTATATCATATAGTAATAGAGATTTCTGATACAATAAGAATACAAAACAAAAAAATATTTCGATCTCTGGTCTTTGAGTCTTAAAAAACTTAACTTCCGATTTATGTGTGCTAAAAATGTCTTTGGAAAATAAATCAACTTAAGCAACTTATAATTTTTCAACCTGAGAGGACCCAATTAGGTTCCTAGGTACCACTTTTTTTTTAAGATCAAATATAAAGCAAGTGACAATTACATTTTCGTAATCTGATAGAGACTGTAGATTGGAAAATCCGACATTATTTCTTAACAATACACCGCCGATCACAGAAATTATATTTATCCATTTTAAGAAGATAAAAGTTTTACTTCGACTTAATCATAAAAATGGTTTCCTGGCAATGTCCATGGAAATCACAGAAATTAGCTTCAGTTCTTTTTTATTACTACACCCAAGCTAAGAGAATGGTTTTCAGAAAACACGCCTTCAACATTCCCAGGTGCCGCCCTTATCCTGTCCAAGTTCTAAACGCTACAGTTTCTCAATTGCTTTGCTTAAATGGCTTGAGGGGGAAAACTTTAAATAGAATGTTGCCAAGCATAATAAGCCTAGGGGGAATCTGATGCCCTCAGATATAATCAGAAAACCAGTTATTAGCCTCACCAAAGTACACCAAACTGCAATCAAAAGCGTTGGCCAAGAACTTGGCTTGCCAATTGTTGTCTGCATTGCTGCAAGTCTTTGTACTTAATATGTACACCAGAAGTGGCTGCTTCAGTGGTTTTCCGAGAGCCAATCAAACAGCCAAACCGGTTAATAGTGCGCATCCTGTGGCTCACACACACACAGACAAGCAATTATATTGTTAAATTTAGAATGGACTTTGGTTGGCCAACTATAAATAGCGCATACCAGTTTGCAGCAGTTAATGCTTGACATGGCCAAGGAGCATAGACAAGTCAGCTAAAATGTCTTTGCTTTTTACTTACCTTCTCTTCCTGACTCCCCTTCACCCTTCTCCGCATCATTAGCACAATGTTCATCTTTGCGCTGTTCTGCCTGCTGGCAGTGGGCAGCGACGCGAATCCACTGCAGCCCGTTGTGGATCCAGCCCAGCATATTGTCATCGTGACGCCGCAGGCTCAGGTTCATCTGGAGCCAGCGGTGCGTTACGTGCATGGCTTGTCGCCGATGGCCCGCGTCGCTGGACCGCATCATGAGGAGACCATTGTGTTTGTGCCAGCAGGAGCTGCTGCCTCTGTGGTACCGACCGTTGCCGATTCATCTGCCCGTCTTCGTTTCGCCGCGCAGGAGACCAAACAGTCGGAAGGCTTTCCCCAGAACATCAACGAAATTCAACAGCAGGCACAGCAGGCTGTTCAGGTTGTAACCGGACAGTTTACTGAGGCTGCTGCTGCAGCTGCTGCTGCCGGTGCCAGCCTCTTTCCCGGCTTTCACAGCATACCCGAAAACACCGGGGACGAGCTGGTAGAAAAGTTCAAGACCGACATTTTTGAGACACCAGCCAATACAAAGCCACGTTTGACTGCTGGCGAGGCGCGTCATTTCTTCAGTCTGCCCCATGTGTATCGTACTCCCGTTGTCGATGTGGTCCACACTCCCGTCTATTCCTGGCCAATCTCAGCCATACGTGCACGCAGCATTCAAACTGAGGAGGCACCAATTCAACAATCTTTCAAGAAGATTGCCCCTGAACTTTCCGAGCCACAGCCTCTGCTTAAGGAGCAGAAGCTGCCAGCATTGGATCAGCCATTGGAACAGCCGCTGAAGCAACTGGCACAGACCATCATTCCTGCAGCCGTTGAGGCCAGTGAATTGAAGGCTGAGATAGCTGGACGTCAGCTGGAGGAGATCAATGCCAGAAAACCGGATGAGTTTCTTAATGATATTGACCAGCGAGGAATCCCAAATCCCATCAAGGAACCCACCAAGGAACCCATCAAGGAATCCATCAAGGAACCCATCAAGGAACCAATTGCGGAAGCCAGAAAGGAGCCCATTGCAGAAGCCAGAAAAGAGTCCATTGCGGAAGCCAGAAAGGAGTTCAGTATTGAGGCCGTCCAGCATCCAATATCCGGAAAACCGGCAGAGTCTCTTAATGATATTGCCCAGCGTGTAATCCCAAGAGAACAACTCAAGGAACTCATCAAGGAACCCATTAAGGAACCCATCAAGGAACCCATCAAGGAACCCATCAAGGAACCCATTGCTGAAGCCCGAAAAGAGCCCAGTGTGGAGGCCAGAAAGGAGGAAAGTCTGGAGGAACCTGTCAAGGAGCTGCCATCCGCTCTACTTAAGGAGGCTATCAAGGAGCCTACCCCAGAGCCCATTAAGGAGAAACTCGAGGATTTTATCCAAGATTACGGTAAGTAGCTCAATTTACTGGCATTTATTATCTATTATTTGTTATTTTTTTCTTTTCAACTAGCCCCACTAGCGAAGGAGTTGCAACTGAATAAGGAGTTGCCACTGGTCAAGACCATACCCAATCCCACTGAAGCAGCCATTCCCGAGGCACAGCCACAGCCGCTAGAAGCTCAACCCGCTAATGAGCCAGGCCTTAAGCCAGCGGCAGAGGCCTAAGCCTCACGCACACGCACACCACAGCGGACTTCACCACATCACTCACAAACACATATATTCTATGGGTAACTTTGGTATTCTACAACTCGATCTGTTCCGTGAATTGGCTCCGGCCAAGCCACGTGGGTTAATACATTTAGTTTACTAACATTAGTCACAGAGACATTGCGTGCAAAGATTTTCCACATTTCCGATATTAATTAACAGCAGCATAAAAGGCGACAAGAAAACACAAAAAAAATAAATAAATAAAAATGAAGAACAAATACACACAAAATAAAATAAAACACAACAAAAACAAACATCAACATTCATATACGTTCATTCATAGCGAACATCGTCGAGAACACGTTCATAATCATCATCATCATTCATTATATTCATAACCATAACAATTGAAAAAGTAAAACAGAACAATAAAAAAATGAATGTAAAATGTAAAAAAAAGTTTCGACTTTTAATGCAGCGATTATTTGTGGAATGGGCCCCCATTAACAAAAGACTTGGGCAACGAACTTGCATATGAACTTGAAGTGTAGCATGCTACCGATGTACTATATTTCCCAGGCAAGGGTAAAACAAAAAAGATTTGCACTCTCAATTCTGTAAAATGATGCAGAAGAATTTCCAATGGAAAGACATAAATGAGACAATAAAAGCATAGCGGAGCCAAACAATCTTTATGTGCAGCCAGCCATATATGAAATTATCCGGGAAGAACAAAGATATTCAAAAGGCAAGAATAAAATTAAAGGTTACTTTAAATATTGTTGTACAAAATAATAATCTCTTGACATTCATATAAACTTTAACTTATTTGCTTTAGTACTCATCCGAAAAACCAGTATTGATTTCCAGAACTCGCTTCGAAACGGCTTGGCCACAAAAATATATAGTATACCGTTTGGGATTATGCAATGTGAGAGCCCGGTAATTCCAAGCAGCATAAAAATATTTCGCATATTACACAGAGCTAAACATAAATCGTGCTCCACACGAGGCGACGCATACTAAGCACCCACTAAAGACGTGCCCAGCCATATAGCAAGCCAAATGCGGGCGCCTCTCACGTTACCAGTGCAATTGTCGCTGAGCGTGTCTTTTATTTGCAATCGATCACTAAGGTAAATCCCAAAAAAAATATTATAAATAAGTAAATATAACAATGCATTTAAAACACTAAACGTCGCCCACAATTATCCAATTAGTTTGCTGGTTGGGAACCGTAATTGGTTTCGGATTTTTAGCTTTCTTTGTGCTCACATCCAAAGTTTGTGGTGGTTGTGTGGTTGCTTCCACTTTTCGTACGGGTAGACTGGTATCCGTGTAGCGATAGACGGAGAAATAGGTTTGTATGCGTTGTATGATATTCTCCAGAAAGGGCGGAAACTTATGCTCAACACCATTGCCATAAAGCTTTATATTCAGCTTGCTGTGCTCATCGCCAGGTTGCAACTTTAATGCTTGCAGCACGCTGCGCAACAGTAGAAGATTTTGCAGATTGCTTTCACTCTGATTGGGTGCCTGCTGAAAGATCAATGTGCCATTTGGCTTCAGCTCCAGATAGCCAATTTCCTCCGCATCCAAGGGCAAAGCAGCGGCCTCCAGGGCCGGCGAAAACAGCAACAACAAAGGCAGCACTCGCATCAGCAGCATTAACGCCGAGTTCAGCTGCATATTTAAGTGAATTTTTAAGATGGTTTGTGATTTTCCCCTTTTAAATTGACTGCTGGCAGCTCCGATCCGGCAGTCGTTTGGTATTGCACTGGTTTTGACTTTACTTTGTCTCTCGCACTTATTTCAACTGCTGCGTTTTTTCTTTGCGCACCGCATGTATTTGTAATTGAGTGTTGTTTGCTTTGGAGCCAATTGGCTTTGTTGTGTGTTTAGCTGTGGACGACAACTGTGTCCAACTTTTCAGCTCACCCAACTTGCTCAGCGCTCTCATTGCGCTTTGGTCTTTGCTTAGTGTTTGAGTTACTTATTTGCATTGAAGTCCGAGTTATTTGTTCAATTTCTGTTATACATTCGGCGCATCAAAAAGTTACATTAATTGTTGCCATTTGCTTATACGTAATAATGTGATGTGGTTGGGACTAGTGAAAGTGGGACGAAAATTTTTGTTCTGAATAATTACTTAACCTTAGCTTCAGCCAGACAACGCAGCTCATCATTCATAATAAAGAACTCAATAAAACGACATTTTTATACATCAAATTATTTAAATATCGCAAACAAAGTTGCAAAAACCGGCTCTAAAAAATTAGGTCTGCGTTTTTATTTAGACTTTTGCATCATCTACAGCAAAAACAACACAAACATATTTACAGCATTTTTTAACAAATGAAAAAAATATATATAATGATTCAACTAATTTCGGCATAAGATGATAAAAGTTTTGTTTATTTGCGTTTCTTGTCTATTTGACGTAAATTCCGGACATCCCGGGCTTCTTAATACTTATCATTAAGTTAATATAACTAAATACCATAAATAAAGTTAAGCAATCATTGATTGTTATGTTGTTGTCAAGAAAAAAAATCATGTTAACCTGTTGGTGAATCATTAAATATTTGGAACCTTCTTTTTTTTGCTATTCTATCCAACTATTGAAATTGAGCGATAAGAACGCAAATGCCAGATATTCGCCGTTTGCGTCTGTCAAAGTGACAAAACACAAAAGCTAAAAATACGAATAAATTATTAATGGTCAACAATGTTCATCTATTTGCTGATGATGTGGCAATTTAAATTTACTTTAACGGTCAACTGAACATTTTTGTAACAGTCTTGATTCTAAAAAAAGCGTGAAGCTTGTCTATTATTTAAATAGTAATATTATTTTGTAATTGAGAAACTGCGCAGTTGACCGGACAGCTGAATGCTCAGCCCTTTCGCGATTTCCAAATCCCGAAAACAAATAAAATAAATTATATACAATTAATTCGATAGCGCTCCACAAAAGACTTAGACAACAAACTAGCGGAATTACACATAAGTAATTCTCATTGCTAGTGCAAGTGGCCACTCAAACTGACATTTGAGATATTATTACCCAGCCATACACCGTCTAATTATGCATATATCAGGCTTCAAGTGCCTGCCGCATGTCTAAAATAGAAAACTTCCGCTGAGCGGCTTCTCTACAGGAAACCCAAACCCAAAGCTGAAAGCTTTACGTGTTGCATTAATTAGAAGTAAAAATTGATGGAAGTGTTCAAAAAATGATTAATAAAAAATAAATCATTGTGCATTGGCAGCAATCAACAGTTGTGAACAGTTATTGCAGTCTAGAATGCTCGACAACATGCTACCCAATCTAAAAATATTTTGCAGAATCCCTACAATGAAGACAGAACAGGTTTATCTTCATGTTACCAACTGAACAAGTTTAAATTCTTTGATCTAATATATACGGGCACATTATTAAAGCTCATTTTTATGACAGATAACTTTGTCGTCTTCTAAAAAGCCTCCGCGCACTTTGCTATAGCAATTTTATTAGCCAATTACATAAGTTCATTATGGAAGTAAGATTTGCAGGGAAATCTGATGGAATGTATTTATAAATCTTTAGATTTAAAAATAATACGCAATAAAGGGGAATATTACTTACGCAAAGCAGCACCAAAAAGACTTACTCACAATATTCGCTATGAATACGGACACAGAAGGTAGTAAATTTATGGTAGTACTTACTACCCCCCCTTTAATATATCTGACAGGGTATCATAAAGATCTGTGAGATGACTGACAGGCGAGGCGCTCACCAATTGCCACTTAAAGTGCGACAGACACTTGCGGGTGCTTGTAAGCAATCGAAATATTCTACAAAATAGAAAAAAAAAAGGGAAAAAAACTAAATATTATTTAATAAATAATTGAGTATTCGAATGCTCACATACAGACAATTAATGATGCGAGCATCTTCTACGCGTGAGAAGTGTGAATTTGAGCAGAGACGTTCATGATGAACTTCAAATTGTTGTTAAGCTCATGTTGTTGTTGATATTGTTGTTGTTGTTATTGTTCGAATCGAATGCCGCTGCTGTTGATGCTGTTGCTTCTGAGTAAGAAACCGGACAGCAGCGCTCCGCGCATCTTCATTCAACGCTCAGTTGCTAATTTTATGCAAAATAAAAAACAGCAAAATCCGTTGCAAAGTTAGTATAAAAGCGTTGCTTTAAGTTATTTACTTATTAGTAGATCGCCAGCAGCAGAACAGTGTTCATTAAACGATATACCATATTAAATATATAGCCAGTGAACAACAAGTTTCAACATGAAGTGTTTAATTTTAGCCGCATTTTTGCTGGTTAGTAGCCAAAAAAAAAAAAACAACTTTTTGTGCTTTGTGCTTAGCATTTGATATACATATGAATGGGAAACAGTTTATGTCGATTGGATATAACGATATAACACCCCATTGATATAAGCAATCAGATATCCGGGTTGTAAAATATCAAATGTGACTGTCAAAGTGCAAATACCAACCATTTGTATAAGTTTAGATTTTATTAATGTGCAAATTTGTTACACGTAGAGCCTCGAGAAATATACAATGACATCATCAATCTATCATCATTATGATCATCATCAGCAAGATTATTGTCTATCAAAGCTGTGAAGCGTGGCACAGTTTATAGCCAAAAAAATATATAAATTAATAACTAACCCACAAACTTCGGTTTTTTTTTTCCAACAGGTCAGCTCCGCCAGCGCCGAGAATATATTTAAGATCAACATCACGCCAGAGGAGGCACAACAGTATTTGAACAGCGCGCAACTGCGTGGCGTCAATGAGATCGAGTATGCACCAAAGACGGGCGAGAATCCGTTGCCCGAGGCTCGCAATGAGAAGGGCGAGTTTGTGTATATGGGACGTGTGATAGATCATCCCGAGGAATACGTGGAGGAGCACTACGATGCACATCAGTATCATGGCCAGGATGGTCTAGGACAGTACGTGTATGGCTACAAGGATTGGAATCAGGGCAAGAACGAAAAGCGCGATGAGGCCGGCACCGTCACCGGCTCCTACAAGTATGTGCAACCCCATGGACGCGACTTCATTGCCAAGTATTATGCAGACAGGAGTGGCTTCCATGTGGAGGACAATCGTCCCGCTCATCTGAAACAGCCAGCCACCAAGACGCCCGCTGTGCTGAAGGCCGAGGAGGAGCACTTCAAGCTGTGGGGTGAGCTCGCTGCCGCTGCTGGTCACAGTCCCGATCCCTATGCAGCCGAGTACCAGACACAGGAGGGAAGCTATCAGCCAAGCGAGGCCGAGACCAGGGAATACGTGCACGAAGAGAAACCTTATGTGCCCGGACCAGGGGAGACTGGTGACCCCAAGGGCTTCTTCTATGCGTTCGACTACAATGTGCCGCTGTTGCGCAACAAGGCGGAGCGTGCGGAGCTTGAGCAGCTGCGCGCCGTCAACAACAAGGACGAATAGAGAGAGTCCTTGTGCCAGTTGATGTATTAGATGTTAGCCTACATACATACGTAGAAATAGAGTAACTCTAAATATTTATTCGATGATATTAAATAAATCTGCAGATATTACATTTCTCAAATACGATCTTTTTATTATTACACACACTCATTTTATATATATAAAATGTGGTTTGGTTTTCTTTTGTTGTCCACTTGTATAATTTCATTTGTGGTTAATCTTAACATTTTAGTTGATGTTTTTGTTGTTGCTTTTGTTGTTAAACGTTTTTATTACTTTTACATTTACATTTAATCGCAATTTCGTTTTTTTAATTTATATTATTTATTTGTATTTTAAACATATACTTTAGCTGCTTTTCAAGTAAAATTATTGCTTTCGCCTTGCTCTTTAGTCGCAATGCTTTAACTTAAATTAAGTTTATTAATTTATAATCATACTGTGATGGGAGTGTTTTTTCAACTTAACTTAACTTTTCGTTTTTCTTGTTGTTGTTGTTGTTGTTGATCTCGTGCGCCTTTTTAAACTAATTTACACGAGCATTTGTTTTGTTTGCATTTACAACCAGTTAAAACTAACATTATTGTTAATTAATATATTGATTAACGCTTTAGGTGTTGTTAATTTTATTTAAACTCACAAGTAAACATAATAAGTTAAATTCAATTTAATACGAACTTAGCCAATTAATTTTTGATTTACGATTTAACATTAGTTTTCGATTTTGTTTTTTTTATATATATCTCTTTCGCTTTTAATGCCATTTTGTATGGCACTAGAGGGTGGCGAAGGGCATCTTAATCAAAAGAAATATTTCAATTGAATGTGTGAATTTTGCGTTGCATGCTTTTAGGCGTTGCGTAAAATGTTTAAAACCCATTTTTAATACCCTTGCAAAGAAGAATAAAACTATTACAATTTAGTATGGAAGTTTCAAAAATATGAAGAAAAAAAACTTGATACAGATGCTGCTTATTATATATGCAGGCGGTTAATAAAACGGTATTAGCTAAAATGAATGCTTAAATATTATGAGCAATCAATTGACAAAATAGCGAAAAACAATCTTTAGGATATATCAGTTCTGCAAGGATATTTAATCTTCGGCATGCCAAAGATAAATTTGTAAGAGTTGTTTCTAATTATTTGAACAAAGAAAATTCGATTTTATTTAGTATACGTTTTTGTGTGTTTACTAAAATGCTTTTAAATGTTGAAAATAGTTTTCGATGCTAAAAACAAAAATTTGATTTTCAAATGAATCACAATTGAATTTCGTTTAAATGAAAAGCGAACATCATAAATGCATACATATGTATGTATTATTTACATACATATGCATGTTATCTATATATGGCAGCTTTGTTCAGTCCAATATTGAGTTTTGCACTTGTTGCAGTTGCAGTTGCATTTTATGTATGTTGTATTTGTTGTTGTTGTCTGAATGTTTTATTCGAATCTGTGACATTTATTCGTAAATGGTTGCGTTTTGAAGTTGATATCGCTCTCGAGTATTGGGTTCGACGTATAAATGATAGGACAAAAACATTAAATAAACAATACGATAACAAATTCATATATATTAAAACTCTGGTCTCCTTTAGGTTGGAACACTCTGAGAAAGTCTATGGAAAATAATTAGATAGCACGATTGTGACTTCTCAAAGTTGAGTGCATAGATTAGTTTGATATAATATAATGATGCTAAGTAGATTTTCAGGTCATTGTAATTGCATTACTCAAGTAATTTGGAACTGTTCTTTAACTACTAAAGTAATTAGTATGGTAATTGTAATGGAACTTACAGGATTAAAAGGCAAAAAGAGCTTGCAACAAAATAAAAATGGAATAACCTGGTTTCAAAAATCATAAAATTAATAACCAAAATAGCGTCTCTTAGATATACCATTTAGTATAGTTATACCAATGTACAAAAGGTACTTTATAGAGCCTGCGTCGTTCACTCGATTTGCCGACGTTCAACTTCAAAATCGTGGAGATCATTTGAGCGTGGTACAGGAAAAGTTCGTAATACTTTTTCATCATGACATCAATGTGTACATATGTAAGTAAGTATGCTGATGAGCTAAGTGAAGTGATTGATAGAGATTGCTAAAGTTGCATAGTGTAATTAGTAGATGAATAGTGAGTGCAGTGTCCAGTGCTGAGTTCTATGTATACTGCTCTATGCAGATGATAATTTGGCGCATGAGTTTCATTAGATTGCCATTGGTTAGATGGATGACCTTATTAAAGATTTGCTTTTGTTCTCTTTTCTTTTTATGTCTCTCTCTCTTGGCTTGTATATAAGGCAAACTGTATGCGAAACATACAAATATTGAACTATTTATATAAATACTTTTCTTCTTTTTTGTTTTGTTATCTTCTTTTTGTTTTTTTTTTTTTTTTTGTTGTTCTGTTACGTTACGTATGCCGGGGAAGAATTCTGGAGAAACTATTGACGACAATGACCCAGACAATTGGGTATTGTGCGCTCTATATACTTTATATGTATTTTTTGTATGTATATATGTATATTTGTTTGTTTGTATGTATGTATGTATGTTAAGTATGAAAGGAGCATGGCACAACTTTGTCAGATATTTTTAACTTTTGCATTCGCATTGAGAGTCTGTCGATTTGCTTTCAAAAATTGACTGATACAACTGTGTATATTGTATATATGTAATTGTATATATATATAAACGTACTTTTTGTATTGTATTGTATATATATATATATATATATATATGTAAATCTTGTATATATGCTAAACGTCCACGACTCTAAATACGCCTAGGTGCTAGTGAAGTGCTAGTTTTGGGTAGTTTTCTCTGCTAGTCGTTTCGCTTTTCGTTAATCGACACTATTTACGTTCCTCTTACTTACTTACCAAAGTTGTGGTTTATATATTTTGTATCCTTTTTGTATACTTAACTACTTGGCGGCAGCAGCCGCTGCTGATGTTGCACTGGGCGCCACTTTCAGCTTGATGAACATGTTGTTATCGTTGTTGCTGCTATTCAGATCGAGCTTCTGCACCTCGCACTCGAGATTATTGATGCAGTTCTTTTCGTACTGGGTGGTACCATTGTCCCCCGTTTTGTCACTGGCTGTTTGCTCGCTGGGCGCCACCTTCTTCTCCTTGCTCTTCTTCAGTGCATTTAGCAGCGTCTTCTCTTTGCTCTTGCTCTCCTTGTGATTGCTATCCTTATCCTTGTGCTTGTTGTTTTTGAAACGCGGGAAAATGCAACCGTTGGGCAAGAAGCCGCCAAGCTTTTCCTTCTTAACTGGCGCTGCTGGGGTGGGCGTTACTGTGGGTGCGGGAGGCGTGGCTATGGGCTGAGCTGCAGCGGCAGAAACAGCAGCAGCAGCAGCTGCTGGCGTTGGCGCTGTTTGTGTATTTGTGGGCGTACTGCTGCCATTGCTAGCAGTGGACACAGCAGATTTGCTTTCCGCCTCCTGTGTGTGCTGCTCCGGCGCCGATTGATTTTCCAAGGCGGGCGGCGAGCCATTGATGCCACTGATAACGCCACCCGCATCCGTTTGATCGGTATTGCATTCGCTGTTCAAATTCGCTGTTTCATTGCTACCCAACTGTTGTTGTTCCTGCTGTTGCTGCTGCTGGTGCTGCTGTTGCTGCTCTTCCAACTGCTCACTGGCCACCTTGTTGTCCAGCTGCTGTGCAAAGACGGCCAGTGTAATGCCATTGCCGTGTTCCGCCGGCATCAGATCCGCATTGTAAGCTGGTGGCAAGCCGATCTCAGCCGCATTCGATTGTGTTGTTGAGCCGCCCGCACGCGTCGCATCCGGTGATTTGGGAAACATCTGTTGTGTGGTGATATTCTGATAGTGCTGCTGTTGACGCTGCTGCAGCATTTGCTCCTCGCGCTCGCGATCCCGCTGCGCCTGCACAGCATTCCACACGTCTTTCAGCTCACCCGAAATGTCACGATCCTTGAGTATGACGGCGTTTCTATTATGGATCGAAAGTCGTTTAAATGATTTAAGGTGTCTGTGTAGAGTTTTATACGCACCTGACTAGTTTCACGCCGGGATTCATAGCCTCGACAAAGTCGCACATTAGCTCAACCATTGCGCGCCGTTCCTCTGGATCCTTGCTGTGGCGTCCAGAATCTTTGAGCACCTCAGGATTGGCCATAACGGCGAATACAATGGGTGGACTGCGCGGACTGCCAGGCGGCACCTATCAACAAGAAACCCAACTTAACTAAATTGTCATGGCTTCACAGGCATTGGTAACTTACGCGCATGCCTCCATACAAGGGTATGGGATCACTGGGCTCCTGGGGTATAACAATGCGTGTCCAGCTTAGCACATTGATGAACAGCTCCTCGCCGGTCTCTGTTGTGGTTCGTATGCACATGTGTGGCTGCGGCGGGTTCTTAAAGTGTCGATATGCCCGCGAGTGTCGATAGCTGTGTGGTGGTGGCGATGATTGCATCATTGTCATACCCATACCTAGATCGCCCTGCTGTTCCATTTGTTGTTGCTGTTGCATCTGCTGCTGTTGCTGCTGCTGCATATGTTGCTCCATATTATTGCTATAATTGTTGCTTGATGTCAGTGTCTCAATGGTTTCATCCAATTCACCCCCATAGTTGGTTGATTCAGCATCATTGGCAGTGCTGTTGTTGTTGTTGCTTGTTGTGTTTTCATTTTGATGATGTTCTTGTTGCTGTTGTTGCGGGTGCTGCTCCTGTGCGGAACTTTCAGCTTCAAGCTCCGACGCCGACATATTCGTTTTATGTTTATTATTATTGTTGTTGTTGTTTAGCTTTTAGCAGTCTTTTGTTTTTGCCTTCCTCTGCTGCTGTTGCTTTTACTCGCTCGGGGTTTTTCACCCGGCCGTTTCTTGTGCTCTCCGTCTTTGTTCCTCCTATCCACACACACATACACACACACACACGCACACACACAGCAAAGCTTGTTCTCTCGCACTCGTTCTAGCTGCCTGCCTGCCTTGCCTGCCTCTGTCTTCTTACATTGAGGCGCCTTGGTCCTGTTCAATTTAACTTTTGACCTTTTTTTTGACGTTATTAATGTGTGTGCATATTACTCGTCGCCCTCTTTGGCATTTACACACACATACATATGGACTTATATTCACAAATTGTCCTCAAATACAAGTCTTATCGTACACGCACACACACACACTCATACACACAGGCACACACACTCAAACACCCTTCAATGTGCACCCCGCACAGGCACACGTACAAGTGGGAGGAGTTGTTCGTTGGCGTTGTCTGCAAGAGAGAGAGGGCGGGAAAGAGAGAGAGAGATGGAGGGAGGGAGGGAGTATTGCGGGATAGAGCAGAACGAAAGAAAACATGAAAATGTAAAACTTCAAAGTGAATGCAACTGTCTGTTGCACTTTCATTGTTGCACTTACACATTTCAAGCGTTTTCATTAATAATAATGGTTTTCCAGTTTCATTGCACACACAGTACATAAAGAACACAATATACATACACACATACACATACACATACGCATACACAAACAAAAACTGCGTTTCTGCTTCACATAATTTTTCCCAAACGACTGCTGCTGCTGCTGCCTGCTGACTGCACTTACAAAACAATGCACCGACAGACGGCCGCGCGCTGCGCTGATTTTTATATTTAGCTTTTTAGCAGCTTTTCATTGCGCCGCACACAGAAAACAGCCGAATTTTCCGACGACTTCCCAACATAAACAAAAAACTAATGTAAGTCTGTTCAGAGTGACCAGGCAGCTGAACTCTGTGTGTTCAGTGCTGCCAGATCGGTCGATTGCTGTCAATCAGTGTTTACACATGAATGCGCAGTGAAAAAGTGCGTACATATGTTCTGCATATTCTGCATTATCCACCGGCGTGAATTTTTTGCAACCAAGAAGCGGAATCGAATATATACTGAAATAAACAAATTTTGCAAATTATTTAAAGGCTTACATCGATTTGAAAGATTATTTGAAGCGCGCGAGTGTAAATAGTTTACGCAACACTCCCAATTTGTTATTTGGCGGGGCAAATCGAAGTTGGTTCTCATAGCCAAAGCGTCGTTGTGTGTATAACAAGATGGCGTCCTCACAAGTCTCAAACAAATCGGGCTCCGGCTGGCCACGGCGCGGCAGTCAAGGCCAAGCGGATGCCAGCATTAGCAATAATGGCACGCAAAAATATGCGCCCAATCAAGCACTCACGATCAACCGGACAATCAATCTGTAAGTGTGTGCATTATTCAATTAAATTACAAATTAAAACATCCAATTTCTCATCCCCCACCTCCCAACCCACTGCAGCTACCCGCTGACCAACTACACATTCGGCACCAAGGAGCCACTCTTCGAGAAGGACCCATCGGTGCCGTCACGTTTCCAGCGTATGCGCGAGGAATTCGATCGCATTGGTATGCGTCGCTCTGTGGAGGGTGTGCTCCTCGTTCACGAGCATGGACTACCACATGTGCTGCTCCTGCAGCTGGGCACCACGTTCTTCAAGCTGCCCGGCGGTGAGCTAAACGCTGGTGAAGATGAAGTAGAAGGTCTCAAGCGGCTGCTCTCTGAGGTGAGCGTCTATTAGCATCGAGAATGATAAACAAATTGTAAGAAAATGTGTGTTGCTTGTAGACGCTGGGTCGTCAGGATGGCGTTAAACAGGATTGGATTGTTGAGGACACCATCGGCAATTGGTGGCGCCCGAATTTCGAGCCACCGCAATATCCATACATTCCACCGCACATAACCAAACCGAAGGAGCACAAGCGATTGTTCCTGGTGCAGTTACATGAAAAGGGTAAATATCTAATTCGCTTGCCGAATCTTTGGTTTAGAGCGTAGGTATTTGATGACGGCAAAAAACATAAAAACCAAAAAAAAAACAGTATATTTAAAAACACTCTTTTTTTACACATACAACCTTGTAAAGTTATTGCCAAACCGTTACGCTAACAAACCTCATGTCATATCTTTTCAATGCTGTTTAGATACGGACGGGAACGCCAGTTACGATGTACCCTGAGCTGTTCCAATAGCGCCGTGTTGTGTTGTGTAATCTCTCACATCTGCATCTGGCATCTGCCCAACCAAGCATAGAGCTCTTCCCCAACGCTCTAATCTCAAGAGTGCAAACAAACAGAAATGAAAACAGAATCAGAAACAGATCGCATAATGGCCCGAGGCGCATAAATTTAACTCTTCTTAGTTCGTCGATTCTAGTTCAAATTTTTTTGTACAAAGGAAAACTTACTTCAAATTGTATTTGTTGCTCTCAGAGTTGTTGGCATATTTTTGCGCATATTCCGAAATTCGTTTGATTGTTCTTGTATTAATTTTGTAAATATGTCGACATTTCTGTGAACCAGAGAGCGAAATCATCCAACACACGATACTCATTTTGTTTGTTATGTGTTTGAGCCAACATTTGAACCGGGCAGGCAGTCAGCAGTTGAAGTGAAGCATTGTAAACAATTTAGCTCTGGTTGTCGTCTGCGGAAATGTTCGCAAATCTCGCGTGTTGTGCTGATTTGCGTGCATGGCAAACGCAACTTGACTAGGCAGGCAGTCAGTCGTTCCTTAAATAACTATTAAGCACTTCTTTATGTACAACAACAAATTATAATTCTGTGTGTTAGTAGTGCCTTGACATCATCCATTGTGCAACATTCGCGCGCACTTTTACACCATGTATAAATGAATGTTTCTCTTAATGGTAATCGAAATTTTGTTCACAATTAGTAGACTTCGTTTGATGCGCAAAGTGTGCCTAGAGTATACATATATATAAATATATATATGTTGAAGTGTCCCATCTGAGCTGGATGTGGAGCATTTTGCGCATGAAGAACGAAACCTAATAATTTAGTTTAACGAAGTATCAACAACTGTGAATGTAAACAATCTAATACAACTTTTATATATCATACGTATTTATGGCAGCGAATCTTTCTTATGTAAATTGTTTTGTATAACCGATTGTAATTATCTAGTTATTGCAATAATAATATGTGATATTTCCCATATATTGATATCGAATGCTCTGTGCTACATACATAAATTCTGTCTCTATCGTTTTCTGTAATCTAGCCCTTTTTGCTGTGCCCAAAAATTATAAGCTTGTTGCGGCGCCACTTTTCGAGCTGTACGACAATTCACAAGGCTATGGACCTATTATATCATCGCTGCCGCAGGCATTGTGCAGGTGAGTCCATTATCAATTTGCATTTTTCAAAACGATCCTTTGCTCATTCGTCCTCCATCTTTGCAGATTCAACTTTATCTATATGTAATAAGGCAGAAGAAAAAACAAAAGGAGCAGATTCAACGTCGCTGTTTGTTCCCCACACCATCCTTAGATAGGCTGCATCACCAACGATAGCTGTACTTTATAGTTTATGCCGCCTGACGCTGATATCCATTTCATTTGTGTATGTTTGTGTGTGTATTGCAGATTAAATGGAAGAGCCTAAGCGGCTTATGCTTGGCACATATACATATATATATCTATATATACATAAATAGAATCAAAGTTGACTTTATTTTGGACTATTATTGCAATGCTTAACTAATTATTACAGGATACATTAAGTTTGGTTTGAGAATCTCCTATTAAGTTAGGTATGCGGGCCAATTATAGCATATATTCGCTATAGATCTGCTCATAATATTCGCGTTTGCTGCAATGGAAGATACGCACATTTATTTTTTGTGATTACCATGTTAATTCGCATACTACATATTTAAATAACTTTTGCATTTCGCTTGACGGCTGTTAACTAAATTGAACTACAGACTGTTAATATTGTTGCTGTTGCTGTTGCTGACTAACATTCGATTGCGCTGTAAAGTGCGTGGGTGTAACAAATGAACTGATTAACAAAAACAAAACAGAAAAATCATTACGAAGCAGCGTACAACATAAATGAACTAAGGCGAACAGGAACCGTTTGTGTCTGTCTCTAGGGTAATTGTTAATTTTTATATAAGTATTATCTTAACTGCTATTTGCTCATTAATTGTTATGCATATTTTATGATTTTTATGACGTACAAAAATTGTAAACACATTGGTAGCAAATATTGCTAGCATATTGTTGCTGATATCTGAGTGGTATTTTAAGGGATTTACCACAACTTATTGTGATAGAACTTTAGATCGTTATAACCCTGATCGGTCAAGCCACCGGTGGACGATACTGTGGACATGGCATCTGTGTTGTCGTGACCGGGTGTAGTGGCTTCATTGCCCAACGGACGATTGATTTTGACCACACCGAAATCTTCGCGCTCCTGCTGATTGAACTCCATCTTGCTGGTGGGCATAACAGCCATGCCGACGCCAAAGGAGCGATTCTTCATGCCCGTGTGCTGCTTGCTCAGTTGGAAGGCTGGCGGCTTCCGATTGTCACCAATAATGCTCTCGGCCACCTCCGGCGAACGCACTGTGGGCGGCGTTGGGGTGTGCGATCTGCGCGGCGGCGATGCTGGAGTGACAACTTCCTCGGGTTCGGGCTCTTGTTCCTGCTCTGGCTCTGGCACCAATTCATATGCTTCGATTTCGATCGCCTGCAAATGCTGCAATTGTTCGGCAATTTCAGCAATATCGTTGCCGCTGTTGGAAAAAGTTAACAGAGTCTGTTAAATAACATACGTATCTAATGGATTTGATTTCTTGTTGTTGGTTTTATTGCACGACACAAATGAGATTAAATTAGACACAAAAATTATGCAGTAATGTTAAGAGTTAAATAAAAAAAGAGTTATATAAAATGTAATCACAATTATCAGGTATTTTGTGTGTAACGGTTCCGATCGTGTTCGATCCATGCCGCGAGTGTGTGTTGGTGTGTGAGTGTCTTTAGTGATGTGGTTGTGTGGGTGTGCGGCGAGTGCAGCCTCCTCTTTACTTCTTCTTCTTCTACTTCTTGTTGTACATTCTAGTAAATTCTCATTAATATTAGCTATGATTATGCAAAATTATAAATAATTCACTATAAAGTAAGCAAAGCTTTGTACAATTGTTTAATTGATATCTTGATTGTTTTTCTTTTTGTCAAATGTAATGCAGCCGTTTTGTGCGTTTGCGTAATTATTTGATTCTGAAAGACAACAAAAGAAAAAAAGGAAATGAAACCAAAATGATAAGCAATAAACGAAAAATGAAAAGATGTACTTCGTTTGGGGTGTTAGTAGAAACGAGGGTGGAAATGGGGATTGGCCATATAGGCAGCATTACCTGCTAGATTCTGCGTTGCCTCCACCGCCTCCCTTGTTGGAATTGCCACTGCCAGCATGAATTATCTGCACGAGGGTTGGATAAAGATGAGAATGAAAATATTATGTTCTATACATATTTCCAGCTTAAAGATCTGGGTCATATTTACATATGCATGTATGTATCTGTACTACAATATCATCCGGGGCACTCAATATCTGCTCTTTTGTAACCCTATTAAATGCACAATACAAAAATACGATTTCCTATAAGCAAAATTTTGTTCCAACTGCTTTAAATGTTAACAAAATTGCGTTGAACTAGTTGTAAATTACGCAGCAGGACCTCAATGAATCGTTTCATTAATAGCCAGTTTGACGCTTAAATAAGTTACAAACATTAAAACACAGGAAACGAAATGGGTTCCTTTAGTTTTAGTGCATACCCCTGGCATTTGCTAACGCCTCGAATCTAGCACACAAGTGTCAAGCGAAGTTTTATTTTCCACATGGTCCGCCCTCAAAACAGCCCCTTGGCACGCAGCCAAAGAAAAGCCCCAAATAGCGGGGTGGGCTTTGGCTTTTTTAGGGGTTGACCCACTGCGGGCAGGCAGCCCGCAGCGAAAGTTGCGACCCCAAAGCAAAAAATATGCTGAACAAAAAAACAGTTTTTATGCTCAAATTTCGATTCAAAGCACGATAGCTGAGTCGAGATTATCCTTTATCTTTTGTAGTGGCAAGATCTTGTTGTTGCAATAACTGTTTTCGTTGTCAGAATACTATAATTTCATTGTAAAACGTTTCGAATTTTTGCATGAGGATCGCTTCAAGGGATTGTGGCTTATTGTATGGGCAAACCGCCATCGCCATGTCCCTGCTCGGGAGTGCGCACCAAATAAATCGTCGTCTGGCAATTGGGGCAAGTGGTGCACATTTCAGCAGCTGGTGGCACCATCTGCGAAGACTACGGGAAGGATAACAATTATATACCAAGCGAATGGAGGTTTTTGTTGTTGTTGGCATAATTACGTAGCCGCCCTGTTGTTGATATTTGCGCGGCGACATCTGTGCCGGTGGTGGTGGTTGTTGATGTTGCGGCTGTTGCTGTTGCATTTGTTGTTGCGGCTGTTGCTGTTGCAGTTGTTGTTGCTGTTGTTGTTGCTGTTGCTGCTGTTGTTGTTGTTGCTGGTGCTGTTGTTGCAACTGTGCCTGTCCCTGAGCCTGACCTTGAGCTTGAGCCTGAACTTGTGCATTCTGCTGAGCATAGCTGGTCTGCTGCTGTTGCGGCTGATGTTGCAAATGAGCGCGTCGACTTTGGTAGGGCTCATGGCGTGTGGGCTGTCCAGCAGCCGGCTGCTGCGCGTACTGCTGCTGCGGTGTCAGTTGTTGTTGAGTGGGCTCAACAGTTGCTGGCACCAACGGCTGTTGTTGCTGTTGTTGTGCAACTGCTGGCGGCGGTTGTTGCTGCTGAACCGCCGCCATGTTTACCTGTGGCAGCTGCTGCTGTTGCTGTTGCGGCTGTGCTGGCGCCTCCTGGCCAGAGGTGGAGCGCATTGGCGCAACAGCAGCGCCCGTTGGCGTTGCTGGTACTGGATTGCTCGGCACAGCCAGGTTGCCATCAAGACCCGAGTTTCGGAGTCGTGAGGGACGCATAAAGGTGTTCATGGCCAGAAAGGATTCATCCACATCCTGCAGGCCAGAGCGCCGCTGAAAGGGATCCTGGCGATGATTAACGCGACTGAGTGCATCCAATGGACTCTTGAGCGGCTGTCGAAAAGGATGTTTATTGGGCTTCAACTGCAACAACTGTGTGGCATATCTAGGCTTATCGGCTTACATTATCTGCATGCTGCCTGGCTTGGCTGGGCGTTAGGCTGACCTCGCTTTTGCGGGCAATGTTGCCGGTGCCGCCTGCTCCATGGCGTGACTGTAAATCAAAACAACTCTAAGCCAAACACACACAGCACACAACATACAACAGCAACTGCTGCAGCTGCTGCTGCTGCACCAACTTACAATGACGCTCGTCTTGGAGCCAGCTTGGCGTGTTGCTGGCGCATTACCACGTCTCGGATCCATAATTTGTTCAATTAATTAAAACTGCACAATTCGAAAAGCGGAGCACGTTAAACTTTGGCACACAATCACGACGAAATTAAATATGATTATACGATTTGGATTTTCACTTGTTATGTCAAAGTTCAAAAACAACAAAGGTACACAAATAAAATATAATTTGTGTGTTTTGTCCAGAAATACTAAAAAAATAAACTCGTTGTGAAACGTGGCGAAAACAAATGTTTACTAAACTATTTCTACAACTCCGATGGATGGGGAAATAAATGGACATGAGTCGTAAATTTAAGCACACTGAGATCAAACTACAAATTATTTCAAAATTGGCATTATATACCCCATATGCTTGTCAAATCCGCTGGCTTTCAATTAGGACTCAAACTGTAAAGGGGCAGTGGTTGGTGCTTGAACTTAAACTTGAACTTGAACTTTAAATGCTATGGGTGAGTACCTCGGCCATGCTGCATGTGGGACGCTTGGCACCATAGCGTCCATTTGGTGAGATCTGTGTTATTTGATGCAGCTGCTGTTGTTGCAACTGCTGCTGTGAACCGCTGCCACGTCGATTGTTGCGTTTGTTAGCCTCATCGCCCAAATATGTAGCACCAAAGAGTTGTGTGTTAGGACTTGATTGATGTAGTTTTGTTTTTTTTTTTTTGGTTGTTGTTGATTATCGTTAGTAGGCGCAACATGTGGATTGAAAAGAGTTAACATCATACAATCATACCAAACTTATATTATTGAAATTATAATTATTGACTTTGACACGTGTGCTTAACTTTGCAATGTTTTCAATTAATAAGCCAAGCTAAAACAATTGTTGGTCAATGCAATGTAATTATTTTTAGATATATTTGTAGATGTATTTATATTTATTATTATGACTTATTACACCATATGCTAAGTTAGTTATTGGTTTGCAAAGTTAAGCACAACGTATCAGGTAGGATAGATGCATAGATGAATACATATATAGAGAAGCAACATAAAACTTAAGGTTAAAGCAAGCAACAAGCCACCGTATAATAAATTGCGAACAGTTTTCTTCAATTTCATTTATCGATAAGTGTTCTTCCGCAGGTGATCAATTTTATCGCAAACACGCCCCCAAAAACAAAACACAAATTCAACAGGAAAACGAAACAAAAACAAAAATGGGGGTTTTTGCTCGGATGTTTGCGTGCGATATGCAAATGCGCTGGCCAAGAAATGGGCAAGTAAGCCAAGTGAAATGTTTCCTGCAAGCCGCAACGCCTTAATTAACCTACTGCCACGCCCATGCCATACCCCCCTAAAAGGGGCAGTGGCACTCAACGCTGCAACTCACCTGTTTGTTATGTGCAAGCCATTCTTGGTGCGCTGTGGCGACTCGGCATGTCCATTTCGGGAGCCATTCTGTGAAGCGGCATCCTCGAAGAAGCCCTCGTAGAGCACAAAATTATTCGCCTGGGGAATGGTGCGCTTCAAACCATAATGTTTGCCCAGAAAGGCCAATAGCTTCTCCGATGGACGATCCACGGAGCACTTAATTGGCAGCCATTGCTCCTCACTTAACATGGTTTCATACAGATGCTTACCCAATCCGGCACGCTGACGTGATTCGTGCACATAAAAGTCCAAAATCGAAGGCGATTGCTCCATTTTGCGTGTCTGGCCCTTCTCGTCGAACAAGTAGAGATCTTTGGTGCCCACCTTGAGCAAGCCAGTGACGGCGCCGCTGCAACGAAACGAAATGATGCAAGGGGGACAGTGCGAAGAGAAGGAGGAGATTGGCTTACTTGTGACCCGCTTCAGTATCGGCCAGCAGATAGATGGTCTGGTTCTCCGACATGCGTAGGCGCTGAGCCGTTGTCACCGGTTTGCTCAGGCCCTGCGATACGGCCGACAAATGGCCGAGGCGATCGATTATCTCGGACATCTTTGAGGTGGCATCTCTGCGTGTGTGGGAGTGTGGAAAGCGTAACGGTTTTTTAATTGACTTACTATTCGAATTGGGTTTAGGGGTGATTAAATTTAGCGCCCGCGTACAGTTTCAATACTCACAAACACTGACGCCGATCACCTCGAAAGGTGTGCGGCAATAAATTGGATGCCACTTTGATAATTGGCTGCGGAAACAGCGGTTTAATGTCGAAACGGAAATCCACCATTATTGATGCTGCTGCTCGAACTGTGAACTGCGAACGGCACAAACTGAAATTGCAATTGCAAATGAGAATTCCAATTAAATAGAGCATTGCATGGCACAGATGAAGAAGGCGCGTTCGTTGCTCAATTTGATTATCAACCTCTTGTTTGGGTGCGACGCTTCTATATATGTGTGTGTGTGTGGGAATCAAAGCACATGCAATTTATTTAATAGTTGTTGTTGCAGCTCAATGATTCAGCTTTCAGTCATGGGCCACGTGTAGGTGTGCTGACAGGTAAGAGGATTGCACAAGTAGTCAGTCAACTTGTGCGCCCACCATTTCTGTTGGGCCAATGATCAATCATCATTTAAAACCGATAGACGATAACCGATTATCGTGTGTGATATACACTTTGTTATCGTGTCATTAAACTTACGTTATGAAATGTTTGTACGCACATTAAGTGAACGGGGGAAGTGGGACAGATTGCGGTTACACAAAACAACTCCTGTCGCCGCCTGCCATAGTTATTGCTAATTTGCGAGTGCAACGAACTGAACGAACGCCGGCGCAGCTATGAAGAACGATAAGCGAATGCTTTTGTAATTACATTTGTAGGGAGAGAGAGGCGTGGCGGGGCAATCACTTCGAGAACATGCAAAAGTTTTACCCATTACAGTTTTGTCAGCGGAAAAGTTGAACAACGGGGTTGCCTCAATTGCAGTCACCGTCGACGTCAGCGTCAAAATGCGATAGCAACAGCAAAGTAACAGCGACCGCATAAATGACGTGCTTACAGCGTCAGCAGAGTAAGCCCCCAGCAAAGGGGACTGGCTGCCTGCCTTGCTATTGTTCTCTGCTGTTGTTTATTTGCCCAACAGCAAACTGTTGACGTTGCCATACGCTCTCTCTTTCCATGAAGTGCTTTATAACTGTTTATAAGCCAAGGCGCATGATCTAAAATGAAAAAAAAAACGAACAAAAACCCCGCAATGCATAAGGAGCGGGGATCGGGGCGCGTGAACTCACTGCACTTCTTGTTGTGCTCTGCTTTTTTGTAACTCTTCCGTCTTAAATACACATATGTATGTATGTATGCACTTGTATAAATGTGTCAAGTGAGAATTGTGCGTCTGTGTGAGCGTGAGAGCAAAGCAGTTGATATCGCATGTAAACAGCAAAGCAGCAGGCGGTAACGTGTGCAAACGGAAGGGCGGCTTGTTTTTACATTTGTGCGCGATCAAAGCTTTTATAATTAAACAGTTAATCAACAAGAAATGCGCTTGGAAACAAGACGCTCGACAACTTTCAGTTTTCTGCTGTTATCACAAACAAATCAATTAGAGGCAGACAGACAGATCACAAATATAGTTATTTTTGCCATATAATTCGTGATGAAATCGAATAGAAATATTACACGGCCTTTAGCCTGGGAATAAATATTTAGTCTATCGCCTGATTAAATGTTGCCTAGCGAAAAAAACAAGCCCTCTTTAGTTGTTGCTCTCCCCAAGTCTGACAGTCCCTTCCCTACCCATCCCATAGCTTAATTGTTTTGGGTGTGTATTAAATAACACAAACATTATATATACAATTTTGTTCAACGACAACCATAACAACAAATTCTCAGTTACAATTAAACACATACTGAGGCATTTTATATTATCGAGCCTTACTCACACACACACATACACACAAAAGACCAATATAAATTAACTGTTTTCTTATATGTACTACATACGTGCAGTTATAAATAAAGGGTGCCAGGCTTTGTTCTCACACACGACAGAATTTTAGCTGGCCAAAAACGGACTTGAGTCATATTTATACAGTAACAAGGTCAATCGATAAATGTAAAGCAAGTTGTCAAGGTAGGGAAAAACTTAACGCCCAACAACCGGGTGTTGTTGAATTTCTGACAGGTGTTTTGTTGTCCAAGGTAACAGGGAGACGACGATCCCAATATGGGCAATTAAAAATAACGTTTCTTTTAACGACTAGGTAGTCATTAGCTTTTTCGAGCTTTAAATGTGCACGCAACCGTATAAGATTCGGTTTCTTTTATCGTTATCGATGGCAACAATAAATTGCATACAAAGTGCGTTATCGATGGCAATGAAATACTTTTGCGGGCCCGACTCGGGCATGTTGTTGTTTACAATGGAACGCCTCGCAACCGAGCCGTGCAATGATCAAAACAACTTGTTATTCCTCAACACAACAACAGCTATAACAGCAACAACAACAACCACAAAAGCAGCAGTAATAAAAACCACAGCGAGTGCAATTCTGTTTTCTTTTCTCTTTTTTTTTTTGTTATTGTTCACATTGCACGCGCCACATGTTAGTTTTATCTACTTGAAGAGAAGAAAAAAGAGAAGAGCAAGAGGGAGAGGGAGAGAAAAGAGCAGCGGTTCGTTACGTTTTACGTAAGACAAATCGTAAAACTGAATTGCATCAGCATAAAACACAAGCTTTCGTGCACATTATTGATGTACAATTTACATACATATGCATTTATATGATTATTTTCTATATCAATGAATATTTAAGAATATTATATTATATTTTCATTTAGTCATCGAATGCGATCTGTTTAGTTATTCGACAAACATTATCAACTGATAAGAAAAAACCGTTCCGGTTTCGGACTAAGACACAAAAAAACCTTTCTCAAGGTTTTCCCCAAGTTTTTGAGTCGCCAGACAAGAAAAAAAACACGAATTTCACGAGCGATCGAATATACGCTAAATCAGTTTGTCATGTTTTTTTTAATGGCCTGCTTATGATAAGAGGAGACGACCAGACGACATGCATGGATTAAGAAAACCGGTCCGAGGCGGTTCTAGTGAACACTTGACTGGCAAGTGACACTTATTTATTTAGTTAAAGCTTTTGATAATCAGACAAACACAAAACAAACACAGATGATTTGCGCGCGCCAGCAGCATGGGTTCAAAGGTTGAGAGTTCGAAATTAGGACAGCCATTGTAGGAGATCTGAGTGTCGGTGCGCAGTATCAACATCGATGGTAGCTGTTTATCGACAAACACTGTAAATGTAACACAAGCACTTGTCTCACTTGTAATTGGCAGTTATCGTATGATCGCCACACATACACACGCACACACAAATACAGTGGACAACGTCGCGACAATGCGTCTGTCAGCTGCTCGAGCGAGAGAGAGAGAGATCGAGAGAGCTATGGCGAGTAAACTAAAGCGACGACTGCACTTGTATTTGTTTTCTGTCCGAGTTTTCTTATAAGGGCGGGTAGCGACTAGTGGGAAATCAGTTGTAAAAGGCCAGTCAATGCGTTCAGATCGTTGCTTCTGGATCGTTCAGCAGTCTATATAAATACATTTATTAAGTACTAAGAAAAAATCCAAAGAACAAGCAATGTCAATCTGACAGACGTAAACGTCTCCATATCCAAAACAAAAATAATAAACAGCTGAGCAGCACGAAACGCGCGTGTGCAAAATAAAAAAAAGACATATACATACAAAAAAAAACCGATTACGACGGAAAATTTCAGCGGAGCGAACAAAGCACAAACTTGGAACGTAAGAGCCGTACAGCGTTTACGTCATTACGTAGATTAACAAGAACAACAATAAAAACAACAACGTGTTTACCACCATTCGCAAGATGAGCAGCTCCGTGCTAAGCATGGCACGTCCCAGTGCCACAACTAACGGTTGTGCAGCAGCAGCTGCAGCTGGCAGCACAGCAACGGCAACTGCAACGCTGCTCGCCAAACAACTAAATGCTGCGCTGGCCACAGCAGCGACGACGATGACGTCAACGCCACCAAAGCAACAGTTGCAGGCAGCAAGGATCATCGAGCTATCGGACGTTGTCTGCTTCGATGTGGACTCAACGGTCATCTGTGAGGAGGGCATCGATGAGCTGGCAGAATACTGTGGCAAGGGCAGCGAGGTTGCCCGTGTGACCAAAGAGGCAATGGGCGGCAGCATGTCATTTCAGGATGCGCTCAAGATACGCCTGAATATAATACGGCCATCGCAGCAGCAGGTAGCCGATTTCATCAAACAGCATCCCAGCACCCTAAGTCGCAATGTGAAGCGTTTCATAGCACAACTCAAAGCGGATGGCAAACAGGTGTATCTCATATCGGGTGGATTCGATTGCCTGATTGCGCCCGTTGCCAACGAACTGGGCATTCCACTGTCGAATATGTACGCGAACAAAATGCTGTTCGATTTCAAGGGCGCCTACGACAGTTTCGATATCACTCAGCCCACATCGCGTTCCGGCGGCAAGGCGGAGGCTATCGGCATGATTAGGAAACGTTTGCCGGCCGATGCGCTTGTCACCATGATTGGGGATGGTGCCACCGATTTGGAGGCTGTGCCGCCGGCCAATAATTTTATTGGCTATGGCGGCAATGTGGTGCGCACAGAAGTATACAGACGCGCCCAGTATTACATAACAGACTTTGAACAGCTGATGTGAGCTGACCAACAACAACAAAGAGGAGAAATAGGAGCAGAAGTAGCAGGAGCAGAAAAAGGAGGAGGCGAATTTAGTATTGCATATCGGAGTGTTATAGTTTATAGGCAACTTAAATAAGTATAAAACTACAACAAAATATAAATACAAATACATATATAATTATATAGCATGTGCGTTAGTTAATAGCCATTTCGTTAACAATAAAAGCGATAGTAAAATTAAAGCAAAAGAGAAAATACGTCGTTGGTTGAATACCCTTATAAGCATACAGTATACATTTTCTATATATATAAATAAATATGTAAAAATTATGCTCCAGTTAGCGTACCATTCCAGAGGCAAATTTAGCAGTTGTCCAGGTGAAGCAAGAGAAGCTGGACTAATTAACAGCGCTGTTAATGAGCAGCGAAATGGTGAAGTGCTATTCCCGCACCATCAGTGTAAAATACAGGCCAATGTAATTGAAGCGAAATTGGCAAGTGTAATTAACAGCGCTGTTAACGAGCAGCATTCTGCTATAATGATACTTTTTTAGCTAGTTTGCAGGGCATGTCAAGGGGCGAGAGTTCGTCGCGCTCATACAAAATGAAAACTGGCACGAAGGTTAAAGCCATTGGGCACACTTTCTAAATGCAATTAAAGCACAAATGTGCCAGCCACGCCTCGCTAAGCGTTTAACAATTGTTGCCAACAGCATTTAGTTAAACAAACTGGCAAGGTCGTCATAGCAGTCGCCGTCGCAAACTGCGTGGGTGCTATCGATAGTCAAATAGCGATAAACGAGAACCGGCATCTTCGTTGCCGTTGATTCTGTTTATTGTTGCTTGAGGGTCAACGTCATATGGCGATTGCTCCAGTCTAGGCCATATAAGGAGCGACGCGGCTGCTGTTTTTAACTTTAAAGCAGAGGCGTGAATTAAGGCCAAAAATGAATGCATGTCTAGACCGGCAGAGAACACAGCACAGCAATTAGCGGAAGCCACAAAGCGATGAGATCACCAACAACATCAACAAATGCGTAGCAAACATAATTATGTTACAGCGTGGCTCAAATACAAAAGTATCTGTGAGTGTGTGTATGTTTGTATTTAAGATTTAAGACAGTGACCGTTATGGCGCACTGCTTTAAGCTACAAAAGTGTCATGCAAATGACTCACGCACACACTTTTGCCAATGTATGTGTATGTGTGTGTGTATGGCCGCTATAATAATGACTTCAACCTGCAAATGACGTAAAAATTGTTTTAAGCTCACTGAGCCGCATCCGAAACGGCAGCAACCGCACGCACACAGATACACAAACACACACATATATACATATACATATTGCTAGTGTAGAAACTGGCAGCAGAAAAAACAGAAAGTTTGATAGAAAAAAACGAGCTAAAATGGTACAATAAACTTACCACAAACAATAATAAAATTGCAAATACGCTTGCTTTAAATATATATATAGTTGTAATATCGCCTTATGGTTTTGCCGCTCCAATCAGATTCCGATGCTGTTGCGTTGGCGTAACTGCTGCACAGAGATTTTCTTGTTAGCGTTTGCTTCGGGGGTTGGATGCAGTTGGATGCGAGCAGCACGGGTCGTGGGGGGATGTTTGCTCTTAGCGTCTTTGGTGCTTTATCGATTGTAAATTTATGTATGTGGCCAAATTAGAAAATATTTTTTACTTTTTTTTTTCAAATATAAAATTTTAGTATGCTTCGTAAAATAAATGACTATTATTTATGTTTTTAGTCTTGCATTTGACAGAACTGCTGAGTTGCTCAGCGTGTTGCTGCTTACTAATATGTATATTAATTTATGTTTTCTATTATAATTAATAATTTGATCTATTTTTTTCTATGTACTTTACTTATGCCACCTTTGGCAAGGAACAACTATGTATTTATGTATGTATGCCCCGCTTGAAAACACACGGAAAACCGACACGCACGAACTAGCGTCCGTCAGAACGTTGTTGTATGCACGACAGTCAACTAAGATATAAGCTTTTGAATGGAGCTTTAACTTGCCACAAGCTTTTTAACTAGCAACAAGCTAAAGTCGAGATGTCGCTTACAGCAGCTGATTGTTGCGTCGATTGACCGATAGGTGGTCAAACCGATTGTGGCGGCTAGCAGATACGCCTTCGCCGCATGCTGGGCAGACCGGTTGAAAAACTCTGAGGTGTATGGGAACTCAATAGGACAATTGTATGCAATTTGCTACATTATAAACAGTAAGTGGAAAAATATGGAATCGTATTATACCCCAATAAGACTCAAATAACATATATTTAGCGGTTTTCTACATGAATTATCGATAATGTTAACTAACAGCTGTAAAAGTGCCTTTGGTAGTGAACCAAGTGAACTAATTGCTCGTTCATCTGGTTAAGTGAGTCATTCGACCGAACTTCTTCGGAACGATTCGATACAAAAGTCTACAAAGAAAGGACGCAAAGGACGCACAAGCGACGCATACACAAACGAAATGCCACGGAATGTGGGAGATGCCGGCAACGGCGGCACTGGCTCCAGTGCCACCAGCGACGGCTGCATATATCCCGACGATATCATACTCGAAAAGGGCGTAACATTCAATGTTCGTTACACGGGCTGCGTTGAGGTCAAAACCTCCATGAAATCGCTGGACTTTGAGACGCGAACGCTTCTCGCACGGTAAGTGGGAAAAAAATATGACATGCTAAAAACAGTTATTGAAACAATTCCTTGTGCAGTGAATGCATTAATCGGGTATGCGAAGCGGCTGGCTTGAAATCGGCAAGCAAACGGCGTCTGGACAAAAAGCTGCACAACTTTATATCGGATCGGCCGAGCATGCAGCATGCGGGTACCAACATCATTATCAATGTGTCGAGTCGAGCGCTGACGCTGAGCAATGTGGAGACGGGCGAGGTGATCGCCAGCCACAATATGCCAAGGATATCCTTTGCATCCGGTGGCGACAACGACACCCTTGATTTTCTCGCCTACATTGCCAAGCGGGAGGGCGATGAGTGGCGTGCCTGTTATGTGCTGGAGTGTGGCGGCGGGCAGAGCGAGGATCTGATTGTGACCATTGGCAAGGCGTTTGTGTTGCGCTTCAACGCCTTGAGCCGGCAGAATGATCATTTAGCAAGTGCTGCAGCTGCGGAGAATATGAACCAGAGCTGCAAGGAGAATGTGAAAGAGTATTACAATGATTTACCCAACAAGCTGCCGCCGGAGTTGCCATTCGAGGAGCAACACGAGCAGCAACAGCAGCCAGGACAACTTCCACTTCATCCGCACGCGCCGCGCGTCGCTCAATTGAATTTGCGGAAGCCCCGCGATCGCTTGAGCAGCAATCTCATTGATCTTAACTCCCCGCCACCCGATCAAACCACCAACAAACTGGCCCTTGGCAACTTTGATCCGCTGCAGCAGCAGGCAGCAGCCACTGTTGCTGCCACAACTGCAACGGCAAGTGCAACTGCAGCCGCCCCCAACTCTCACTCCATACGCGATGTATTCGATGGGCCGCAATGTCCTTTGACTGCCGAAGTTTGGTTCCATGCCGCCATCTCGCGGCCCATCTCGGAGCGTCTGCTGCAGCAGGACGGAGATTTTTTGGTGCGCGAATCGCAGGGCAAGCGGGGCCAGTATGTGCTGACCGGACTGGAGGGGAAGGCACCGAAGCATCTGCTGCTCATCGATCCAGAGGGCGTGGTGCGAACCAAAGATCGCATTTTCGACAGCATCAGCCATCTGATAAACTATCATTGGGTGCATGCACTGCCAATCATATCCGAGGATTCCGAGCTGGTCTTGCGGAATCCGGTGCGCAGGCCAGCCAACAACAATCTCGATTCTCAGACAGCCGACAACAACAATGCATAATCACAATCCTTCATATACACCACATATTCTATATATACATATTCGTGTACACACTTAGGATTTACATACATATATATGTGCACTTGTAGAGAATATCTTTTATATATCGTCTATCATTGTATAAACAACAAAACAAAACCCATTTATTTATGGATCGAATGTATACATATTTATATATATGTGCAGCATGTCTACAGTATTTTTCATTAAAATGAAAATAAACCAAAGCAATGGCCTTTCACTATAACAATAAACACAGGATTACAAATTGTACATTTCACACACAGGATTTTATTGTTGTGTTATCCATGCAATCATTTTTTCATTTTGTTTCTTTGTTTTTCATTTGTATCAAAAAAACAGAGCTTCCGATTAAAACCTAATTGCGACGTCCAAAATTGTTGGTATTGGGCTGGGTGAGCTGCAGGCCACGAATATTGTGGAAGTCCAACAGTTTCAACATCTCCTTGGTATCGGCATCGACCTCGATGATGTCCTGCTCCAGGGCAGAGACGGCGGGCACGTAATTATCACGACGCTCGCGCTCCTCCTCCTGCAGCTTGATGGAGATACCACGCACCTGGGAGTGACGCAGACGGCCCATCAGATGGGTAACATAACTGCACACAAAGACAAATTCATATAAGTATTAAAGGCTTTCTTTCATCTTCTCAGGGAAGAGAAACTCACCCGGCAATCTTGTTGCGGAGGGGCTTGGTGGGAATGATAGCAACCTCCTCGCAGATACGCTTGTTGGTGTGGAAGTCCAACGTCAGGCGCGTGTAGTACTTCTCAATGATGACCTTAGCGGCCTTCTTCACTGTCTTGGTTCTGACGCGACCCTAAAATTTGAGAGTTCAACAGAAAAAATACACAGTTTAGTAAACAATCCATTTTTCGAGGCAATTGGATTACTGCCATGAATGAAATTTCACTGCGCGCTATCGCTGCACAATTGTATCTACACTTTACTTCACATATTTGTGCATTTATTGCAGTGATTGCGTTTTTAAATTAGGTTTTTAAATTCATTTTTGACATTTGGACACCCACCATTGCGAACGTTGTTACCGGAAAAGAACAGAAAACAGCAGCTGTCAAATTGACATCTTCGTGGTGAATGCTTGGTACAGGGTTGTATGCACTGGCGATGCTCAAAATGGAAGAAGCAGAATGGTGCGCTCATAGTGAATGGCAAGTGTAGAGAAGAAGCAGCAGCATCACCAAAGTAACGGAAAACAGTGCAAAAATAATTTTAATTTTTTTTTTTTAAGTGGGTCAGTGCAAAATGGAAAAAGCTAACAATAATGGTGAAGAAAGCGCTGCTACAGCATCCCCCTCTAATTCGGAGGAACAACAACAACAGCAGCAAGCGGGCAACGGTTCTGATTTTCAAATCACTTTAAATGATTTTCTTGATTTTTTAAAACTTTCCTGTCACGTCAACGAAATGATTGCAAAAGTCGATGGCAAACCCCAAAATCGGGAGCCCGTTCCTCCAGCCGAGAGTGCGGCTGGCATACACTCGAAGCGCACTAGCAAAAAGGAGGAATTCGACTTTAATACACTGGCCGAAAATCAATTGGTAAATGAACTGCTCGCCTTGAAGCGACCCCAACGCCACTTGGGCAACTCTAGCAACAGCACCAACAGCAGCATCAGCACCAGTCGTGACGAGAGCAGCCGCACCAGTCAACTGCTGACGGAGCACAAGGCACAAGCCATGCGCACAACTGGACACATCCACTCCGGACGTGGCCTGCATCCCAAACTGAGCGAGCAGCTGGACTATGTCATCAACGAGGGCGTTTTGGACTCTGTGCTCTCCTTCATATGTCCGTTGCCGTTGCCCGTGGCACTCGCTCCCAACAATGGACGCGCTAAGTCCACCAAACAGCAGCACCAGCTGTTATCCCAGCCACAATTGCCGCTCAAGTCGGAGTTTCCAGCAGCGGCGGCGGCATCCAAGTCCACAACGGAGTTGGGCTATTTGCCGACGCCGAGATCGAGCTCACCCAGCGTCAGCTCACCCAGAGATAGCCCGGGCACTGGTCTGGTTGAGTCCAGTAGCTCCAATAGCATGGTGCGCGCCTCCGTCAAGGAACCCATCGGGAAGACATCATCAAACTCAATGTCACGTCGCAAATCTTTGCTGCTGGTCAAGGATAGCAAGCATTCGCGTCAGGAGCGAAAGGAGTGAGTCAATGGCATCGCCATAATTCCAATAATAAACTGATTTATTATCCATTCTCAGGGCTGAGGTCGTGATCCATGTTTGTGACGAGGTTAAGAATACATCGCGGGATTTTACCTGCCCGCAAAGCCTGCTGGTGAGCAAGATGGGCTACTTTGCCGATGTGACGGCCGGTCAGCGTCTGGAGGAGATGGACATATCGGTGCACTGTGACATACAGATCTTTGACTGGCTGATGAAGTGGATCAAGCACAGTGCCCAGAGCCAGGAGCTGCAGGCGCCGGGTCAGAGCAATGTAGCAGCAGGCCCCCAACTGGATGGCAATAATGTGGTGCCCATTCTGGTGTCGGCCAGCTTTCTGCAGATGGAGCCACTGCTGCTGGAATGCCTCACCTTCTGTCACGCCCATCTCAGCGAGGTAGTGCGCACCTCAACGAATCTCTCGTGTCTCAATGATGCACTCGTCAGTCGCTTGGCGGCGATGTTTACCAATCTGGAGCTGGAAATGGTGCGCGACAAGAAGGAGCGAGTCACACCACGATTGTGGACAAAGCTAATACAGAGTCTCTGCGAACCGGATCCGGAGGTGCTCCGCGGACACTTCTACAGCATATCGGGGCTATTTCGCTGCGTGCGCTGCTGTCGCTGTGTGACAAACACAATGAAGTCCTTTGTCAACTGCATTCCCAGCAATATACGGCTGAGTCGCTGGGGCCAGCTGATCAGCAGCCATGTGCGGGATACCAACTGGGATCTCAATGTGTACGTGATGCAGCTGTTCAAGGAGCTCAAGTCGTGGCGCAAGGTCTACTGGAAACTCTGGGGCCATTGCCACTATCTCTACTGCTGCACGTGCGAGGCGCATTTCCCAGTTTACCAGATGACCTGGTGTCGCTATCATCCCGAGCCGCCCAACTTTCTGGGTCCCGAGACCGAGGGACGCATTGCCGGACCAGCGGGACGCTACGCCTGCTGCAATCAGCAGGCATTTCGCTACGAAACGTTGCCGGGCCCAAATGTAAAGGATTTTTATTAACTTAATTTATTAATTGCTATAAATTTATGTACTCTGTTTAGGGCTGTCAGTTTCGGGAGCATAGCGTGCTGGTGGACACGGATCGAGAGCGGGCCATTCTGACCATTGCCCAGTTGGTGGCCGAGAACTATGCGCTGTGCGAACAGCCGCCGTTGCACATTCAGGAGCTGGCCGCCGCTGGCGAGATCAGTCCCAATTGGTTGGGTATTTCGCTGACGCCGCAACGCTGCCGCCAGGGTCTGCTGCCGCAGCTGTGCATGGACAGTGGGTTATTCCTGTTTGCTCCTTGGCGAGCAGATTATTTCAGTTGAAATATTTATTATATATTTAATTCAAATATTTCACTTTCAGTGACCAATCATCGGGTTAGTCGACGTTGTCGCTATGAGATGGAGACGAGCACCGAGTCGGAGACGACATCGACCAGTTCGGAGGATGCGCATTGCCAGCGTCCGCGCATCCGCAACACGCTGCTCGATGATGAGTACTCAACGAGTAGCGATGGCTGCGAATCGGATCATCGCCCGCCGCCGCGAAAGACGCGCGGCAAGAAGAAGCGCAAACGGTAAGTTAAGAAACAGATCCTTTCGTTTGTGGAATAGCTCTCACTAATCTCTGGAGCTGTAGGCCGGCTGCTGTTTCTGGTCGCTTCTGGTCGGGCGAGTTGTCGGCGCGCAGCAATCAGGATCATCAGCGTGACTTCGAGGAGAAGATCATGAAGCAGGTGGTCAGCTATGTGACCAAGAAGACGGGCACGGATCAGAGCCTTGTGCACAATGCCCAACCGCTGGGCGGCACCTATGTCCGTCTGGAGTCCGAGTGGAAGGAGATGCTCAAGCAGCGTCACAGCAATCACAATATGCAAAATAGCAGCGCCAGCAACATGGGCGGCACTGGTGGCGTTGGAGCCGGCGGCACTCTCAGCAGCAACAGCAGCAACCAAAATCTGTATGGCAGTGGTGGCGCCACCGTTGGAGGCATGACATGCGGCCCGGGTGCCTCGCTGATGTCCAAGCAAAAGCACAAGTAGAAAAATAGTGAAAATAGAACACAATGTAGGACAATATTTACCAATAGATCAATGTAGACAAATGTTTTAACAAGTAGATAACACAATGCAACATGCAACATGCAACAATGCAACTCAATCGAATTGATTTGAAAAATTTGACAAACTATTGTGAATTTGATGAATACTTTTAAATTGTTAAAGTGCTATATTGAAATACAACTAAAACGAAATTGATGAACTTTTTTTTAGAAGAGTTCGCAAAAATGTTGCAAAAAAAAACAACTTTTGAACGTATTTCTGCATTTCTTAATAGTTGTTTATTATTTAACTTAACGCAATTTACAAAGATTTTTATCATAGATTGTTTTTTTTTTAACTTTTAAAATTAATTTTCCTTTCTTTGCTTTAGTTTTTTTCTTTCTTTTTTTCACTGTTGTTTTTGCCATAAATTAATCCAGACACAGAAATCAAATATTGTATGATTATTATAAGCGTTGCAAGTATTTGTAACTTAAATTTGCATATATATTTTTTTGTTGTTGTTGCTTAACAATAAATGCGGATGCGCAAATTGGAACCCAGGGTTCTAGACATACTCGTATAATTACAACATAATCAAATGTATTTTGGGGGTGGGGTTGGTGTGGGTGCCTTAGGCTCAACCTGTAGCAGGAAACGCAACACAATTATTAATTTATATATATATATTTATGTAGTGCACTCCAAAGTAGAAAATAATTATAAATCGCATGCATTTTACGCATTTTTAATTTGTTGCCACAGCACGTGAAATATTGCAACATAATTTTCCTCCAATTTGGAGGCATACAACTTAAATTACACATTGAATGGATTTTGAAAATTGTAAACACAACAAAAGTAAAGATTAAATAAATAAAGTTGATCTGTCTGTGTGTGTGTGCGGGTTTGTGTGTGAGTGCGAGTGCGTGGTGTTTGCTAATTGTTGTTGGGATGGTATTTCGTATATGGATGCTTGTTGTTGTTGTTGTGATTGTTGCTGTGTTTCAGGCGGCACCTGCTCATCTACTTCTTCCTCATCTGCTTCAAACAGTACTAAAATTTTGAGTTGTTCTTGATTGATTATGCTAATGACGCTGCTGCTGCTGCTCCTCCTCCTTCTCTCTTCGCTTCTCTGCTGTTCTCTTCGCTCTCTCTTTGTCTCTCCTTATTGTTGTGGTTGGTATTTTGCTGGTGTTGGTGTTGTTGTTGTTGCGGTTGCTGCTGTTACTCTCAGTTGGCCGCAAAGCTAACTGAATAGGCACTCGGTCGCCTTCTCCAGATTCCAATTCTCTTTGGAGAGCACGGCACGCGCATCGTGCTCATCGACGCCCATATCCTTGAGGCGCTGTATCTTTGAATCACAATCGGGAAACGTGTGCGGTCCGCCCGCATACGCGTTTGTCCAGTGTCTGGCAGTGAGCACGAACAGTTCGTGTTTATCCTTGAACTGATAGGCGACCACCGCATCCTGCGGATCATCTGGCTCGGCAGCGGCGAGCAGCGCCTGCAGCGACAACAACACCGTGCGCAACGTCATCGCAGCTGCCCAATTGTCCTTCAGTATGTCCAGGCAAATGGCCCCAGTCACCGACGAAATGTTCGGATGCCAAATGCGTGTTATAAAACGAACCTAAATCAGACAAAACAACATAAATTAATCATTTGTGATCTAAACTGATTACAGCGATCGCTCGTAAATCGAGAAATAAACAAATTCGTTATGTAATTCATATTTATTGAAAATGATAATAAATACAACAAATGTTAGCCTGTATCGATTAGCGAGCGATTACTGTACTGCACAGTGGCACCAATTGACCAATGGGCTATGTTGGGGTGAGGAGGATGGGGAGGGTGGAGAAGGCACTTACTTTTGGTGGATTGAATGGGTATGTTTCGGGCACTTTGATTTCCAGCACAAATTTGCCGCCCTCGTAGGGCGTGTCTGGCGGTCCCGCAATCTCTCCACGCAACTCTGTCCAGCTGTCGTTGACCAGCTCAATTTTGATCGAACACTGAACGATCTACAGGTTCATATTTTGACAGGGCGAGTGGTGGAGCAAGCGAGATAGAGCATGTAATGGAAAACACAATTAGTTCCAGTTGTTGACAAGTGGCGCCAAAAATGGAATCAGAACGCAACGATTTCGTCCTTGAATTTGGCATTGCTTCCAATTGGAGAATGTGATGTGGATCTTGAGCATATTTTTGGACTTACCTCCTCGCTGCGCATTACTTCTTTGAATTCGCGCTTGATACGTTGAACTGCCATGTTCGCCATGATTATGTGGATTTGTTGCTGTTTTTGTTGTTGCAGTTTTTGTCTAATTCTCTAGTTGCTGCTACTGCTGATTTTGCGGCGGCAGTTGTTGTTGTTGTTGTGGCTGTTGCTATTGTTGTTGTTGTTAGTGGCTATCGGGGGGTAAGCATACAGAACGCGTTGCTCGTGGGCGTTGTGTGCTTTTATTTCGAATTATTGTAAGTTAAGCGGCGTCACACACACAAAAACAATACAATATACTTTACTATTTCAATTATATTAAACTGACACTTTTCTTAACACAATTTGCATGGAACCAGGGCTGCTACACTATCGATAAATAATGACAGTCAGCTGCTGGTTGGTGTGACCGTTTGCCGATATCCTCAATATACACAATCATTATTTATCAATCGATAGCTGTTTGGTGTGCGTTAAGTGGTGGAGTTTTCTGCTCAATGGTGGAGTTTTCTGCTATGAAAATGTTAACCGCTTATTGTTGTCTTCGTTCTAGTGCTGCAAAATAGCCACAATTATTTTCAAAAGAGAGCGCAATTTTGCCTATTTTACTTCTATATTTTTCTCAATTAAACCAATTAACACACTTGATGCAAACCAGTTTTGTGCGCGCACACAAAAAAACCTCCACCCATATCTGGTCTGAAGGTATTTTTCCACAGCATGCTCAAGGCTGTTTCGGTTTGATCCCTCGAGCATAGTGAAAAATTGACTTGATTTGACCTCAGGTAGATAGTTCTATTACGCCTTTGCAAACGTTTCAAAACTCGTTTCGAGTCTAATAATAAAAAACAAGACGTCTAGCTTACACTGAGGCAGGCTGCTTGGCAACAGCACAAAAAACAAATAAGGAAAATAAAAACACACATAATGATACTTAATTATTCTGCTCATTAATAAACAATCGTCTGACTTTTTTTCGCTCACGTTTTACATTTGACGAAAAAAAAACGTGAGTGGGGATCAGAAAGCAACCGATTTGAATGCTAACAATTTTGAAAGCGCCTCGACTTTTAGAGTTACACAGCGAACAGTTTCTTGCTGCTTTAATAGGTACCCAGCAAACAATTTCTTGCTGCTTTAGCATGCCCCAATTAAGTATATTTTGGTCTAGCTGTAGACTCAGAATTTTATCAGAGCTGATAACAGCCAGTAAACATTAACATTATAACTTGTCATAACCGATTTCTGTTTGTTTTGTGCTCCCCTTTATGGTTGCTGGGCACGTGTTTCGTTTGTTTTCTTTGCACAGTCGTTCGTTGTTGCCGCCAAGCTCCAACATACCAAAAGACGCTTGCCGGCGTCACGTTCACTCTCTCGCTCTCGCTCTCCCTTCTCTCTCTCTCTGTGTGTGTGTGTTTGCCTTCGATGCGCTCTCTTCTGTCGTGGTTTAAAACTTCATGACTCCATCGACAATGAAATCATTCAGCTCTTGCATTTTCATTGAAGCGGCTGCATTTGTGAAGTGCTGAAGCAGAATAAAAACAGCAACAACAACAACAACAGCAAAATCAAAGTGAAACGTGAGTAAGAAAAGAACCGTTCAACGCTCAATTTTGTTATTGTACTTAAAGTAAAAGTTATTTGCGACCGATTTGACTCTGCACATGTTTCAAGTAAGTTGATATTTTGATATGTCTGTGATTGTGTCTTTATTATTATTTTTTTCTTAGTGTGCGTTGTCAGCATGCTAAGAGCTGACACGTGGTTGCTCCACCTGCTCCCCTTCCCACTCTTTTGTTTTAATGCAGCGACGCCATTTGCATTTGCGTCAACAATACAAACAAACAAATCCCGAATACGTCATTCTCTGATAGCCATTTCTTTGCAAAAACAAAAACAGATAAAAAAAATCACTGAATGACATTTGAGCGCTGGCTTTAGTTCATTTAAATTTAGACATGAAAACAATTTGACAATTTTCAACGTACGTATTTCGCTTGTCTCGCACCAGCATCCAGTACAGTTGTACAATAACAGCAAGAACAAGAACAACGCCGATATGACGAGCCTCTTCAAAGAGGCACCGGCACCGGCTGACGTTTGGGAGCTTTACCTGAGGACAGGCTAAATAAATTAGTCATGCGTATTCAAAATGCATTTCACGAATCCCTCGTAATTGCAGCAAAACAGCTGTCATACTAAGAAACTCACAGAGAGAGAGAGAGAGAAAGAGAAAGAAAGAGAGCGAGTGAGAGAGAGGGAGGAGAATCAGAATCAGCGCAAGAGAGCAACGTCAAAAGCTTCTGACGCTAGCATCGTCGTGTCATCGTCGTCATTTGTGTGTGTGGGTGTATGTATGTGTATGTGTATGTGCTGAAACGCATACCTTGAAATGAAGGCGCTCAGTTTCAATTGTTCAGTCGTTGATTCCGTTGTTCTCTCCCTTGCTGCTGTCAAATCTACTGTTATAGTCACTCTAATAAATATAAATACCTATAAATCACAATATATTATATATAGTATACAGCTGTGCGAATTTTCCCTTACAAACGTGTGCGTGCTCTTCGCTCAAGCAGCTTTGCTCGCCGCGAACACCGAAACGTTTCTCAGTCGTGTATTACCGTTAGCAGCTGACAAGCCACGATAGAACGCGTCGTGTTTAACAACAGTGTTGAGAGTTGCGAGAAGCTTGCAGAATGCTGAATACAAAATGCTTAGAGTCCGAACAAAGTGGTGCGTAATATAATTGCCGTCAAATGAGTGTATGTCTGTTTGTGAGTGGCTGTGCATTGCTGCAAGGTTAAATAGTAAAAAAACCCCCAAAACCCCATGCAAACAGCTGTTTACGGCGTGAGCAAAGCTTTTTAGCACGCGCCTGTTTACATGCCAACATATTTTTTGCTTGTATAGCTGCAGCAGCGCAATTGCACTCACACAGTCATATGTAGAGAGAGATAGAGAGAGAGAGAGAAGGAGTACACGGCCTTATCAGGTAAGGTGAGCTTTTCAAGAGAGAAAACAATGTTGCCAGACTGCATGAAGTGTGAAGGATCTCTGCCAAATGAGTACATTTAGGCGAGTCACCGAAATAATAATTTATGTAATAATTTTCTGTGAGTTGATTAGTTCTTGAAGAAATATTTAGTTACCCTATATACAAAAAGGATATTACTAAATCTTTTTAGCATATTCAGAGTAGTATTCGCCCTGATCTGGCCACAACACGAAAGTTCGCTCACTCACACAGGTTGCGACAGCAATACGTCAAATAATCGCATGGTTTCTTGGGGTGGCTTTGCTATGGCTCTTTCTCACTCTCACTCTCACTCTCTCACAAAACACAGCCAAACTTTTCTCGCTGCCCACGACAGATGTATGAATGAATGAATATTTGGCGCGTGAGTGTGAGAGAGCGCCGCAGTCGCTGCTGCTGCTTACATGTACACCTCTCTTACAGACGCTCTCACACTCTCTTTTCTGTATACCCCACACACACACAAACACACATATATACATGTGTATGTGTATTCTTACTCAGAGGGAATGCGGCGACGTCGCTGCCGCTGCTTTTGCAAAAAATTTTTATAATAAAAACTTGTACTCGTAGATTGTGTGATGCCAGTACGTTCTGCTAATCCGATACGCGCTAGAAGTTTGATCCGAGACAATTTGGAGAAACAGGCTGGTTGTCTAAATCTAATACACTCCAGAATGCCAAACATTAAAGTGTTTTCGGGCACCTCGCATCCGGATTTGGCGCAACGTATTGTCGATCGCCTTGGCATCGACCTGGGCAAAGTGGTCACCAAGAAGTTTAGCAATTTGGAAACATGGTAAGCCAAAAATCAAACAACTAACTAACTAAATCAACAACAACAACAACAATGTGCCACATTATTATGTGATGAGTGCTACACAAAAAATAAATATATATGAAATTTATTAATTGTGTCCGTGTCCGTGTCACTGTTCTCCGTGGCTCCTTGACATTCGCTGAAGGTTGCTCTTATTGTGCTTTGTGCGTGTGCCATGCGTTTTCTCTCCTCTCGTAATTATTAAAGAGTTCTTTGTGTGTGTGTGTTTTTTGGTAATTTTTCGGGCATTGTTTCAATAAGTACTTAATTTCGTTTGTTTTTTGCCCTTTTTGTATTTTTTTTTACTTTGTATATTTATTGATTTAACAAGTGGACTGTACACCGTAGTCATTGGTTGCTTGCTTGCTGGTCGCGTTCGCCGTGGACGTCTTTGTGCCTTTGTGTGTGTGTCTCTGTTTGTGCGGCACACAAGCATACACTCTCACACATTCACACACACACACATACAGAGCCAATCTCACTCACGAGCGCGCTCTGGCAACACCGCCAATGTCGCGTGCAGTTCGCCAGGCGACACTGAAATTAAATAAAACTAAAGCACAACAATTTACAGATTGATTTCAGTTTTTAATTAAATTAGCATCTGGGGTATTTTTTCTTTCTGCTTCCACACAGCTTCAGTTGTCAACTCACAAACACAAGCAAGCGCAGAGCAAGTCAGCTGCTGTTGTAACAACAACAACAAATAATAATAATAATAATGTGTCTGACGCCTTATCAGCGCACGCAGTCTTACAATAAAAAAGTACCCCCTTAATATATGCAAGTTGTCGTTGGCATAATATTAATAAAATTAAACGTTGAATATTATACAAAATAAAATTAGCGAACAATTAGAGTGACAGGTAGAAAAAGAGAGTGCAGGCTTAGGAAATGAGGCAATGGCAAGAAAATTAGAGGTTATAAAATAAATAATGCGCGCTAAGCTTTTCGACATGATACGCGCTACACGCCAAATGAGCGTGTGAGTATTCGTATCATGTGTGTGTGTGTGTGTATATGTGTGTGTATGTATAAGAGCATGTGTTGCCAGTGCGTATGAGCATGTATTATGTTATGTTCCCGCTTACGCACACAGATGCAGTGCCACGCAACGCATATAAAGGTAAACTCCAAAGCGGACAGCAGAAAGAAGCAAGCAAAAATCAAACCACAACACGACACTGTCACGTTTTTTCACCAAAGAGAGCGCACACAAAGAAAGAGATACAGAGAGAGAGAGAGAGCGAGAGCCACTCAAAAGTCAGGCGACGCGACGTCAACGACGCCCCCACATGTTCGTTACGCTCACGCGTTGTATTCTCTCTCTCTCTTTCGTACACACGGCAGCTGAGGGCGACCCCCACGTGTGTGCTGCGAACGCAGACACAACAACACAGTGGTTGTGCTAATTGTTGTTGTTGTTGCTATTTGCGCTGCGCACTTGTCTGCTTGTTGTGGCTCTTTCTGGTTTGTTCTCGCGAGAGCTGCCGAGCAACAGCAACAGTGTAACTAATATGTTGACAGTTAGTTTACTCTTGTTGTTGTTGTTGATGCTATTTTTCTTGCACTTTGACTTGATTGAAGCGTTTTTTATGAGTGTGCAGATGGGCAATGATACAACAATAATAACAATAACAAATTGCTGGCTCGGCTATCAAGCAATGTGTTTAATAGGCACAAGCTATAATCGAGATTCGGCTTGAAGGGCGCTCTGCTGACGTCATTAAAATTCATATTTATTTGTGTATAGTCTGAATGGTATTTGATCAGAGATGTATCGAGGGAAGTTTCATTTTAATAGAGAAATTACACTTTAAGAAACGATTAACAGCGAGCAGTAGTTAAGAATAATGTTATTAAGTTAATTGCTTTTGCTTTTATGTATCCATTAAATATTTCAAGCATAAGAAGACATTAAGAGTTAGCCACAAATGACCTTGTCGAAGGCAACCCAAATCCAACCACCAATGCAATTATTCAATAATCAACAGCCAAATGGCCTCCAAAACTCTAAAGGTCACCACACGCAACTAACCCACATCAAAATTAATACATATACTATTTACTCGATTACAAACACCAAATTGAAATGTTTGATCGATAAGAAATTTGCGTGTTGTCGTCCAGCAAATGGGGTCGGGGAACGGCGATGAAGGGGGAGGGGGGGGGGCAGTGCTCTCTGAAAATGTGGAGCAATGGCTACAAACGAGCTGATAATTAGAGGCGAGAGCGTTTCAGATGCCAAGATATGAATTTAAAGCCAGCTAGCATCTAGTATATCCATCTACTATATATATTTGACTGATTGTGGCAAGCGTAAAGGCAAGTTGGCGACAGCGCCAGATTACATTATCACACACTCATTTAGACACATATAGACACACACACAAACACACACAGACATACACACAGACACATATGCACGTGTGTTCAACATGTCAGTTGTCTGGCAGCAACAAACTGAAAAGAAAAAAAAGCAAAAAGAAAAAACTGTCGAAACAGCTAGTTAAAAATACATGCAATAAAAAAAAGGAAAAGCAAAAGATAGAAGATAGAAGATGAGACCAGCTGCTTGCAGCTTCGAGACAAACTGAAAAACCACCACAGCGACATTGCGGCAGCTGCAACAGGGGCAATTGCCAGCGGAGCGGGATGGCAGGAGAAGGTGGGCAATGCTTGGACCTGGGCCAATAGAGGAACCCAAGAGTTCCTCACACACAGAACCCAAAGCCAAACACTGTTGGCATTCTGGCAATGCCAAACAGCGAAAGTGTTTTTTTCCGTGCTTTCTTTTTCCTTTGTGAAACAACAAGAAATGCATTCATTTCATGCAACGCCAACTGCAACGGCCGTTAAGTACGAAAAGAAAGGTGAGGGGGCCAAGTGGGCCCGGTGCAAATGCAATGCACTTGCATATCTCTAAAATCTAAACATAACAATGCGGCGTATGCGTTATATTTCAAACTGCACAACAAGCGAACTGATAGCCAAGCTGTACATAAATTGTGTCATGTTCGATTAGCTCAAATGCCGGCGTTAATGTCCATTTGTCACACCACAGTCATTAATTATTATATATACATATATAGAATATATATTTATATATATAAATTTGTGAAGGAAGCAGTCGCAGCAGAAAAAAGCGGAATTTGTCAGTATTTCTTTTTGTTTTTAATATTTGTTTTTTATTTTGTGTTTCCAATCGATTGACGGACGTTACGTTCGATTTTCTGGGCGTTGTTTTGCTGCTCGTAATTCAATTAACCTTCAATGCAAGCAACAATGGCCAATAAGTGTGTGTGTCTGTTTATATGTGTGGGCAATCATAAGAAACTAACAAAAATCACAACGTAAACAAGACAATAAACGAGAAAGTAAGTCGATAAAGTCGCCTGATGACTACCCAAAGAGTATCTATGTCAGCCGTATAACGAGTGTGATATTTGATCAGAGAATGAAACTCGGTTTTCAATTAACAAAATCCCCTTAAATTCTCAAATCATTTACAATTAACAAAATCCCCTTAAATTCTCAAATCATTTACAAGATTTTTAGTATGTTTTTAAGTTTTTTCTGAATTTTTACGCAACGAGCCGAAAGTTTATTTTAGGGTAATCTCGGAAAGAGCATTTAAAATGCCACATGCAAGAAGAGAACCAACCGCAAAAACCAGACAGGAGAAAACTTTAACGATGTGGGTGTGAAATGTGGCAAGGCACAAACACAAACGTACACATAAATACACACACACACACCTACACATGTGTATATAAAGGTCATTTCCCACATGGAGAAGAACGCATGCTTTTCACACACTCACACACAGGCAGCGTCCGTAAAATATTAAAGGATAGCTTGAGAAACTGTTTACTTTTTCTGGGGCAATATTTGCTCATATCAAATAGGGGGCTGAATAAACATTGGCACTTGTGGGTTTTTTCCACACACGCACACACACATAATATCTTGTAGAGAAGGACGACACTAGAAATGCTGAATGAAAAACATGGGAGGGAATTTTCTATTTTTTTATTTTCTATAATACGCAGCTAAATGTTTGAAATCCAATATGAAATAAACATTTCAAACCTATTTCAGTGTGGAGATCGGCGAATCGGTGCGCGGCGAAGATGTTTACATTGTGCAGTCCGGTTCTGGCGAGATCAATGATAATTTAATGGAGCTGCTGATCATGATCAATGCATGCAAGATCGCTTCAGCCTCTCGTGTTACAGCTGTGATTCCTTGCTTTCCATATGCCCGCCAAGACAAAAAAGATAAGGTAGGTCTGCCTCACAAAGATATAGATACACTCTGCCCATCGCCACCAAATCTCTTATTTTATATATAACTTTCCACACACTTGATATGAGAATATGCAAAACAAGTTTGGAGACAGTAAAGCATATAACTGTCCAATGTTAATAATCCACTTATCTATCGAAATATATCCATATATATATACATATTTAGTACTACTTATAACCAAACTACAAAAATATCTACATATATTTAATAATATATATTTTTTGATTTGTGCATTTTGCAATTCAAGTTGATTTTATTTGTTTTTTTTTTCCGACAAAAAAAATTGATTGCAAGGAAGCTAAGCTGTGAAGAAAATCGCAAAAATGTGGAAAATTTGTCTAGATCTATATAAATAATTTAAAACAATATTGTATATTTATACTTATACTATATATAATTATGTATTTTTTCTTCAATTAATTATGTTTATGCCGCCGTTTTCTACAACTCTTGGTGTTTACGAATCGACTTGCTCTTCCACGATCTCTTTCTCTCTCTCTCTCTCTCTCCCTCTATTTGTCTCTACCTGTCTCCCTCTCTCTCTATATATAAATATATATCTTTTTACCAACATACGATGTACGACCTACCTAACTATCTGTACTCTCCAGTTGGCGAGCAATGAGGAGAAAGAGGATAGCAAGAAACTTGCTAAGAAAAACTACGATTGGAAATTTAGGGTATTTACTTTATCATAGTGAAACTTTTAACAACAACAACAACTCAAACTTAAACTCACATTTCATACAATGAGAATATTTAATTTTCAATTTGTTTTGTTTTCAACAAGGAAATAAAAAATTGTACTAAGGCCAAAAATCTCATCCAACTCATTCAAGAATATCAAATTCCAAAAACAACAACTTGCAATCTGTTCCTCACCTGTGGGTTCTGGGCTCTTTTAAAATATCAAATAATAACTATGTATGTTGGTACAAAATCCATTCCATAACGCTTACTTATATATTCGATACTCAAAATTACCAAATTCTCAATGGTTTTTGAAAATTAGCTTTTGTCTTTTATGTTAAGTACACGTGCTGCATGTTCAACTAACTGAAACCAACAGAAAAACTATATATAAAGTATATATATATAAGTAAGATAAAACCCAGAAGAAAACAAAAAAAAAAAGTATGCAAATGCAATGAAAAGCGCAATAAGTACAGAATTTGACTACTTTGTAAGCAATGTAATATATATATAATAAAAATTTTTAAGCAGATTGGTAATAACGTAAACAAAAATTTCCACATTTTATTTTCTTTTTCATTAAATTCGGCGGCAGCGCTTCATTGCAAACAAAATTAAATATGATTTAATACTTATATTAACACAAAATGTATGTATATACTAAAATTTCTTGTCTGCTCGTTTGTCACATGTCTCCCTTGTTCTTTGCTCATACATATTATATGATATATTATATAATGTTTTTTGTTTTTGCACTCTTTGCACTTTTAATTTCCCAAAATGAGCACCCAAATAAAACAGAAAAAAAAAAACAAAAAACAAATCGGGTTCAACTCATCTTACAGCTGATAAGCTGACATCAGTTTGCGTTAGCAACCAAATAGAGTTTATATACTGATTGTGTTGTTTTTTTCCACAAATGTTATTTATTTATTTTCCAATAATGATAACCCATTAGGAACGTGACGTCAAGGGGATCCAATAACCCCCCGTCTATCTATATGTAACTGTATCTGATTAACTGCGCGCTTGAACCCGACTCTTACAAAATGTGCACAAATATTTTGCATTTTGCTGTAAAACATAATCTATAAAAAAGTGCAATGGCTATGAACTCAAAATGCATTTTCTTGACGTCGAATTAAATCGACTGCGACTGATTTGTCGTCTGATTGCAATGTAAATATTATTGTTATTAAGCGCAAGTCTAGCTGGGGGCAGGGATTCAAATTCGATTTTGTTTAGATTTGGATTTTAGATTAGTAGCTTACACTTAGCCATACATTATTTAATTATCCCCAATGAATTGTTGTTCAGTTTTCCCAATTCCTAAGTCCTTCATCATTGATAATATTCCTCATGATACTAACTGAAATTGATTTCTTTTAAGGATTTGGCACCAGTTATCGCACAACTTTTACAATAATTCCTTCAACTCCTCTCTTTATTCCACCAGCATTGTGTTTTGTTCTGATAAATGATTATTCTTCGGTTTTATTTTTATTTTTATTGTTTTTATTTCGATAAACTTGAAGAGAACATTTCACTCAAAACTTTTCATTTGTTCTTTTTCTTTTCTTTTTATACTTTTAAAAAACAATGTATAACCAAATACAAAACCAAAAAAAAAATACCATACAAATCTCTCTTAAAATGTGCTTAGGAGTTTTCAGCCAGACAATATACTGTGAGTAGTTTTCTGCGTCTCTGCGTTGGGTCTCAGCATTAATTTAACTAGCTTTCAGCAAAACAACAAAAAAAAAAAACTATCTTATACAATAATCCGAATAAGCTTCTTTCTTAACTGAACCGTTATCGTTTTTGTTTCTATTTATTTAAGTAAAGTTCCACTAATATTTTTTGCATGACAGCTGTTGGTTTTTTTTTGTTCTCAACTCTATTGGAAATTTAATTTAGAAATCTGGTTTCAAATTCGAAGAAAATAAAATCCGTTCATGTTATTTTGCACAATTTTAAGTATTTATTACTTAAATATATTAACCCAACTTTACTCTCTTTTGGATGTTTTTTTTTTAAATAACTGATGAGCACTTTCACTCATTTGGATCCTCACACACTTTCTCTTCCCACTCTCTCTCTCTCCCTCTCTCTTTCTGCTGCTCAGCAGTTTTCTCATCGTTGCATTTTGGGTGCACAACATTTTGTTGTCGTGTGTTTTTCTTATTATTATTATTATTTTGTCGAAAGTCAACGTTTTGTGTATGATATATGAATTGGAATTGTTACAAATTGATGTGTATATGTCTTATTAATTTGTTGTATCCATGGTTTACACTCATAATATGCCTAGCTCTGTAAGAAATAACGTTTGTATATATATATATATATATATATATATATATATATATACATAAGTCTAAGAATCCAATTATTCACTAACTACCCTAATGTTACATGATATATTCTCTATATTTTCTACGCTGGCCCATGCACAGAGCCGTGCGCCCATCTCGGCGAAACTGGTCGCTAATATGCTATCAGTGGCCGGTGCGGATCACATTATCACCATGGATCTACATGCCTCACAGATTCAGGTAAGCCATCCACGGAAATACACACATATCCATTTATTAATCAGCAACTGTTCAAAAACACGATTAACGATAAAGGGGCTTGTGGGCGTTAAACAAAAATTTTGTCCGATTTTATAATCACAATTTTCAGAAACGCCCAAAATGATAAAAACTATTTAAATTAGTTAGGACAAAGAACGAAAGTTTGTGCAAATATTAGAGTACTTCGTGTCGAGTGTTCCCTTCGAGTGGCGGCTTATCATTTAGGAGCGATGTTTCCATGGAATAAATACGCATCACTAGCTTGGACACAAGATCAAATAGACACTTAATGTGTCAATCCTTTTTCTGGATGACATCTTCGAGATGCAGCACCTTCTGTATGTCATCGGCCATCTTCTTTTCGTTGGCTTTTACAACTGCAACGGCAGCTGCCGCCTCTGGCTCAATGTCGGTCTGAGTCTGTGATTCTGTCATCTCCGTTTCTGTTTGGGTCTGTCTCTCCATTTGGCTCTGTTGCGGCGTTGGCTTCTCCTCCGCCCCCTCCAACTTCACCACCTCCTCCGCCTTATTGCACACAAGTTGTCTTTTGAGCGGAGTGCTCTGCGAACGTGAGCCCAATTGAAGGCTATCACGCTGAATGCACATCAAATGATGCAGCAGCGATTTGATCGCATCCAAATTGCCCGTGGCCAGTTGCACTAACGCCGGACGCCTCAGTATCAAACCGGTGCGACGCAACACCTTCAGATTGAAGGTCTCCCAGTTGTGGATCTTGAGCTCGGAATTGCCGTGAGATGTATAGTTTCGCATGTCGACCAACTTGCCATTGAGATTGTTCTTGAAGAGCAATGCCATATTGACCACATCGGAGAGTTTGCGCAATGTGCGATGATTCAGCTGAATATCTTTTGCGATCAGCCAGCCATCCAGATCCTGTTGCTCCACTTCACTCAAGCTGCGCGAGATTTGCATCTCTCTCACTCGCTCTATGTATAAAGTTAAAATAATTTCGTACAAGTTTTTGAGGCAATAGCCCAAGTAAAGGTAATAAAATTTTTTTGGTTTTAAGATCTGTCTGGTTTTGTTGTGTGTAGGCAGTTCTAGTAGACAGCGCTCTTGCAGGTTGCTATATTCAATTATGTTTTATGTGTTTACTTGTAGGGTTTCTTCGATATACCAGTTGATAATCTCTATGCTGAGCCGGCGGTACTCAAATGGATCAAAGAGAACATTCCAGAATGGAAAAATTCGATCATTGTATCACCCGATGCCGGCGGCGCCAAGCGGTAAACTAAATTTCGAATAAATATAAAATAGATTTGTATTTAATATATGATTTCTTGTTTAGTGTAACCTCGATAGCGGATCGCTTGAATGTGGAATTCGCGCTGATACACAAGGAGCGCAAGAAGGCCAATGAGGTGGCATCGATGGTGCTGGTTGGTGATGTCAAGGATAAGATTGCCATATTGGTCGATGATATGGCGGATACGTGCGGCACAATTGTTCATGCCGCCGATCGTTTGGTCGAGGCCGGCGCCACCAAGGTGTGTGGTCCCAGCAACCAACAAACACAAGCAACAACATGAACAACAACAACAACATCGTGTTAATTTTACTGATTTCCAGGTGTATGCAATCCTGACGCACGGCATTTTCTCGGGTCCGGCGATTTCGCGCATCAACAATGCCTGTTTCGAGGCGGTCGTTGTGACCAATACCATACCACAGGATGGTCATATGCGCGATTGCCCCAAGATACAGGTAAGCACGATTGCAAATCAACTCTCTCACTCTGATACTTACAACAACATTCCAATTTTCTCTCAGTGCATTGATGTGTCGATGATGTTCGCCGAGGCCGTTAGACGGACACATAATGGCGAGAGTGTCTCGTATCTCTTCTCAAATGTTCCATATTAAGCGTTAGATGCAAATCCCAACAGCAACTACACAAACAAACAACAACAACAACATCAACAACAACAATAACAAACACCACCAGCAAACAACATTACAACAACAAGAACAAGCAGGAAACAATTACCAGTTGCAAATTCAACAAAACAACAATTTAAAGCACCTTTTGCCATCATTCATCGTTATATATTTTTTATTACCTATTAACTATGAGATAAACATATAACAAACAAAAAACAAAATCACTAATCGTCATTATGTAATTATATAAAGTAGTATAAAGTACATAACAACAACAACAATTGCACACTTAATTGCCTTCTTTTTGTATACAACCAAACAAAGAAACACGTTTTTCTTATTTGTTAATCTTTTTTCCTTGAATAATTGAATATCGCATTTTGTAAAAGATTATCAGCTCTTAGAGAGACAGTTAGTTGTATAGAAAATATGTAGTTAAAAATACACATAACACACACACACACACACACACACACGCACTCATGTACACTCACTCACTCACACACACACACACACACACACACAAGAAACGAAATATTGTAATTTTACACCGTGCAACAACTTTTTGATGTTTCTTGAACATAAGTCTTGATGAGAAAAAAAAAAACAAAAAAAATTACAAACCGAAAGCAAAATTCTTGCAAGTTCAAAACAAACTAAAATTTTAGTAAAATTAAGTAAATAAGAAAAGACAGAAACACAATTGAAAAAAGCAAATTAGCAACTAGGCGTTTAAAACAAACAAACGACAAAAAAAAAAAAAAAAATTAAAAAAAAGTCAAATAAAAAAACATTCAAGAAAACTAGGCAAAAGTACAATTTTTTTTATGTCTTCTCACAAATTCAAAACAAGAGAATTTTTGGAGTTGCTCTTTATTGGAATGAATACGGTTGTATACGATATATATTACAGCATATATATATATATATATATATATACATATAACTCACATTAGTTTATTAACCTCTAAGCTCCGGCTGGGGTTATAATTCGTTGGCTTAGTTCCTCCGTTTATTCATTTCAATTGACATTAACTTCAAAACAATGGTTTATTGATAATAATTACATGGAGGCTCGACTAAAATTCAACATCCTCCTCCTCCTCCTCGTCGTTGTTCAGGCCGACCTCATTAAAGTCAGACTCGAGCACGGCGATATTCTCGCGAGATTCGCTGAACTCGCCCTCCTCCATGCCCTCGCCCACATACCAGTGGACGAAGGCGCGCTTCTTGAACATCAGATCGAACTTGTACGACAGATTGGAGAAGGCCACCGCTATCGCTGTCGTATTGGAGAGCATGCAGCAGGCGCGCGAAGTGGGCGCCAAATCACCGTCCTGGACAAAGGCGGGCCGTTCATAGTTGATGCCGATCTTGAAGCCCGTCGGACACCAGTCAACGAATTGAATGTGTCGCTTCGATTTGATTGCCGAGACGGCAGCATTCACATCCTTGGGCACCACATCTCCCCGATAGAGCATGCAGCAGGCCATGTATTTGCCGGCACGCGGATCACACTTTACCATCATGTTGGATGACTCGAAGCAGGCATTCGTCAGCGATGTAATTGCGTGCTGCTCGTGGGCAGCACGATCCGCTGACATGAGCGGAGCGTACGCGACGAGGGGGAAATGGATGCGGGGAAAGGGCACCAGATTCGTTTGGAACTCATTTAGGTCAACATTCATGGAGCCGCTGAAGCGCAACGAGGCCGTCGTCGAGCTAACAATCTGGGCAATCAACCGATTCAGATTCAAATATGCTGGCCGATCAACGCCAAGCTTATTGTTGCATATATCATAGATGGCCTCGTTGTCCACCATGAAGACGCAGTCCGCATGCTCGATGGTCGAGTGGGTGGTCAATAAGGCATTATATGGCTCAACCACGGCCGTGGACACCTTGGGCGATGGATAGACGGCAAAGTCCAAGCGGCACTTCTTATTGAAATCGCTGGCCAGGCGCTCCATGAGCAGCGACGTAAAGCCGGAACCGGTGCCGCCGCCCATCGAGTGAAAAATGAGGAAACCTTGCAGACCGTCGCACTGCTCGACAATCTTCTGGAGTCGCGATGTCACCTTATCGATTACCTCCTTGCCAATCGAGTAGCGGCCGCGTGCAAAATTATTCGCTGCATCCTCCTTGCCGGAGATGAGCTGCTCGGGATGGTAAAGATCTCGGGTGGCGCCGGTGCGCACACTATCGATCACCGTTGGCTCCAGATCCACAAAAATGGAGCGGGGCACCTGCTTCCCGTTGCCCGTTTCCATGAAAAATGTGTGCGCATCGTTGGCCGTGGTGCCTTGGCCAACGCTGGAGCTGCTGCCGCTATCGACCAGCTGCTCCTCCGACTTGCGACTGCCATCGAGATTGATGCCATGTTCCAGCAGATACAGTTCCCAGCAGGCGTTGCCAATCTGTATGCCGCACTGGCCAATTTGTATGGAGATTACTTCGCGCTTTAATCGAAACAAATTTGGGACATTTTTATGTTTGTTAAACGGTTTATTTTAACACAAGCAGCTCACCATTTTTTATGATTTTAATAGATACAAAAAAAACAATTTAAAAGACGGCAGCAAATTGCAAATGGATCTTTTCTTTTCTTCGCTCAGTCACGATGCAGCACAAAATGGCAGCTCGCTGCAGAAACTGGATAAGTGCCGTTACAGTGCCGGGCACAAAGCAAACTGTCAAAACTGTTGAGCAGCTGCAGAGTTGAATTTGTGTTCTGATCTGCAGCAGGTGTGAAACCAGACTAAGTCGTCCGAAATTAAAGTTACAGTAGCGAGTGGTGCGAAACTTGGCTAATAAACTATTGGCAGCAAAACGGGATTTTTTAATGAGCATTTGATCAAATCTAACTTAAAATATACAATATTAAAAATAAATTCCTTGTTCTCCTGAGTGGCAACTAAAGTCGAAATAAGCAAAACAGTGTTTGCTGCACCTTCTAATTCTTGCTAATACCTGGCGGCAGCATCACATCAAAGACAATTGGTGGATTGTTGGGCATATAGTTGATGTTGCACGTGGAGGCGTTCACATAGATGATACGACCATCACTGGTAATGCCATAGCCCTCGTGGACATGCCCAAAGACATGATATTTGGGCTTCACCCGCTGCTGCACGCTGCTCAGCAGCTCCACGCAGCCCGCTCGGACGCCCGAGCAGCACAGATCTCCATGTCCAACGGGCGGCGTGTGGGTGACGAGTATATCAACGCCAGCGGGTATCTGATTCCATTTGTCCAGGCAGGCCACACCACGCGGTACATTGAAGGCCCATCTGCAGAATTCTGGTTGCCAGGGCGTGCCGTAAATGCGAATGCCCCACAACTCGAGCAGCTCATCCTCCAGATAGATGCAGTTGGTCAGCGCTTCGCGTATATTCGGCGTATTCACCGCGCTCTCCATGCACTCCTTGTCGTTGCCTAGCGTGGGCAGATCGTCCAAGACGCTCATGCCCGTGTGCTTGGAGCTAATTGTTGCAGAATGAAACAAAGATGATATCAGTTAGGATCAGTGGATATATTTCCTGGCCTGTCTCCTACCGTTCCTTGTTCTGTCCCTTGTTCTGAAAGGGGTGCGTGAAGGTGCGATCAAAGCTGAGCTCGTGATTGCCAGCAATCACAATCTTGTGCCGGTGCGGCAGTGCCCCAATCCAGTTGTTGAACTCGACGACTTCCTGCAGTTGGCCGCATTTAGTAAAGTCGCCGGCATGAATGAATATATCACCATCGGGTATATCGAACTTGATGTAGGGCGTCAGCGAGTGCGTGTCTGACATGCAGACGACACGCGCCTTGTTCGGAGCCACCGTCGTCGTTGGTGGCTTCATCACCACTTTGATGACCCGTTGGTTTTTGCTGATCTGCTGCCACGCTGCTGTGGGGTCGCGGGTCAGCGGATGTACGGCGACAGGTGGTGTTGTTGTCATTGTCGATTTTAATTCAACATGATAGTCGCTATCTGTATCGTTGACTACCCCGTATTTGTTTTCAATTTAGTACACTGAGATTTGTCGATAAAAGATAACAAAATTCGCACAAGCCAAGAAAAGTGACTAACAGCTGCCCGCTAGGGTTGTCAATGCAGCTCAAGCAACTCGACAAATTAGTGCTCGGCGTTGCGCTTAAGATAAAACCTAATATAACTATTTGTGCAATTTGCAAGCATTTTAGTGACTAACTAACATATGTATGTATAATCTAGAGGAGTTAAATTCGCATTTGTTGTTGCTGCATTAACTTTGTGACGTCATGGCTAACAGCCTGCTCACCGGGTGGCAGCGCCGCTTGCTAAACAAAAATCAGCTGTGAGTACTGACACTCGGTGTCTCTGCTTCTTGCCACTTCTATCGTATTGTAAATTTTTCGTTTGCCCATATTTTGTCTAATTTATTTACAATTCGCCAATAATTGCACTTAATTGTGTGTGTGTTTTCATCGAGTGCTTAAGTGCAAGTGCACCAGTGGCCACAGCTCTCGTATGCAACGCGTGCAAAAGTGAATGTTGTAAAGCTTAAAAAAAAGAAGAAAAACAAAGATGGCTGCAAAGCGCAGCCAGTTGTTGGTCTAATAACTAAATAAATATAACTGGGTTTGTTGGCCCAGCTGAGAGCAGAGCAGAAATGGAACAATCGTTGGAATCGTTGCAGCCGCAGTCTTTGGACGCATTGCTGGACGCCAGTGGCACCAGCAGCAGCATGATAGCAGGCGTTGCAGGTAAGTTCTATTTTGGTGCGAACTAATTGCCTCTGCCTCTGGGTGCAGTCGCAGTCGCTGTCAGCGTTGCTGTCGACGTCACTGCTAATTGTTTACGCCCACCTTTTTATCTCTTTTATGCAAGTGTGAGTGCATGTCTGTGTGTATGTGTGTGTGCATATACCACCTGGCTTCCTTTTGCATTCCTTCTCTCCCCTTTCCCCACCTCAGTTAGCACTTTGCGTCGGCGCTTTTGCGTCTGTCAATTTTGTTTCCTCATTTCTTAAGTGATGATTCACTTTGATTGCGTCTTCTCCTTTGGAGGAAGGCAAAATGAGCATTTTATGGCGCATTCGGCTGTGTGTAATTGACTCGCATTTTCTGACCATTGTTCTTTGACTCTTGCCATAATTTATTGCACTGCTCAACTTTGTGCGACGCAATTTTTTTATTGTGCCTCGACAGCATTTGGGGCTGTTATTTACCGTTTCAATTTACAGTTGGAGGAGTTGAGCGCATGCTTGGCAGAGGCAGAGACAAATATCCCCCCCTTCTGTCTCTTTCCCCTCGCTCTTAAGCCTATCCTACGAACACAGACACACGCTCAAGAGAGTAAAATGGCTGATCACCAAAAGAAATACACACACACACACCACTAGCTGTTTGGGGCTGCGCTGACCTAGACCCAGTCATGACTTTTGTTGTGGGTGTGCAGCTCTCCCACTCTCTCTCTCTTGGTGTCTCTCTCTTACACTCTTTCACTCATTTCGGTATTTCTCTTTCGCCCATTCATTCACAAAAAGCCAAAGCAAATAAAATAAAATGACAGACAGCGCGCGCAAAAACATAAACCTTGATAATGACATTCACAACAAAAGCAAAAAGAACGTCAGTCTGTCTGTCGGTTTGGTCACAACCTCTGGCACTTATCCAACGGACATTCTCAGCTGTTTGCCCACTGATGGTGCAAAATTAGAAAAGAAAGAAAAAATAAAAACAGTTTCGCTGCTCGTCAAAAGTCAAATGTCGTATGAGTGAGTGAGCTCTCTTCAATCTCCTCACCTCAACTTACCTGAGCACCGCACCAATTGCATAAGTTGTGCGCGTTTCTCACTCAGTCTTTGTCTTCGTCTTTGTCTCCGTTTCAGTCGCAGTCCTGAAGCTCCAAAGCTCATTTGTTTGCCAACGCGCCAAGTGTCAAGTTGCTGCAGTGCGTTTTACTGCTCTTCGTGTGTTCGTCTTCTGCTTCCTCGGGCACCCTGCATCTGTATAGTGTGTGTGTGTGTGTGTGCGTGCGGTTGTGTGCGCGGGTGTGTGTGAAGGCTCGTTCCGGTCGCGTGTTGTTCGTCATCGCGTGTAATTTCTTTGCTTTTGTTTTTGTTTCTTTTTTTTTGCCAATTTCTGGAGCGTTTGCTGATTTATGTGTGGCGTGGGCGTGATGTAATTTGCAATAAAAACAGTTAACTAACACTTAGGCACACATATAGAAAGAGAGAGAGAGAGAGAGAGACAGGGGAAGAGTTAGAGGCAAATACAAAATGTGTTAATTCCTCGAGCCTTTTTTTAAATATATTTTTTACAAATATTTCCTCAAGTTGTGTGATTTTTTGTTTTGTATGGCTTCCAGCACAGTTAATAATCAATTTAGTTGTTTATTGTTACAAAAATTGTAGTGTTTGCATGATTAGCAAAGCTTTGCGAAAGAAGGCAACACTGTAAAACGACAACAAATTGAAAACAAAAATAAACAATAAAAAAACGGCAAATATTTGCCTAGAAATTTGCGCACACAAAGAAAAACAAATACATACATTTAAAGTTGATTTATGTAATGTGGGCAAATGCATAAACAAAAAAAAAGGGCGCAACTGAGAACGGGTTATACAATGTAAGCGTCAGCCTTCGTTTTCTCGTGTGTGTTGGTTTGTTTGAGATTACGATTACGCATACGCAGCGTGGTACGAAATAGTATGGAAAACGTAGCAAATCCAAATGCCAACCCCCCATTGACTAATTGTAATGGGGTTTGTCACAAGCTGCGTGTCGGTGGATCTAATTTATGTTAATGTCTCGAATATTAGTGACAGAGTGCGACAAACTCAGCAGCAGCAGCAGCAACAGCAACAAATAATGCTAATCATTGTGCTTTACAGCTGCGCTGTCGACGGCACCTGCTCAGCTGATTGAGTTGTTGTTACTTTTTTTTTGTTTTTTTTTTTTGCTGTGCGGCTTTTTTCCAATTCGCCGCTGGCAACAGCTGTTTCATACTCACGCTCTCATCGACTGACTGTTTTAGCTCTCTCTCTCTCTCGCTCTCATTCAGTTGCTGTTAATCATAATTTTAAATTTACAATTATCGTTTGTTTTGGTTTTGCGCTTTCAATTTGCGAGAGCGCGCGATTTGTTCTTTGGTTTTTTTTTGTTTGTTTTTTTTTTTCTTAATTTTGTTTTTGATTCTTGCTTTGCGTTTGCTCTTTTGTTGCTGTTGTTGCTACTTATTACTCGAATTTATTGTTGTTGTTCGCGTCGCTGCCGTCGCTGCTTGGAACTTTTTGGGAAGAGCGCCGTGCGCGTTTTCGCCGCAGTCGAAATTTGTCGTCGCCCGAGTTCGCCTCGCATTTAGCATTTTACGTTTTCAACGTTTGCGCCGCGCGTATTGAGATTTATATACATATAATGTATATTTGGTGTTTTTGTTTCTAACCGACAGAAATTGTGTTTAGTGAGTGATGTGAACGTGAAGATATATGTACACACCTATAAATATCCCCACTCATACATACATATATATAAATAAATAAATACACATTGAATTGACTCGAAATTGTAATTTGACAACAGAAATTGTTTGTTTTCGTTGTTGTTGTTGTTGTCATCAGCGTCGTGTGTCGATTTCAAATTCAAAACGCTGAGCTCATTTTTTGAGACGCCTTTAAACTGGCTAATTAGCATAAAAAAGCATTATAAACACATACATCAAAGCGATTCTAAAGCTGTGAAAATTACCAATAATCGTTATTTTTGGTATTTATATACGTATATCTAACAACAGAAATTTATGAACAACTGTTGGGCTTGTTATTGCTACTTATCGATACGAAACTAATCTCGGCCTGCTAAAGTCTTTTATGTACAAGTGTTTTATTTAATTTATTTTTATTTGTTTTTTTTTTGCGTATAACAAATCCAAAATTTTGTCGTACCGTTTAAGTTTTCGATTAACGTCACTGGCGAATTGGTGACACATTTATGAGCTGACCGTTCTTATCAGCTAACAGGCAGCGTTAAACAGCAATAACAACACACCACAAATAGTAATCCTGAATTGAAGGCAACCAACAGAGAACAGAAATCAGAAAACAACACACAGACCGCTGCAAAATTAATTACAACTCATAAATATAAACTTGCGTTTAGATAATAGAAAGGGCACAATACGGTTCACGTGCCACTAATTACCACCGAGTGCTTAAGTTTATTTAATCGTTCCAAACGCAACCAAGGCAGCCAGCTATTTGTATTGTGCATATTTTTGTGTTGTGCTCTCTTTGTGTGAGTTTCATCGTAAGTTTGCGAATCTGCCTGGGCATCATTTTCCTAGCTGTGAATATTTTACAAATTTATGCGCCAGTTTCATGTTATGGAACTTTCAATGGACACCAAAAAAACTAAAAGGTAACAAACATAAATATATGCATATGTATAGCTACAGTTCTCACTTCTCCCTCAAATCCATCTTTAATATGTTGCAAACTTGTCAAACTAACTGGCAAAGAATGCTATTTGATCTGTGTGGGCTTCGAAATTGTTCTGAAAATTTCTCGGAAAAAGCGTATTTACCAAATTCTTTTTCCCCTTAACACAAAGAAAATCAATAAAATTTCAAATCAATTCCACGAAATCTGTTTTTTTTTTTTTTTGGTTTTGTTTTTCAGTTCGTTTATTTGCATTTGTTGTTCAATAAAAAGCGGCTTGAACTTTGTGTTTGCCTGCAAGCAACAACAACAACAATAACTACTCCTAAACAAATCATAAATTTCTACAAACAATGCTCTACAATTTATGCCGATAAGAATTTCCACAAAATTTCTCGTTGATTGTATTCTTTACAAAATTCACATTTTCAAAAATTGCGCATTGGGAAACCGAAAAAAAGATACACAAACATTTTTTTTTTTGCCACTGCTGCAGTTTTTAAACTTTTGGCCCACTGAAATTGGATGAGAGAATCAGAGACGTATTGAGAGTGTTGGGTGCAAGGGGAAGGGGCACAGAGATCTAGAGGAAAGAGTCGTGTTGGTCGCATGTCTCTGCCAAGTTGTTGTTGTTGCTGTTGATGATGTTGTTTGTTAAATGACACATCCATGGCGCATTTATAAGCAGAATTTCAGTCGTTTTCCATTCGTTTCTTTCACTTGGAGAAGGAGATTTTTGTTTTCTTTTGGGAACCGAGCGTGTTAATACGTTATTAATAATATACACAAACAAATGGGTGAATCTGTCTTTGCTGTCGGTTTGGATTTTATATTTTTAACGCTATTTTCCATATTCTCTGCGTTTTTGTATGCCCAGCATTTTGGGTGCATGGGGAAGTTTGTTAATGATAATGATTTGTCGAGCTTCTATTCAAGATCTATTTAAAGGTTATTTTGTATATAAATCTTTACTATCAAGTTTTCTATTCATATTTTGAACATATTTCGAACTCATATTGATTTATTATTCTCCCAGAGCTGTGATTTTATTATCAATGTCAGCATTTAAGGGTAGGCATAACTGGGTATTACCTAGTCGTGCTCGCTCAACTGAAACGTTTCAGGTTTATTTTTCTCACATAGCTCATGTGTTCTACATGTTTAGATAAATGTCGAACAAAAATAAAGCCACCTTTTATTGCATTTAGAATTAGGGAAAAATCGAATTTTCATTTATTTTTTTGAATATTTTGCGCAAGTTTCATGACAGCTTCGCCTGTCTGTATATATATATACAGAAAAAGAAAACATTTCTCTTACGTAACTGACGCTTTTAAAGTTTATCAATTATTCAGTGACAAGCGGTACCTTTGCCCTGAACTTCGACAGTGACCTTTGAGTGCCGTATTAGTCCTTGATGTCCTGTGGAACAGCTGACGGTCGTGTGTCATTGGATATTGGTGCCTGTCTTGCCACACTCCTCCTCACTGTGGCATATCCATTTAACCCACACCATAATTTATGCCATGTATTATTTATATTATTATAGCTTTCTATAATTCAAACGTTTGTTGAGCTGTTAGATTTTGACGTTGTTGTCATTATTCATGGTGTTGTTGCTTTATAATGACATCCAAAGGACAACAGCAATATTGGGAGTGCACTTGAGGCCAAAGCTATTGATTGATTTAGGCTGTAAGGCGTCACTCTTACTTCTTATACTTATATAACTTATACTTGGCCAAGTAATACGTAATATTTGTATTACAAAAGGAATACGTGTTGTCAAATGAGTGATTTGAAAAAATATCCTAAAGTTGGTTAAACTAAAAAGTATGCCGTGGAAACAAATGTATAAATAAATGAATTTTAGTTCGATAAACTAATCTAAACTCTTCATCAATTACTAAATTGTGTTTCTACAGTATTAATCGACTGATCAAACTCTGCAATCTGCAATTATCCAATTATATTTCATGTAACTCAATTCCCCGAATGTCTGAATGAATACTTTGTCACAGACATGAACTTCTGCTGAATCTCAATTTTAGATATAATTAAGTAGGGTACACATACTCATAGGAATTTTGAACTGCTTTTGATATATATATATATATATATATATATTGAAATTGGCTTTTGCGGTTGAACTGTTATCATAAAGCATGTTTGAGTTTGTGTTCCAAGGCGCCAAGATAAAGAGACAATGTGTTTACTTTGAAGTAATGCATTGAGGAAGAGCTAGCTTCAGTTTGCTTGTGTTTGTCATTGGTTACTGTGTATGGATTGACAGATTGACAGATCGACAGATTGATGGTGGGGTGCCGTCATCAATCGAAGTAACAATCTGCACAAAGCAAAACAAAACAAAACAACTGTTTTCCGATATGTATTTTTGCCAGACATGCGATATGACGATAATGAATTCATGTTCTATGCATCGTTAACATTTCCTAATTAAGATACAGCGAATGTGGCAAATGAACAAATGGACTTTTAACGATAACAAACGCCATATGACACAACGTCCATAGGGTATTGCATTTCCTCACTAACGTTTTATACACATTTATGTTTAGGTTCGTCACGCTACACCTCGAATTCCAAAAAGGCATTGCTTTTCGAAATCGGTTCAGTTTTGAAGTGGATTTGATTTTGGGAATAGAACTCTAACATGCATTTGAGTTTCGTTGTGTGTGGGTTAAATAGAAACACACCCACAAAAATAAATACATTATGCTGATGATGATGATGAGATAATAATATTTTCTATTTGCAGATTCATTTTGCCAAACGTGTGTTAACTAAAAAAAGCTTGGGTAAAAAATAACTCTTTCGAGTTAACAATTTTTACAAACACGCACACACTCACACACATACATGAGCTATGTTGTCGCTAAGGGGAAGTTGTAGGGGGGGAAAGTGTAGTTATCTGTAATGCTTTAAGCAAATATATATATGAATCATTTCGTAGATACATAGATGATAAGATATGAGATCCATTTACAATTTATTGTATTTGTACTTCGTTCCACACAGGCACAAATCAAAATCCAAATGAGCAACACGTGAGCGAGGCCGCCACAGTTGTTGTTGGTGCTGCGGCTATTGGCTCACCAGCAACGACCAGTCCCAGTACAACACCAGGAGCTGCAGCAGCAACATCAGTAGCAGTAGCAGCAGCAGCAGCAGCAGTAGCAGCTACACCAGTGGCAGCAATAGCAGCAACAACTACAACAACCACCACACCGACGAGGAGTCCACAGCGCAGCGTTTATCACGAAGATGGTTATCAGGCCAGCGGCGATAGCGTTGATAACGAGTCACAGCTGGAGTCAAACGGTTCGCCTGCACAGCGTCATTCCATTAACTCGGGGGATTACACCTCAACGCCCAAGTTAGGCCGCATTGGACTCAATGGATCGGCGGCCGCAGCAGGAGCCGCATCAGTTTCAGCCACAGCGTCAGCCAATGCTAGTGGCACCACATCGCCCATAAATTATCAAATACTTAGTGACGACTACCCTTACAGCATAGAGTATGAGTCACAATACCAACATCAGCAGCAGCAACAACAACAACAACAGCAGCAGCAGCAACAGCAACCATCGCTGACTAATCAGGAATTATCCGTTACTGTCCAAGCAACGGCTACCATCAGCTATAGCGTAAATCGTCAGAGTTACGCCTCACCACCAGCATCGGCAGCATTGCCACCGTTGATCATACCACAACGTCAGTCGCTGTTGCCTTGGGGCGCACATTCGCGCAGTTCCATTATCAACGTTTTGCCCAGCTATACACAGGCCGAGATGCATGCCCTGGCGGCCAGTGTGGTCAGCGTTGAGCTGACTGCACCACGACCGGGTGAAATTGTTATGCGAAATTTGTTTAGTGATTTCACGGCGCAGGCGGAGAAGAAAATCGAGCTGGTCATGCTGGAGAGCGCCGACAAGAATCTATCAAAGCTGTTGCAACGTGGCGAGGATCAGCAGTTTGATCAGCTGCTCTCCGCTTTAGGCTCTGTGGCTGAGCATTGTTTGCCCTCGCTGTTGCACACGCTGCTCGCCTGGCATCGTCGTCAGCTGTCCGACATGGAGATCAAGAATGATCTCAAGAAACCGGCGACAGGCAGCAGTGTTCAGTTGGTGAACAAGACCAGTGTGGATCTCGACTTTCAGTTGCAACGGCGCGAGGCGGCTTTGGAGTTTATATTCTGTTTGGCGCTAATTGAGATACTCAAGCAGCTGCCATTTCATCCGGGCCATGAGGATCTGGTGCGCAGCATTGAGAATTTGGCCTTCAAGCACTTCAAGTATAAGGATGGTCTGCAGAATAATCCCAATGCGCACAATATACACATGATTGCGGATCTCTATGCGGAGGTGATCGGTGTTCTCGCCCAGAGTCGGTTTGCATCGGTGCGCAAGCGTTTCATGTTCGAGCTGAAGGAACTGCGCGGCAAGGAGGCCTCGCCGACAACGACACAGAGCATCATTAGCCTGTTGATGGGCATGACGTTCTTTCGCGTCAAAATGGTGCCCATTGAGGAGTTCGAGGCCTCCTTCCAGTTTATGCACGAGTGTGGTCAGTACTTTTTGGAAGTGAAAGATAAGGATATCAAGCATGCTCTGGCTGGTCTATTTGTGGAGATTCTAGTGCCGGTTGCGGCGGTAAGTAAATGAATTTATTTACTCAAATTAATTACTAAATTATCCCATACACTTGCAGGCCGTCAAAAACGAGGTGAATGTGCCGTGTGTGAAGAACTTTGTGGAGCTGTTGTATGTGCAAACGCTAGACGCTTCAACCAAGTCAAAGCATCGCCTGGCGCTCTTTCCACTGGTCACCTGCCTGCTCTGCGTATCACAGAAGGCGTTTTTTCTAACCAATTGGCATTACTTTTTGGCCATGTGCTTGAGCAATCTCAAGAATCGCGATGCGAAAATGAGTCGTGTAGCGTTGGAGTCGCTCTATCGCCTGCTCTGGGTCTACATGATACGCATCAAGTGTGAGTCCAACTCGGCTACGCATTCGCGACTCCAGAGCATTGTCAACTCCCTGTTTCCCAAGTAAGAAATCGTATTACGTAGTTCAAAGAATTCCATCTCTAAAATAGTTTGTTTTGTTTTGCAGGGGCTCCAAGGGCGTCGTTCCGCGCGACACGCCGCTAAACATCTTTGTAAAGATCATTCAGTTTATTGCCCAGGAACGTTTGGATTTTGCCATGCGCGAGATTGTCTACGATTTGCTGTGTGTGGGTCGGTCCATTAAGGTCATACTCAATCCTGAACGGATGAGCATCGGTTTGCGTGCATTTTTGGTCGTTGCCGACTCACTGCAGCAAAAGGATGGCGAGCCGACAATGCCGCGCTCCGTGACCATTCTGCCGTCGGGCAATACGTTGCGGGTGAAGAAGACCTACATTAACAAGATGCTCACGGATGATACGGCACGTAGCATTGGCATGTCCACATATTTTCCGCACGTACGTCGCGTCTTTGTGGATATCTTGCGTGCTCTGGACGTGCACTGTGGTCGCCCGTTGATGATGACAAATACCCAGAATCAGAATAAGGAGCCCGACGAGATGCTCTCCGGTGAGCGAAAGCCGCGCATTGATCTCTTTCGGACGTGTGTGGCAGCTGTGCCCAGATTGATACCGGATACGATGACCGCTCAGGAGCTGGTTGATTTGCTGTCTCGGTTGACCGTGCACATGGACGAGGAGCTGCGCATACTGACGCATCAATCGCTGCAGACGCTGGTCATAGACTTTCCGGATTGGCGTCAGGATGTCGTGCACGGTTACACACAGTTTCTGGTGCGCGATGTCACCGACACCTATCCGCAATTGTTGGAGAACTGCACGCGCATCTTGTTTGTCTTCCTAAACATTTGGCGCTGTGCGATTTATGTCAATGGCGCTGCAGCCACCGGCAACAACACGGGCGTACCCAGTGCCACTGGCGCTGGTCTTAATGCTCAGGCTCAGGCCAAAGTTGGCGGCACAGTGCCAACAATTGGTGCAGCTGTTGCACAGGCAACTGTGCCAGTGGCGACCGTTGCGACACCACCCGTTGCCGGCAAAGATGGGACGACAAGCAGCCAATTGTCGAAGCAGCAGCATCTGAATACCGCCAGCAGCGCTGCATCCAGCATAACCACGTCGAGCGGCATGTCCAGCATTACACAGCACACAGTGCTCAATATGGTGGCCAACGATGTGAATAAAAAGAATGAGATTCCGTTGGCAACCACGCTGCACTTTGTCGAGGGCTTTGCATTGGTGCTGCTCTGCAACTATCGCCCCTATTTGCGCAAACTGGCGGCCATGATACTCAAGGAGGTGAAGAATCTAATGCGTGCTCTGGGCATACCGGAAACTGAGCCACCGCTCATCGATGTTATGGATCGCTGCTGTCCGCAGATTGTGGAGAAGTGTCTGCCCCTGTTGCCCCAAGCGGAAAAGACGGCCATACTAAATGCCAATTGCATTGATCTGCAGTGGATAGCAGAGCGCAGCAGCGGCGTTTGGCTTGCCAGTCTCACAGATGGTAAGCAACTGCTACACAAAACTGTTTCAGCTGCGGTGTATTAATACATTTTTGTTTTTCTTATTCATTTAGACAACTCCAAGTCGTCCACTTTGACACTGAATCTATCGCAGTCCAGTTCAGCAGCAGCTGCGGCTGCAGCAGCGGCATCAGCTGCCAGTTGTGCACAGCCGCCATTTGATCCCTGGGCTAGCTGCCTGTTTGGCCTGTTGGAGCGCCAGCGCGTGTTACAACAATGCCCCTCGGCGGTGGCGCAGGCTTGGCCCATTTGCTATGCGCGCCTCAATGCGCTCTACAGTGTCATAGATCCCACGTAAGTGTCGGGTGTTATTCGAATATTTGTTTAAGCAGTTGTTGAATGCATTTTTCGTTTCACTTGCAGCCCCGTCAGCGATAATCGCGCCTCATTGCTGCGCGGCTCGGCGCCGACTAAGAAAGTGCCCACCGAAAGCCAAAAATATTCGTATATGCGTTTGTGGCGCAATCAGGTGGCATGCGCTATGCGCTTAGTGCCCCAAATACCCAGTGTGGCTGTGCGCTGTGCATCGCCCGATTTGAGCTTGAGGTAAGTTTTGCGACGCAAAATTCACATTGATGCCACATTTCTCAGCCAACACATTTCGACAATCTCGACAATTGTATGTTTCCCGTATCGAAAACCATTTCATTTTGTCTATTTGGTTAACATATTGCATTCGATTGAATTTATAGTGCACGTATCTCTGCCCCCAAATCCAAGTTTATACTAGTGTTGTTTGCAAATCCATTTTAATGTTATTGTCATTTCGTGTTAGTTTTGCGCCTATCGAATTGTCTGTTTGTCATCTTAAATCGAAGCAGTCTGCATATGCACACGTCCATCGCGACACACACATACACACCTACACACACATATACACCCACACACACATATAGACCCACACACATAATAATAAAGTAAATAAACTCCTTGAAATATCTTATGAATTTCAATGAAATTCTATTTGTAACCGAACAAAAGTAAAACACTTGAAATGTATCAAAGTCAATCAAATGGTGATAGTTTATATTTCATGTTTTGTATATTGCTATGTATTTATGTATGTTTTATAGATTTATAATGCTTTTTGTTATTTATTGTTTCATTTGCATCTTATCATAGAACCATTCATAATTTGTTGTATAATTGAGAAAATAATTGTGGTGCATCTAAAGCAAACAATCAAGTGACTGTAAAACATTCACACACAATCAATTGTGTTGGCTGATTGTGTTTGCATTATCGACAGATATGAAAATTGTTGTTTTGTTTGATATGCAAATTTCAAATTAAAGCGACAGCGTTCGGATTTGCTTTTCGATATTTGATGTTTTAGGCCTGTAAATATGCAAATAAGATAGACGCATTGATGAAGACAGGGTAAAGGGTTGAAGTAATGAATCTAATAAATATTATTGAATAATTTGCTGCGCTTACTTAAGCATTGAAATTGAAAATATTTTTATGCGTTCGCCTTTATATTTTAAGTGCACTCGCAGTTTTGTCATTATTCTTACCATCAATCAGTTTCAATTAGCTTAAGTTCGCGAAAATGTACAAAATTCCTGTATTTGTTCAATGAAATGCATAAATTGACTTTCTTACATCCAGCATTGAGTTTACCATTGTCACCGTCCACAAACATAATCATTCCAAATGTTATCAGATCGCGTTACGCATCGGTATTTTTTGTGCCTCTCTCGCATCAATGTCAACTGTCAACGGTAGACGGGAAAATTTCAATTTAAACCACAAAACACCCACCACACGGAACCAAACACGCCCCTCCCCACCCACACACATACTTGCATATAAATCAGTTAAACATTCGGTTAACCTGTGAAAAGTGGTCGAAAGTTGGAATGAAGTCATAAACGTCATATTCGTAGTTAACATTTCGTCAAGTTCAACTGATTTAATCGTTCGCTCTATACACACCATATGTATTACCTCTATATATATATACATATGGATTGTAATTTATAGTTTACAAGATCAATCGGACTCACGTTCGCTATCCGATTCCTTGGACAATATACCGTCAAATGTATTTGGGCCCGAGGGAATTGTGACTCGTTTTACGCTACCGCTCTCCTACGGACGCAAAGAGGCGCGCCAGAAACGTCTTGGGTAAAGCAAACCAAAAACCAAAAACCAAAACCAAAAATCCAACCAATTAAGTGCCGCATACAGTGAGGCGTATAATTAATCCATATAATTGTGCTCCGACTAGTTTTAATGGGGTTCTTTATTCTTTATATGCGTGTGTGTATCTATGTGTAATTTTTGGCATGGAATTTATTGCTTTAGTGCTTGTAGTTTATGTAGACATTTCCAACTATTTTTAGCCCTTTATCTTTTATCTTCAATGATAAATAATTGAAAGCCACACTTTATTGTATTTTATTGCTTTGTAAATTTAATTATTGGAATTTTTGTAATTTGCAAATGAAATTGATTTTGAATGCTTTATGTAGGTTGTAAATTGCAAGAACATCTGCATTTGCTGCTTTTAGTGCCTGAAAATTTTATTAATATCTGTCACCATATTTTTTGTTCTATATTAAATTCCTAAATTAAAAATCTTTGGCATTTATTTGTTGGCATTTTATTTGTCTGTTTATTCTGCGTTTGTCTGTCTCGCGGCTTACTGTCATTTTTGGTGTGTCTTAAAAACACCGAAAAGTCATTATAAGTGAAGTTTATTTATTTTGGTCCCTGCGCGTTGAAGCTTGACCATCTCGACAGCCGCTTGTCAAGCCTGCTTGCCAAAAAAAGAGAAAAAAAATGCATATATATATAAATATACAACAATTTTAACTAACCGCAATATTTGTTGTGGTACTCCTGAAAAATTTATTTGACTAGCGTCAAAAGTTGTGTTTTTATTTGAAATGTTCTGTGCGGTTTTAATATTTATAATGTTAATTTAAATGAAATTGTTTGGCATGCAGATGGGCACAGGCTTTTGTATACATATAAATAGAATTGTGAGTGTTACAGCGGAGTGAGCTTGAGCTCTGCCAGTTTCTGTTAACCACAATTTCAAGGCCAGTATTCAGGAGTGACAGGACTTTTACTCACAGCGAAACCACACTAAAATGTGCGACCGTAAATTTTATTTTATAGCTCATCGCCAGACTCCCTGAACGCGGATCGCAGTGACAAGTCAGCGATGGGCAGCGCCTCACCACAGGCCCTCTACAAATTGGTGGTGCCTCTGCTTCGCTGTGAGGCCATTGATGTACGGGATGCGGCTGTCAATGCGTTGGGCATGATAAATCATGATGCGCTCAAGTAAGCGTAAAGTTTTTTTTTTTTTTAGAATTTTTAATAATCGTCTTTAAACCTGTAACACTTTCGTTTCGCCTCCTTTGCGACAGAGATCTTATGGAGGAGCTTGTGGTCTATATACGCGAGGCCGTTGATCGCAAACAGGAGAATATGCGGCGACGACGACGTCGTGATGCACTGCGTCTGCAGGTAGTGCGTGTGCTGGAGAAAATTGCAGAGAATGGCACCTTTGGTGTTAGGTAAGTGTTCGCCTAAGTCTCAGCTCTAACTGCAGTTGCTTACGGTAGATATTCCTGTTACAGCACCTGTGTGTTGGAGCGCGATACGATGTCGCTGCATCCCACATTTGTGGAATACATAGAAGGCGCCATGGCATATCTAATGGCCGAAACGGACAAGGATAATCTGAGCATACGCGAGGTTAAGGCACACTTCTGCAATTTCATACGCAAAATGATTAAAAACTTTTCACGTAAGTTGCTTGTTTTGCATATATTTTTATTATATTCATATTTATTTATTTTCACAGTGGAGTCTGGTGCGACTTTGTTATCGCGCGATTTGAAGCGTAATTTATTCAATTTATTTGCCACTTGGTGTGGCAGCTTCTCCAAGCCGCTAAGCATTAGCTCACAGATTGGCCAAACTCTCGAAGAGGAAAAACTGCAATTTAGCGCATTGCAGGCAAGTGACAGCCGGTGCTCCCACGCATCCTTAATGTATTCTAAAGTCCTTGTTTTCTTGTTTCCATCATGCAGGCCATGTCCGCTTTGCTCTGCTGCGGCCACATCTTTTATACGCCGCATCTTCAAGACGATGGCATTATATATAAATGGCTGGATTTGTTGCTCACCTCCAAAGATGAAAAGGTAACTTATTGGTGACTACTCGTTTCATATATTCATATTTTATACATACTCGATTTTGTGTGCAGATTTATCAGTTGGCTCGTGATACGGTTGTGCTGCTCCTGGAATCGAATCCGGATATGGGACAACTGCTCGAATGGGTCATCGATCGTTGCTATACCTCAACTCCACGTGAGGCAGATGCTTGTTTCTTGGCGTTGGCCTCAATCTTCAGTGCAAAGTAAGTGAACCAATCGCTGAATTAATATGTAGCGCATTAAATTCTTTCCCAAACTGCAACCCCCGGTTACTTCCACCGCTTGTGCTTCTGTGAGAGTGCCCCATTTACAAATAAGCTCATTACCCATATGTCCTGTGTCTGCATGCACTTTGTGTGGTTGCGTGTAAGGGCTTAATATCGTTAAAGTGGCGCCTCACATGTCCGGTGGATGTGGAACAGCTTTAAGCTTTCAACCTTCAACGTACTTGACGTATTTGTATTTTATTGCATTGCAACCAGGTGACGAAACAACCGACAGTGCATAATTTTTCAATATATATATATATATTTTTTTTTTGATAAATTCGAATTATTTTTTTGTCTTTTTTGAATTTGCATTATATTATCTTCTTGCCAAAAGCTTCTGAAATAACTTAAATAATCCGCCTATGCAGCGTTTAAAAATATTTAGTGTTTCATCTTTTAAATTTTAATTACTATCATAAATCCTTGAGTGGATTGAGTGCTTGTTGAGAGTTTATGACTGCCGTAAGCATATTTAATATTCAAAGAAAATGAAAACTGAATTTTAAATATTCTACATTTTTGAGTTGCTTTGGGCAATTTCTGTAAATCATATTGCATGCGTGTATTCGGCTTGCGTGTGTAATTCTTTTCTTTGGGACACAAGTTATTTGCAGCACACAGCTGAAAACTGTTATATTTTGGTACCTTTGTAGAGGCTATGACAATTTCTTTGTGAAGTTTGTAACGCATTGAGGAAGACTTAGCCGACCCCATAACTTATTCTTGATCAGCATCAGTAGCTGAGTCTAGACTTCCGTCTGTCTGTGTGTCTGTCTGTGACTATGCAAACTAATCTCTCAGTTTTTAAGCTATGTTGATAAAACTTAAAAATTAATTTTTAACAAGTTATCCTAACTCAACTTATCAGTTATGATGCATGTCATTCTACTGCTAAAATTTGCACAAAAAATTGATCGAAAGATGAGTTCTTTTGTAAAAACATTTTTGTTTTATCTTGATATTCTGCGCTGAATATTTTCACAAATAAACATCGCTAGATTTGTAAAATTTCTGGTAAAGTTCAGATGTCAGCAATTTGAGTTCGGTCTACAAGGGTATGTTATCCTTGGCGTGCCATTTGTTTCTTGTTTTTTGAATGATTCACATTTTGTGGCAAGTGTTCTGTGTGGTTTTTGCGTGCTGTTGTCTTATATAAATAAATTAAATTTTGTGCATCGTTGCACTTTGAAACTGCTGCCATAGTTTACTTTGATTTACTACAGCTTCTCCACAAGGTTTTCATAGTCAAAATTCTTTCGTTTATTTTCTTTTTTAAATCTGTGTAACGCTTTGCGGTTTTCTTTTTATCAAACTGTAGTACATGTCGTTCGAAGACCATCCTTTCGAAATCTATACACACAAAAGCACACAGATGCATCTATAAGCTCAAAACCGAACTTTGATTGATTGCTTAATTACTGGCGCATGTGGCCAATGTGCCATTACACTGGCAGGAAGAGGGGAAGAAGGGGTGGGACAATGTTCTCCTTTGTCGCAATACCAATCCCGTCCAACTTAAAGTCTAGTCGGTTGGTTTGCATAACAGCAAAGTCATTTCAAATTAGCTGAATGACAATTTGACAAGTCCTTATTTTGTATGTCCTTTCAACGAGCATTTTTTTGTAAAGACTAAACTCCATAACAAAAATATAAAGAACCACATCTCACCACACTCGCAAACATGCCGTCAAATTATATGAAAATATCCACTTGGCTTACATTCGTAAAAACTTGTGAAATTGTTAAATCTGGTAGAAGCTAGCTGACCAAAAAAACCTTTTTTATCAAAAGAATGCTGACTGAAAATGCGCTTTTGACCGTAGTGTTGGTTTCAGCTTGGACTACTATAACATATTAAACAATTTAAAAGCATCAAAATGGTTTTTAATGGTACACAATATGGAAACTAAACTCGTTAAATGTCTTACAAGAGGAAATTGAAAAAGCGTTGCATAATCCTCTGTGTTGGCATTTTGAATGCAAATTGAGAATCGATTGCCATGAAATTCGCGAAGGGGATTTATTCGGGCATGACGCGTAATGGTAGGTTGCCTCTTTGATGGCACAGCCGATGACAGCGGCAGCGATTGAACCTTAATTGGCAAACAGTGGCCTGTTAATTTGACAGCCATTTCAAGTTGGCTCGCTCCCTTTTAAAGCAAGCTGCTTTAAATTGCTTTATTTAAGTAGCTCATTCTCGAAGCACTTTTAAACCATATCTTATGCGAATGCTGAGTTAAATCCTTATGTGCTTAAAATTCATTTACATTTTGTGTATTTATTTTGTTTTTCCCCAGAGAGTATCCATGCGACCATTACACATCCGTCATAACTGTAACGCTACTGATGACTGGCTGTCCGCGTGTGGAGGTGCATGCCACAGCACTGCAGCTGCTGCAAATACTGGACAAGCGTTTCTTTGGCAGCGTCGTGGGCACACTCCACAGCGACAACGAGAAAGGTATGAGCTCTTATCCCCATAATTAACGACTCATTTGTTGCAACTAACAAACTTGAATAAACTCAAAATGAGCTTAAATGTAAAAGCTTTTCCGTAACTAGAAAGAGTACGGCTGTAAAAGAGGTCTTAAATATGCCTTTATTTATCTGTGTTTCATTTTGCATAGAAACTTTGAATAAAAGTTGTAAGAATTCAATAATTTCAAAGTTGCGCTCAACAAACTTCATTTTGCCTTTTTTAATCCATCGAATGCAGCTTCAAAGTTCATCATTAGTAGGTCAAATTGTTGGAAAGTTTCTTAAAACTACTTAAATTCTTGATAATACTTTTAATAGTTTCTTCGTGCGAATTTTTTTTATCAACTCTTGCCTCCACAAGCTTTTTGGCCATGTGTGTTGGAATTTTGGCAGAAATGTTGACCAACACTCGCAGTGGTAAAAGGTTAAGTAAATCAAATCGATTATTTTAGACTTACTTGTGTTCATATATTCATATTGTTTTTTTTTTGTTTTGTTTGTTTTTGCATGAGTTCGCACAGATTTAAGGTATTTATCATTGTTGTCGCATTAGCCACGGCAATTAGCAGTAATTTCTAATTTGTAAACATGACCGTTCGCCCACATTTATGGGCATAATCTACAAGTTGATTATGGGGCTGTGCCGGAAATTGAAATGTATATATATACATACATATAAATATTTTTGGTGTGTTGGTAGCCAACAAGTGGGATTTTGCAGTTGGGGCACCTGACTGACCTTTTTTTTTATGTGCGCTAAGCAGCTTAACTTTTGTTATTGTTATGGCAAATTGGCCTTGTCCGAACTGTGTAGTTAGCTCGGTACTTTGACTACCTTAAAATAATGCTGCTTAATGACGCTCGGTTTGATAAACTTGTTCCACGAAAAACCCTTAAATGTGATTGCTGGTGTCCTGTTGTGGGCCAGATATTGCCTCAATTCAATTACGTAATTGAAACATCTGCTGCTGATTAGATAATTCCATTAAATTCATATTTGCCTGTGTGGTTTGTGGGGTCGGGAAAATTACGATTACAAAAGACCAACAATTAAAATAACTAATTTTGTTGTCGTTGCTGTGAATAGAATGAATATTTATTACGTATTTGGTTAACACTTATTATTTGAATGTTTTCAATTTGTCAGGTTTTTTTCATTAAAATTTTCGCTTGTGTATAACATTAATTAATTATTAATTAATAGTAATTTAATTAAATTGCAGCAACAAAGCTTAAACATTACAAATTCAATTTACACACATATGTTTAAAATTAAAAGCTGACAACTGAATTATGAAGTGCTCTGCAGAGTTGTGTAATATTCGTTTTGGGATAAATAAACATATACCCTATTTTTTGGTGTATCAATTTAAATTTAAGATATTTATCTGCTTTCTTATATATGTATTTTTTTTTTAATCGCTGTTTCACATATCCTATAATGATATTTTCCTCTTCCTTATTTTTTTTTAACCTTACCAACATCACAAACAGTTTTCTTTTTAACTTTTTTTTTTAAATAGTTTTTTTTTTCTGTTTACAATTACAAAACATATCTCTCACGATTCTAAATCATATCAAAGCTCTTTATTTAAGTGGATGCAGCTCGTGCATCTCGTTCCAGCAATGCTGCGTCATCATGCGTCTTCTAGTTGAGGTTCCCGTGTTCCGACAGTACTCCGAAACTGTCAAAGAAACAAACCAGAAAAAAAAATGGGAAAAACATTTTAAAAAGGTTCTAGGATAATTTATCGCGCTTTGAGCAAAAAACTCATTAAGACGCGTAACTAATTGTAACCGTTCTTAGAATAAAGGTTAAGTGGTTGAAAATTGATTAAATTCACCTTTTCTATTAAACAGCGAAAATATGTACATTTAATTTACCTGGCTAATATTAAATTACTTAAAGCCATTTTCAATATATATTCAACGACGCTTTGAAACTCGATTTACTGATTAAATTTGAATTTAGTTTCGATTGTAGACCGTTTATTTTTTGGTCTTACCAATGGATGTAAGACCAATGGGTGTAAGACCAAAAAATAAACGGTCCACAATCGAAACTAAATTCAAATTTAAACAGTAAATCGAGTTTCAAAGCATCAATCGTTAGCTTGTTATTTACCGTGTGCGATGGCTGTGATTTCAATTCAGATTTGCCACCATTTTCATCATTTCATGTTCTGGTTCAGGTAACTTTAACAAAAGATTGAGCTTTATATGAATAGAGCAGATGCCATACCATAAATTTTAGTCAATGTTGAGCTTTAAGAGACATTCAACGTTCAAGTTGTGGTCAACACCTACAACCGCAATTTTACACAAAATATAGCATACATTTGGGCGCCACCTTAATTTAGACACTTACCTTGAAAAAGACATATAAACTAGTGGGTGTGGTTGTAAACTGTTAGCTATAGTGGTCAACCTTCAATTAGCCGTATTTTTCAACATGTCCATAAGCAATTTTGAATTTTCTTGGAGACATTAATTTTTTAATAAGGAAATTATTCTTATTACTTATTTTTATTGAAATTTAGAGTACAGGCTACCAGTTTTAGGCTAATTTGAAAATATTTGATTGACTGTCAACCAGCGTAATATTTTAACGGATGTTAGCTGCCAGAGTTTTATTTGAGCATATTGTATTTCTGGCCAATCTGAGGCAATCAATCATGCACACGCCAGTCATACTGCACACACACATAACCAACACCTACACTTACACACAGACATTGACTAAAACTTGATAAACAATTTTTAAACATTGGCCTGGGTGTGTTATTGTCTCACAGATACTCTTAAACAAACACATACACTAAATATATTTATATAATTTTATTTATTGTATGCAAATGAATTTCTTATGCAAAGAATTTTGCGCTCGTTCTGCTAAAGTCAAAAACAAAAGCTGTACTCAAATGAAAATTGTCACCAGCAAACAACTTTGTTTCATGAAATAGTAAAAAGGGTTTTCCGAAAGCTTTTTGTTTACTGACTTTAGTTAATTTATTTGAAAGTCAATTATAAAGTATCTTCGATTTCAAAGTCTTAAAGTGATGGAAAGTTTAAATTCGCGCTTCGCTTCTTAGTTTTTACCCAATTTTTTTTTAGCAACCCTTCTATTTTTATGCTGGGTTTGTGTAAAAGATTAATGGCGACGATTTCTTTTGATTGTGCTTGAAGCGCTATCTGATTGTCCGGTTCTGTGTGAATTGTTAAGTAAATTATATGGTCAAAACAACAAAGACGACTTTTCAATTGTAGGCCATTAAATAAAAAGCCAACTGTCATTGAGTGTATTAACTTCAAGCTAAGTGAAATGTGAGACATAAGACCCACGCCCACGTGCGTTCCTGTCTTAATTTATAGGCAGAGCTATATAAATGTATATATTTATTGTATAAGTCATATATATGCACGTTTCTTGTCAGCTTTAATGGATAAGCGGATATCAAGCCTTGAGGGTATTGCACTGATTGACTTGGTAAGCAACATATTGCCAGCAGGTCGCGTTTTAGCTGAGTGCTCCCGAGGCGTTGGCAATACTCAATGGGGCGAATAGACAACAACGGTAATAAGCAGGCCCTACGGATGAGGAACATACATTGCATTCAGCACACGTTTCACATGCCGTATCAGCAACAGAAAATGTATCGAATAATGTGTGTGTGCGTGAAACTATAGCGAATATTGCTTTAGCCAATCGAAGCCATGATTAATGATTGAACTTTGCAAACGCAGCAAACACTCATTAAATTGCCACCCAACCACTTTTGAAGCAATTAAAACGCCACGGCAAATGCGAGGAATGTGCGAAACGCTGTCTGAATTGAAAATTCAATCAATGGTAAAACTTCTTTAATATGCTAGTTTAAACACACTTGTTATTCAGAACATGTGGCTAATGAGTTAAAAGTTCAAAGCTCAAAACCAAGTTAAAGTAGTCGTGAGAAAGTGTTAGTAGAGAAAGTAGTAGTATGGAAAGTAAAAAAATTTATTGGATTAATTAAGAGGAGTGTTCAACAACTGCTTTGTCTTGGCATTTAATAGAATTTAACGGTTCAACAGAAGTGAGCATCATCAGACAAGAGACGCCTTGTGTTAAACCTATTACCTTGACCTTGCTTGGAACTGTAATAAATAATCCAACTAAGCTGATTTCATTTTCTACCAACTGGGTAAATTAAATACTGTTTTGAAGTTATAGAACTTTTACCTCTATTGTCTGTTGTGCACAACTCAATCAAAATTTGCACAATAATTGCAATTGTCCTGCAGTGCATGATGTCAACATTTCACTAGGGATGTTGACAAGCCACCGACTTCATGAACTACTACTGCAACAAGAACTTGAAGAGTAGTAAGCATTATTGCAGTTGCTGGAACTATTTGCTTCATATTTACACTGGGCAACATGAATGAACAAATATAATAAAGTGCCAAGAGTGAAGAGGAGCACAAATTTGATAATATTTGCCTTGGCTACAACAGTGGCAGCGTTAATTTCATTTCCTGTAGCCTTTCATTCAAGCAAACGGCAGCAACTCCTCTGTTGCCGTGTCACACCTCAAGCGCTTTGTCAATATTTGTATGCATCACACAAAACCTTCTCGACTGTTCTGATTCTGTTAACCTTCGTCGGATTAGTGACATGCATATTTGTTGTTTTTTTTTTTAACTTAACTTTAGTTATACTTCAAAATTTAGTTTTCATATGCTTTAAGATGCTGTAAGGCATATGATATCCTTGAAATCTTAAGCTTACTATTTTCACAGCTCTATTCTTTATCAAATTACATTGTACATTTTTAATCGAATACTCTCGTTGCCTCAAGTTTCAGCTTTAACACATAATGTGTTCTTTTATTATTATTTTGCTTAAGATAAAAGGTTCAAGAGTGAGTATATTATGTAAACGACACCCTATGACACTCAATCACATTGCGATTTGCATTTTATGTTGGAGCTGTTTCACCTGTCCAAGTTTCTGCTGTTCTAATCCGTCGTAAAATTTTAATTTAATTTTATTTAATCTGACGAAAGGGTAGGGACATTCCTTAAGTGTTTGCGTGTTTTCTTACCTGTCACTTGAGTGTTGCCTTCTCGTTGAGCCGATGAGACGCGTCGGAAAATGCTGAGCACAGCTTTGCTATAAAACCAAGGGAAAACAAAATTACAATATTGATTTATGGTAGACACATTTGTGGGTATTCGAGCTCTTATATTTATTCACTTGTAAATGTCTTAAGTACTCAGCGATTTATGATTTATGGAAGGGCACATGTGTGCTTTCAAGTATTTACATAAATTTACTTGTAAATGTTTTCAATACTCACCGAAAATTTTGTCCGCTGACGCAATAAAGCACAAAATTGATGCCGAAATTTGTTATGAAGAACGCATTGAAAATATATTGCAAAACAATTGTCGTAGTTTGTGTTTTCGATGTTTGTGTCTGTTAAATATGGTAGGGAGAAATAATTTAAATAAATATTTCGTTTGAATGTGCCTTCTATTTATAACTGGTATATGTGTGGCATAACATATTATGCAATAATTTATCCTTTGATGTACATTTCGCACAAGTTTCTAATTACGCTTGAGAGATTCCACTTATGTAATTTCTGTTTAGAGAGAGAGCAAGCCCTGAAAGTACCTTGTGAAACTTGTTGAGCCTTTTCGACATTTCCTGTCTATTGGACAAACATAAAACCCTTCCGCCCAATTGCCTTTCTGTCGAACTCAATTCTTTCCAACCAATTGCCATTTATTCGTGTCACGTTGATTGCTTTACCTCTGACTGGCAAATAAATGAAATGGATATTTCAACATGTTTTTTATGTTGCACGTGTAAAAACCTGCCCATTCGTTAATACTGCAGAAGAGCTTATTTTGTTGTTACAATCTCAGAGCTTAGTCATGCGAGTTTCAGATTGACTTATGACCAAACATCACTAAAATTTGTATTACCGAAAAACGCTTTCAAATTATCGAGCAAAAACCTTATTTTGTTTACTCCACATGTATGTCATGAAAATGTGTGTTAAAAGTATGCCAACCCCTTAAAATGAGATTTGGGTAAATTTATTGGTGGGGGAGTGCAGTATTTGTGTATTTTTTTACAATCCAAAAGGTACGCACACTAATTAATGCTTTACAAATTATATGATAAATGTTAAAAACATGTTAAAGCAACGAGCTATCGCTGGAACCTTTTATTATATAGTCAGGATGTGCTGCCTTTGAAGCTGAATGCTGTTTGATTTCTGAGATTGTTATGTGGCTAAGCATGCGATGCTGTTGTCGTCCCATGTCAACTAAACTCTAATCAAGTTATTTCTTTTATCTTTGGCCTATAGTCAATTCTCTTATCTCTGCCCTATAATTATGGACACATTACCATACACTCGTATTCATGGGTCTGTATTATGGTTGTACTGTGTTTCAGTTTGTGGCTTTAGCTAAAATATTCTCTCAAACTTATCTGCTATGTGAGTTGTAGTTGTCCTGCAGCAGCTGCTGTTACTGCTCATTGGCAAAACAAAAGTTTGTTTCTTCTGAAGTGGCCAGCTGCTATGTTCCATTTGTCATCTTTAATTAAGATTGACAACAATGTAGCAGGCTGAACGTGTTAAGCAATCATTCTGAGAGCTCAAATAAATTTAGTATAATTTTAACAAAATTTAAGCACAGCCCACGCAGCGTTTGCTCTTGAGTGTGCTTTCGTTTGGCAAGTTTATAATGCATATAGCTGGTTGGCAAGTTTATAATGCATATAGCTGGTTGGGTCTTCTGTTTTCCCTAGTGCTTTGATTGAACATTATTTAAGAAAGGAAACATGTTTTAATCTCCAGTTTAAGACTGCACTTAATTTTGGAAGCGCACAAAAGCTGTTTGTGTTTGTGTTGTGTCAAATTTAAAGCGTCGATCAGATATATCTCTTTAATGAACTCACCTCCAAATAGGTTTCGATTCGTAACAAGCAGCTGGGTAAATTTAGGCAGACAAAAACTGTTGAGATTATGAGCAGCATTTTGGTAACCTTTAGTTGCGATGAGTTCTGAACGTTGCGATGTGCTGCAATATAAATGTGTTGATGTGTGTGAGCAAATCGGATAATGGCATTGCTCAAAGCATTTGAAATTATTCAAATTAACCAGAGCGAAAAAGTTAGTTAAGTATTCGCATTTTGAAAACTCTTAAGTAGTTTTCATATAACACGCTGCTTTGCACGTTCTCATATGTTGCACACTGTTGCTAATTGTAGCCAAAGTTGGCAGAAAATAGTTTAGGTAAAGTTATCAACAAAGTTATTGCTGTGTGTGAGTGTGTGCCTGACATTAAGTTTTAGTTTTAGCAGTCGGCAGCTTACAAAGTTTACAAAGTCGAGTCAATTGGCCACACCTTTCTGTCACAAGTGTCTCACCTGGCTTCGGTGCAATCTCGCAATTGTGTTGCGACCTGGATTCCTTTCGTGGTTGTTGCTGCAGTTGCTCCGTTTGCCGGGAGACACTGTGCTGTCCGCTTGGGTGTGAGCCCGTTGACTTTTGACGTCTCAGGGATGCTGATATGCGATATGTGCCAGATGCAGCTAAGCCACTTGACGACGTATTGGTTAACGGAGGTTTCCTGCTTGATTAAAACAAGCAAATAACATTAGATGCCAAATATTGAATTATGTAGATGATGCCACACTCTATTTTATTAACAATCGCACTTTATTTACTCACATCTTATGCATTGTTAATGTGCGTCGAACAGTGGCAAATTTCCAAACGGTGTAGGCCGTGCAGGTGTTCAGAACGGTAATGGTTGTAAAGGGCACCGCATATACAACAATCGAGTCCCAATAGTTGAACAAGGCCAGTTGTTCCTGCAAGAAAAAAAGACAGACACGCCTGTCTATATATATCTGGTTCATCCTTTATCGAATTAGGTTCGAATCTGATCTGACAACATGCCATATGCGTAATTCATTTTGGGGGCAACTGCAGTTAACTCGAATTTCTGTTGCTTTTCAAAGCTGACAGCTTCATAACTAAATTACTAAAAGTAATTGATTTTTTTTGCGTTTAATTTCTTGGTGTTGCGCGAAACCCTTGAAAATGTCCAACAAATTTCACGGAAGAATAAGATAAGAGCTGTTCATCAATTTCTATTTAAAAGTTAGGGCTTTTAGCTATTTTAGAGTGTTGTTTATCACGGCAGAACGCTACTATTAATAACCTTAAGGCTCTTGTTAATGTACTTTTTTTCCTCTTAACGAAATTTTTCGAAATTCTGCACTTTATTTGAACGGCTAATGTTGTTTCTTGCAATTTCCGGTCTTTGTTCGCAGGCTTTGGAATTTTTCGCTTGAAATTTGTGTTTGTTTTAAAGCACCACAAAAAAGTAATGCATTTCGATAAAAGCTTAAAAGCGAATTACAAATCAAAAAAGTAATAATTAGCGTTGCATGTCCTCCGCAAACAAATACCAAATACATAACGCATAATTTATGAATTATTTCACAGGCTAGATGCTGATTAAATTGTAAAATAATTCAAATAATGTCTATGCTAAAATGTGCTAATGGTAAACAATTTGATATTAATTATTATTTTGAGCTAACGTTTTCCAACAATGCAAATCAATTAAACCATTTAATTTAACGCAGTGCTGGAATTAAGTACTTAAAACTGTATCATAGTATGGGTAAAGGTTCAAGTGGCTAGTTGAAAGTAATTCACTTTAATGAGCGCATTTTCAATTGGTTTACAGTCCTAGATTCGACATTAAAATGTTGAACTAAAAAGCAAATATAATTAAATATTTCATTGTAATGTAATTTTCATGTATTAATATTCTGTATACTTTTGGTCACTTTACGTTTGCCGGGTTTATCAGAGTGTAAGTGCTTATCAATTTGTATTTAACGCTAGCTTTTTCATATTGTGGTTGTTGTTAAGCACAGGTTCATAGCAACTTAATATTGGAGAAATTCTCATGAGACCACATCTATAAACTCTTGCTGCTTGAGGTGGATTTAGTCAGCCGAACTGAGCCTAGTGGAAGCCGCTAATTAAGACCCAGTTCTGAATTACATGCTCGACAAAGGGAATTGAGTAGCTTATACCCAAGTCTGTTAAGATGTCCACAATGCAACTCGTATCGCATTTATTGTAGCTTCTCTGTACGCAGTTCAATTCAGTTCTCTCTGTCTCAATTTCGCTTGAATGCATCCACATCCAGATGACATTCTATTAAATTATTAGACCGGCTGCTGCTGTAGCTGTGCCTGCCGACATTCACTTTGTAATCAGACTCTGACATGCTATTTAATTTGTGTAATCTGATAATCAGCTGTAACCTTATGTGGTATTTTCGTAAGGTTAGCTGATTGATTTAAAGACTGGGCTAAGCATTATATGCTGACCATATGTATATACATTATAAATCTAATATAGTGAGAGTTTTTGATGTGTTTATTATGAAGATTTAAACTCTATAGAATGTAGTTTCAATTAATAATAATACCTAGCTTAAGAACTACTTTGGTCTACAAACATTTAAAGAAAAATATGAAGAAGAAAAATTGTGTAGTAGTTGTCAAGCTTTCATAAAGATGTGAACTAATTTTAACAAACATTCTTGAATGCACAAATAAATATATAGCTTTACGTCGGTTCTTGTTCACTGCTTTTGCTTAGCAAATTAGCATCCAAATATACACTTAATTCCATTTATTTATATGTATGACTGTCGACAAATTGTGTGAATAATTTGTAAATTGGCGTTGACAGCTAATTTAAACAGGCTTTGTCAAAGCAACCTAAAGTCACGAAAGAAATAAAAAAAAACAATGCGTACTTTTTGCATAATTGGCCGCCCAACCACAAATGTTGCTGCTTTTCAATATTGTTTATTGCTATTATTATTATGTCAATAGACGTTCGCCAATCGATCTACAAGTCCAACGAGGCAGACGAGCGACCAACCCAAAATAATGTGCAACAATGTGGCAAAGCTAGACGCCTCGAAAGCAGATTCCCTTCCCATGTAGCAAATACTGTAAATATGGGCGCATCACTCATACGTCACGTTCGCCCGACCGCATGCCATTGTTTTTTGAATTTTATTTTTTATTTTACTGATTAAATGTGAATGTTTCAGTTGTATATAATGTACTTGAATAATGTACAAGTTGACACTCTATCATATTTATGGGCGTCTCTTTGTGGTCAACTTCAAGCTCCATTTGTTGTCACGGTTAATTTGGCTAATATACGAAACCGTTATTCGCTTGTCGTGTCACTTTGCGAGACCCCCAATTTGTGCCTTGTTTGAAATTAGCATTGAATTTCAAGAAAAGGTGTCAACTTAAAACGCACTGCAAACAGAAATTCGAGATTTATCAAACGCCTAAGGAAATTGGCCGCGAAGGTCAGAACCTTTTCGTTTTGGTTCGCATGGCTATCAATAGGACGCTCCCAAAATCAATTTTCGGAGTAAGGGAAGAAAGAGGAGTTCTTAACTATGCCTGGTTTTTTATTATAATATACATTTTAGGTTTACTTGCGGTCTTTGTACAGCGCTTATGGGAGTGTGACGTCCTGGATGAGGAGTTTGGTCTTAGAAGGCATATTGTTGATATAATGAGTTTGTTGGATAAGGAAAGACAAAATTAACTAATAAAATTCAGTAATTCAAATTAACCGCACTTGAATGAGCTTTAAAATGTCGCTTATAGTTTGTATTTTCCGGTTAATTAATTTCTGTAATTAGCAAGTATCTAATCAGTAATGATGAAATATACAAAATATATTATCTCTGCATTTAGCTTATCTGACTTTCTGCAGAGTATTTCATATTCGTTGACACATTGATTTGGAATTATCTTGTCTTTTGGCATTATATTACGAGGCGTCTTGTGCCACATTTCTACTTCTAATTTGTTGGTTCACCAAATAAATTGTCAATTTACTCCTAACTCACTCAGCAGTTGGCTTAACGAACTGTGCGCCTAATTGATTGGCAACATTTACAACATATGTATTTGTATTGACTTTGCTTATTGCGACTAACACGAATTTTGCGCATTTAGCTTAAGGCTGAGCACTTGCACACAATTGATTTTATTTGTTGATTGGCTTAGAGGGCAAAGTCCTTTATCAACGCGTCAAATAAGATCAACAGTCGGTTAACTTTTTCTTTTTAGTTCTTATCCAAGCCAACAAGTTTTACAGCTGTCTTTGGCAAAATGTTTTTTTGTTACTTAAGTTTTCGCTTGGGACTGAAAATGCTTTTAGATATGCGAAACGATTGTGGGTTTTTATAATGAGCAGAAATGTTTTGGGTTGTGGATACGTTTGATGAGCGCCTTACTTACTGATGCGAGCTTTTAAATTGGGTTATATATATGCTGTATCGATCATTATGTTTACACAAGAGGTACGAAAATCAGGCATCTTGGGTTCAATAAATGAAATAAATTTAAATTTATATTTTATCAGCATTAACGGCTGAGTCCATCGTGTAGATAAATGATTTTTTATGTAGGTGGTATATGTGTTCCATAAAATTGGAAAATAGATAAAAGTTAATTGATATTGACGGGTAGAAAATGTAAAATATTTGTGCATTTCAAAGTTCAATTAAGGTCAAGTCGTCCACAATTGAATTTGTGTATTTTTTTCTTGTTCGAAGTCGTATAAAATTTCCATAGATTGATGGTTACAATAAACGAACTGAACAATTCGAAAAATGTGTGTCTGACTGAATACACAAAAGGATGTCGTATCATAGTCCATGCTCTCCTTTGTTCTGCTGCTAACTTGCAACGTTTTTGTCTGTGTACCGTTATTCACTGCCGGTTGGTATTGGCAACCCATTAAAAAAAACAAACCAAAGGACACCAGTATTGGAATTACACCTATAAAACAGTGACAGCAGGCTGACATTTTTCATGTATGATGCGGACGATGAGTGATACGGACAAGGACGTGGAGATGCTATTGATTACGCATACGACCTGTGGTCGCTTCAAATAGCCGTACTTACCTTATATGTGGTGTTCAAGTCACAAATGGTATCATTCAATTTGGGACTGTAGACGGGTTTGGCGATTAGTATATACGGCACACAATGCACACATCCGGCCAACGTCAGACCAAGTAGCACAATTTTGGCACGTCGAACAGTGCACATGATTTGCCGTTTCAGTGGATACATGACTGCTATGAAACGTTCCACGGTGAATGCGACCACAAACCACACCGAACAGAAGCTGGCCAGGTAGCTGATGAATGTGAAGAACTGACAGAAGTAGTTCTCATTGTAAATGTTCACATTGAGAAAGTTTAGCCACTGCATGAACAGGCCGCACAGAAAACAAGTATCGCTAATGGCTAATGCGGCCAGGTAGAAGCTCGATGATAGCTTTCGCAGTTTGGTCATGAAGAAGACAAAGACGGACAGAATGTTGCCGATGCTGCCAGTGAAACAAATTATTGGCACATAGTATCTATGCACACAATCGCCGACGATAATTGCAATCCGAAACATCTCCTCATCCTCAGCGGACATGTCTTCCAAATCTCCGCTGGTACTCCGGTTCGCAATGCTCGTATAGTTGAGTACTGCTGTTGTGGCTGTCGCTGATATGTCCTGGCTTGTGTTTGACATTATTGTCGTTGCGGTTACTTCGTGGGGATTAGACGTAATTACGTTCATCCTGCGGTCGTCTCACACATTCAATGTCACTTCTCGCTGTCGGACATTCTTTCGCGAAGTACTTGTTTTTGTTTTCTGCTTAAGAGCTTTTCAGCTTCAGTGCTGTGCGAACAACTAAAACACAATAACAAATGAAGAGAATACGGAACCTCAGTCAGTAATTGCATTTCGCAGTTACACTCAGTAATTAATAAGTTGTTAAATGTTACTTCATTTAAAGAAAGAAAGAACTGAAAATTTGTAGAATATAAAGTAAAAATGACGAAAAGTTCGTCAAAGGAACTTTACTAGTTTTTATATTGAAGAGTTCTCAAAGTATTTTTTGTCGACTCGTTGTGTGAAACACTTTTTTTTTTAAGATTTATATTTTTAAATTGTCTTCAAACTAAAAATAAAAAATTAGTTTTTTGTTCAACTTCAATGAAACAAATAATTTGTTATTGGCAGACAATTCGAAAGTAAATTCACTGATTAAAAGTTGTACAACAATTTTTGCGATTTTTTATTGATTGTTTTTCTATAAAACACAACTTTTCACGCGCTCTGAAATTGGATAAGCGTACAGCAAAAGTTTTGATTTTTGATCGAAGTTTGTGCAACTTTTATTTGTCATCAGTGCAAAACTTGTATAATTGATCAAATAATTGCATTGTTGGCATTCAACGTTGAAGTTTACCGTCGGCAGATAAAATTTCGTGATTTGGGGCTGGGAACTTCTAAAGGACCTGTAGCCTGTGGGACAACACGCGCGTAACTAAGCAGAAACAATGCTGATGGTGGGTTTTTAAACAATTCCGAGTGTTTCGCCGCCATTGGAAGGCGCCAACATATGTCGAAAAGCTTTTCAGCCGAATTGTTGGCGTCGGCGCATTGTCAAATTTCACCATTTGATTCATTGAATCAACAGGTGGCAAGGTCATGGCTAAAGCTAAAGCAACAAGTGTGTTTCCTTGAACTAACGAAGGGCTCCTCTAGACAATGTGCCAGCACAACGAGAAGGCAACGAGAGGTGGGCCGCCTATTTTTGTCAATGCTGTTCTTGCTTTGCTGACATTGTTGATAATAAACAAAAACACGCAGTGCGCCTTCCAGTGCCGGCTAAAAGCTTTTCGACTGACTGCTGGAAATCTTAAGTTTGCATTCAGGCATCAGTTGCCTTCAGTTGATGTCGAGCACTGAGCCGTGCCATAGACAGAAAATGAGCGCGAATAAGTCGTTCGGTTTGTTTGATTTTTCGTACTTGTTACGCTACGTACTTTTTACTCTTGCTTAACTTTTGAATTACTTTCTTGCATTGCAGAAGATGATAAAGTCGGCACTCTGGATGTCCTGCTGAGCAGCGCCTATTGTCGTTCACAACGCTTCCTCTCAAAGCAACTGGCACAATTGCGTCCTGAATTAACCATGTCATTATTTTCGGGTGAGTAAAGCTCGAGTTATGCCAGACTTATTTAATTTATTTCAAAAATAATAAAATAAGAATTGGGAACACTTCTTTGCACTCTAATGTACTTTACCTATGACAAAGGTTAAGGTTATGATTAAATAGAACTATTTTTAATCTGTTTGTGTTTGTCCTTACAGAGATTACGCACCGTTTCCAGAGCGCTCGCGATGATGTGCGCGCCTTGTTGCTGCAGTGTCTGCTGCCTTGGTTGCAGAACATGGAATTGGTGGCAACCAGTGTGCCGCCTGCTACGCCACTATCCTATATTATGGTAATATGTAAATGCCCTTTAAGTTAAAGTGAATATCTAAGCTGGAGGAGCTGAACTTTAAATTTATACAATTCGGCGGTTTGCTTACTTAAACATTGTTTGCTCACAGTACTTTCCGGATTCGGGCACACGTGGACGCCGCGAGGGTACTGGCTCAACTGAGGCAACAGAAATGATTCTGAATAATCTATTTTACATAACGGCAAAGGTAAGCATACTTTGCATTAACTTTGAATAGCTTGAATAACAACATTCTATTGTCTCGACGCCGTTCAACAGTTCTCGGATGCGCATCCGCGCGATATTGAGGAGCTGTGGGGCACATTGTGTCAGTTCTGGCCTAACAATCTAAAGGTCATACTACGCTATTTGGTCATCATGAGCGGCATGGCACCCACCGAGCTCTTGCCCTATGTAAGTGCCATATTTCCACTCTCCTCATATGAGTGAGCTATTTGACATATTTAAATTGTGTACGTGCAGGCGAAACGCGTGGCCCTTTATCTGGCGCGCAGTTGTCCGGATCGTTTGCTGGATGAGCTAATGGCCGAACTGCAGACGGTGGAGACGCTTAACTGTCTCATCGAGCGCACTGAAACGCCTCCCTTTTATAGGTTAACCAGCATGCGGAAGGCTTCCAGCCACAGCGCTGATGGTGAGTAACACAGCTGGAATCAAACCTGATTAGGGCATCAGTTTAAAGTGTCTATTCTCTATTCATTGCCAGGTCAAGCAGTGGGTGGCATTAATGATTCGCGCACCCAGGATCTGACCGTAGAGAAGGGTACCATACACACAAAGCGACACAGCGGCGAGGATCCCATTAAGATTGGGTAAGTATCCTGCTTTTGTTTGACCCTAAGAAATGTTTGTCATCGATAAGTTTCCTTTTATGTTCAGCACCTGTAAATCAGACAGTGGCATTCGGGCTTACACTCAGGCAGCTGCTGCTGCAGCCGCTGCTGCTGTCACGCCCATCACGGGCGGCAGTCGACCGCCGCGTGGCGCTGATAAAATACGTGCTGCATCGGGTCCCTCGATACTGCCGCGACCCGAGGATATATTAATCAACGATCCGGAGCTGCGACAGGAGGAGAATGTGGAATTGCGTAATACAGCGGAGGCGCCACCAAATGCACACCCACATCCGTTGCCCATGCCCGAATATGGTGGCTACTTTGCACCGCTAACAGAGTTCCTGCCAGATGTCAGTTTACCCATCAGCGGATTCCATCGGTAAGTTGAAAAAAGAAATTGAATAATTGCTTCATGATATATTTATTATAAGATTATCATATGCTGATATTCTTCAATTGGTTTTCACTAATAATACCGAACACCCTGGTGTATTATTGAGCGTATCCAATTGACGTGGAAGGCCACATTAGTGAAACCAGCTGGATGACCGGCAGTGCAGCCGCCAGGCGAAAAGAATGTGGTCACACCAACCAAAGTGGGATTCTGTTCTGTAACCAGTGGACCGCCATTGTCGCCGGGACAGGTGGATTGGGCACCAGGTGTCCGTGTACACAATGTGCCTTCGGATAGTGGGCCATAGTATCTAGCGCACAAGTCATTGCCCATGATCTCCATGCTGACGCACTGCAGAGTTTGTGCATATTGTTTATTGGCTTGTTCGCCCCATCCGCATGCAACTGCCCACTGGTTGTCATAGCGATTGTAGCTGGAACTTGGCAAATTGACCATGTCGACCCAGTACGTGAATGCCAAATGCGGTGTCCGTATCAAACCGATATCATAGCCTCTATCAAGTGGCCATTGTGGTTGAACATAGTAATCGCCTCTTGTCACCCTGTGAGTGAATAGGCCTCTCCTCGTATTGGAACCGTAGTGAATATCCACAAAGTCCGTGGTCAAGCATTGGGCAGCGGTTACAACAAAATTATTTGAAATGATGGCACCTCCGCATAATCCGGTTTGAGTGGTTCCGTACGTTCCTAGCACCAGGCCGACCATATAGGGAGCTCTACCCTCAGAGCCACCGATTATGATATTTTCAGGCTCGGGTGATTCCGTCGTCTCGTTGCCACTTACTAGTGCAACAGACAGATAAATAAACACTACCAATAGTTTCATGCTTGGATTACAAGTTGAATGTGCACTGCTCTGGATGGGTGCTTATATAGTAGTTCTCCACAAGTAATTATGGATTTCGTAACTAATTGTATGGGTTATGGTGACAGCTAACAATAATAAGATGCAAAAATGTAAGATTATTAATGGTATAAGCACTTAATGTAAGCCATTAGCTATCTAACATGCTCTATATGAATAATATGCATTCTGTAATGCTAAAACTCATTTCGAACAGCATCTGAATCGGAGCTCTTCATCTTAAGATGTCTCCATATACATAAGTATTTAGATTAAGGGACCATCACTGATATCAGATATTGATCCTTTTTGTGATGATATTCACAAACCTCATATCTGTTACGTTTGTAAATTGGCTCTACTACTTAGACTTGCTTATCGGGTTTATTATTAAATTATATAATGAATATACAGTTCTCATTTGAGATATGTCGAGCAAATTCTTTGTTAGTTACTTCTTAGAGGCATTTAACGTATTTTGGCCTATTATGTTATGGTGGATTCTGTGATTCAAGGCTAATCTACTACTCAGAACTTGCTTTAGGAAAACACATGGATAGATTTTATAGTATGCTTCTTTAATAGTTCTTTTTTTTCCTTTTTTTTTTTTTGTTTTGTGTTACGAAGTTAGTAGTATGCAATTCCAGAGTTTTGACGTATCCATTCCAAGTGGACAGTCACACGGGTGAAACCAGCTGGACGGCCGACCATACAGCCTGCAGCAGAACCGAACGATGTAACGCCCACCAAGATAGGATTATCGTGGGTAACCAATGGGCCACCAGAGTCGCCACCGCATGTTGATTTTCCATCCGGGGCTCTCACACACAGAATGCCTTCGGGTAGATTGCCGTATGATCGGGAGCATTCGTTATTGCTCATGATCTGCAGATCCACGCACTGAAGCCAATCAGCAAGTTGGCCATTAGCCTGTCCACCCCACCCGCAGGCAACAGTCCACCAGTTCTCAAAGCGCTCGTTCCGTTGGTTGAATCTGGGCAAATTCACCTTGTTGACCCTCGATGTGAAATCGACGTGGGGAGTGCGTATTAGGCCGATGTCATTGCCATTAGTATTGGGCCAGAGATGGTGGCGAACGAAGTTGTTATTCCTCACTCGGTGACTGTATTGACCATTTCCTCTCCAGTTAGAGCCATAATGAATGTCCACATAGTCCGTGGTCAAGCAATGAGCAGCCGTTAGAACCCAATTGTTACCAATAATGGTGCCACCTCCAATTCCAACTGTATTGCTGCCGTCAGTTCTCAATAGCAAGCTAACAATATAGGGAGCTTTTCCCTCGTATGCTGGATAGCCATTGGTTATAATGTTGTCGGGCTCATGCTGATCCACAGTCGTGGTCTGATTTCCACTGGCGGAGGCAAATGCCAGAAACAGAAGTAATAAGAGCGATTTCATCGTGGTAAGTCGCAACTGAATTGTCTCAAATGTGACCTTATATAGGGAGGACCATTAACTTAGTTTAACTTTCTTATCAAATTACTTTACAAAATTGTGACTCAAATTGCGATATTAGTAATATCTAAGTTACTTAATGGTTTAAGACATTAGTCATGCAAATTCGACTAATTTAAATTTCTTGCGTTCATCTCGCACTTATCTCGTCATTAATATTTATACTCCGCCGCCCTCAGGAATTTCGGCCTTAGAAGTCTGAAATGTGCATATCTTTCACAATTTGTTAGATAGTCACTAATCTTTGAAAGTATATTACTTTATTATTGTTTATTTAATTATTTTTTGGCCACGCCCACTCCCCCAAAATCCTAATTTTAAAGGCAAACTTGGGCGGTAGACTACTAAAAATTTTCTTCAATGATCGGTATTTGTTGGCTGCATCTGCCCTGGTCTGAGGCACCTGTCATCAAATGGTCGGTTTCGCCCGACTTCAACGTTCTAACTCGTTTTCATTGATTTGCAGCAATAATCGGGGCTCAGGCAGTTAGAGATTATATTTTATTCTCTATTAAGTAAAAAATTCAATTGCAACTAAAAATTTTTATTGTTTGTTAAGCAGATATAAATGTTTTGTTAGGAATATAGATTATATAAAGGATAATGCGTTGAAGTAGTACAAAATCAGCGGTTAGTATGCAATTCCAGATTGTTTTCGTATCCAATCCAGATGGCTTGTGATACGTGTGAATCCAGCTGGATGTCCAGCAGAGCACCTTCCGGCAGCAGTGAATTGACTGATTCCAATCAGAATAGTGTTGCTTTGCGTGACCAGCGGTCCTCCGGAATCACCGTAACAAATTGACTTGCCGCCAGAAGTACTGGTGCAGAGCACACTGCTATGAACCACACGTGAGCCGTAAGTTCTAGCACATTGGGCATTGGATATAACAGGCGCATCGACGCACTGCAGATTTTCGGGTGTCCTTGTTGAAGTTGTTTGTCCCCAGCCGCAAGCCGTCGTCCGTTCGTTGACGTAAAGTTTATTGCGATCACTCAAACTGGGCAGCCTAACTCTGCTGATACGGTTCGAGAACTCAACGTGTGGGGTACGAATCAAGGCGATGTCATCGCTGGGATGGTTTATAATATTGCTGCCGCTAACAGTGTGACTAATTGAACCTTGAGCACGTTGGTTTGAACCGTAGTAGATGGTCACGGAGGTGAACCCCTTCGAACAGTGGGAAGCGGTTACGACCCAAGTATTTCCAATCATTGATCCACCGCACCACGAACCGCTCCTGCTATTTCGAAAAGAAAGGAATACAATATACGGTGCTTTTCCCTCAGGGGCTGTATATCCATTAGTTATGATATTCAGAGGCTCTTCCTGATCCGGGGATTCAGTGGTTATTGCCTCAGGCTCACTTGCAGAGACAAGAGCCAAAGGCAAAAGAACAAATAACACTTTCATGCTTAGATTGCAAGTGAGCATTTAACACCTTTGAGTGTGACCTTATATAGTGAACTTGTCCAATTAATCATGCCGTTTGCAAATAGTTATATCGCTAATGGTGATGGCAATTAGATATACGAAGTGGTCTTTAGCTACTTTGGTTGAGGCAGTATTGCTTCTATATACAATTCAGGTATCATGTATTGCAAACACTACATAAGTTTTGTGAGACTGCTTCTTTATTAGTTGTTATCTTTGGAAAATGCTTAGATTAGTAGCAACTTCAGGATCTTTTTTCCCCATGTGGGTAGCTAACAATTTGAATCTCAAAATTTGCATGTTGTTAACAGTCGTTCTTTATAATCTTTGAAGTCGTAGTTATCTGAAAACATTTCTGAAGTCGAATTGCAAGTATTTGATGGATATATATTTTTCAGGCGCTATTGGCCTCTTATATTTGATTTGAATCTAAGTACAAATCCAGCTTCATAGCACACATAATTATATGTCTTGTTTTGTTAGGTATGCTGTTTATTTAAATCATATCGCATTGAAAAAGCAAAAGATCAGGGATTAGTATGATATTCCAGTTTGTATACGTATCCAATCCAGATGGCTTGTGATGCGTGTGAATCCAGCTGGATATCCAGCAGTGCAACCGCTGGCCGTCCAAGACTGACTGACGCCAATCAGAATTGTATTGCGTTGCGTGACAAGCGGTATGCCAGAATCACCGGAACAAATTGACCCACGGCGCCATGTACGGGTGCAGAGCACTCCGCCGTGAACTGTGTGTGTGTCATAAATTCTAGCACATTGGGAATTGGGTATAACCAACGCATCGACGCACTGCAGATCTTCGGAGGTGCTTGTTAATGTATTCTGTCCCCAGCCGCAAGCCGTTGTCCATCGGTAGACGTAAAGATTATCCCGATCACTGAAACTGGGCAGCCTAACTCTGCTGATACGGTCCGAGAACTCAACGTATGGGGTGCGAATTAAGGCGATATCATCGCTTGGATTTCGTATAACGTTTCCGCCGCTAACTGTGTGACTAATTGAACCCTGAGCTCGTTTGCTTGAACCGTAGTAGATCGTCACGGTGAAGGGATTCTTCGAACAGTCAGAAGCAGTTAAGACCCAAGAATTTCCAATCATTGATCCAGTGCACCAAGAACCGCTCTTTCCATCTTGAAAAGAAAGGAATACAACATACGGTGTATTTTCCTCAGGCACTGTGTGGACAATGATATTCTGAGGTTCTTCCTGATTCGGGTATGCACGGGCAAGGCGGCAAAATAAAAGAACAAATAACACTTTCATGCTTAGATTGCAAGTGAGCACATAACACCTTTGGTTGTGAACTTATATGGTGGATTTTTCAAACTAATCATGCCGTTCGTAAAAAGTTACATCACTAATGGTTATGACAATTAGAGATACGAAATGGTTGCGTCTAAATACAATTCGAATATGGTGTTGCAAACACACACGGGTGAAACCAACTGAACCGAAAGATGTAACACCGACCAAGATGAGATTAGCGTGGGTAACCAATGGGTTACCATTGGTAACGGCTCAGGCCGTTAGAGATTATTTTGAATTCTCTAATAAGTAACAAATTAAATTGCAACTAAAAATTGTTATTATTTGTTAAGCAGATATAAATGTTTTGTTAGGAATATAGATTATATAAAAGATCAGCGGTTAGTATGCAATTCCAGTTTGTAGACGTATCCAATCCAGATGGCTTGTGATGCGTGTGAATCCAGCTGGCTCTCCGGCAGTGCAACCTTTGGCTGAAACAAAATGAGTGACTCCAATCAGAATTGGATTGCTTTGCGTGACCAGCGGTCCTCCAGAATCACCAAAACAAATTGACCTGCCGCCTAAGGTACTGGTGCAGAGCACTCTTCTATGAACCGTGCGTGAGCCAAAAATTCTGGCACATTGCGCATTGGATATAACAGGTGCATCGACGCACTGCAGATTTTCGGGTGTCTTTGTTGAAGTTGTCTGACCCCAGCCGCAAGCCGTCGTCCATTGGTTGACGTAAAGATTACCGCGATCACTAAAGCTGGGCAGCCGAACGCGGTTAATACGGGCGGAGAATGCAACGTGTGGGGTACGAATCAGGGCGATGTCATCGCTGGGATGGTTTATAATGTTGCTGCCGCTAACAGTGTGACTAATTGAACCTTGAGCGCGTTGGTTTGAACCGTAGTAGATGGTCACGGAGCTGAACCCCTTCGAACAGTGAGAAGCGGTTACGACCCAAGTATGTCCAATCATTGATCCACCGCACCACGAACCGCTCCTGCTATTTCGAAAAGAAAGGAATACAATATACGGTGCTTTTCCCTCAGGGGCTATATATCCATTAGTTATGATATTCAGAGGCTCTTCCTGATCCAGGGATGCAGTGGTTATTGCCTCAGGCTCACTTGCAGAGACAAGAGCCAAAGGCAAAAGAACAAATAACACTTTCATGCTTAGATTGCAAGTGAGCATTTAACACCTTTGAGTGTGACCTTATATAGTGAACTTGTCCAATTAATCATGCCTTTCGTAAATAGTTATATCGCTAATGGTGATGGCAATTAGCTGGATGTCCGGCCAAACGCGAAATACCTACGGGTAGACTGCCATAATATTTGGAGCACTCATTATTGCTCATGATATCCGCACTTTAGTCAATCTGTTTATTTGAACGATAAGCTAATTTAGAGTAGGCATGTGAACTACCTGGGCAAATATTAAGGGAACTACAAATAATGGTTTAATGCAGTAGGGAAAATCGAAAGTGTTTATTTTCGGCACTAGTCCGTTTCTAATAGAAATCCGTTATCTTTTACAGCTGCAACGTGGCGGTGATGTTGCTCACAGATATTGTGGTGGATGGTATTCCTGGCATTGATTGGACTCTGCATTTACCGCTTATGCTGCACATTTTGTTCTTGGGCCTGGATCACACACGCATCATTGTGCGGGAGCATTGCAAGCAGCTGTGCGTCAATTTATTGATTGTGCTGGCCGAGCACAATGATCATCTGACTGTGGCACGCATTCTGCTCAACAGTGAGACGAGCAAACTGGATTTGGGACTGACCGTGCCTGCTCTGCCGGTGATTGACAATAACTTTACGGAGCTGCATCAGCAGTTCGACAGTTATCTGTTGCATGTCAGTCCACAGGCGGCTGCCTATGCGCTGCAGCACAATCTCTCCAACTCGACTATCATTGCGGCCCACTCGACCAACCAGCAGATGCTGCAACAGAATCTGCAGCAACTGCAGCCAGTTCAGGGACCGGTGAATGCCACACCAGCCGGATTGGCCGCCACGCCGGCAGCACTGCAGATCAATCCGAATAACACGGAAAACTCGGAGGTGCCGTTAATTCATGCGGATGAGCATGCTCCACCGCAGCCGGGTCCCAGCATGCCCATTGCGCATGTAATCAAGAGTTTGCTCAAGTTTCTCGCCCACGACACCTGTCAGCCGCTGTGGAACTATGAGGACATTACGGCCAAGGTGTGGGCCGTGAAGTCGGCGGAGCAACTGAGCTGCTTCCTCATGCATATGGTCAAGGTGTTTGCCGATAGCTATCCACAGGCGCGCATTGCCGAGCGCTGGGCGCAAACGGCTCTTCAACTGGGCCTCTCTTGCTCCTCGCGCCACTATGCCGGACGCTGCCTGCAAATCTTCCGTGCCCTCAATGTGCCCATTAACCCTCGCATGTTGTCGGATATTTTGTCCCGGCTGGTGGAGACTGTTGCCGAACAGGGCGAGGACATGCAGGGCTATGTGACCGAGTTGCTGCTCACTCTGGAAGCGGCCGTTGATAGCTTGGACTCGGATTTCCGGCCGCTCGACGTGATGAAGGATATTTTCAAGAGCACGCCCAATTTAAACAACAAAGATGGCGGTCCCAATTCCATTCTGCCCGGCAAGAAGTCACCTTCCGGAATGACACCGCAGTCCTCCAACTACTCGATACCCAGTCATGGACGCAGCACCAGCTACTCGGTTTCATATTGCGGCCGCAAGGCTAACAACTCGCCCTGCGACAAACAAGTGGAGCTCCGAAATCGTGCCTCCGGCATCGAACTAGAGCGCAGTGTGGTCAGTAAATTTGGTGTCGGTGCTGTTGGCGTCGGCGCTGGCTCTGCATTGTCGCGCTCCCGTAGCGCTCAGAGCCTGAAGATGCTGGGCGACACGGCCACACAGGATGACAAGATGACCATTTTGGCACAACTGTTTTGGCTGTCCGTATCGCTGCTCGAATCGGACTATGAACATGAATTTATGCTGGCGCTGCGCCTGCTCACTCGAGTGCTTCATCGACTGCCGCTGGATCGTCCCGATGCGCGCGACAAAGTGGAGAAGCTGCAGCAGCAGCTTAAGTGGACAGCTTACCCGGGCGTGCATGCGCTGCTCCTCAAGGTGGGTTATTACTACGATTGCATAACAAGCAATTTTAGTTTAAATTCAAAGCTAATCAATTGTGTTGGTTCACCTTTCAGGGATGCACCCACAGTGCCACCTATGAGCCAACCATCACGCTGCTGGCCCAGTTCGCCCCACTGCTCACTCTGCCCGTGTGTGATCCCACACAGAGCTGCGCCTTCCCCATGAACGTGATCGCCCTGCTGCCGTATATGCTGTTGCATTATGAAGATGCCAATGAGATTTGCATACGCAGCGCGGAGAATATTGCACATGTGTCCACGGAGTTGGGAGCCAAACTGGAGAATCTGGGCACTGTGATGACTCTGTACAGTCGCAAAACGTTCTGCAAAGAGTCGTTCCAATGGACCAAGTGTGTCGTCAAGTATTTGCACGACACCTACGCGCACATGGGACTCCACATGTTGGCCTTCCTCATCGAGGTGCTCGAGAAGGGGCCGCAACAGGTGCAGGTGCCGGTGCTGAATGTCATTCACTGCATGCTTCACTATGTGGATCTATCGGCGCCACAGGCGCAGACCATCAATGCGGATCTCTTGCGCGCCATTGGCAAATATTTAGATGTAAGTTTGGAACTCTCTTAAATGATAGGCGACTAATTCACATATTCCCTTGTAGACTGTTAACTGGAAGGACTCACTTAAGATACTCAAATTGATTGTCACACGCAGCTCATCGCTGCAGGTGGTGCCACCCAGCGATGGCAGCAGCGCCGGCTTATCGTTCTCCTTCTATGGCGCATATCCGGACTCGGATATGTTCTGTAAAAAGGAACTAGCCGGCCGCACCATGGAGTTCACATTCGATGTCTCGCAGACGCCTCTAATTGGACGTCGTATATTGCTCAAATCAGAGGATCCAGCATCAGGCGGTGCTGCATCTGCCACAGGCAGCTCTTCGCTAAACTCAACGCTGACGAATGCCACCACCGTGACGGTTGCACCGGCTCAGCAGGTCAGCGCCCAGCTGCAGCAGCATCGTGCCCACAGCAATGTGGCTGCCATTGCCGCCTCCGCCGTCGCTGCCCAGCAGCATCAACAACAGCAGCAACAACAACAGCAGCAGCAGCAGCAGCACTCTGTTGGCCTTGGCAGCATTGTTGGCACGCCCAATTCGCCTAGGCGTAGTGCCAGCTTATCGCCGGCGGATACTGTTCCGCTCAGTGGCTGGAAGCGTCCGTGGATGTCGCAGTGTCGTGTACGCGAGTGTCTGGTGAATCTATTGACCACCTGTGGCCAGCGTGTTGGTCTGCCCAAATCGCCATCGGTAAGTTGCTGGTCATGGTCATTGTGCTCTGCGGTCCGGGGTCGGCAGTTTGTCAGCTTGTACATTAGCAAGGTGCATGCTTTGAGCTCCCCTAGCGCTAGCTTTTTCAGCTCCTGCTTTTCTCTAATATGGCCATCATCTATACGAATTTATTTATTTCTACTTCTTTTTCTTTCATGAAAAAAAAACCAAAAATGAAAACAAAAACAAAAAACCAAAATGAAATTAATACAAAATCAAATCGAATCCAATGTCAAACTAAAACTAACACGCCATTATATATCATCATTAACAACCCGAACCAAACCTAATTATAGGACGATTTCATAAACTCTATTTGCTCAAAGGTAAAGGAACATGTTTCTAACAGCCACGTGTAGCTTTGCTTTTGTTTACGTAATTTGTTTTGGCTCGTTTCATTTCATTGCATTTCACTTCATTTCGTTTCATTTCATTTCGTATTACCGCTTATATGCACCGCTCATTTCGTCTCATTTCACACATTCCGCACCAGTGCACAGGTGGGCTGCCAGTTTGCAGTGTTGGTATTCGAATCCCGTGCATTTCATTTATTACCACGTTCCGCCGCTTTTGCATGTTGAAAACGGAAACGGGTCCTGTGAGGAGAGTCGCCTGTTCTCTTCCATTTCGTTTCGTTTGCTTATTGGTTTCTTGTTATTTGCATGTGTGTCTTTTGTTTTAAACTGTATATTTCGATTTCTTATTTTAACACAATCAGTTTTTGAGCACATCACTAACGGGATCGATTGCGACCAGACAAAGCGTAAGCTTTTCAGTCTTATTCTCAATTATTTGTTCTTAGATCTACTTCAGTGTTTAACTTGCATGCAACAGTATTTGTTCAGTTACTAATATTCTATTTGCTTGTCAACCTGTAGGTGATCTTTAGCCAATCATCGGATCTCATGGAGCGGCAATCATCTGCGGCCTCTTCCACCGAGGAGACATCAGGTCCGCAGGGTGATCTTAGCAGCGGTTCTCGTCGTGACGATGGCCAACCCGACTTTACCGTCTTCAAGGACTTTGACTTCCTGGAGTACGAGGACAGCATCGCTGGCGAGTCCACGGACAACTTCAATTGGGGCGTTCGTCGCCATCAGCTCTTCGAGGGCGACGAGGACTGCTTGAACTGCGGCAGCGCCATTGGCGGCTCCATAAAGGGCGGCCATTCGTCGGCACTGGAGGATAGCTTCAGCGATAAGACGCCAATTTTGAGCAAGCGCAAGCGACAAACCGCTGACGATTCGTCCGATGAGGAGGCCGAATCGGAGTCACCACTAGACGATGATCATCGTCAGTCATTTTTGAAATCTATCTTCAGTGGCGCACCGCCATCTTCGCTGAGTTTGCGTGAACGCCGTCGCCGTAACTCAGTTTCCCGTAGCGATACCAGCGGATCCAGTGCCGGCGATTTGGGTGATTTAACGCCGTGTAATGCCTCGCCCCATATGCAGGGCATCATTCGCTTTGGCGCCGCCGTACGCGATGAGGCGGAAGAGAACTGGCGACGTCAGCTGCAGTCGATGCTGGTCAATCAGCCGTCGGCGCACACCTCCGAGCTGCTGCTGCAGCTGTACAGGCTGATCAAAGAGTTGACCTTCAAGACAATCAGCATATCCAAGGAGGCTAAGAAATTCTTTACGGGCATCGGTTCCCAGCTGGGCAATCGCATCTCACTCTTTACGGATTTATTAAGTTCGCGTGCCGATCCGCCGCGTGTTTGGTGCAGTGAGATGCAAGCCACCACGCCAAAGCTGTTCGAAACTCTCAGGTTCAATGTGCTGGAGGTGCAGGAGCATCTGGAGACGTTCTTCGATCGCAAAGATCAGGTATTGGAGGTTAGTAAATTTGATTATTTTCCATCATTTTGATCGGTTTTAATGTGAGATTTTAAATTACAGTGTCTGGATGCAGTTAAAACATCGTGCAAATTGTCACTATTCAATGAGTCAGATGTGGCTGCTTCGAGCTTGGAGCTGCCCAGCAGTTCCAGCATTGCTTGCATGCCCTTTGATCCGGCCTCAACGGAGGTTGTTCTGGACTTGGGACGCTCGCTGTATAAGCTTATGTTTCAGCTGCTTCTGCTGATTGAATCAAATCATAAGATATCCTCGAATGTGGTTAATCATTTTCGCATCAATGAAGACGTAAGTGTTGATCGACAGGTCAATACATTTGCTTAGATTTCATTTCACGGTTCTCTTGCAGATGCATGACATATCCGATCTCTATGCCCTGGTGCGAGATGCTCTGGTGCGTTGCACTAGCGAGGCCGAGTTGGATTGCCTGGAATCGTCGACGTCAACGGAGGGGGAGCATACGCCGACACCATCGCCCGGGTTACCCATGACGCAGGAGGAGTTTGAGGCGTCGCTGCATGAGCATATTGATCTGCAGCGCTGGTCTAGCGCCATTTCCCATGTGCGTCAGTATCGACGCGTGTCTACACTGAGTGCTGGCGATCAGAGTCTGACTATCTTTAGCTATGGCAATCTAGACAGTCGTCTCAAGTTTGATGAGATGTCGATCATATTGAATGCTTATGCACATAGCATTATGAAAGATCGCACGGGTTAGTATCACAATTGCACTAAATATTTGTAAATATTTCTAACCTCTATTTACCTCGCAGAAGCCTTCATTGTATCCAAATCGGACTCGGAGCTGTTTGAGGTTTATGCAATACTCTCGGAGAACTTGTATCACGTCTCAAGCGCGTTGACTAACATGGAGATCAATATGAAAAGCTACTCAATGGGCGCCGGTTCAAGCAATTTGCATCGCAGCGAGCAGGACATTGTGACAAATCTTTAAATATAGAGGAACTTTACATATGGCTAAGATTAGTGCAGAAATAAGCTCATTTTGATATGTAATCAAATTTAGATTTTAATATTTAAGCAGCATTGTAGGGCACTATCATTCAGTTGAGAGTTGATCAAGCATTATTGAGTATGAACAAATGTGTTTTTAAGTACGGTATAATTACATAATATACATATATATTTATCTCTTATCGCGACTAGTTTTTATAAGCTTCATATCATGTCGGAAAGACGAAGATAAAAAATTATGAGACAGTTTTACGTTTGGCTCTATAAAACATTGAACACAACAACATGCAATATTTTTCTATAATAATAAAAAAATATTTAATTACAAAATGGGACTTGTATTATTCCGACCCACAATCAGCCTGGACATCCTTATAGTAAATAGAGCAAATATTCAACTTATCATTAAGTCATGTTTGTCATACAAACGCATTGTAAAACATAGTATTCAGTAACTTATCTCATTAGGTGAACAGATTCTTAAGCGCATTTCGTTGCTGTTTATTATATTCAGCCAGCAGCTGCTTGGCGCTGTTCAATTCATTCAGAATTTGCTTGTTCTCCGGCAGCAGATTGTGCGCATGCTTTAAGTCATTAATGGCCTCTTCGTAGTTACGCAATTCACGCTGAGCTTGTCCACGTCTGTAAAACGCCTTGCTGCAGCTTGGATCCAAGCGAATCGCCTCCGAGCACTCATATTTGGCATACTGATAATTACCCAGCTTCAACTCAACTGCAGCCATATTAATGTTGTTCACCACAGAGAAAGCGTCCAATTTTCTCAGATCCGAGTTTGAGCAATGGTTTCGTTTGGGCTGCTGACCCTCAAAGCTTGTGCGCAACATTGTGTAGTAGCGGTTCGCCTTGCGGTATTTGGCACGCGCCTCATGGTAATGACCCAGCTTATAGAAGTGATTGCCTGACTGTCGCAGGCCGGTTAGTAGGTTGACAGCTGTTTCGCACTGGTCAACAGAAAAGATATTCAAATTAAATACATATCATGATGACATTGCATATTATTTTTTAACTCACCGTTGGCTTTGTGAACTTGCCCGTCCAATCCTGTGGATAGGGCGGTAGTTTATCCATTGTCTCATCGTTGCATTCGATGGCCCAATCTTCATCAGGCGCCAGCTCGCCACAGTCGGTTATCGTGATCTCCGCCGTCGGATGGGCTTCATCATTGCAGTTCTGTTCCATTTGAGCAATGATGCCCAGGCCGCGCAGAACTCGACCCACAACCACATTGATGCCGTTGAGGTTCTCACAGCCAACGGCAGTGATGAAGAATTGTGAGTTGTTTGTATTTGGTTTGCCATAGTTAGCCATGCTAACTACGCCCTCCTCATTGTGCTGTGTGGGTAGGGCAACATATATATGTATTTGCTACTGTTTGCATTTGCTGTTCAATCATCAATTCAGCTCACCGTCAGCTCAAAGTTCTCATCTTCAAAGAGTGGGCCGTAGATGCTCTCCCCGCTGGTGCCATCATTGTTCACCAGATCTCCTCCTTGGACAGCAAACACCCGCTTGATCGTATGGAAGTGTGTGCCCTTGTAGTGTAGCTTCTTTCCCAGCTTCCCGATGCCAAGTTCGCCCGTGCATAGGGCTCGGAAATTTTCCGCTGTCTTTGGCACAACATCCTTGCGCAGTTCAATTATCATGCGTCCCGCTGCGAGCAGACAGATACACATATACATGTATTTGTGTAGATGTGTGTAAATGAGATAACGTTTAACTAGGTCAAGCATAGATTGCGCGCTGCAAACGCTTACCGCTTTCTTTGTCGATGCTAATATCAAAGTAGACTATCGGATTGGTTTTGTCCACTGGTTGCAGCAATTGCTGCTTGTTTCCACTCATTTTGGTCATTAGGGCGTAGCCTCAATCTGCCCGGCTTTAACTCTAACTAATATTTCAACGTTTTCAAAACAGGTAAACAAATAAAATGCGATTTACATTTCAACTGAGCTGCCCATCTGTTGCGTTTTCACTGCTCAAACAGCTGATGGGGCTGCCAACTGCTCGCTAATATTGACATATCTAATTTTGGCAGACTATTATTTTTAAATTAACGCCAATTATATATTAATTAAATCTAAGAACAACAAATAATATTTATAGACAGTTCAAACCATTATCACTTTTGACGAAGTTGTAGCTCTCAAAAGTCACAAGCCAGCATTTTTGAGGGAATAATTTAAACATGAATTTCGAGCAAGAATCCTGTTTTCAAATTTGAATGTGGTATTAATGAAAAGGTTAAGCAATAATGAAGAAGCCCTTGTTTTTTTAAGATCGGATCAGCTTTGACAAATTTATGGGAATATTTGATTAATTCCTTCGCACACTTTTGAGCGTATATTTATTTTGTAAATTTCGAGATACAACTTAAATCTTAGTATTAATATAGACATCGAATCATGCTAAAAAGGCCATGGCTTATAAAAATTGGTTCAGATTTAACATAGTAATGTTATGGAAAGTTTTGACAAAATAATAATATGATATAATATACAAAGAATTATTATTTGTCATTTTTCCTTACAAAGAATTGCAAATGTTTCATTTGTTGAGTAACAAATTGCTAATTGCTGTTCCAAAAATGACTTCCTAAATGTAATAAATCAATTCTCGGTTAAAGTATGTAGTCCTTCCCCAAGCCGATAAATTTTTAATGTTGTCATGTAACGCCTAATTATTTGCCTTCTTAAACAAGACTTGCACAATGTTCAAACAATAAAGCAATTTGCTGGGCAGCAACCATATAATTTACATCTAATTGAGCAAGACCATTCTGCTGAAAAAATGTATAAAAGGATTACTTGGTCAGGCCACTTAATAACAGTCTCAAAGTTACCTTTCACAATGAAAAACCAATTGGATCAGGAGCTAGAAACAATTGACAGTCTGACCAAGCCGGGCTTAACTTGGGTGGAGTACAGCGCTTATGCATTGGGTGTTAACATAGCTCCCAGGAAGCGTAGTTCTTGGCCCTGCAGCTTGTGAGTGTTCGGTGATGTAAATATGTAAAAATAAAAATATGAGTTGTAATTTTAGCTTGCGGATTTTTGCATTGCTCGTAAATCTTTTCATAATACACAGTCTAATCAAATTTATAATTGCCAATTATAAGGTGTCCTTCGAAGCTTACGTTGAGGTTTGTACAACTAAATATTGCAGGATTATTTATAGTATTTTAAATTCCTTTAGGCTGTGTTACTAAGCTTTCAGCTATCAATTGGAATGGTAAAGATGATGCATTTTCAATTATTCTTGGAGTCTTGCGTCGAGCTGGTGGAAACCACAGAAACCGGTGATGTGCTGAGGAACCTGGGTCTCTTTGATTTGAGTGAGAGTTGTGATTTTTATGGATTTATACTGATATAAACATATTATATTGTTCTTGTGGTTTTCAGATTTGGCGAACAAAAGTGCGTTGCGTAAAACTTTGGGCTCGATGTTGACCAAAAGTTGGGTGGCGATCAATAGCCAGGTTATGTTCTTTTTCAAGATAGTTTGCATGCCAGTGTTGTACTATTGTCTGCGACCGTATTTTCAATATATGTACGATTGCTATATAGTCAAGGATACATGCGAAATGACCTTAAGTATGCATCGTCTTACAAATTGGTTAGGTTTTCTACATCTTTTACTTTCTGTAGCGTATCCAGCCATAGTGGCGTATGTGCAGCTGGGTACACATGAAATCCCCTCTTACTGGGTGCGTTTCTATCTGCTTCAATCCGGGCCAGTTTGGTGTTTTTTTGGTAGGTATGAAGTTAAATGTTTATTTTTATGTATGTATCGCTTCAGCAACCCCATTGCTAGCTGTGTTTGGTTTTAATAGCCTCTTTGTGGTGCTTACAAATCACGAGGCGTGCCTTCTAGAGATCTTGCGATATCTGGTTCGGCACTCCACTGACGATGCGGTGGTTCCCAAGCGATCCAGGCCGCAATATTTACGTTGTTGCGCCAAACTATTCACACGTATATCGAGGTAATACTCTCACTATATCTCGAATGCTTAAAGATTTTCTAAGGTCACTTTTGCAGACATCATGATCAAATCGAGCTCGTTTTTAAATATATTATTCTGGTACAATGTATAATTAGCAGCATTTTAATATGCATGTTGCTTTATAAGATCAGCACTGTATTGGTGAGCAAAAATGATCTCTCCAACTTCTAGTAGATGAAGCATATACTAATAAGTGAAATATTTAGGAAGTTGGCATTGTTTGGATGGGCATGATTATGGTTTATTTACTCACCATTACTTTGGAAATCAGCCTGTATAATGTCAATGCGCAAAAGGTCGAGACTCAGGTAAGCCTGCAAATATTCCTATTTACTAAACTAATAAATGATTTTCACAGAGCGAACTGTTGTTTTCGGATTGGTACAATTGTGACTGGTATGACGAATGTGAGGATTTTAAATGCATTATTAAACTAATGCTGATGTTTTCGAGGCGTGAGTTTGTCTTAAGCGTTGGCGGCTTCGCCAATTTATCACATGGATTATTAGTTCAGGTAAATTCATAATCCCAAAGAGTTTTGACTTCTTTTCTGTATCGTGAATTTTTAATTTCTCCACAGGTTTTTCGAATGAGTGGAAATTTTTTTTTACTATTGCGCAATATGAATAACAAATAGTGTAATTTATACAAGTTATAACGCTGGAAAACTTTATTGTAAGTTGAAATTCATTAAGCGACTAAAACACGAAAAAGTAGTTTAATTGGCACATTAAACGTAGATGACAAATATGTTAATATAATAAAATAGATTGCAATATGGAACATAACCATATGGGGAGATATATAAATGGAATTTGAATTGGAGTTGTATACGGCACAGTTTTCAATATAAATGTAGTATAATACAGTCGTCCACGGCTGGCTTGAGTTTAAAGCACAATTGGCAGCTAAGAATTTTTCTTTTTTAATATTGGCATCATATTATTACGATAATTATATTCATATGCATATTCCTATATGTATGAACAATGCTTTCTGGTTCTCGTTTTTATCGTTTTTTTTACTAAGCAAAATATTTCAGCTAAAAGAGTAAAATTATATAATTTCGTTCAACGGCTATGGCTAATTCCGATTTGTTCGTCTTCGCCTCGTACTTAGATGTTAATTGAAGTAGTTGGTAGTTGGTAGTGCACTTAGTTAGGGTCCCTATAGATCTAAGGCTCTAAGCGATTGCGCCTAAAGCAACCCGCTGGTAGTGCTTCAGATATCAAACGTATATTCTGCACCTCCTTGGATATTTCACTCAACTCTAAATCGTATTTGTCGATTAATTTCTTTTGAATGTTTCGCTGTTCTCGGTACTTCTCAATTCGTTCGGTAAGATTTACACGGCTGATATCAGTCTCGACGACACTGAGGCGATTTTCTAATAAACACAATGAAATAGAAAAAAAGGGCGTTTATAAACAAAATATTTGATTAGTTGAATAGAGATATACTCACCTAATTTATCCAAATCAGCTGTGTTGATATCCTTCAGGTTCTCTAGCTCGTCCTTAATCGCAGACAGTTCGCTACTGGCCTTTTCAATTTGCTTCTGTGCCTCCTGCGTATTGGCCTTGGCCTGACCAACCTTGCGCTTAGCATCATCCACAAGATTATCATCTTTGGTTGAATTGTCCTCCAAATTTGCAATGTTCATTTCAGTCAGCGTGACGCGATGATTCAGCTGATCAGCCTCATCATGCAGCTTGCGGGCAGCGACCTTCGTCTCATTTGCCTTGCGGCGTATAAGCTCGGCATCCTGGAATCACGTTCAGATTGATCATTGGGTTTTCGACGTTGTCCTTTATCTGATGTAGTCTGGACTTACCTTTGAGGCCTGTTCTGCATACTTGACCTGGGCTTCCTGTGCATTATTCTTGGCTTCATTCGCATTCTTATTGGCACCCTCCAATGCATAACGAGCCTTCTCTATTAGATTACCTGCATTCTCAATCTCCAACTGAATGTCGGGCACCGTTTGCAAAGCCAAGTCTGAATTCTCCGAGGATCTTTGCACTTCAGACTGGAATCCGGCTAAGGTTTGGTAGGTATTGCTGGCCTCCGTTAGTGTATTGTCGCCCTGCTTCACCGCCTTGGTAGCCTTATCAAGGGCAGCCTTGGCGCGTTCCAACAATTCAATGTCATCCTTCTTTTGTGCATCGGCGCTTAAGGAAGAAATATTCAATTAGACAATCTCTGTATTTTATTATAAATATTACTTACCGTTCTAGCAGCACCTGGGCAAGATCATGTTCCTTTTCGAAGTCGGCAAAGATCTCGCCATTACCAGTACCCAACCTATCGATCTGTTGGAGTAGCTCATCGGCGCGCTCATTGGCAGCGACGGCCTCCTTCTTCAGCTTGTTGATATCAATGTCCGGCTGGGTCTGACTCTTCACTTGGTTGAGCAGTGTGAGTGCTGCATCGTAGACCTCGTTGGCCTTACGCAGCGCCTCCTTGGAGGTTTGGGCGACGGTGATGAGTGAGTTCTTCACGTGGTCCAGCTCGAGGCGGACTTCGGTGCGCAGCTCGACGCCCACCTTTTGCTGCAAATCGATGGCATTCTTGGCCAGCAGATGGGCCTTCTCAACCGCATCCATTGCATCTTTGGCATTCTTTAGATCGAATTGCGCCTCGGACTCAAGGCGATCGGCAAGAGCGCGTGCCTCTCTCGAAATGTCTGATATCTGATCGGATTGCTCGCCAAACTCAACGGATTTGCTCTTCGCCTTGGCTAAGGCTTGGGCACCTTCGTCGTTGAGCAATTCCAATGCCTGTTGCAGCTCCTTCTTGGCGTCGTCGATGATATTGTGCAGTTGTGTGTAATTGCTGCGTGCCTTGGCTATTTCAGTGTTGGCATCTTGCTGCAGTGCATCGGCACTTGTCAGATGGCCACGCATACTGTTTAGTCGCTTGTGCAGATCATTGATGACCTCCACATAGGTCTGACCGCTCTCACCAGAACCGGAGCGTGCCTCCTGCGCCAACATGGCCACCTTCTCCTGCACCGCTTTCAACTTTCCTTCGAATTCCTCATCGTTGGTCACCGGTGTGCGTGCGATCTCGTCCAGTGTAGCGCTCAAATTCGCCAACTTGGCGCGATGCAGATCGGCTGCGTCCTGCACCAGATTATAGCAATCCGGACAGTCCACGCAACCCCGATGACGATCGTATTTGTTCTCCTTGCAGCGATCGCAGCGATTTCCCTCCACATTGTCATTGCACGGACACTGACCACTCTGGTCACACTGGAAGCCCTTGGAGCCGCTCTCATCGCACTCGCACGGCTTGCATCCATCCGATGAGAAACCAAAGAAGTAGTCTGCGCACTGATCACAGCGCACGCCAACAACTCCGGGCTTGCAGTGACACTGACCCGTATACTTGTCGCAAGTGGAGTTGTAGCTGCCGACGGGATCGCACAGACAATTCTCACATCCATTGCCGGATCGTATATTAAAGTATCCGGGCTGGCATTCACCACAATCGCGACCAATTACATTCGGCTTGCAGTGGCACTGTCCTGTCACCTGATCGCAGCGCAAAATGCTCTGTTCATCCTGCTCGGTGCCGGCGGCATAGCAACTACACCGATCGCACTTGCCATGCGGCAGCGCCAACGGATCTCCAAAGTGTCCGGGCAGGCACTGATCGCAGTGCCCGCCAGCTGTGTTGTGTATGCACTTCAAGCACTCGCCCGTGGTGCGATTGCAGTTACCGACCGCATTGGTATCGACATTGCCATTGCAGTCGCAGCTCTTGCAGGTCGCCACAGGACCCAGCAGTCCAGTGGGATCACCATAGAAGCCATCGCTACACTGTTCGCAGCGTGAGCCAAAGTAGCCCACAGGGCATTCCGTACAGATGACCGTATCGCTATTGATTTGCATGCAGGCACCATCGTTGGGACAGGGACAACGTGTACAGTCGTAGGGTGTGCCGCCCAATGCGTTGCCATAGTAGCCCCTGGCGCACTGGTCACAGTTATCACCATACGTATTGTGCTGACAGATGCAGCTGCCCGTCTCCGAGTCACAGATGTCCGCATGGCCATGACAGTCGCAGGGTATGCACGGCATAAAGGGTCCACCGCGTGCCGGACTGTGGCGATAGCGTGGCGCGCATGATTCGCAGAACTGACCCAGATAGCCCTCGGGGCAGGTGCACTGCTCAATCCAGGTTGCCGGCTGGCCGGCAGCGCCTCGATGAGCCGACTGGAGCTCCACATCATCGAGATTGGCCTCACCCTGCACTGAGTACGTAGCCCGAATCTTAATGGCCGTCAGATTAGAGAGTATAGAGAGGAAACCTCGCGCCGACTGGCTGGGCTGCCATTGATAGTCGTGATGTTCATGCAGTCGGAACGTATACTCCCTGACGCCCTGATCGGGAATGCCATTGCTTTGGGCAAAGATGGGCAGCGAGATTTTGCTGCCGGCGCCCTCGAGGATAACATCGCTGGCACTGCTGCTGGGTCCCACCTGACCCACAAGCTGCAGCTTGAATTTCAGATCGCGATTGTAGGAGGCACGCTGATCGCCGAGGAAGCGATCCGGCGCCTTGAAGTAAACATACTCATTGCCCTGGGCGGTGGTGCCAATGCTGCGACTATACTGATTGTATTTAATGTCCACATCGCGACGATTCAAATCAATGGCCGTCCAGCGTTCCTTATGCTTGTTAAAGCTGGATGTGACCGAGACAACGGAGTACCCAGGCGCTGAATGGCACTCGGAGGTGTGCCCATAACAGAAGCAGGGTGTGCAGCCAAAACGATTGCTCTTATCCAGATTAAAGAAGCCCGGCTTGCATCTGTATGGGAATGGGAATGAATAAACTGGACAAACGCTTAGCTAAATATACTCACTCATTGCAGCGCCTGCCCTCGACATTCTCCTTGCAGTAGCAGATGCCGCTCTCCGCATCACAGGCCGGCGTATTATCATCCGAGCCGCGTGCATCGCAGCCACAGGGCTGACAGCCATGCGCTCCGAACTGGAAGTAGTTGTTGGCACATCGATCACACTTGTCGCCAGTTACGCCCGGTTTGCACTGGCACTTGCCCTGGCTGTTGCACTGCAACGAACGGGAACCGACGGCGTCGCAGTTGCAGTTCTCGCAGTGTGCGCTTTCCCGCATATAGAAGTTCTCCTTGCAACGCTCACAGTTGGCACCATCGCGATTGTCGCGACAGTCCAGACAGTGACCGCCGTGGCCGGTCTGATTGAAAAGATTCGCATCGAAGAAGCACTTGTCCGCAAAGCCGTTGCAATTGCAGGCTGCAAATAGAAAAGTTGCAAGTTGAGCAGGGCATTCTTATATTGTATACCTAGCAGCTGGCTTTACAATTGATGAGGTACCAGTGTGCAGCGGCGCTGGCAACTATGCGATTTGTTTGTAGGGCATGGTCGTAGGACCAGCCATAGGCTCGAATGTTGGCCACAAGGCAGACAAGTTGCAAGTACAGCCTCAACATGACTGACTAACAATTCAGCTCAACAGCAACACTTAACGTTGGCAGATGTGGCAGCTAACGGCAAAGCGGTATATCCTTATATAGCACTTCGTGCACAGTGGGACAAACTGAGTCTGAGTCTAATGGAAATGCCATCTAACTAAAAACGTCAATAATTGTTTAACAATTAATATATATAATTATATTATTGTTACTTATATTGCCCCACTGAAACCAGTTTTAATCACATGGTGCGTGCCTACCTTTGCACTCGTTCACATCCATTGAGGTGGCCCTTTTCCACTTGACGTCATTGTACAGCGGCAAGCAGCGATCGCAGTCGGGTCCATCCGTATTGTGGCGACACTCGCAGACCAGAGTACGCTCCCCGTGCATCCCGGTGCTGGCCACACACTTGCTGGCATGCCCATTGCACTTGCAGCGCGCACCGACTGCAATATCACTGATCGCATAGAAGTATGACTTCAAGACGCGAGGATCACCGAACAGCTCGTCACCGAAGGTGTTCAGTCGATCCAGTGTGATGCGAATGTCAGTGGCTGTCACCCAATCCTGCAGCTCCAGGCTGTTCTCAAAGTTAATACCACCGGGACGACCTTCCAGCGTGGAGAAGGCGATCTCACCGTCGCGCAGTGGCGAGATGTCGCTGTACTCGCTAGTGCACAGAGCAAGTGCCTCGCCCTCACCCTTTCCAATTGCCCGTGAATCGGGTAGTGAGTAGGTATCCCGACAGGTGGCGCTGTAGAACTGATAGGGTATCCAGGGACCGTTTTCCGTAGTGCGCTTGTAAATCGTAAATGACTCGGGCCGCGGCGAGCGGAACAGGATACGCACATAAGTAATATCGTATGATTTACCTGTAATCGTAGACATTACTCAGTATTTATTATATTATAGGTCACTTTCGATAAAACTTACGCAAGTGCAGCGTTAAATTCACATGATTCGGATGTTGTATGCCCTCGTTCATTGTCTCCGATTGCCACCAGGTTGGGCTTTGTGGATCGTGCAAATCCGTTAGAAATGATGGATTGTGATCTTCAAATCTGAATGCAATTTAAACAGAAATTGTATAGGCGTGCTGTAATCGATTTCAGTTAATAATTTACCTGCAGAATGCGCAGTCCTTCAGAAAGTTTAGGGTATTCATGGTCTGCATACAGAATTGATTTTCCATATGCTCCCCGCAGGTATTCGTTGACTTGATTTGCAATTGGTAGGCAGCATTGATGAACTCCGGCGTACATTTCTAAATGGGTATGGAAAAAGTGTTATACCCACGAGAATTGTAAGATTGCTATGTATGTCTAAGACTATTAAAGATCTGTTTCTGTATTTGAATGCCGCTCCATAATAACGAGAAGATTTAATATGAGTATAATCGCGTCTAAGAGACAGTTCTCTTATTTTCAAGAGCGTTTTTATATGATCAGCTTATGCACATTTCAATTGTGTCTTTATTGTTCAATTAGTTTGTATGTCTCCATTTAAATTAACGCCCAGCAGATCTATTGACCTACGGAAAGAGGCGTGTGCCCAGCTTATTTAAATTAATTTCAATTAAGTTGCATGCCTCTCGACTATTTGGCTATGATTTATATGTGAGAAAGTTCCACTTGCTGCCCATTTATGCGTCTACTGAGTTCTTACCTGGGGTCGGCCATAGGGATCATAGCATTCCAGAGCAGGCAGAAACGTTGTGCGTCGCATCTCATGTCCGCCGGCGGCGTTGAAGGGCTGACGTTGGGCACCAAGCGCTGCCGTCGCGCAGCTGCAGAGCAGAGCTCCCGCAAGGAAGAGACGCGCCGCGGAGGAGCTCTCAATGAGACTCCACCTGTTGCGCTTCATCGTGGACTTTGGATTTGAACTGGTCTTGTGTGTGTGTTTGTGTGTGCTTTACAGACTAATGATGATTACACTAGGATATATTTTGAACACTTATTCGAGTTGTTTCAATATTTCAGGTGGGTGGTTTTTGTTTTGTATTTGGGTATTATTTTCACTGTCACAGTTTAAATCATAATTGCACTTGAGTTAAATGGCATCAGTGGTTCCACGTGTTTGTGGCAGGATCAGGAGCGGCTTCACTCGCTGCAATATTCATAAGATACATTATAATACCAATAAATAACTATAATATTTGGTAGCACTTTCGAGAAATTTCATAAAAAACACATCTGTTGCACATATTGCTTTGGGGCACACAAAAATTATTCAAATCGTTGTTGTTGTGTGGTTTCAATTAGTTCGTCTGCCGGTTCAAAAACTGCTCATAAAAACAAACTTTGCTGTCCGGTCAGTCAATAACTTGCCCGATCTGTCTGTGAGTTCATTGTAGCTGCTCCACCAACTACACTGGCGACTCTTTCAGCACTTTGTGTATACAAAACAAAAACCAAACACAAAAAAATAACAAAAAACTGCAAAAGAAAATTTTAAATAACAACAAAAAGAACCAGCAAAGAAATAAATAAACAAAAACAGAAAAACACACACATGGAGAACAAAAATACAAGCTGGAAATGAACTCAGGCATTGCCCACAAAATTTGTGTTTCCGACTATATATGTACATCTATATGTATGTATATGCAGTACCCCCCTCCACACTGGCAGTACCACCCTACAACGGTTTTGTAGTTGCTCTAGCCTCTGTCAGAAACTTGAAATTATTTCAAACGATGATTTCATCTACTTACTCCGCCGAACATCACATTCACACATGTATCTAGATACATATCGCATTTATGTGGATATACAAAAAGCATTGCAATTATTTAACTTGGGCAAAAAATGTGCAGGCTGTTTATGACTGTGCTTAAGGAATTTTCAGTTTGGATGCATTTATTTTATTCTTAGCCAAGGTTAGATTCATTTAAGACAGCGCATCTCTAAGATACTTGAGCTGATGCGTAAGTATCTTTTAGTGTACCACTAATTAGCAAATATGCACAGCAAATTGAGTCTGTTTACTAAGTGAAGATTTAAGATGATATCATTGAATATGTATAGCAAAACTATTTTAAGTCAGGAGACTGTGAAGTGAAGCAAATTCGTCTTAATAATGATAACTTTTTTTTGATAACACACAGGGAACTTAAAAGAAAAAAACTCGAATGGGATTACCAAAAATAATCAGTGTACATGAGTCAGATACTAGATAAGCCAATGTGTGACCTATATACTGATATATATTTAAAACTATAAGTTTGCAATGGAAAACTCGAGTGAGACTGACGAAAGATGATAATAACAATCTACGAAAGTATATATGTAGATGGTCTTAAGAGCGCTCCAGGAATTCCAATTAGATCCCAAACTTTTTATTGTATTACTAATTGTTATCTGCTGCTTGGGTAAACACAATTTTGAGGCACTCCTCCCAGACTCGTAAACAACTGTCGATTATTTGCACAACATTTTTAATTTGTTTTTATCAATTTTTAATTTTAGGAATTGTGCACCGCTCTACAGCAACGCTATTCAACTCTTGTAGATTTACGTCTGTTGTGGCTTATCAGTATCCTCTCGCATTTGTTTCATAAAACACCAAACTGAAATTAAGCATAAGAAAATCTTCAAGACTGTCGCTGGGGCAACATTTGATACACTTGCCACACCGATGTGTTAGTGCGCACTCTGTGTGTGGAACCCCTTTAAGAATGAGTTCAGCTGAGGCCAACATTCACATACAAAAGACACACGCACACACACATATACACAAGCATTGTCGTATAGAGATATTCTTTATTCATTTATATATATATATTATATATATATATATATATATAGCACGAATGAACATCCGCTCCATTCAGATTTCAACTGTCCAGTTGCTGCTGCCTCTGCTTCTGTTGCTGCTTCTGTTTCTCGGAGCGCCTGTTGCGATACGCGCCTATGAACACGAGTTCCTTTTGCGATAAGAATTTGGGGCTACGAACTAGCGCGCATACTTATTGCGATATGGTTACCATATGCATACACAAACACATACATATACCCCAAGCATGAACTGAATGGAATTGAGATTCCGATTATCACTGGGACTGAGACTCGGGCTGAGGCACAACTATTACAACTAACATACACTCTGTGGGCTGTCGCACTTTGAAGTTGTTTTGAAACGGCGTTTTTGTTTGCACCTTTTGGTATTTATCTTTATTGAAGCGTTTGTTTTTATCAACTGCTTCACTGCACACATGCTCACGCACTCAAACACTCAAAGACTCAAACACTCGCACACACAAGACCAGGTAGAGGAAACCCAAAACGAATCCACTCAAAAGAAACTGCACACTCGGGTCTACGCGCTCAGATACTTTAACGAAACTTGGTTTTTTTTTTGTTTTTTGTTTTGTTGCACAGGGCACAATAACAACAACCTCAACAACTGCGTTATTTTCGTCTTATTTTTGTTGTAGATACTTTTAATTTTTTTGGTCTGCTGCTAGCACATGCTGAATTTGTTAGTGGATTTTCCAAAAATGATTGTTGTTCGTTTATAAATAGTTTGCATGTTGCATAGGAAATTATATGCAACTGCAACTGCAACGGCAGCTGTTGCATTCACATGTGTTTGATTGCATTTGTCATCGCATTTGCTTTCATTTCGTGTTTATTTCATATGTACTTTGCACACACCGTCTCCCTTTTCTGCTGAGTCGGTAGTTGTATGAAATTTTGTAGTTGCTCTGTTTCATTATTAAGTACATTTTATCGTCCATTCTTTTTTTTTGTTAGTTGTTGTAATTGTATCACTACACTGAAGGCAAGAACCTTTTGAATAAACAGTTCGTCATACGCCGTCTGCCATAGAGCCACACAGACATTTACACAGAATATGAGCAAACACAGATACAAGAGACCAACATACGACAAGATACTTTTTTATCTTGAGGTTTTCTGGCTGCGCCTGCCAGGGCAAACAAAAAAGCCACCAAAACACACACAGAAACACACACACAGCCCGATACGACCGAAAAGTGTAGAAAAGAAATGAAACGGAAGAGCTCCAGAAGAAAAGTTAAGACTCCTCCACAAAAAAAAAACACACACACACAACGGAACAGTTTAGCGGCAACGTTGTTGCACCTACTCCGCACAGAACACCACAGGCAACCGCTAACGAGGACGTCCAATGCTCAACTGACTCTTGAAGAATGCGGCACAACTCGCTCAACGATCTCTCGTTGAGTGAAACTCTATGCTCTCCCCTGCTCTGCTCTGCTCTGCTCTCGTATCTGTATCTATGTGTCTCTTTCCGTGGGTGTGTGAGTAGCTGGCTGTGCGAACGTTGTTTTTGCTTATGCATTTGGGCACTCGCCGAGCTTTATGGAATACTTGGGCTGAGCTTAGTCGGGCAACTATGTATTGTAGTTGAAATTGGAGAGGGGCACGCTCTTCACAGATTTATGAATTGATGTTTAATTGTGTTTGTCTTCTTCTTCTTCCCGTGTCAGTACTTATGTTTCAAGCAGAATTTTACGTATGAATAATAAACAATTTTGTTGGCATTAGCAAATATTTGAGTATTCGCCCTCATATTCAAATATGAGAGATTGTGTTTGTCAGATATGTGCATGCTGCTATTTGATATCTTCATATGCCGCAGACTCAGTTCCCGACACACTATCATTGGAAGCTGTGCTCGCCGCTCTACTTTTGGACTTGTGTACATAGTGGCTTACAGAGCGAACAGGTTATCGCTGTCCAACTGATAAGAGTTTTTTGAACGAAAAGACACAAGCACTTTCTGTTTCATTCACCTAATAATTTTTTAAAATGAAATTCTTACAATTAAATATGTATATTAATACTAATGTTGCTATTATAATAGTAAAAATATAAAATATTTGAAAAAAAATGCCTGACTTTTGTCAGTAATCAATTCGATAATAATCAATTATATTTCTTAAAACGAACGGTGATTTCTTGTACTATAAAGTTTAGGATGGAAAAAATTAAGTTTAAGAACGTTCTTCGGCATTAGCCAATTTTTTGAAATTACGTTGTTTCTTCTTCACCTCACGCTTCGAGTTACGCGCTTAGGTTTGTGTCTGAAATAGAGCTTTTGTCATGCCAATCGAAAAGCTGAATGCTACATACATCGTGGCAACCAAAAACATAAATTTGAGCGCTTTTACTTACCCACTTATTCTTCTGTCAAAATCATTTATTCATTTTTAATAATATATAAGAAATTTGTAGTAATAAAGTAATGCATTTTATCCTTTGAATTTGGGGAAAGCAAACTATTTTATTCAATTTTAGATAGACGGATAGAGCTTTGCTAACAAGTTATTTATAACAAGTTCAAGCTAAATAGCGATTAGACTGAAGACATTTCTTTAGTGAAGAAGACAATCTGGCGATTAGTTTATATTGAGGGGTTCCAAAACTATTAATGCTATTAATCACTGTCCTCAATGTTGATCTTTATGATATTGACAGTGGGACTGGGTGAATCGCTCCGCTCTGGAAGTCCATTAACTGGGCCAACTGCTGACGCCTCCGGCTCCACGATGCATTCATCGCTGCCGGTGGTGCTGATGGTAATTATCGGTATATTATCCGACCAAATGGAACTTTGGGAGTCCTCTCGCGTGACGCGACGCCGTTGGGAAGCACTGCGTTTGGGGAAGTTTATGGGGCCGGGCATATCCAGTTCTTCCAGATCATCCATGGTGGCCAAAGTGGGCGTGGAAGCGTGGCCAGCAACAGGTGGCATTGGTGGCTTTATAGCCGGACGCGTCGATGAGGCGGATGTGCTGCTGCCAATGTGCAGCGGCGTTGGCGATTCCGGCTCCGGTGTGGGAGGCATTTCTAGAGCTGTGGCGCTTGAATTGCTCGACAGCACAGAGGGCGGCGGTGGCGGTGTATAGGCCAAATATGTGGGCGTGGTTGGTCCCGGCGATTCGTCCGAGCCCAGCTCCACGTCTTCTTTCTTCAGATTGACTGCCTCACGTACCAGAGCCAGCAGGGAGCCAATTTTCTTTCGTCCCTGGCGCGAGAGTGCCGCCAACTTTTCGGCATTCATCTGGCGCTGAGTCAGTGTCTGGCTGGGAGTGGGCGAGGGCAGTGGATGCGATTCGCTTCCACCACTGGGCACCTCGCTATTGAGGTGATCGGCAGACGGAGTCTGTGGTATGTCACTAGACTTATTCCTCTCGAGACTCTTGTCATCGAACCTAAATACATCGGGTTCTGGCTTGGCAGCCACAATGCTTGGCTTCGATCGATGCCTGCGGAATTTGAACTTGCCCAGGCCAATACTGTCCAAGGTGCTGCCCTCCCTTGCCAGTGGCGGTAACTGTTTGAATGTCCTTTCCTGTTCATCATCATGCTCTGCTGGCTTCTTTTCATCAACGATGTGAAAGTTCGTCTCGGGAGTTTGTGGCTCCGCAGCAGTTATGGTTGGCGGCTGTGCGTCCGGTTCCGGCGATGTCGGTTTGGACTGCTCCCTGCTGTCCTTTTCCCGCTTACGGCGCAGCAAACTGGCGCGTCGTTCGTTAACAATGCGAGAGTTTGTGTCTGGATCATGTTCGCTGGTTTGGTCATTGTGTGGTTGCTGTTTGTGCTTGTCCTTCTTATCCCTAAAGCTTTCCCTGTTCTTTTTCTCGTGTTTCTCAACTTTAAAGCGACTTTTTGGATGCGGCTCCTTAATGGGAAAGTGGTCACCAATTGTGCCACCACCAGTGCCCAGACTGCTGCCTCCAGCACCCATTGCTGCATTGGCTGCCACAATCGATCCGGAACGCGCCCGCTCCTGCTTGGCAATTTGCACAATGTCTACAAGTGAGGGCTTCCTAGTGCGCCGTATTTGCTGCAGGCGTGATAAACCAAAGCGCCTCTCCTTGGGCTCCTCGTCGTGCGGCAGCGAGTCCTGGTGCTCAGTGTCCGTGTCATCATCATCGCGACGCACAATCGAGTCCTCATCCGAGGTGGCCGAGCCCTTGCGCAGCGCCTTCTTCATGATGCGTGAGATGAGCTCTAGCAGAGTGCACAATGCTTGTAAAATATGTTGCGGCACATTTTCACATGGGGTAGATTCTTACCTTTTCTGGCCTGATTCTTGTACTCCTCAGTGTCAAAATCTGGCTGCTGAGTTGGCGTAACGGGTGAGGATGCCTCAAGCACCTTGCGCCAGCGATTTGTCAGCGTTGTGGCCGTTGGTTCCGCCTGCTTAACCTCGGGAACTTTGAAAATCTTTTTGCGCTCCTCCTCCCGTTCCTTCTGCAGCTGGGTGCGGAGATCCTGATTGGCCTCGCGTAGCGCCCCCGTCAGCGAAATAAGATAGTAGATGATGAGTATGAGTAGAAGCAGCAGTGGTATCACGGTGCTGGAGGATGTCAGATAATCCAGAGGTTCATGTAGTTGCCTAAGATGAGAAATGGGTGGGGATATATCAAAGGTTGAGTAAGTGCAATTTGTATGCGATGCTCACTTTGGTAGGGCGTTCCTTGTGGTGTGCGTTATAAATTCGGCAATCCGATTGTATTCAGAGAATGGTCCACAGTGCCACGAAGGTCTTAGCCAGACAATCGCATAACCCACGGGCAGCACACAAAGGAACAGCATGGTCAGCAGCAATGATAGATAAAAATTGTTTGACTTCGAGGCTCTGAAAGTTCAAATTGTTTGAATACATTATTAAATTAAGGTTAGGGATACTCACTTGAAGACGACCTCGTGGGGCACATTGCATGTGAGGACTATCCACGATCTGAAGTACATCATAATCATCAATTTGACCAGGTTGATGAGCACCAGGCCTGGCGAAAAGAAAATTCCCATCCACACTTGGCCCTGGTTATTAATCAACGTCAGGATGTTCTCGGCTATCTTAAAGTCGCCATACTGCATGTCAGACGCCACAAAAACAAAGCGTCCCATTAGTCACCAAGTCGAGAGTTGTCAGCTGCAACGGGGGTCTGTTGGGGTGGTTGGGTTCTGTATTTCTCACCTGTGGAAACGTTTTCTCCATGTCCCAACACCAGTTTTGGTTGACATAACGCACAAATAGCGCTCGCAGAAAGTCGATGCACAGCGGCGCCACAATAGACATCAGCTGCACGGCGATGGTTGGGTGGCCGGGATAAGAGAGGAGAGAGGATGGTGTAAAGCATTTTGTAATGAAGTGGTGTTTTGTTCGCCTGGTCACTGCTTAAAACTCGCCACACGTAGCACACCCTTTGCAGTATGTTGTCCTGTGACTGTTTTGTCTTGTCCTGTTTCGGCTGCTGACCATGTAGTTAGATCCATGTTTATGGCTGATTTGCTGGCCGCATTACTGCTGCTACAAACTACTATCTATTCGTAAAACCCATTCATTTCTAAACCGAAATTCATGCACGAACACGTTCCCCAACTCATAACCATGCCAGCACGCCAAAACTCAATTTGGCCAAAGCTGAAAATTTTGTTATGCATAAGGCATAAATGCGCTTAAGTAAAGGTTCGTAACTTGCTTAATTTATGTGCTCGAATCATTTAATAGAGATTACGTACGCCATGTCGAGTTGACAACAACAACCGCCTCTACATAATCAAATCGTGTGTCCTTTTTTTTTTGTATTTTGGCTGCCGCGTCCTAAGCTGCTTAAACATTTGCAGCAGCCAAAAAGTAGGCCCTAAAGTGCCGATAAGTTGACCCTGAAAAGTTGCTCGTGATACTCATGAATTTGCTGGCGATTAGCCTTGAAGTTCACAACCAAATCCTTGGCCAATCGACACGCGTTAAACAGAACAAACAAAGAAAAAAATAAATAAATAAACTTGGGCAATCGATACCAAAAGTTCAAAAATGTTTCTTATGCAAATGGCCATTGATAAACATTTTTGGCCAGACAGCAAGTGCCAGCTGTGTGCTTGGCCAAGACACTCCAGAGAGCGATTATTATGATAAAATACATTTGATACTCTGCTGACAATCGGAAAAGGGTCCATTGTGTTGGCAATTTGTCAAACCTGCTGGCTATAATTCCGCTAGAGTTTCACTTATGGCTCTACAATCTTAAAATTGAAGAGAGTAAATTTTATTTTCTATTCTTGATGTCTGAATATATATTCTTAGAAATCTAATTTTCAAGCGCTTTGAATTATTATTAAACCACAAACAGAGTATCTCACAGTCGGAGACATTAGTTGTTTCTACTTGACTATATTCTTTATTCTGTCTTTGTTGTTACTTTCTATCGGAATTTGTTGCTTCTTGCTGTGGCTTCCGAGTCTAGACCTAGCAAAATTTTGATTCTTGTGCATGAAAAGCGGAAAACAAATTTTTTCCTTAAGTATTTTCCGCACAATTTGTCTAAACGGGATTTCACGCTTGGTCGTTGCTTTCCATAGTTGTTGTTGTTGCTTTTAAGTTCGATCATATTTTAAGTTTAAATGGTTTTTTGATATGTGCAGAGCGGCAGCTGTTTATCTTGCAGGAAACCAAATATTTAACTTGGCGCAACGGGAAACTGATAGCTACTCAAGATGATGATAAATTTATGTTTAAACTGCTATGTCGATAAATGGGAGAGGGGATGCTGATAGATGCTAAAATGCTTACCCCATCAAAGACGATAACCTTTGACAACTCTTGGCCAAGGGATGTTTCCCAGCACATAGTCGTTAGATTCATTTGGATTTGCTTCAGTGTCAGCTGCACCTCCTTGAGGCGCATCATTTTACGCTCCAGCGGTGTTTTCATCGCTGTCGTTGGCTGTTTGCCGTCACCACTCAGTGTGGACTCGAGCCCGTCTGGTGTGGTGCTGCCAAAGATGTCTTCGCCCTCCTTCGGACACACGGTCATCTGACATAAGCCCAAATTGTCGAGGTCGTAGTAAACAGTGCTACCAATTTCCGCGATATCATTGAATCCTATAAAATAGGGCGTGACGGTGGCCCCATTCTGATCTGTGTATTCATATTCTTCGGTGGTGGTGGAGATGCTGGTGCTGCTGTCGGGGCTGCTTGATTCGCTGCTGTATGTGTCCGTTGTTATTGTGGGGTCTTCTGTGGTTGTTGCTCTGGTTGAAGTTGTGGATGTGGTTGGCTCTTCTGTGATAATAGTGGTTGGCTCCTCTGTGGTGGTTGTGCTTATGATTGTTTTATTGCGTACGCCACGCTCAGCCAGCAGTCGAGTCCATTCCTCTTTGGTTAGAATTCTATTGGGTGGGTTATATATGGGTCTGTTTGGTGACTTGTTGACTGGTGCTGCCGCCTCTGTGGTGAGTCTTGTATCGTTGCGATGTCGCCGACTATATTTGCTAGTGTTGAAAATTGGTTGCTGCTGCAAAGCCGCTGCTCTTTTTCTGCGCGCTTTTGGTGGCTGCTCATCCAGTTGCGCCAACACTTGAGCAAGTGGATCATCCGATTCCTGTGTGGTTGCCTGCTTGTCATCATCATCATCAGATAGTTCTGCGCCCTCAAAGTAATCCACATAGTTGAAATAGCTGTCGTTGCCTGGCGCCGCTGTTGTGGTCGTGGTTGAGGAATCCAATTGTGGCTCATCGCTGCCATAATCATAAGCAGACTCCTCATCGGTGGTAAAGGGAGTTTCTGTGGTTGTTGTTGTTTTTGTGGTAGTTTCTATTGTTGTGGATAAGGTTGTTGGTGGCGTTGTAGTGGTTGTGCTTGTCGTTGTTGTCGCTTCAGTGGTTGTAGTCCAAGGTGTTGTAGTTGTAGTCGTTGTCGCTGCTGTCGTTGTCGCTGCTGTCGTTGTCGATGCTGTCGTTGTTGTTGGCGGTAAAGTAGACCAGGTGGTTGTTGTTGCTTCGGTGGTGCTAGGCGTTGTTGTTATTGGCTCGGTTATTGGCAGCACTGTTGTCGTTGTCAAGTTGAGTAACATCAGTGTGGTTGCTATATTCTTGGGGCTCATGGATATACGTCGCGGTTTTGAGCATTTCACGGTAATATTATAGCACTTCACTATGAACTCTGTGGGACTAGAGATATCGCTGCGTAGGGGCAAACTCGTTGTTAGTTCATCGAGGAGCCCATCTGAGGTGCTGTCGCTATTGTAGAGTGTCGTTGTGGTTGTCATCGCACGCAACGTCTCAATGGAGCTCATCAGATTGTGCATCTCCAGTGTATTAGTTTCGTTCTCCAGCTTCAGCATCTGCAGCGGTTTCTCCTTGCTGTTAATCTTGTAGATGAAGGAGAACATGAGCGAATACAGATTCAACATATTCAGAATCATGATGCTGGGCGGAGTGGAAGTAATGAAATTAATTTGTGGCCTCTACAAATTCGTTCACCTGCTGCTCACCGTGCTAACTGCAGTCGCAACTGTTGCCTGGGATGCCAGTTCTCGAATAAGCCCAAAGCCTCAAAAATCATGGGCAGAAAGAACGAGAGCAGCGTCATGGTCACGTTTACCGCATTGCGACTAAGCCAATTGTCGTGCTTGGCCAAATCCTCGGAGCTTTTGAAAGTAGACAACAATAATCAAGTGGATTGGCTGTAGGCGGGGAAATGACTTACTGATTCACCAGCAGCACTACTGTGGCGCCTGACAATCCAAGTAAGCCCATGACCAAAATGTTCACCAATATCCGTTGCAGGATAACGCGCCAGCTTTAAAGCATAAGCATCCAATTATGAAGTGCATTTGGCGCTGATTTTCGTTTCACTTACTTGCGATTATCCTTTTTCTTTTCGGCTTCCTCGAGCAGAGCCTCCTTAAACCCAACCACAACGGATGCAATGCGATTATGTGCCGTCTCCGCATGCCCTGTATGGGTGTAAGGCTGCTGTAATAAGAGGACTCATGTGGCTGCTAGCTTACTTACCAATCATAAAGTCCCAGCCAGTGAATAGCTTCCAAGAGAAGACGCACTCATCATCCTTTGACGAAAGTTTCGAATTGCGCGAATTCTCAGCCATTCTTTTACAAGTAGAAAAAAAGGGAGAGAGAAGAAGTTGTTGTTTGTTGTTGTTATTTTGCTGGCAGCACAGCTTACAACATATAATTGGCGCGTAAATCCAGGCGAAAGACTAATGCCACATAAATATGAGTACAATTCACGCATGCCGCGCACGTGCCTCAAACGTGTGGCAGGCAGGCAGGCTGGTAGGCTGGCATTCAGAACAAGTGGCAAGGTCAGTGTTGGCATCCACTCTGTTGACATTGCTACTTTGTTCAATTACGAAATCAACATAATGCCGACAAAGCCATTAAACGAAACAAGCGCAGAACACTCCCTGCCACCCTCCTCCCACCAGCACCTGACCCGACCCCCTGTCCCTACACCATGCCCACACTCCTTGGCTGCATGTCTCGTGTCTGGCTGCGTGCGTGCGTAAATCATAATGACCAAGTTTTTCTCTGATAGGCGAAAAAGTTTTGCCTACTTTTTTCAACTTTTTCTTGCCGTTGGCAATGAACACGCCTAGCTTCAAAGATTTGTATTATTTAATCAGCACAACGTTCGGTTTAATTAATTAACGACCATTCTTGGCATTTAGTTTGCTCTTGTGGCTTCGATGGCCAGAGATTTAACGAAGTGTCTTCCTGTTCACCCCATGCTGGAGCCCGCTACTCACTTTCTTAACGTGGCCACAAAGCTGTAGATGTAGACCAGGACGGCGGTCAGAAAATAAGCTAAAGGCAGCTTATAGCCGGATGTGCTGATGCCGGAAGTGCTTGAATAGTAACTACGCGTCGAACGGAAGGAAGACAACAAAATAAAGATACACAATTAACCAAAGAGCTACGAAAATATCTTCATTTGCCTGCAATACACAAGTCGGCACAATACAAGTAAATTATGCTTTTCCTTGACTCACCCGTAGAACATCGGCGAATATTTCAAGTAGCCCTCGAATTCCCAGAATGTAAAAAGATTACCGGCCACTTTGTATTCCGGGTCGGACATGCGTTTGCGCGGATCCGTTTCATCGTGCTTGGTGGCAAAGTACTGAAAGGAAAATATGCAATAAATATAATCAGCTATACTATCAGATTTACTCTCTTATTAACTTCACAGTTATTTGTAAAGCATGCTGCAGCGAATTAAATTCTGTTTGATTTTCAGCTTAAGAAAACGCTGTGAAATCGAAGGGAAACTATTGTACAGAACATGGGTACCTCCGGTCCAATGACAAAGGCAACGAGTGGTATGGCAATCATAATGTTCACCCACATGAGCCAGCGCAGGAATGTAAAGTAGGATGCGACGCCGGAGCCAAAATGCGATTCGATTTCCTTGATGCGCAGCTCCCAGGGTATGAGCACGGTGAGAAAACTAGCAGTTTCTCGTTTCCAATGCCGCCAACGCTACGTAGAAGAAGAGAGAGAGAGTACAGGGAGCATGAGTTTTGCATGAATACTACGGCTGTGAATTTGGTTTGTGTCTCCACCCGGTTCGAGTTGAGTTCGTATTTTAATTGGTTTTTATGGAGCTTATAAAAAATAAAGCTGGTTGCAAAATGCCGACCAGTTCTGTGAATTATGGAACACTTGATTTATTTGTGGTTCATAAATTGTGTAAGCATAAATATATGCCGGACACTTGGCAGAGCAGCCTCGCCGAGTGAATTGGGGCTTGCACTTCCGCATGAAGCAAACTGTTTGCTTGAGCCAAGCAGTAATTGCAGTGTGTCTGTACATGTATGTGTGGTGTGTATGTATGTGTTTATGTTGTGTTGTGGTGTTAAAAGTTTTCACTTACCGCTGCCATTAAAATTTTAAACCTCGCCCACAAATCTCTCGTGCTGCGTGACATGGCGAATCGCTCCTGCAGCGCTCCCTCGTGGCGTGCCACATACGTTTTCGCCTGTCAACATCATTAAAAATGCCAAGCAGAAAATAAACAGGGCAAGAAAAGATTGACACATGAAATCGAAATATTTGCTGTGAATTTAATGGCCCACCAGCTAAGACTAAGGCTAAGGCGTGAAATGAATCACGCCCAGCAGTGGCCCAGTGGCTTTGAAGCGGTCTCGGTAGCTACCAACCTGCCGCACCAGCTTGAGTTTCTTGCGTATGGGCCATGGCTGTAATTTGACCGACTGTATGACCTCTTTGTGTAGGCGTATATTCTCAAAGATTTGCTCCTGTGTGGACTCCTGATTGGTGCCCTCCTCTGTAGCAACAAGAGCAGAATAAACATTACACATACGCCAAGTTGACCACGTGCCGACAAATGGGCTCACGTAGCTAAAGAAATTACTACATCTTCTCCACACACACAAACACATTGATTAGCCACTGGAGGCTAGTAAATTAAGCAACATCATTGAAACAGTTATTGGCGTGTGCTTGCCTGAGCTTGTTGTATAAACACTGGAGCGTCGCCGCTCCACACTATCCAGCATGTGATCCATGGGACTGGATGCTCGTCGCGAATTGCGGCTGCCACGTTTGCCTCGATAGCCACGCACACTGGCACGTCTTTGCATTATCGCCGATACGGAAATTGAGTAGTCCTCCTCATCATCAACATCAACGGCGTCATTTTGCTGCTGCTGGTATGGGAATTCCTGATGTGGCTCCTGCTGCTGCTGCTGCTGGTTTTGGTTGTTGTAGGCGCCACTTTCGGCGTCGCTGTTTTGGTTTTGTGTGTGCAAATCTGTATAGTTGGAAACGGAAATGGTAATGTGTTTGAATTGTGTGAAATTATTGCAATTTTGTGAAATTGTTAGCGGCGGGTCCTTTGCGCATACCGTTTAGTTCATACGATTTGTTATCGTCCTGTGAAGCAGTTCTTTGTAATGGAAATAAATGGCGGGGATAAACATTTGTTTTATTCAACAGAAGTGACATTTTAGCCAAGTTCGTTGAATTAATTCCGATAATTTCACTTACCGTCTGCCTTTTTGTCCTCTATAATACTCTCTGCGCTCGTCGGCGCTGTTCTGCATTTGCCAGCCGCCTTTATCCAAATCGCATGGTGGTGCCCACGTCACGGATAATTGATGGGGAGAGGTAACGCCCGAGTTGTTCTAAGGATTGTTCAACTTGAATTAAATTTTCTTTTCTTGCTTATCGGTTGCGCTCGTTTGAAGACCGACAAACTTTTTACGAATATCTATAAATTTGAATTGCTTAAATCACACACATATGCATTAATTTTCTTTAAATTATATAATACTTTTTGCCCATCACTATGAATTTATAATAATTATTTTTATTGCATTAAAATTTTGCAAGTCTTAAATCTTTAAGAAATATTTCTTTGATTCTGTGGCACCAAATTTGATTTAAAAAATATTTATTTGTTGTGCCGTCGTAACGCTTTGGAGCAGCCTTATGCGCAGACTGAACGGATTAGCGAGGTGCCCAGACTAGTCAAGCCGCAAACACACAGGACATCAAAAGGACAACGCGAATCACAAACACACAAGCACACACATACAACTACAGGTTGAAGAGCGAACGAGCAGGCAAAGTTAAATTTGTTCTAATAATGAATGAATATGAATGAAGCGCAGAGAACCAAACCGAACCCCACCCATGGACAGCAGACTTATCAAAGCTAAAACGTGCCCAAAACGCATATACAGACATACCAGCACACTCACACAGAGAGAGACACACACACATACACATACACAAATACCTAAGAACGTTAAGGAATTCACAGAGACACGCGCCACGGCATTGAGGTAGGGATGGGGCCAGGGAGAGGTATGTGGCATAGGGGCTGGGGCAGCTGACCACTCGTTGACTTCCTCGCCCAGTTGAAACGAAGACGAATGAGTGTTAAAATCGCCAGCGGCATGTGATAACAACGCCGGGCGTAACCAGTTGGCAAAACCAAGGAGTCAGACAGCCAGCCAGGACATCGAATGTTCATTTAGATGGTCGACAACGCGGCGTGTTTAGCTCTGTCTAAATGTGTATGTGTATGTATGTGTGACAGGATTGAGTCACGTTGTATTCTTGGCATGGCTAGCCGACTGGCCTGGCATGTAAATGAAAATCAAACATGCAAGGGTTGATAAAGAAAATCGCAAATTACAATAGCAACAAACATATACTCACACACACACACACATACACACACACACAGACTTTTGGACGCGCCCACTATTGAAATATGCTTACATATATCTTTTAGCGCTTTTAGCCGTGTCCTGTGTTTCGCTTTTGCTTTCAGCTTTCAGCCTTTGGCTTTCGCTTTTAACCAGATTTCCATATACTTTTACTTTTGGACTGTCCTTTTAATTAAATGAAGTTCTGCCTGCCTGCCAGCCACGGCTTTTTAATTAACGTCAAAATTTATCTGTGCGTGTTTTCCCACTACCTCAGACATCAGACCCCAATCCTCCAATTCCCATCCCTAACTGAAATCATGTCGCACGTGTAGCATAATTTGCTGGGTTTTTATGGGTTCATTAGCCGCAGGTGACAGCTGCAACGGCATTTCGACGAACCTTAACAGATGTTTTCTTGTAGCACAGAACTGCTGACCCAAATGCCACACCCACAACATTCACACACATGTCTGTTAGCTTAAGTGGTTTTCCATGTTCGATTGCAGTTTTTGAGGTGGTCATCATAAATCTTGAAAACCAACTTGGGCTCCGCCCGAGGCAATGCAATATGTTTGGTATATGGCTTTGACCCAAAATTGATAAAATGGCTACAATGGTATTTGGGTTAGTTGGCGCCTAAGACATATTAATTTTGCAAATAACAGCTCCAAAACTATTTCATCCGATTAATTTCAGCTGCATACCGTTTCAAGGGTGTTCTTCTTTTGCTTACAACATTTGTGGCTGACAATTTAATGGAGCTGCAACTGCTAGAGCTGGGGGTGCGGGTCGAACCCCTCTTGCTTTAGGTGCACGCCTTTAAGCGTACCATTTTGACAATGCTTTCGTATCCCCTGCCGCACATAGTGACATCCCACATAGTAATTGCTACTCTTGGGTGGCAGCTTTGTCGGTTTGGAACCATCTTAAGTCCCGTACTTCAAGGGACCAACTTTATTGCAGAATTATCCCAAGTACTGTGTGCCATCGGGATACTTATAGAGGCCATAGTCCTGCATTCCCAGCTTGTTGAACTCGCCATAAAATGTAGTTGTACGAATTTTCAGAGTGTATTTTCATAGTTGAAGTTGGTGCAATATGCTCGAAATATATTTATTAGATAAACACCAAGTAAACGATATGTCAACATAAATATTTTTACAATTTATCTGAATGGGCCACTAAAACATTCAAATTTCCACTGCTAAAGACTATATACTCCCCTAGATTGAAAAATAAATGTCTTGGAGTTAAATGTGAGATACTTAACACACATTTGAGAAAGTGTTTTAGTCTGGTCCATAAGTTTAATTTTATATTTGAATTTAGAATAACTGCACTTCGAACTGTTTCACTTTCTACTTCACATCACTTCCCACATAACCGATTTTCTAAATATTTATAGTTCGAATATGGAACGAGTGATGTCCATAAAGCTCGTCGGGCGTTTCAAATTCGATTGCACCGCACTTAAGTTGCCGATGTTTTTCTTATAGATCATCACACGTGCAGAATCGTAAAGATCCTTGACCTTTGTATGCAGTGATGCCTCCGAGCAACTATTCGATATGGTATGCGTGGCGCCAGAGTCTCCATCTACGGCCTGTGAGCTGCTCGTCCATTGGCGGGCTTTATCAAAAGGTGGCGTGGCATCATTGCAATGGCTGCGACTCAATAACATTTCAAGTTGCTCTTCCTTTTCTTGGTGCGCTCGCAGGCACAGCTCGGTGGCCGTTGTTGTCTGAAAAGGGGTTCGTTTGAACTGAGGCTGCTTCTGCTGATTAGCTGGTGTCTCATTTTTGCACAATTTGGGATAGTAGCGTTCGCGATAAATCTTCTGGTTGGGTGCATAAATAGTAATTTCCCCCAATTGGCTATTCTCAGTCTCCAGATTGTTTTTTATGATCTCTCTGCAAAAGCTGGGCATCGGCTCTTCAACAAAATGCTTGCGCTCGGCTCGACAGTGACGCTTTATCCACTTTTTTTGCTTTGGGCAGCTGACGTAGACTGTCTTGGAGAAAGGCGCCGGCCTTTCAAACAACCAACCAGTCTCGGCATTAAAGAGTCCCTCCTCAGCATCAAAGCAGTTCGCGGGCACAGGACGTGTTGTTAAATTGCTGGTCAAATATGATGTTGGGCCCACTGGCTGCAGCCCATAGAATCGCTCAGGTTGATAGCGACGATCATTTGGCATTAAATAGTCCCAGTTGTCACAAATAAGATGGTCGTCCTTTAAGGTGCCCTGCACATGCAGTCCATCATTGAACCACATATCCTCAATGCTGACAAGTTTCCCTCGGTTGAACACGCCCTTGATTGTAAAGCGATATGGTGGTGACAGCTTTATCTGCCCAAAGCCATGGAACTTGCCCGCAAAGAACCTGCCGCGATACTCGCTGCCATCCGGATAGCGATAACTTCCAAATCCATCCATCATATGCACCGCTTCATTCCAGGATCCCTCAAAGTTGCTTCCCGTAAGGAAGTGCATCGACGGAGTTTTCACTAGGTCTACCGACATTTTATTGTGTTTCTGAATTATTTTCTTATTTATTTCTATTTGTGTGTCTAATTATTTTAAACAATAAAACAAATTTTATGACAAGCACTTGACCCACTTATGAGCCAACCAACTGGTTCAAGGCCTGCTGAGATTACACATTAGCTTTATGACTTAATGAGTGCCTGCCTAGGTGTGGTCTACACCACCGTCTGTTTGTTCTGTGGGAGTGTTTGGTCGCTAGGCATTTAAGTTTATATGCCATACATAAGTGGGATTTAAAAGGGCTGCCATTAAGCGGATAAATATTTGCTTTTACTCTCAATTATAAGTTGAATCGACAAAAAATTTTCCATTGGTACAAAAGAATTTGTAATTTTGTAAAAGTTTGTGCTTTTCATATGTAAAACTAATTTAGTTATTTGGTGTATATATTCTTCGACTGACACATACTATTGCCATTCCATATTTGATGGTTCTTGTTCTTAAGGAAATAAGCGATTTGATCTGCAAGATAAAAGCTAAGAGCTGCTTCTGCCATGCAACGCTTGACCAGGTGTTGGTGGTTATTACGGCTATTGGTTTTTATGTCTGTCGTGGTTGTGGCTTTGGATAATGTTGTTGTTGCTGCTGCTGCTGTGTCCTGCCTTAGCACGTGTCCTGTCCAAATCGTAATCACTCCCCAGCGTACGGTAAATCAAGCTCACTTACCTCACTGTTGGCGCCCGTGACATTTGAGCTGCTGCTACCAGGCCCGCCACTGCCAATGCCACCGCCAATACCACCGCCTCCACCAGCGCCAGCACCACTCACGCAACGAAAATCGACGGAACCACCTGATGAACGTCGGGGCTTACTGATATCCAGGCGGAGTATGCCCGGTTTGGCACGACGCGGCTCAGCGGACGGTGTACTCCGCATGGAGTCGACAGTGTCCATGGGTGTTGCGGCCATAGATGGCTCTACAAATTCACTCGGCTCGTTTTGCATGGTCAGGCGAATTCACTGAGTGCCGCGCACACGTCCGCTGTGCAACGCCAACGCGAACGAACTATATCCATGTCCTGTCCAAGGAAGCAACAATTACGCGCCCAGTCGACAGTAGCAGCAGCGAAAATAAAATGTGAATTAAACGCGTCGACGTTGGCGTTGAAGCCACGCAATAAATGTGAATGTGAATGCGAATGTAAATGTGAATGTGAATGACGTTGGCGCGGCGACAGACAGAACACAGGACACGCGCCACTTTCAACTGTTTCTTGTTGCTGTCACATAGCTCACATGCTGACATTGTTAACTCTGCACACTGTGTGTATGCTTGTGTGAGTGTGTGTGTCTATGTGTCTGTGTGCGTGTGTGTATGGACTTCCGGTTTTCAGGAACGTCGCGCTGCCTACACATTGACATGGCGTTTTAGTTTTATATAATTATGGCCGTTGCCTGTGCCCCAAAAAGTGTCAACAAAAATTATACGAAACAAAAAGTGAAAGTATCGCATGTCGCGTTTTTCATTTTTCATTTTCATACGCTCCATTAGTGCGCTTCTTTTGCTTTTAGTTGGAAACCCCCTGCGCCTAACGCGTTCCTAGTAATTATGACCGCACACACAAGTTGCCTTGAGTTTGTTTTCTAATTTTCAATATGCGATACATACGCTCAACCGCCCACACGCCCACACGCCCTTGCCATCCAGCCGCCCACGCGAATGAGTGCGCTTGTTAGCTGCCAGCCAAGCCCACTTGCTGGGTTATGTCCCATGTCCTGTTGCTCCTCCCCTGCTGATATGCAACGCTTGTCTCTATTACATGCGCTGCACGTTAAATTAATTGAACAGCAAAGTGTGCAACGACAACAACAGCGGCAACAACAATAGCATTAAATTGCATATATGCTTTTAATTTTTATTATTCACTTTATTCTACTGGAGAACTTACATAATAACATAAACTAGAACTAATCTAATATTAAATATTAAATAGCAAATTGCTAAATGCTAAATGCTCTTGGAATGTTCCACTTCTACATGAGAAAAGTTTAATACAATGTGAATGTGTGCATGTTTGTATGTTTGTGTGTATGTATGCATGTGTGTATGTGTGTATGTACGTGAGTATGTGTTTGTGTTTGTGCGCTCATGTTTTCTATTTATGCTTATTACAAATTTCAGTTTCAGTCTCAAAAATTGTTGCATAAATTAACTAAAACCATTACGTACATAATTTTTGTTTATCTCTTCCATAAATTTCGATATTTGTTCAAATTTTGTACTTAATTGAATAATTGAATAGTTGTCCTAAAATCGTTAGGGAAATCGTTTGTTAATATAGACTTTGGGCACATTTTTTTTAGAGACTTTGATAAGTTAAATCTTAAATCAGTATTCATGGAGATAATAATTATATTTTGAATGGGCCCATTGCTTGCTTTGAAATATTGTATATAACTTAAGCCTAACCTATTTTACTTAAGATTCCAAAATATCAAATATTGAGTGCAATGCAAGTCACCTTAAATTGTACTCAATCTTCAATCTGTTTGAACTTTGTATCTACCTTGCTTACAAGTTGCCTGCTTTCGACCTTAAATCCACCCAAACTGCTGTAATCACTTATACGCCACGTATGCCACCATCAGTTTGGGTGCACAGTAAATGTATAGAGTTTCCCCGAAAATGCTCTCAACCACAACGGCGGCCACATAAAAGTAAAATCGATTTATGCATAAAATTTCTTGATGCTGAAAAATGTATGAATAGCAAACATTTGAGTTGCTGCTCCTCGTAAAAGCCAATGTATGGATGAGAGATGTGTGTGAGTATTGTGTTGTCCTTGTTGTTAACTTGGCTTATTTACTTAACCATACATTTCCCAGCAAAGCAAGTACGCAAGGCATCTACAGCGTTGGAGTTTTTCTCCAATACGCATTTGCCAGTTTGCTTCTTTTTGCGCTTTTTGCATGTTTGTTTGCTTAGCTTCATAACCAGTTTTTCTCAAATATGAAAAGTTGGCCAAGTTAAGCAGCAATTGCCAGCCTTTTATTATGTGTCGTTTTGTTTCGTTTTTGTTCCGTTTGTTCGTGATACATGAGCGTATAATTAATGTCCTCAGTCTGCCACAAAGGTGCGCGTCTTGCTTGTTCGTGTTCTTAACTCCAACTAAAAACTATCCGATGGTGACAACTATCGATATTTACTAAAATTACAACTTAGTTTGACTAAACACCCGCTAATTGACTTATGTCTACGCTTATTCATTACTTTCTTTTTGCTCTTATCTTAATTTCTTCATTTTTTATATTTTTTTTTTGTGATTGTGGGTGTTCATGGCATTTCAATGAGCATGTCGTTCGTTTTGGGTTAATTTGGTGATTTAGTCTATTGATTTTCATATTTGCCATCATAAGTATATAAGTAACTAGCTACTTGGCTACAAAAATCGCCATCCCTTAGAGCTATGCTACAAAAAACGCACTTAGCTGCTAATAAACGCACACATTACGGGTGGCAGGGGAGTTGAAGTTGGTTTTTATGTGGGGTAAGTTAAAATGTTGTCACTTTGCCCAAACGCATGCCAAGCAATTTACGACGTTTTTTGGCGCTTAACTTAGTCCAAATGGTGCTGCTGCCCTCGACGAGCAAAAATTCATCGCATAAATCATCCGTTTCCTTTACCATGCCGCCATAGAAATGATCCTCCTGATACTTCTCAGACCGCGAGTCACCGGAAACGAAGCCGCTTTCTGGTCGAGACAAGGAGGCGGTATGCCATGGCAGCTGTTGAAACCAGCGAGCCACTTTGGCCGTCGACGAGAGCTGTGAAAATGAGTCGAGAATAAACAAAAAGTCAGTGTGTAAATTTATGCAAATGAGTTATGTGCGCAAATTGCTGTCCACCAAGGGCCAGGGAATGCAACAGATAGAGGGGCGCCGACTGGAGTAGAAAAAGAAAAGTGAAAAATGGCGACACTTGCTTTTTTTCCATCAGCCCATTTCTGCACTTTCTGCCTGCTATCATTTTTCATTTATCTCGCGAAATTTATGCACTGCCTGTTCGGCCGTTCATTATCCGACACGGCGTATGCGTAATACAAATGCGCTTAAGAGTATGCAGCATTTTTTATTTCGTGTTGTTTAAATTGCGCTGTGAATTTTTTATTGCTCCTGCTTCTGAAAAACTCATTATGAAAATGGTTCAACGCTGCTTGAAGTGACAATTATTAATGATTACAATGATAATATATAGTTGTATTTAGAGATACTTGAATTATTTATATATGCTTTTTTATTGCTGTTGCTTGTTGTTTTGCATTTAATGTTGTTTGTAGCCTATATTTTAGTTAATAAATACATTTCTATGATTTACATTTAACACTTGCTGCAAATAATTTATGTAGTGTTTATATTTGACATTCGTTAACATAATAACTATAATTATTTGTTCAGTATTTGGTTTATTCTGATTATTTGAGCAAACAATTCTGGAAGTTTTGCATAAGGATAACAACAATTTACAAAATAGTTTTAAACTAATCTTGTTTTTGGAGCTTAACAACTAATTACTTTGACACTTTTAAGGGAGAGAAAATACTTGTTTTCATTGTTATTTTACTTTTATATATTATGATATGCTGCAGGAGAAGTACTTTTTATTTAGGTTATGCTCGAAAAATACTTTGCAGGACTAGAAATTCGAACAACTTAAAATGCAAACTATAAACTAGTTTTGCTCTAACATTTAATACTGTTCCACATACTCAAACTCATTCACACACGCACGCACACCCTCTCTCTCTCTCTCTCGAGACTAAGCTTAGTTGACTAATATAACTTAAGAGCTGGTCCACTCTCAATTGCTGTGGTTGTTGTTTTTGTTCTGGTTGGTTTCCTCTTCTCACTTGGTTGTGTGCCTGGCCCAGGCGGTGCGTTGTACCTGGCTCATCATTTGGCTACGGTTGGGCACCTTTTCGCTGGTACTGCGCGTAATAAAACTGGGCGTGGCCGATAGCTTGCGCTGATGTCCTGCCTCGTCGGTGACACGCAGCAGCACCGTATTGAATCGAGTTTCCCTTGAATTATTATTGCTATTGTTGTTGTTGTTGCCATTACTCTGGCTACTGCTGCCAGGACTGAGATTGTTATTGCTGCTGCGCTGACGCGGCGACGATGGCGAGTCAAGCGTTGAGGAGCTACGACTGTTGTCCCTTGTACTACTGGAACCGCCACAGGCCAAGCCAGCCAGATTGCCATTCGACACAGCCACCTTCAGCTGCTCCTCCAGATTGTTCAGATTCTGCTCAATGCTGAGCCGCAAATCCTCATTCAGCATGGTACTGCCTGTAAATGAGTTGCGATTCAGGCTGCCCAGCGATGTCGGCGTCAAAGCGCCCGCATTGAGTCCGCCCGGCGATGCCAAAAAATTGAATGGTGCCGCTGCATTGTTGTTGGTTAGCGTTGAAGGTGTCGCTGGTGTGCAGGACAACGGATTCACAAAGAAGTAGGAGTTGTGGGGCGATGCTGTCGACGACTGTTGCTGCTGCTGCTGGGCGGCATTTGCATTGAGATTGAGCGCTTGAAGGCGATTCAGCAGCTCCTGGTTGACATGAAACAGATCCTTGGAGAGCGTATCCTGCTGCTGATTACTGATATTTTGCAGTTGGCTCACTGAGGGAAATGTAGTGCTGCCACTTGCACCTACTGACGTTATTGGCGGTGTTGGTGGCGTTAATTGCGGCTGCTGCTGCTGCTGCTGAGGCGTTGGTGTTGATGGCGTCTGTTGCATGCTCTGCAGGTTCTGTAGATTTTGGCTCTGCTGATTGAGGCCGCTCAACTGGTGGCTGAGCGAGGTCAATTGCTGATTAATGTTGCCCAGATTGTTGATTTGCTGATTGATGGCGGCCAAGTTGTTGTTGTTGCTGGTCGCTTGTAGCAGCAACTGCAGCTGCGACTGTTGCTGCTGTTAGAAAGGGGTAGCTCACGTCATTAACACTGCATCTTAATTCACAAAAATGAACAACAATAACAACGAACAACGAACAACAAACAGCAATCAAGCAAACAGCCGGTAAAAACATGCAAATGAAAACGCAATTTCAAAAAATTTCAGCGAGCAGCAAACGAAAAATAAACATGCATAGGGCGCCAGGCTTCTAAAGTTCTTATTTATTTCCTATTGGATGTTGTTTTAATAATAAAAGCAACAAAATTATGAAGGTATAAATCAAAGCGCAGTCTGTTTACGCGGACTGGGGGCAAATAACATAAAGTCTCAAGTTAACTTGCCACATTCGTAGATCACTACACTTATTAATTTATATATTTTGTATATTTTGATAATCGAACTCACCTGTGGTGCCATGCCAATGTTCGCTGATGTCAGACCCGCGCTCTGCTGCTCGTTGTAGGCGCCAAGCGAGGCCAAGTGCTCGAGCAACTCGCGATTCTGTTGCAGCAACTGCTGTGTGCGCGCCTAAAAAGAGAGACAAGGGAGAGAGAGATGGGAGGGGAGATGATTGGGTGTTGAGTTGAGTCTAGTGTTGGTTACATGCTTGGTAATTACCTGTGCCTCGAGGCGAGCATTTGTCTCCGATATGAGCTGCTCCCTGACGAGCATTAATTGAGCAAGCGCCTGACGCGTCTGTTGTGCCTGCGCCTCCATCTGATCCTTCAGCTGTGTTATCTCAGTGCGCGGCGAAGACGGCGAACTGGGCGATTTGTCGTCCACATCGCACTGCGGGGTGGAGTAGGACAATAAATATGTATAAGTGGAATGATATAATTAAATCAACCTTAATAGCCAGTAGCTCAACATTAAATTGTTATAAAAATAAAATATTTCATATAGTTTCCAATTCAAAGCCGATGTGATGTAATTCGGTGCTTAATTTGACATAATTTATTTATAAATAATTAAAATTCTTTTGATTTCCGTTGCTCATGAACTAAAACACAATTAGTTTTGTTATTATTATTATTTTGTACAAATTTTTACATAGAGACGCCGATTTCATAAACAGAAAAATCGTATAAAATAAATTGGTTTTTAATGTTACTCTCTTGTTTACCCCTTTGACTTGGTTATACAAACAAAAATATGTTTGTCTAGCTCTAAATTTATGGAAATGATCTAAGCGAAATACTCTAATGGATTCTATTTTTTGCGCATTTATCGCATTTTAATAGTCAATGGGCCATTATTTCATTTAATTTGCTGATAAGTACTTAATAAGTACACATGCGGCTAATTTGCTGGATTCGTAGTTGGATATGGAAATGGGAATTTGAATTGGATTAGAATTGAATTTTGATATTTCACTTACCAGCAGGCTGGTCGATTTACGTAGACTCGACTGCGTTGGCAGCAACTCCAAGTGGTTCGGTCGCTGCGGCTGCGTGTGGTTTAAATCGGGCGTTATGGCCAAGTGCTCTATAAATAAACACAAATGGTTACAGATTTAGTGGCCAGCTGACAGAAGGCACTGCATGTTCGCAAATGGAGCGTATAAATTGACCTAGCAATCTTTATTGTAACCTCAACCCCAACCTCAAAGATACACGCAACCATTTGTCAAGGTCAGTGGACACCAAGCAGACACATTTGTTAGCTGGTACACCTGCTGCTTCTTGGCCAGGTTAGCGCTTAATTTCCACTTAATTACAGCAGCTTGATTTCAATATTTGTTTTGATTATGCTGCGTAAACAATAAATAATGATATCATTATCGGACACTTCCACGCTCCCATCAATCACTGTTCGTGTTCTGTTCAGGGGTCGTGCGAAGTTCAATGTTGTGTTTATTTTGCAGTTTTGCGGGGGTTTTATCTTAATATTTCAAACAAAATATTTCAACTATTTGAACACAATTATATTGTTAGCTTTGCATAGAAGCGCGAGTGTAAATGGAAAAGTTGCAGACGATTAATTTGTGAAAAATTGTAAATGTGTATTTAGAGATCGTATAAAATTTTGAGGTAAGTTGATGTTGCTTCACACCTGGGCACATGTTAATAACTGCGTATTGTTTCATTTGAACTAATCTTATAATTTTTGCACAGCATGTAAATTAATTTGGCGCATTTAATGGTTCATATAAAACTAATTTATACTACTCTCACATAATGCATCACTGAACTTAGACTATTTCGAACAAGGATTAGTACTTTGTGTATTCATATTTATATAACAGAAAAACCATATGCTTGAAGCTCTTTTGGTCTGTCGATTCATGGATTTTATTATCGAAACGACCTATTTCGACGAATAAGTTAAACAAATCTGCACATCTAATTGAATTATAAAGAATTCTGTCGCCAGCTGCAAATGAGCTACAATTCATATCTTGAATATGAGAGTGCTTATGTGTGGAAATGGATTGAGGTATTCTTGTTAACTCTTTTCTTAATTAATAGCTTACGTTTTTGCTTTCGACTTTTCATTAATTTGTTTAATTTGTATCATATTGTTAAATCGTTCTTTTGTCAGTTATTGGGACAGGCAATTTGTCTAGACTTCTGTAAGACATTCAACCTGCCTAACTTTAATTATCTTTTCTCAATCTCTCAACAAAGACACAAAAAGGCAGCATCTGTTGTGAATGAGGCAGCAGCCAAGAATCGTATGTATTTTTTCATTTCAGTCAGCAGACGTGTCCAAAGATATGAATATTAAAAATTACAAGACCATTAAAAAAAAAAACAACATTCATGTGTATATCTAGTCGGCTATATAAACAAAAGTAAATAAATTATTTTTGGCACACGACTCGACCAAAAGACATGCCAAAAGGCTAAATGCCGCCCATTCCACGCCACGCCACGCCCACGCACACATGCACACACAAAAATACAGAAGCCACGTGAATTATGCATGCTGCATGTAACCTGGCAACGAAGTTTCAATATGTATTACAGTCCTAGTGATACCACCCAAACCAGCAATCCATCCCGCAGCTACTCGAGATACTTTACTGAATATATATATTCTACGAATATTCTGTCAAAAGATGTCGTTTTATTGTTTTAGATAAAATTTTGTTAGAAAATATTAAAGAATTTAAATATTTCTTGCTTCCTCTTTCTTTTTTTTTGGCAAATGTGTACAAGTTAGTGACGTCAAGTGTCAAAAAAAAATAAAATATGAAAAGCCGCTTCGAGCTGATTGAAATTTCAAGCAGTTCGTGGAAATTGCTTAACGCCCAGCGAAGTGCCTTCTTCATTTTACACAATATATCAATATATCAGAAATTTTTATATTTCTTTCAGGTTTTTTGTTTCGCTAATGAAAACGTGAGATTTTTATATTTCCTCATTGGCATTTGCATTTTATTATTTATAAATTCTTGTTGAGCTCTCTGATGCGCCACATTTAAGTGTCAACATACTTTCCTATCCCTTTTCAAATTAATTTTTTTTTTTGGAAGCTGCTTCCAGTCGCTTGTGAAATGCAATTTAAATGCAAATTTTTGCCACATTGAACTGAATTCAAAATTAAACACCATGAGCAATTTGCATTGAAATGCTAAGCTGAATGCAAAACTAATGCAATCAACTGTCCAGAGTATCCAGGCTGCAACCACCACTCACAAGTGGCCGGCCAGCCAGTCTCGCAGATGATGATGGCACCCCAGGAAGTAGCAGGCGGTGTCGACAGGAAAAGCTTTTCATTTATTTATTGGCTCACAGTATGTACAACGTACAACGACCCAACGCCTGAGCTGGTAGCGTAGTTCAACAATCGGTTTATATCTCGAGTAATTGCATGTACCATTCACACAGACACACTTGAACTCACACACCCACACAGACTCATATTGGCATGTACCTTTCTTTGGCGTATCGCTGGTGATGACGCCTCCATCCTCGCTGAGCTGCTGCTCACTGATTTGCTCCACATCCAGCAGCTCCGATGATGACACATCGGAGCGTTCGTCATTGGGCTCCAGGGAATTCTTATGAAGATTAAATTTGTGGCACACTTCAAAGGCTTGTCCGACGGTGCGCACAATGCGCATGGCCTGAGACTGCAATATATAAAAGAAATGAAGAGCAAGTTGTAGTAGGGGATAAGTCGATGTGAGTCTCGAGTTACAACAATTAATACAAAGTGTCACACAGCAAGCAATTAAGGCAGCCAAGCAATTCAATTGTACTGCCTGCTGTCAAACAAAGCAAATAACGCATACGCCCCGTGGCGCGTGGCGTACCCACCTCGGGATCGCTGGCAGCGTAGCCGCAGGAAATTGCATTCCTTATATGATTATTGGATAAATTATCACAATCCAGCCCCTGTCCCAACGCTGTGGTGCGTTCCAATGGGGAACTGCGACGCCGTTGCCGCTGCTCGCTGAGCATCGCTGGCGACATGGCAACCACCACTGTCGACAGACCCGCCTCGACGGGCTCGCGAAAAGATAGCTTCTTGCGCGGCTTATCTGTCTTGGGTCGTTCCAGCATAATGCCGCTCGCTGCTTGAGCAGCTTGTCCGCCACCACTGCCCCCGCTACTCAGGCTGGAGCTGCTCTGCTGCTCGTAATGCGAATCACTTAAGCTCTTGCGTCGCTGCAACGTGTGCCTCTGCTCGGAGCGCTGATAGAGCTGCTGAGCACGACGCAGAGCCTCCGGCGAGGCCGCATAATGTTCGCTTGGCAACCGTTTAAATTTCAGACGCGCCTTCAGCACATCCCCGGCTGGGTGTGGCTTGTGTGTCTTGGCAACCGGCTGCTCCTTCTTAATAAGATACACAGTGTTCTCTTCATCATTGAACAGAATGTGCCGCGGCTTATTGTCAATGTAGGTGTCGTCCAGGAAGCGCTGTGGCTGCGCCGAGCTGTTCGCATTACTCCGCGGCGCCAGTTCGCTGTCCGCGCAGCCAATTAGCTCCCGAATGTCCAGACTCTTGTTGCGCGACAGTTGCTTCTGCTTGCGTGGTGTCTTCTTGGCCATCGAGAGCGGCGATTGAGGTGGTTTCTCCTTCTGCAGCTTGTCTTTGTCGCCGACGAGCATATCGCGTATGAGGTCGCCGCCACTGCGAAAGATATTCCGATGATAGTGCACATCGGCCATTGTAGTTGCAGTTGACGCCGTTTCTGGTTTGCTGGACGGAGCAGCAGCCTTGCTGCGACTGCGTGTCCAGGGCAGAAAGTCAAATGCCTTGGTGATGGGACTGCGTGAACTGGGTGATTCCAAGAGCTGCTGGTGCCGCTGCTTGTCCCGTTTAAGAAGTGGCATGCCATTGGAGGCCATGGTTGCAGTCTTCTCATGCTTCATGGCCGGGTGCTTCGTACAATGATCCGTCAACGTGTTGATAAATACAAGGCCAACAAAAACTTGGCTAACTGCTTCACAACACTTTTGCTCGACTTTTGCTCGACTATTGCTCACACTTTTTGCACGTCTTTGCGCTAAGTTCAATGCTGTTCAATATTTGTTTTCAATAATAATCCTTGCCAATTAAAAGGCTATTAATTTCATAATTGTTTAGCTTGCTGTGGGCAATAACGGCTCCTTGGCCCAGGTTATTCACACACATCGCCAAACGCGCCATTTTTCGCACCTACAGTTGAAGTGTTTTTCTTTTTTCACCTTTCTTTTTGTTATTTCTCTTACGTAGTCTTTTATGTGTACAAAACACAATATAGCATATATCGTATACAATATATAGTATATATATTGAGTTATTTTCGTCGATTGCCTGCGGGCCACTCAATTGTTTTTGCCTGTGTTATGGTTGATATGAATACAAATAGTTATTTATATTAAATTATTTTTTTTTAGTAAGTTTCTGCCAGCTGCGTTACGCTTGCATTGAATTTAATTCATTTTCTACCCTCTGCTGACAACACCCAATGAAAAAACTGTCAATCTTGTTGGGATTTTGTTTTGGTTAATCATTCAGTCAGGCATCAGAAATCTGAAGTGAATGATTTGCATTTTTCGGAACATTCTAGTTTATGGTTGGGTTAGTGTTCGGCTAATGTGCTTTTGGGATGCGCATGAATCAGCTGATTGCATTTTGACTGGCACAGAGACAACAGCTTGAAGGTCTTAATTTAAAAATAAATTTCATTAGTCATCGAACTATATATTTATTGAACATATTCCCAGTAAAGTTGAAACAATATAATGAATCGATGGAAATTTCAAAATCAATTTTAGCGGAATGAATATTTGTAAGGAATCTCCCAACGAAATACAATAACTATTTAGATTATATTTAGCTGTGCACATCAATCATGGCATATGACATATATTGGCAAATTCCTGTTGCTAAGTGTAGTTTGTGGTTAATCTATCCAATCATTTTGCATGTCCATCAATGTTAATTATGTTGCTGTTTTCACAATTTTAGCACTTTGCAGGACTACAACTGGCGCATTAGCCGGCAACAGCTACAACAAAAACAATAATAACAACAATAAATCTGACATTAACGAGACATCAGTTTGAAATATTTTGACAAGCGCAGACACAATTGGTTTGCCAACACACAAACAAATATTACAAAACATTGAGTACTTAAAAATCTGATTTGTTTTTGCGTTTCATGGCACACACAAACGTATATGGATTTCATGTTAATTATTTAATAAACCACACTCATTTCAGTTTATGTGTGCACTAGCACAACATTGCTTTTGGCCCTTAACACGCAAAAAATAAACATTGCGCATACGCTGCGTGTGCACGCAAATTTGTCTAACGAAGTGGCAAAGGTGTCGATTGATTGTCTGTCTATGTGTCTATTTAACAGTCTGTCTATTTGCTTGACTGCACACACAACGCAATCCGTGCGCAATGCGCTGACGCAACTGCTAATAAATCAAATCAAAAACTACAAAAAATTAAAACACAAAAGAACCAACCTCAGGTGAATTGGCATTTGTACTAAAGTTTTCTTCATTTACAACTGCGCCACTTACAATTCAAACTAAAATAAATAAAAGTTTGATTTGGTTTTGTTCAAAAAATACTTCAAAATTTATGGCGCAAAAAACGTTAAAAATCTTTCCGTTAGTCGGCTTTATGTATTTATTTGATTTTTAATATTCATTTTACTTTTCGGCAAAGTCAACAATCTGCCAGCTTATTTGATTTCCGTCTTCTGCCATTAACTATCTGTTTGCTCGTCTGTCTGTTTATTTATCTGTCATAAGGGAAAATTTTACAGAAAATCCTTGTTGCTCGCCCCTTGTCCCGCCGACGCATATGCAAACGATGGGTGCGTGGCTCGTGTTTTTTAATGCCACAACTTTTTGTTAATAACTTTAGCCTGCAAACGCATGATTTTTATCGCCTCTTGTGCTCAGCAGTTGGCACATGTTTACGGCGTACATAAGCTGTGGCAGTGGCGGCCGCAATAACCACAAGCCCCTGCTGCACTGATTGCCGCACAAACACACATAGCTGATGCTGCTGCAGGTTGAATGTTGTTGCTCGTGTGGTTGCACATTTTGCACGTGGTTTGCTATGGTTTCAACATGAATTTATCGGTTACGGCTGTTGCTAATTAACTTTTCATTAGTCACGGTAAGCAGCCAACTTAAATTTTAATTCACTCTTCACCCCAAAAACAAACACGCACAAAATACACACGTTTATTTATTTATTTACTTATACTATTTCAAGTAAAAATCAACGCCTCACCCGCCCTAATTCCCCTTTATCTGCACAATTCATTCTCGTTTCGATTTTCGAAATACTTTAGAGCAGGCAATTAAAATAATGGATCTATTTTGGTTTAAATGCAAAACGAAAAGAAAGAAAATTAAGAAGGCAAAAATCAACAAAATAATTGAATTTTCCAACGAACGCGGCAGCCATTTTGGTCCAAAAGCTACAACTAACACATACATGGGCAAATCTTACTGTATATATGTGTTCGTATAGGTGTAATAATATTACAACAACGATTCTTCTTCTAGGTGTATTACATTTTCTGTATGAATTATTGGCACGGCTTTTATAATATTTCAATGTTGTCAAAGTGCTTATAAGCCTTTTCGATTTCTTCCCTTAGAGACCCTTTTGAATCTCAAAGACTTTCTGTTATTGTCTACAAATTGAAAATTTGATTTGGTTTCCTAAGAAACTAACAATTATAAATAAACGCGAGAAGAAAATCATAAAAATTTCATTCCATCACGTGTGCTTCTCATTGGCCGTCATATTATTTATTTATTTATGGCACACACACTTTCGACTACCTGTGGGGAATTGAGCTCATTAAGTGTTATTGCGTGGGCATTTGTAGATAATGGGAATGCAAATTGGAAATGGAAATGGTTATGAAAACTAAGTGAATTGCGGCATATTTATCCCACTAAGAATTCATATGCATAAACAATGTGGAAACTGCGTCAGATCGTAGCCTTTGCATATGCTAGTGAAGCAAGGAGTTAACATGAGTGTGGTCAGAATTGTATACAAGTTCTTTTAGTTGGCACTTTATTAACTTGATTTTCAAGGCCATTATAGCTTATTGAAATACTAGATTGTAAATTTGTTAATGGCACGTTTTGAGAATTTTTCTTTTGCAATTAATTTTCCAGCGCTTTGACAATTTTCATTTGAATTTCAGTTTTCCCACTAGATACAATTTTCTGTTGTTGTTTCGTCTTCTGAGCTGATTGGCCCGGCTGCTTGAAGCTACTTGATGGCGTCAACGAGAGCCCATGACAAACACTTTTGCAGCTTTTGTATTTTTGTTGGCGTATGTTTCACATATTATTTTATATTGTTGCCTGCTGATCTATGGACTTGCAAAATATTTTTCTTAACGCTTTTGACATGCCATTGCCTGAATTTATTTAATTAATTCTTGTGACATATTCACATATTTATAAATAAACATATTCTTTTTAAATTTGCTATTCCGCAGCTGGCAGTATATTCTATCTGTATTTATTTTTATTTTGTTTTATTTTTACCAAATGCTTTTTATTTTATTTGACACTTCACTGCACTTCTCACACACACACACATATTATGCATATTGCATGAAATAAATATTTTCGACTATAGTTCTACAGTTTCAAAGTTTTCATATTATATATATTTATATATATATAAATATATATGTATATATATTTGTTTGCTTCTGTATACAACGCACGTCTGCAGCGGCGCACCGTCGAGTGGTTACTGGACACAGAATCAGCGAACTGAGCGGCAGAGATCTGAGATCTGAGATCTGTAGCCGGCTAGAGAAGCTTTTTCTTATTGTTGGTTAGCAGAAGCTTTTGCCATACTCAGCTGATCGGCTGTTAACGCGTCCGTTTGTTTTCGGTGAACGGAGTCAGCGACACGCTGCGTTTGTTTTGGTCTTTTGGCGGCGGCCTGCTGTTTGCACGAGCTAACGCGGCGTATGCGCGATCTCGGCGCTTGAGTCTTATGGTGGCTGGCGCTGGCGATCGTGTTACGTCACTGCTTTGTGTTTCGCGGAAGTAAACAAAGGCAACTTTTCACTTTTTGTTTTAGTTGTATTTAGCTGTGTGTTTTACTAGGCCATTTATTATTTTTCGTGCTGATTTGCTAGCGTTTCAATGTTGCTGGCAACTTACGGCTGCTTAGCGATAAATCAAACGCTTTCATCACTTTGTCTGCTGTTTATTTCGATGATCCTGATCCATAATACAAAGTGCAATTGCGTTGCAGTTTGTGCTATTCTCATATTGTTTATTATGATTGCCTCACCCCATCGCTGCCGTTAGACCGTCGACCCGCCCGCCCACCTGACGCACGCAGCAAATGCAAAATGTAGTACAACACGTGCCCCATTATCGCGACGTGTGGAATTGTGTGCCCTGCCCCGGGTCTGGCCTTAATTTAAGGTGTCACTTGTCAGGCATTTCGACAGACTGCTCTGCCTGACATTTCTTTGCCTGATGTGATTTGCTAATTGAAAAACTGTGTCGAAAATGGAAAATGTCAGCAGCCGGCATAGACTTGACATTGCCCAAAGCCAAAGTTGAAGGCCAAACGAAGCGAAGCACATGCCGCACTTGCCACAGATAGCATAAAATCTTCAACTGGTTGTTAAATGGACTGCAACTGACCGCAAAACACAACCAAAAATCAAAGCAAATGCATTTCGGCGGCAACCACAAAGTAAAAGCCATTTATTTATTTGTCAAATCGCGGTCAGAACTTGTGGGAGAGGGGTCAGTGGAGGGGGTCTGACTGCCGCAATTCTATTTGCCACGATTTTATTAGCCAATGTGAGTTGGCCAAAATACGGAAATGTAGACAGCTGCGTTTTCCATTTGCTTAGATCATTTTGAATTTAATGCTAAGTAATGTGGCTGAGAAATGTGTCTGCCGTGTGTGGACATTGATTTATGATAATGGCTGAATACTGTCATTACCAATTGCAGATTAAGTTGATCAACTAGCTGCTTATAGCTGCTGTTGAATAGCGTTTGTCTGCACTAAGTGATAACTCATCCAAATATAAATCATTAACAGCAAAGTTTTGTCGCTTGTTAACAGCGTTTGAGACCAGTTCTTTCTTGTAAATACCAGTTAAACTGTGAAAATCCTTTAGATTTATGTTGATTTTCGCTTAAGTCGCAGCTCATAAAAGTCTTGTTGTGTTAATCAAATAATCTCAGGTCCTCAATCTGCATTAAGTCACATACTATAATGCTGACATCTAAATACTGCTTCGCGTGTGCATATCGCACTTATGTATGTATGTATGTATGTATGTATGTATTTGTTTATTTGTCGCTTG